TTATATATTAAAAAAATATAAAATTTAAAAATAATATTAATATATTTTTTACTATTTTTTTATTTATAATATTAATATTATTTTTATTATTTAAAATAGTAATAGTTAATTTTTAAATACTTTTTATTTATAATTTTACTTTTTTTTTTATAATATAAAAAATATATAATAGTATTAAATATAAATTAAAGCTTAACTTTTAAACTTTTTTTAATAAAATAAGTTTTTAATTAATTTTTTAAACTAAAATAATAAAAAACATAAATAAATTATTATAATATTTTATAATATATTTTTTATTTTTATAATATATATAATTAGGTTTTTTATAATATAATAAATAATATTTAAATACTTTATATTTATAATAAATAAACTTTTATAATTTAAATTAATTTTATATATTAACTAAAAAAATAATATTAATTTTTAATTTTATTAAAGCTTTTTTTTAAAATAATTAAAATTTTTAAAAATATAATTAATTATTAAAGTTTAATTTAAAATATTAATTTCTTTTTAATTATTTTTAAATAGTTTTTATTATTATTTTTTTATTATAAAATTACTATTATATAATAAAAAAGCTTTAATTAATAATATTTTTTTTAATTTCTAATAAATACTTTTATATTAATTAAATAATTTAAAATTTATTAAATAATTAAATAAAAACTTTATTAAAAGTTATTTTAAATTAATAAAAAAAACTTTAAAAATTTTTATTTTTTAATTATTATATATAATTTAATATTATAATAGTTTTTAAAAATTAAATATTAATATCTTTAATATAGTTTTTATATTATTTAAAATATTTAATATAAATTATATTATTATATAATTAATTAAAATCTTTATTATAATAGTAAGTTTCATATAATTTTATATTTTTTTATAAATAATTATTAATATATTAAATTTTTTATTTATTATTTTTAAATTAATTAAATTTAAGTTTAAAATAATTATTTAATTTAATAATATAAATTTATAATTTTATTTAAGTTTTACCTTTAAAAAAAAAATAATTAAATTTTCCCTTAAATAATATTTTTTTATTTTTTTATTTTAATTATAAATTTACTATTATAATTTTATAAAATAATTAAATTAAATATTATAAATTTATTTTTTTTTAAGTTTAAAAATATTTTATTATTTTATATTTTTTTTTAAATTTTTATAGTTTTTAAAATATATTTTTTTAACTTTATTATAAATATAGTTTATTAATTTTAATCTTTTAGTAGTATATTATTTAAAATAGCTAAAGAAAATTAAATCTTTTATTATTAAGATTTAAAGATTATAGCTGCTTTTTAAAAAATATAAATATATATTAAAGTTTTATTATATAATATTTTTACTTTAGTAATTTTTTTACTTTTTAATAAAAAAATAAACCTATTAAAAATAGTAGCTTTTAAAAAAATAAAAAAATTAAAAATAAATATAATATAGTTTTTATTATAGACTTTATAGCTAAGGTTATATAAAAAACTATATTTATCTTTAAACTTTTTAAAAATAAAAGGGTTATAGTTTTTTTTTATATTTTTATTTAATTTTATTAGCTAACTAGCTTATTAGTTGTAAACTTAAACGCTTTTATTAGTGTTTAATAAAGGAGGAAGCGTTCCTTTTGTAAATGGCCTCTGACATTGCGTCTACTTCTGTAAATTTTTGTATATAATTCCGGATAGCATGTATTTAAGACGTCACTACAACGGTTGCCGTTACTAATTTACGGATCATGATAATGATGATCCTCAAAGTAATTATGGTATTTAGTGCTTCCCTCAAGTGGCAAGTACAACAGTTGAAGCCGTTGGCTACAGCCTGTAACATCTGCGTATTTTTGCATTCTTTGGCCAATAGACTCGATAAGCGGCCATTGTACATTGCACTTAAACAGGCGTCCCCAAAGCCTCAAAACTGTCACGCCAAGTGTATACAGCCGCAAGATATCGATGTCTATACTGATATCCCCCTCATCAAAATCCAAGTCTGACAATGCTTCTTGTGCAATAGCATTGGCCCATTAGAGAATGCGGTTCTCGTTTTCTTGTCATATGGACATTAGTCCACATGTTATCTCAATCAGAATGGGAGAGCTTAACGGTCAATGACTGAGCTGTATGTGGTTGAGATCACGAACATAGCCATTTACTTAGAAATACCGCGCATTCAAGACTGGAGAGAGAATGGCGGACACTCCAGAAGAATGCCTGGCTACGTGCAACGCTATCATTTCCAAGCCGAACGGGGATGCTCAGCGCGTGTATAGAGTATATTAGGGCCGGGATCAAGAAACGACCTTGCGATTGACATGGGGTCTTTGTGATCCCAGAGGCAATAAGCGACAGGTCCCGAGTTTCAAGTGCCCGATAAGGACCCAAATTCATGCATGCTGGAATATAGGCAAGTCCAAAGAGGGCACTGGATGTGAATGGGATTGGCCCGTTCTCGTTTGAAGGATCAAGGCTGGATTCTGGGGCTTGTTTCCACAAGGGCCCAAAGCCGGAGTGCCCGTCTATGTAAAGCGTAAGTACAATATTGCAAGCAAGTGATAATTGAGTTGGATGGAATAGCATATGTTGGGAGATCATCTTAACTTATAGGTACTCCATATTGTTCAATTCCTCATCCGGCAGAGCTGTTGAGTAATCCAGTGTAGATAGGGAAAGCTCTCGTACCAGATGTATCCTCTGAAGGAGCCCATGGAGCAGTATATAATTCCCAAGAGGCGCAGTCGTAGGATCAATGTGAGTGTTGCTTTCTGAATTCGTACTAAGGTAGGACAAGGCGTCCTGGTAATAAAGCTGCTCTGTATTTATGTCACGTCTTGCATCCTGCCACTGAGCCGCAGTTTGAGCATTCCATTCTCTTGTCGAACAAGGTAACTGAATGTGAATCTCAGTACTTCGTAGAGCTGGGTAAATGCTATAAGCTATGCTGTGGACGTGAATGAACGTGAACGAGACAAGTTGTGTTCTTCTCACAGACGCTTGTTCTAACCAATCAGTCTAGGATATACTTGAGGAGTTGGAATTAATCTCCAGTCCTTCCCGTAATCTTACCTCTTGAATACAATGAACAAGTAAGCTCTGGAGGCTTAATGTTTCACGAAAAAGCTCTAAAATCTCCCCATGTAGCGTAGTCCATGAGAATCAACAAGCAGCGGATTGTATCCATTGGTTTATATGATCTAGAATTCGGGCGCTTCAAGCTCGAACACAACAAAATGAAAGAAGGAAGCCAGAAGGCTGCTGAACGATTCGACTGACTAAACTCAGAGACGACGAGATTGATTCCGCTTCTCGAATGACCTTCGTGCCGCTGCAAATGATTGCACAAGGGTATCCCCCTTCGAGACTTGGCAATCGGCAGATGCCTGCGTCTTATAGTACGAGCTGCTGTACCCATGAGAAAGCCTCTCGTGCCGAGTGAGCAGGTCGTGGCGTGCGAAAGCTGTTCTAAAGTGACAAATATGTAGTTTATCCTTAGTGTCTAGGAAGGCAAGTAGCTATGAGTATAAAATGCCTACCCTAAGGCTAAATGTTGCGGCCGGAACAAAACCACTTACGAGTAAGAATATGGCGCTGTAGGTGCTCGGCGCTCTTGTAATTCGTGGATAGGGATATCTCCTTATGGTATGTGGGCGGCGAGTTTGGACATGACGACTCTCGTTTGGGTTCTGACTGGACTCCGGAGATGTCATCATGGGAGGGTTGTTCTGTGGCTTCGTGGAGATTCATGGAGAAGCACAGAGCGGGGTTAGTGATTCTTTAACTAGAGCAATTTGAAAACTGGGGAGCTTTCCTGCTCTGGTACGCGCTTGGGGGCCACCTGGTTCGCGGCGGAGGCAAATGAGTCGTAGGCTCCTACTACAGTAGCCTCAGGCGGCTACTTGAAGATATCAGTAAACAAAGTTGGAGGCCGTAAGTGCGCGCACGGTGTAACACTGAGTTCTACTGCAGTTTTTAAACTCAGAAATAAGGCTTTCATAAACGACGAAGGGTGACGGCTTTTTTTCAGGCACATTATTTCCACGTTTTCTCGGCCTGAGTATCCTATTGTTTGATGTGTTTTTTATCACCCTGTCAACAATGGCCATGAACGACACGCGATTTCCTAGGGTGGCAGTCATCACGGGAGCTGGTGGCCATGGTAAGAAAGAACAAGTGTGCTGTAAGAATATTATGACGCGCGACCGGAGACTGTGTGTTATGAAAATACTGTAAATTAGAGAACAGGACCTCTACCCAGAAACTATTAGCTAGCTTGAGGGTATAGTCTTTTTAAACTTCAACCTATAAAAGGGATTCATAAACTGTAATACCAACAAAGATCCAGATAATCAGTTCAGTAAACAAGGCCAACGACAGGTACATGCATATCCCAGGCCTACTCAATTGAGGCACTGAGAGTACCACTGATTCTGCGCCTTGCAAGTGGCTGGGGGCTGACAAGTCGTAGGACCTGTCCAGCCAATGCCTCCACACTGCCCAAAGAGTACTTGTGTTCCTCCACCAGATGGTGGTGTTGATGATGTCGCTGGAGGCGGGCTTGAGCTGCTGGAAGGAGGCGAGCCAGGGTCACCAAGACCAACAGGCGTAGTATCCGTCTCTTGCATATCAATACAGAGACAAGTTTCCCAGTCGGAAGTAGCCTGACCTGGGCAGACTACAGGCTCGAAATCAACAACCACGTTATCCCCAAAGACTGGGGTTTTTGCCATAATATCGAAGTGGTAGCTGTAACCGTATTGGTTAGTACCACCGACCGTTGGGCACCACTGAGCGTTTCCATTGTTGGGGCAGAGGTTTGTGACCATGACAATGATGCTCTGGCCAGCAACACCACCCGTACCGCAGGTGGAGCAAGGCGCCTGTCCCGTCGATGTCAATTTGTAGCATTTACCGCAGCCCGCGCCGCACCACGAAGCGCCGGCTGTATCGTAGAGAGCCTGAGAGCCGGCGGCTGTGTAGACTCCGCTGCTAATACCAAGCTACAGAGAAGGTGTAAATTAGGAACGATAAGATTATAAATAGTATCGACAGGGCTAGAGTCTTACCTGCCAGGAGGCTGCACCACTGGAGCTCGAGCCGCATCCACAAGCACCCTCCTGCCCATCGTAATAACGCTGGGATTTAAGTCAGCTGCAATTCAGCAGACCTCACAGCACTTATGTACTTGCAGTAGTTGTAGCCTTGAACGCGGAAGCAGCGCCCACAATGGTGGATGTGATAAAAAGAGCGGCCTTCATGGTCATAGTATTCGGTACCAAACTATGATAAATAAAGAAAGAGATAGATCTTCAAATCAAATGCCCTTGTAGTCTTAAAATCGCAACATAGCTAGAGGCAGCTTTGTGGCTCATATATGCGGATTGACATCTGTGACTAGGGACACAGCAGCCGTTTTTATAGCTTCCTAGACTAGTTAGTACCGCGAGATAATTGATGTACAACATGATATTCCGGCTGTAGTATATGAATCTGAATCCAGGCAAAGGTGGCTTTATTAGCCTGGCAAAAAAAGAACAGCAAGCAGGGAACAGGCTAATTACCAAAATTGATACTTGAATTATTAGACTTACAACAGGCTATTTATTACACAGGCTAATAAATATACAAGGTAGTATTAGAGCCTGCGTTTGATGCAACGAGAGTGAAATGTTTAAGACGCTGAATAATGGCTAGACTACTACGGGTTCGAGGGTTGGTATTTGAAGTAATTGTCAGTAGTTACAATCAATATGAGATAATAGAATCAGTGATTGGCATGTTTGGATAGCAACAATCGAATTTGCATTGATACTTCGTGACAATAATATACGCCCAGAAATATAACCCGTGGGCACGAATTCTACCCCTTCATGCTTCATAAAATGGTCAATTAGGCTAAGATTTAATTTTAGTACACATAATTTTCATCTTGTTTTCAGTATTTTATGTGTCTAATAATACTCACAAAGGCTAAAAAATCTCCCTTACCGTCTTAAATCTTCTACGTCAAAATAACCATTTGGAATGAACTACCGGAACGAAACCGGTATTAAACTCTCTGTGAATATTAGAGATATACATATTACCTATTTACTCGGCCTAGGTGTACTCCGAGTCCTCACATGTTCCCAGATCCGATTTTCGAGACGTCAAACTATCTCCAATTATCAATTGCATGTGACCTAGAAGCCCATAAATCTCGTACCTCATGAACTAAGGCGCTTTGATACAGTTTGCTGTATTGATTTTCGTGTTCCAATTCAGGAAATTCTCCAGATTACTCCAGAAGTTGTGAGAAAACGTATTAATCGTGATTTGTTTGGCTATTTACTAATCTGAGCTACCCTGATAGAGGCATTTGTTATCAGAAACTGCGGCGGTCTTGTCAAACCTAATTTAAAAGATCTGATTTTCATGGAAGCAGCTCAAGAGGGAGCATTGCAAAACATTATTGTTATTCATCATACAGGTAGTTATCGAGTGACAATTTTGGGTGGAAGTGTAATATGCCGCGATATCTCTAATTGTGATATCAGATTGCTTTACCTACCACGCCGACGAAGGGCCTAAGCAAAAGTTAAAAACCAAGCATCTAAATTTTGCTGGAGAGGTCGACTCACTGTTCTGGGATACGTCTGGTTCAAGCAATAGGTATGTTTATTACAAGTTATCACTAAATGCATAGTCACTCTTAGTGCTGATGATATTGGCTCTTCTACGCTTTTAGGTTAGAAGAAAGTCTATGGGTAGATTAAATTCTTTTGAAGGAACAAATATCTGTTCGACAGGATCTTAGAGACAATGCCAAAGGGTATATTTACCATATCAAGGCCGGCATATTTATCGAAGTTTTGTAATTGGATTGCTTGGACTCAGTATTTAATGCGGACACTTTGGCTGTAGATGTTTTAGAAGGAAATATCGCACATACATAACCCAATGTAGCAAACTTAGCAGGCGATAATTTTTTTTAGGTATCAATCCCTACCATTTGACAGCTTTGAAGTACAAAATGGAACGTAGAACTCGCAAGATGAAGTATGATATAAGTTCTATATTTCTCATTAACTTGGTGCTAATTGCTAGACTCATCATATGAGGATGAATTCATGCGATCTAAAAACCTGATAATCATGTTTTCTGTCTCATCCCTGATTGTTTTCAGCTGCTCTGCAGTCTTTCTCGACCTCATGACAGGGCTATCCAATTCAAATGGACTTATTTTATTCTGAAGCCAGTAAATGTCTGCAATGTTTTCAAAATGAGAGATGGTGCTAGGCTTTGCAGCACCAGCTCGTGCAAGCTCTTCATCCCATGCATTTGCCACATCCCACTGCAATTCTGAATTGTCTGCAATTGGAAAAGGTGTTGAAAAGCCTGTGAGCATCGCTTTGCGAAGATTGAGGTTGATTCCGGTTTCAAACGGTCCTGGAAGATTGCCGCCTGATAAATTACCAAAGGAAAATCCCACAAATTCATCTGCGATAGTTGCGACGTATGAAAAGTCAAAGTCCAATATTGCAGTCACTTGAAGAGTAGTTGCGTCATATAACATGTTATTCGTCGCTACCAATAGTCAATATCAGAAGCATCTGAACAGTCAAATCTAAATTGAATATGATTACTTACTAAAATCGCCGTGAATAAGCACTTTATGGTCTTGCTCATAACCTTTCAAAATTTCCTCAAGTTGACAGTCTATGAATTTCTCAAGTCTTGTCCTTACCCCGTTTTCTTTCCAACCTTGCATCACTGGGTTGTCATCAGCCTCCTGGAGTTTAACCTTGAAAATAGCGCGAATAAAATCCATGTAGGTTGCAGATGGCTCTCCCTTGAATAGCGACGTTTGTGCACTGATTACCTCCCCATGTTTATCAAAGCTTAAGCCTCCGAACAACTTCACTGTTTTCGGGATCTCAAATTTCTGGAGCAAGGAGAGAATATCGGCCATCTGTCCAAGGACAATAGATTTATCTTGCAGACTTAAGGCTTCAAAAAATCGGTCGGCGTTGGTTCCAGGCATATATTGTTGCATGGTGAAACCTTGACCACTCGTTAAGCTGGCCCAGGAGTATACATCTGGAACGGTGTGACTGTATTCTGTTTTCTTTAGAGCCTCTCGGACAAGAGTCATGATGGCAACTTCATTTTCAACGCGGTTGGTGTTATTCATCCCTGTTCTTGGATCAGAATTTGCCAGTCGGACAATAAACGATGTAGAATTTTCTGGAAATTGAATGGTCCCCGGTTGGATTTGATCAGATTGTGGAGATATGATGTTTATCGGTTTAATGACGGGTGATGCAAGAGTAACATGGTAGATGAAATTGTTGTATGGAAATGGAGTGTTCATGTCATATTCAACAGGATCAATGCTGTTTGCCTAATTGGGGTTAATTGATGGTCCATAGTAGGAAGAAGAAATTTATACCTCCAGGTCATTCAATTGGAGAAGTGACTTGACAAATTCGATACGTTGGTGGTATTGTTCATGGTTCATTTTTGCGAAAGACGAGGCCTAAAATAGCTTTGGCGTAGCGTGAGTTGAAGCAGTAGACAGATACGATACTCATCAGACGCTATACTAAAGATTTCTGGAATCAACAGCCGTTTTATATGCGGCACAGTAGAAGTATTAATCATTACAAAATGCTAGGGAAATTAAACAGGGCGTATTGAAAACCAACAGAAACTCATTCAGTTACCCGAAGCGGTTTAGATAGCATATGTTTAGCGAAGGTTCGGAGAAAGAAAAAAACTGTTGCGTTAATAGGTACTTACATATGTACTGGCGCTGCACTTCACACCCACTACTTAAGATGGCGCACTTTTTTTTTAAAAAAAAAAAAAAAACTGTGGCTCTGCAGGATTGGTGCCATCATGCATGACTGCTTGGCAATAAATCCTCGTGTTAATTAGTCAGGCATCTTGGCTATTCCACTTGATAAGAATGGTAATTCATATCATATTGCGGCATAAAATGGAAGAAAAATCCGTTCCAACTCTGTATGAGAAATATAAAAATATCATGAACAGCGCCATGACCTGTTGGAATCCTTCCGTTTGGTTAGTCAACAGCTGGCCACAAGGATGCCGTAGAAGATGGCCCCGGACAAACTTCAAGTTGGTAGCACATGCAGGGTCTTGTCGGTAAATAGGAAGTCCCTCTTGAATGGATTCAGCCCCGCGTACTGGGGTAGACTCATGGTGAAGATTTTTTCTAAAAAAAAAAAAGAAAAAAAAAAAAAAGGAATTAGAAAACTCCGAATATGATTGAATTCTGCAAGTTGATGAACTGTACGAGCGTGAGTTTAGCTGGTCGCTGGCAAAATTGGCGCTGGCCGTCGACACCAATGATGTGTGTTGGCATGACCTCTCGCCGTGCAAAGGTACACTGCAGATGATGAATGTGCCAAATGACTCATAACGTCAATTCACATGATCTATACTTATCTAAATGCCTAGGTATGGACCAAAAGAGCAAGGCAATTGCATCTTTGAAGTACCTATGTGTACCTCGGTACCTAGGTTGACTTCCCATTGACAAAAGCGCTTTGGGGCCTAGAGAAATTCGTCGGTATCATCTCCACTTCTACAAAGTCCCCAGCCATACAACGAAGACGCCAATAATGGGATCAATGCACTGTACGAGGTATGCACATTGCTGATGGGAGTTATAACGGGGAAGGAGAAATATTTCGCAATTCTGGGGAGAAATTACGAAAACATAGGTACTAGGTTACGAACTGCTGAAAGGGTGCGGAGGGTCGGTCCATCCTCTGTGTGCAATCGTCACCTGAAAAAGATCTTTCGCCAAGCTGCATCGATGAGCTCATCACGAAGACATTTACGAGAAAGTTCCCATTGTACATCTGGAGACAGTTAAAACAGACAAAAGGAGTTCAATATTCCTCAGGGCTCACCTGGTCCCCGTACCGTACATCAACTTTGGTAAGCGAAAAATAAATACAAGCTAGCTCATCATGCCCTAGAAGGTTGCACAGTACACGCGACATGACACACAAGGCCTCGTTATCAAATCATGCTTATTTTCAAAAGACCAAATTCTGGGATTCCCGCCGCATTGTAGTTGCATTTTGATTGGGTGTGCTTACTTGCTCCTGATCTTATTGATTTGCATTGAGGTAGCGCAGAAGTACCTTTTCACGAATGAATCCCCACAGGCGCTAGCGTCCAATTAACCTGGCGACTTCGTGAACCTCTTCACAGCTCTGGAAGAAAGAGGAAGAAAAGAGTACAAAAGCATAAAACATGTGCACACAACAAAGGGGCGTACAATTTGAATATATCATTCGTATTTTATCACCTTAACCTCTTGCAAATGCCACTGCAACCTCTTGAAACCACTATTATTAAGAAAAATATACATCTGCCCAGAAGATTTGAATAGCCCTCCGGGAGTAATGAAAGAGAGTAGTAGTAGTAGTAGAACCCAATAAGTTACACGTAAGTTTAATATTATAGAAAATTAAACCTTATGCGTAGAAAATTGACGTTGTGGAGTACCACGAGAGATTCGGCCACGAGGCAAGGTCCAGCTGCAAGTGCGGCGAGCCCTAGTCAAAAGGACAATTCGCAGAATACCGCATGAACAAGACATTCATACTCGAAATCCTAGAAAAGGGCCTCCTAGCAGAGGTTACACAACTTACTCAACCCAAAGGGCCACAAAGAGTTTTAGAGGCTAGTGGAAGACACAAGCCCAACGGCCCCCAATCGACACAGAGTAACAATCTTCCTCTTTCCTATGTTTATGTGAAATATAGCGAACGGAAGATCTAAACCAGCAGCTCCAACTATCCTAGTGCCCAGATGAGCGCCCCTGTAACCAGCATTACTTAGTCGATGTTAATAGTAAAACAAATACACAAATAAATTGCTGCTGGCTTAAGTTACCTTTCCAGGCTACAGCCTTTGTATTTTTCTTCTCCTTCATTCTTCTGTTCTCTTTTTGTGTTTTCCTTTTGTGTTTCCTTTTTCTGTTTTCAATTTTTCTCATTTCTTTTTCTGTCGAGCATTGAGCATAATCAAGATTTATTGCCTGGAAACAACTCTGCAGAGTCATTGGTGTGCGGAGCCTTGTAATATGTATAATAGCGCCGTAATACTTTGCCTCTCAGTCTGGCACGAGGTGAGAAGCTCCTTTATACGAGCATCTCTAGATTCATTCACAAACCAGTGCGACGAGTGGCGAGATTGACTGTGATATGTGTGACGGAATGTACTAGCGTATTAAAGGATTTCCAGCCACCATCTTAGAGAGAGCGTGGCGTTCGGCGCGATGATCTTTCGAATAATGATACGCGGCGGTGGGAGATGAACAATTCATGGAGTTTCTCAGCAACGAGCCAAGATATCATACCGTCCCCATGGCCTTCAACGATTCAGGGGACTTACTAAACCTATTTAAAGTAACAAATAACGTAATGCTGAAATTGAACGGGTGAGATAGAATGGGCGAGAAGAGAGAGACTCAAGCCGAAATTTAGAACCTACTGGAGACATTAGATGATAAGAACAGTTATTGTTGAAATTGAACAGTACTCCATTATCCTGTGATTAGTTCCACCAACGTCTAGTTTGCATACATGAGGGCTTGATTTGTCACCCAAATTTGGACAGACCTGGCTAGTTTAACAAGTTTCATATCGATTCGAAGTAGACAGAGCCAACCTTAATATCGCCAATCTGGAGCCATGAATTGCATTACATCTTATGGGATCAATTCGTATTGCTGCGGATAAAATCTCTCGTGGGATTTTAATAATGTATTATCTGACGGAATTATCTTCACTGTCTCCCCCTTCCCACCCAATGAGTCTTTCTTTCCTTTTTCTGTTCCGCTTGACACAAATTCGTCGTGATATGTTCAAATTTCCGCCAGCGCACTTATCTAAAGGTCAATAGACTCAACGACATCTTCACCCATTTCATCTTCGTATACGAATAAAATCAACGGGGAAATTAGCACACGATAATTGCTAGGTGAGATTTTTTCATACCTCGTGAAAATTGCTATAAAGCATGCGAATATTCTTGTGCGGCACTATCTGAGTTGCCCCAGTTTCAATGTTTCGCAGCTCAATGAACTTCGGCTCGAATGCAAAAATCCAGGGAAAGCGGAGAACAAAGCTTTGAGGTGACCCTGCCCAGTCAAATCGCAGCTGGTGTCGAGTTCGTTTACCATTACGGTTAACAAAAAATGAAAATTCAGAGTAATTAAGCAGGAATTCTTCGCCTATTCGCTGTATATGAATAGGCCTGAGACTTTTCATAAGAGCGAACTCGAGGGAGGTATCTGTTTTGTCAAGAAGCATCTGTGTTTCGAGGGTCTTTAGTGAGATAACCTCAAATCCTTGAGGGCCTGCGATGCAAATTTTCGATTTAAGGAAGTGTACTGAGTATGTTTTCCTGGGAACGTAAAACTCTTTGAACAGCTCAAGCTGATTGCGAACGCAATCTATGGATTCTTCATTGGTTGTGACATGGTTCATTTCGAAGACCTTGATTGTAGTTGACAGTAATCCTGACTTAACGCATGACACCATGTACTTCTCCATGCAAACGCCAGCTTTAAAAAAGCTGCAATTTGTATGGAGTGTCTTTGGATTTTGTAGAACCGAAAATTCATCAGAATCTAAGCTCGTCAGACAGTAAGACTGTAAAGTCTTATTGGACAGTACCAGTAGAAGATGGCATTCTTCCAAAATATCAATTTGTGTAACTTTTCGATTATTGAGCACTTTCTCTGGAACCAGCCCATATTTCTCACAGCTGGAGAAATATATACCGTTCTCTGTGCCATACAAGACTTTCCGTCCGTGATCTATCAACCGTTGTTAGTCGATGTCCGTTCACATTGAGAATTTACAAAAGTCCAATCATACCAAAAGTTATAGCACAATTAATTTTTCCAGGGGCTGAAAACTTTTGACGGGAGATTATGGTAGGGTTGAAGATTTCAGGATAACCTCTCAGACGCTCGTAAGCGGCGCCGATTACCTCCATCCATTTCTCTTGATCTTCTTGACAAGATGCATATAGAGTCAACTCGTAACCGTCTTTTCCTAAATGACAAAAGGTTATTGGCCATGTCTCTTTTCTCACAGCATTCTCACTGTTGTCCTTTATAAACCTGGTCAAAAAAGATGGTTTAAGGCACGACGTGTGGGTTACTTCTTGTTTCGTTTTAGGTAGAAGCAAGAGCTCCAGAGGAATATGCCGGCGGTAAATTTCAATCTTTTCTTTCTTCTGATTCCAGTTGATACGAGTGAATAAAATAGCATGGTCGAAAAGTAATGCGGTAATTTCGGTGGGGTTAGTGGGAGACTTCTTCAGATGGCCGGTGAACAACAACTGTCGGCAATTTTCATCAAGCCTCAAATCCCCTACTTCGCTCGTTCGAAATTGGAGTAGTTCGCGAATCGTTTGCAAACTGATTTCACGCCTGTTTTCCACAGACTCATCCTCGAATCTTTGGATACCGTTCTGAACCATGGTCAATCTCTTTCAGTACTTGGGAGAAGTCAAAACTTGGTAGCGCTCAAATGGCTAGGGAAAAGATTAAAGTAATGAACTGATCACTGTCTCTCTTTATGTTTTGATAGATTTTGGGCTTCACGGTGTGCAGTAGCGCTTAATACCTAATTTTCTGCCTGGAGTACGAAGTGTTCGTAACTCACAATCAGCACTAATCGCCATGGACGTGGCGCAGCTTATTCCTCTGTAACCCCTACCCAGTAGAAAGATCAGGTGCAACAGCATAGCATTGCTTCGTTGGAAACATTTGATTGGTTGTGAATACTCTGTGAGAATACGAAGTAGAGTAAGAAGCGTCACCACGCAATACGAGTTGTCTCAGGAGCAACGGCGTTTAAAGGGCTGGATTTGTCGACCAAGAGGTGGGGATAGCACATATATACATGGGTCAATAGTCAAGGAAAGATAAGAGGTATTGAGGCCTGAGATAATTGGGTTGGCCTCTAAAGTTCTTTGAGTGTCGCATAAGTATTATGAACCGCTCCCAACCCTAGAAGAAGCGGCGATCGCCAAATGAAGAAATAACCACAAAGAGCGGTTCCACAAAACAACCGACGATGGTATTAACCTTAATTTATACGGATTACCTGGACATGTGAGCACTCTCTTTATCTAATGTAGCATATCATAGCCAAAAATGTTGTGTGCATAGAGATGCTTCACGCCAACGCCTAGTATTGGCGTGACTGGTGGACAAAATCAAGGGACATGCGACGTTCTAAACAGTTCCCAGTGCTAGTTGCGTGGCGACTGGTCAATTTCTTTCTCGCCCTCGCTCCAAACTCCTAGAGGGCTTATTATGATGACGAGATATCTAGTGTGGTGAGGAGAATGTTCTCGGGCTGATGTCAAAACTTGGTATTGCAATTAAATATAAAGCATATGAGAAGTATTAGCCTAGTCTATGGACTGTGTATTGGTGCAAAAATTCTCCACGGCTAAGTCTGCTGGATTTTCGCATCGCCATGGCCAACCTGGAAAAGGCGCATCAGTGCAAACGCGCTTAAATACGGTGAGCCTAGCCCGGCGGATAAATCTAGGATGCTTTTCACTTGGAGGGTTCATTGATTCATTGGTTCATTTTACGACGGAGTACATCGCCTCAAAACAGAATAAATAAAGATGAAATCATCTGCCCTCATTTCTTCTCTTCCTCCTCTTCCTCCTCCTTCTTTTCTTTTTAGGCAGATTAATCGCTAATATTGCCCGCTGTGGAGAAACTCCAGCAAAATGGAAATTTGAATGCGTACCTCGTGGTGGTCGTGGTCGAGATTTTTTCCCAAGAGCTTTCTGTTTGATCAACCCGCTCCATGACGGTATATTGTGCCCAATCTATATAAGGCTATAAATTCTACGGATATTTTACGTTCGCTCCTTTTCAGTTGGGTATTGTTTGACACAATGATACGACGGGCGCATGTACCGAGGTTGCAACGTTAGCAAGTCTTATTCTGCGTATTCATGTAATGATAAATCAATGTCGAATCCATCAACTTGTTACCCCATCTAAGGCCATGCTACGGTGCCAGTTACTATAGAATGGCGGCGGCTTGTCGATGTTTGGACGCCTCAGCACTTCCATCCATACGGTGCTTGTACTCGTAAACGTTGGCCCCAAGGCAAGTGCAAACTTACCGGGCGGGTTACAATCAGTCCAGAGGCGGGTTATAGCTCCTGACTAGGCGCAAGGTGAATTCTATCTAGGTAAGCTTACTCGGGTAGTCAATCTCCTCCTTGTGAACACTGCATCTTAAAGGCTACTTTATGGTTAGATACGAGTACAAGCCATGGCCTAGGGACTTGTGCTATCTGCGCTAGGGAGCCTCTAGATCTGGTGACCTCTTGCCGAGGTGCAGCCCGACTCACCTAAATCCAGCTGTCGCTCCAATTACTCCGCATCGTCCCCCGCCTTGTAGTACGAGGACATTCGTGGCCGCAATATTCTTCCATCTCTCGGTAATTCGGCACACTGGGCCGTAGCTTATCAACGCTAACAGGGGGTTTAGAATGAAGCTTTTCCCTCCTTGCGCAAAATTGGAACCAACACCCTTAGCTCCTTTATCAAGGTGGTCTGTTAACGACTATCTACCCCACGTACAATGAACCTGGCAATGGCGGCCACGGAAATATTCATACGGCTACATACATACATACGAGTACCTACACGCGACTCAGGTGACGTTACATTTCTCGACATCAATGCTGATTATTCCCTGATAGGAAAGACTTTGGGGTCACAAAGCTCCTACTTGGTGCAGATCGGCACAATCAGGCTGGAGTTGATTGACCAGATGGCCTATGATTTCCCCCACACAACCTATCAATTCCAGCGATAGTTGCATTCCGTACTGTAGAAAAGGGCTCTCTCTTATGTCTATATATATATATATATATATATATATATTGTGCCTGCAAATTGTAACTCGTGTTCATCACCTATCCTGTCAAATCGCACATGAATCACGTCATCCCTGTTGGTCGACTACCTAGGCGTTAGGACTCCGATAAGAATATGGAGAAGCGTGAAGAGGCAGCAGTGGTTGGCCAGGAAGTGAGGCCTGGGGAGAAAGGGGAGCTTGTTCAGATCGATGTCACTCGTGATATCACTCGTGCTGAGCACGAACTTGGCTTTTGGCAGGCTATGAGACAATATCCCACCGCTACATTCTGGGCCATGTTTTTCAGCATCGCTGTTATTATGTCGGGTTACGATGGCCAAATCATCTTCTCGTTTTACGCTCTCCCAGCATTCCAAAAGCGATATGGAAATCTTGTTGACGGCTCCTACGAAATCCCTGCCCCATGGCAAACTGCTCTCGGAATGGGCAATCCAATCGGCCAAGTCCTTGGTGCACTTGCCAGCGGCTATCCAATGGAACGATTTGGCCGAAGATGGACGTTAGCCGTGTGCTGCGTGTGGTCAATCGGGTTTGTATTTGTGCAGTTTTTCGCCACCTCTCTTCCGATGCTCTGCGCTGGCGAAATCCTGGGCGGTCTAGCTTACGGTTTTTACGTGGTAATTGCTCCAACATACGCGTCGGAAATTTGCCCTCTGGCACTCCGAGGTCTACTTACGGCATTCATAAACCTGGCCTTTGTCATTGGACAGTTCATTGCACAAGGAGTCGCTGCAGGCTTAGAAGGCAGAGAAGATGAATGGGCATATAAAGCGCCTTTTGTATGTATTACCCCCCATACATTCGCGGAATCTTGCATCGCAATTAACACGGTTAGGCATTGCAATGGCTCTGGCCGTTGGTTATCCTCGTGGGCCTACCCTTTGCTCCAGAAAGTCCATATTGGCTTGTCCGCCAGGGACGCAGGGAGGATGCCCGTAAGGCCTTGGTGAAATTGTCGTCTTCGAAGAATGCTCCAGATATTGACCAAGTGCTGCTTGGAGTGGAGCAGACGGATCGTCTGGAACAAGAATTTGAAGCGACGACCAACTACTGGGACTTGTTCAAGGGTGTCAACCGTGTGCGAACAGAAATCACAATCATGGTGTATTTGATCCAAGTAATAGCTGGAAATCCACTTATTGGCTATGCCAATTATTTCTTTGAACAAGCAGGTCTCAATCCTGCAGAGGCATTCGATAGTTAGTATCCTGCCTATCAGGACAAGTCCGGCTGCTAACAGATAATAGTGGGCGTTGGAAACACTGCTTTGGGATTCGTCGGCACGATCACATCATGGTTCTTGCTAAACTATGTAAGTAATCCGGAGCCTTGGGTTGAAAGTAAGCTGACGATAGCAGTTCAAACTCGGCCGCCGAACTATCTATAACACCGGCATGTGGGTGATGACATTGCTTCTCTTTATTATCGGCTTCCTCAGTATCCCGACTCACAATAAAGGTGCAATCTGGGCAATGGCCAGCTGCATGGATGTGTAAGCTGAGAACCTTCTTTTGTCTTTGATAATTTAATGTGCGCCTATATTAACTATGAGTGTCTCATCTATAGGTGGACGTTCATCTATCAGATGACCGTTGGGCCTATATGTTTTGTCGTTATTTCCGAGATATCCTCTACACGATTGCGAACGAAGTCTATTGCGGTGTCTACTGCGGTTCAATCATTCTTCAACATTATTAGCACCATTGCCATGCCGTATATGCTAAATAGCGATCAGGCCAACTGGGGAGGCAAAGCAGGCTTTTTGTTTGGAGGAATCAGCTTTTTCTGTGCTATCTGGTGTCATTTCAGGTTGCCTGAAAGCCAGGGAAGGACCTTTGAGGAGCTTGATATTCTTTTTCAAAGAAGGGTTCCATTGAGGGAATTCAAGACTTATGATCTGTTGTTGGAGACGGAATCAGAAAAGGTCATCACAGCATGATCCCCCACTATGGAGAGAGATTTACTTCTACCACCAGCTCGCAATAGGACTGGTTTCCACATCACGAGACTAATATTTTTAGTGCAACACGACTTCAACTTCAATGCGTAGAAAGATCATTACTTCCATTTTCTCGTCTTCCGCGGCTCATTATTTATCTTAGAAGGTAACAATTGATGGAAGGAAGATTCCATATGCCAAACACCACCGACGCTCCGCTAATGCACGCACAGCCTGTATTTTAGTCATAGGTTAAGCACCCGCATCGTGATTAGTTAATGCTGTTATGTGATATGCTGGAAATAGTAACTTCCGGTCTCCAATTAGAATTAAGCCGCTGCTTTTTGGCGGTGCCTTGAGTTCATAGGGTGAATATCCGTCTTTTGGCCGGAGAAGTTACGTTCTTGTCTGGTTAGAGTTGGGATTATCTGAATACACAGGGAGCCCTAGAACCAATTCATTACTGTGGCTTCTGATGAGCTAATGAAAAAGGTTCAAGGCTACATTGATTGTCTCTTGTCTGCCACTATGCCTACGGAACATTATGTCGTTGCTCTCGACTTTGGCCCTATCCTAGGCGACCCCTTATCCAAATTACTGGGCCGTTAGCCAGTTTATATATGTGGTTGTACTACCTTTAGATACTCTTTCCCTGCTCAAGTATGTTTTGCCTGCATCTTTGGTGGGCTGTGCTTGATCCATTTTGTATCAGTAGATTGTGAGTCAATCTCAACATCGCTCAGCTCCATAAGTCAGTCTTACTGGCCAAGATTTAGACTGTCCTCTATTCGTGGATGATTTTACACAGTCTGCTTCAAAGATGTCTTTTCTTGCAAACAATACTAGGAATACTAACAAACCCCAACATATCCAAATGTTACCTTCCAAGATTACGCATTATAATGTGCCTTATATATTTGGCATTAAAAAGCTAACAGGAACTGAGACAACGTAATAGTAGCTATAAATCTTTAGAGGTTATAATGCAAGTTCAAACTGATTCATTGGCTATACCTCCAACTGTATACACTTATCCAGTGGATTTATATACAGTTAGGCATCGTATTCTTAAACGGTGTATCTGAAATCCAAATACGGTATCACTTAAGTGCTTTTTCAAACCAATTTGTTTGCTTCGCCAGTCATCTGGTTAAGAACTTTTGTCGCTAGTGTAATTCCTAGATTTTGGTGATCGTATAATATACATACTATAAGCCTCGCCGATTACGTTGAAGTAGTCCCCATTAGACCGAATTGCCATTGGGAAACTACAATCCGCAATGATTGAGACTAGATCCCCAGCCTACGAGTTTGAGGGCCCAATGCAGTTCACTCTTATACTCCATACATTACGCTAACCAGGTGAGTAGCTCAATGAGATTGAGGTTATACGCGTAAAGAAATTGCAAGGCCGCTTGATTGTGATGCAAACAAAATCTGATCAAAACATTGATGGCATTTATGAAGAATTTTGCTACGGGACATCTCAGTACACGGGAAATTTGGCTGCAAACTAACTTTTTCAGACATTCAACAGCATGCAACTTAATCTATCTTCAAACCATGACCACGGACAATGTGAGACACACCAAGATTCTTGTCAGCAATTGAGATGAGATATTGGCTAAATTTTTGGAGTTTCTGCTATTTCCCTGAACGTCACAGGCTTGTATGCAGGCAACGGTTCCTGGTTGGCCAACAGGGCCCTTTGGATGCGCATTACCAATGTTACCAGCTTCAAGTGAACCCCATGACCACGACCCAGATTTGTCGAATAGCACTGTCATAAGCAGTAAAATTTCTCAGTTTATGACTCTCACTGCCGAAACGTAACTGAAGCAACCTGGTGCTGTTGCTGCTGTTGTTGATCTTGATGGTATAAGCTGCATGATTATCAATACAGAGATCGTTTCCCAGGAAGAGGACATATACCGAGCTAATTTACCAGATGTTAACCCAAATCCTCCTCCGTCCGATAATCCAAGCTCATCAACTCAAATTGAAGGCAGCGTATTATTTTAGCACTGCCTGCCTTCTTTAAGTGATTCATGAAGAGCACTCCAGCAATTTTCGGATAATATCGTATTACAGCCTCACTGGCTTGGTGCAGGTTCCGATTTTCTTCAATTTTGAACTGCTGTAAGCAGTACGACGTAAAAACCACGACGGATCTGCAGATCCTATCAAGCTTTGAGGAGATGTCCTCTCGATCTGGGTACCAGTGGCAAATTGACTACCAGCAATACACCCGCCTAGTATATCGCCAGACACAGATATCGATAGTGTCCAGTTATTGCCCCTCTCTCCTGGGCACTTGGAAGTGATGTCGTATCCTGGGATGCTAGCTGTTGCTATTGCATTTGCGCTACGCATTCCAAGCTCCCAATCCACGTCGGAGATATCTTCTGCTCCATCGAACGTCTGCGCAAAGACAGGCATATATAAAAAGACGTATACTAACATAAGTGGGATATTTCATTGCCAAATAGATATAGGTATAGAGGGTAATTGATGTTTATAGCTAAATACCGAAGACTTGCGCCAAACTCAATAGGGTTTATTCGACAGCTTTATATTTGATTACAGTGATCGATAATTATATGCGACTCACACACTACGTCTTGACCATCGTCTTTTGGCCATGTTCTTGTAACTACATAGTCCTATTACGATTCATTCTCCTGGTAAAGCTATGACTGTTGCTTCACCAAGCATACGCTAGGTTTGTTTTCATGCTATAATCTCATAGATCGCTGTACATCTTTGCCGTCTACATTGGCGTGCAGCTTCTTGATATTCATTTCAGAAACCATTTTGGACATTATATAAGCCTAAAGTCTAGTGACGTAGTGATCATCTTGCATTAGTAGGTCACAGAGTCTACAAGCTCACATAGTAGTGCCGACACGTGTGACCTATACTGCGAGTCATGATTAGTTTCAAGACCAATTAGAATCACGAGAGCACGAGTTTCCTATCTCAATATTCCATGCAACCCGTGTGCTCCGTATGGTGTTCCACTTATTCCATAGCTCGTTGATTGAACTGCTGATTTGGGATATAGCGACTTTCCACTCTGGGAGATTTTTGAAACAGCTCAAGAGGAGATGCGTACAGTGCAAGGAATGCGCTAGTTATTATAGAGGGGAATACGAAAACTTTCGCATGAAAACCCCTGGGCGATGGCGGCCTTCTACGTTATCTCCTCAAACCGGCGTTCTCCGTGAAATATTAGGCACCAGCAACGAATATTTGTCACCTATTTCGCATACTCGCCTTGATTTTACGGATAGGGGTTACCAGTTCGTCTAATTATAGCATTCTACCCAGATCTGGGCATAAGAACCACAGGCTTGGCAGATCTTAAGGCGAAGCTGGTATTACCGCACGTTCGGAGAACAAATTCAGTCGCGGCAACATTCCTGGCAGGGGTAAAATAGCGGTAGGTAGGCAGTGCCACAACCCCTTTTTAGATTAGTAGTGCAGAATACTGCAAGCTTTAAAGACGCCAGATGTGATGGCTGTACGGAGTACTCCACAAACCTCCGACAGCCCTCGATATTCCCGATCCCGGGCCTTATTAAGTTAATATAGTACGGAGTATGCCTTGTCTATTTATTGACAGCTTGTTGATTACCATGCGTCAGCGAGTGCTAAGATTGGCATCCCCCCTTGGGTGGAAGCTAGCACCTCTAGCGGGCACATAACGCATGCGTGTGGGCAATGGTGCCGAATTGAAGGACAGAAATCCACTCCAATTCCAAGCTATTTGTTACAGTAAGCTGAATCAGATTCTTATTCCGGCTAGCACGGTTCTAACAAGTTGCGAATTAATAGGGATGCGACACTAATCGGGCCGGCGTCTTGTTTTTGTACAGGTGCGAGAGCCAGCCGGGCTTAATGAAATACCACATCATACCAAGCAAACAACATACGTAAACCAGGTACTAGGCTATCATTAATTCTCCTCGTAGCGCGTACTCCAAACGTTTACCAGGAAACAGCTGAAGCTTGTCAATAAGGCTCAATTTAAGTCTGTATATAAGTCTGTATGGTTCCTGACAACTGAATTGAAGTTTTCCTTATCATCACCGACAACTCTTGGACAATTTCTATAGCTACCATCAAGATGCGATACTCCATCGTTGCCCCGGCTATTCTCGCCGGCACCGCCTTTGCGTGGCTTCCTCAAGACCGCGACCTGGCAGCCTTCAACCAGACCGCTCGTTTTGAGCAGCTTGGCAAGCGTTTTGAGCCTTCACTTGCGTCTGGTATCACCAAGATCCGTGGTGTCAACTTCGGTGGTAAGTGAATATCCTATTACTTCCTGAAGACGAAGAAAGCCAGCCTCACACATTGACATAGGATGGCTTATTTGCGAACCATGGATGATGTCTAATGAGTGGAACAATGTTATGGGTTGCAATGGTGCTGCATCTGAGTTCGACTGCATGCTTCAACATTATATGGGCAACAATCGTGCGCTCGGAAACCAGAAGTTCCAGAACCACTGGAGAGACTGGATCAACCCCGCCACCGTTCAGTCCGTTCATGATGTCGGCTTGAACACCATCCGTATTCCCATCGGCTACTGGTCCTACACAGCCATTGTCGACACAGCGAGCGAGCCATTTGCCGATGGCAACCTCATGCTCCCGTACCTTGACGCGGTTGTCCAGAAGGCTGCTGATCTCGGGATCTACGTCATCATTGATCTCCATGGCGCTCCTGGTGGTCAGCAACAGGATGTCTTCACTGGCCAGAACCCCAAGCCCGCGGGTTTCTATAACTCATACGACTATGGCCGTGCCGAGAAGTGGTTGTCTTGGATGACAAACCGTATCCATACTAACCCTGCATACAAAACTGTTGGTATGATTGAGGTTCTCAACGAGCCTGTCTCTAGACACGACGGGGGTGGTCGCTACCCTGCTCCTGGCCAAGACCCAAGTCTAGTGCAAACCTACTACCCAGGCGCTCTCAAGGCTGTCCGTGATGCTGAGGCTGCGCTGAATGTTCCCAGCAACAAGAAGCTGCACGTACAATTCATGTCCAGCAAGTGGGATTCTGGTGATGCTCGCACCAACGCAGCAGTCGCAAACGACCCCATGACTGGATTCGATGATCACAACTATATTGGTTTTGCTCTCAGTAACACCGGTGATCAATACTCGCTGATGCACAGTGCATGCACTGACTCAAGAGTTGTGAACGGCCAGAACTTCGCCATTACAGGCGAGTGGAGCATGACTTCTGGTGCTGATTGGCACGACGCAAACTTCTTCAAGAAATTCTTTACAGCTCAGCAGCAGTTGTATGAGTCTCCTGGAATGGACGGATGGATCTACTGGACCTGGAAGACCGAGTTGAATGACCCTCGATGGACCTACTCCTATGCTACCTACCTCAACTACATCCCAACGAACGCCGCTGCCCTGCAGCAGAACGTTTACCAGGATGTTTGCTCCGGATATAGGTAAAGCGTGAGCCATTGCTCACAAGGCGTTACCACTCAATTATCACTTCAAACTTGTATATTTTTTCATAGGACATATGTTTTTTTTTTTTTTTTTTGGCCTTGACACTCCCTGGTCAACTTAGTTTACAAACTATGTGTCAATATCTCGCATTTTGGCGTCATACCACAAACGAGTGTTCAAGCTTACAAATTAAATGATTAAGGTAAGGTTGACTCTAGGAGCTTCAAAGTAGTGCACTGAATGATACGCAACGGCCATGAATTCCATATATTTGCTGAACACAATCAATTTCCCGGGGGGGGGGGGGGGGGTGGCGCGAGTGAGGTGGTGTCAAATATTGCAATCTTGCTAACCTTTGCGCCTATGTATTGCACGGCATCTTAAGGCGAGTGCCATGTTTGAGCAAGCCCAAAACGAGCATTCTCAATATCCCAAACTGTATAATAATACTTCAGTAAGCTGCCACCAACTACCCACAAGCTTTTCTCCTGATCGCCACCGCTACTGTTGATAAGCATCTGGCAGATCCCCGGCTGGCCTGAAATTGTCCCAACATTGAGCTCTTGGGGAGGAATTATATACTTGTGGCCTCCAATCATGAAAGTAATTGATGATTTGATATGTTCTAGTTTCGAACAGGGTATACCGTATGTTCCTGCTGTATCAATGGGTCTAATGAACGGTGATATCATTGCATAAATCTCTTCAGCATCATTCTTTGGAGCAACAATATTTGCTGTACCGGAATCGTAGATGACGTAGTTAGGGGACACATTGGTGGTCCTATTGTCAACATAGATTTTTTCAAAGGTCCCGTTGAATTGGCCGGTCACTGGATATACCGGGATGTAGTTGATCTCGCTGGTCAACTTGGAGCTATCCACGCCACCGAGGCTGATTTCCGCTTGCCCCATGGATTGGGGCGTCAGGTAGAGGCCGTAAATAGCCTGACTGATCTGTCCGCTGCTGTATAAGGCACCAAGAAAAGTTTGTGCCCCAGTAGTCAGGCCAGATGGAAATCCCATACCCACGATTCCGTCAAACGGATCAACGCCGAACGCGGCTGACTGGTTCGTAATAAGACCAAATTGGAAGTCTTGTACTTGAAGACCTGCAACAGCTATCACATCTCTTGAGATCAGTCCCTCGATCTCGACATTGCCCGAAGCTGAGACGCCAGTGCCTGTTGAATATGAGATCCGGAATGAACCATTAAGAGAAGTAAACGTCTCCGACTTTTCAGGCGCGAAAAGATGCTGCAATCCAGTGCACCCAGGGTTTGCGACGCATTGCGTGGATGGAATCACAAGATCCGACGAGCCAGTATCAAACACTACGGTCCTATAGAGAGGCAAAATTAGCAAATAGGGACCGGCTTGCTTGATCGGCGACTTTAAAGGTGAATTTATTATTACATACAGAGTCTGTGGAGGCGTCCCAACATTTAGTTCGCCGTACCACTTTACATCATGGATTAGCCTGGAATGATTCCCGGTTTGGTATGACTTAGGCTTGCCTGCAAATCAGTACCACTGTACCAATTACTCAGCGGCTCCGAGATGTTGGGCGTTTGCCGCTTTCGCCGCTGAAATCCCTCAGTCTGCCGCAGTCGAGCCCTCAGCCGCAATGTGGCAGGATGCCCGAAATTTCCACTTGGTGACAAAGCCCAGGTGGGGTAGAGAGTCATTGCCCAGAGAAATGCGGAGAGAGCGCCCCTCAAAGTCAATTGAGGCGAAGAAAATGTCATTTTTTGATGGTGTAGTTGTACTTTGTTGAGTATCTGCGTAGGAAATTGGAACCCCAATGGCGTAAAACATGAGCAGGTATCAAGTTAAAATACCTCTAGATGTCAACTACATTAGTACCTTAGTAGGTAGAGGTAGGTAGATATGTACTTAGTACTTAGATACTACCTATTAGCAGGTCGCATTCGCTTACTCGGTCCTTCGTATCCCAGAACATTGATGCTAGTCCCGAGTCACTGCCACTGCGACAATTTGTCGATCAGCTTACTCCAACAATTATTAATCATCAAAAGCTATAGTTTCAACACCGTCAAATCTTTGGAGTAGACTATATATATCTGATTCTGTTGCCGGATTTTTTTTTTACACTAGCTTTTGTCTAAGCTGCATCCTTCATTCTTCGTGCATTCCCTCCAGACACAAACATCCTCTTTTCTGCCTTCATCGCCATGTCGACTCCTGTGCTACACTACTTCGGCTTGGGAAGCCTCGGAAGAGGGGAAATTGTCCGGTAATATGGCCTAATGCATACCCTACAAATGTACGAGCGCTGATCCCTGAACCAGGCTGTTTTTGAGGGAGCTTAACATCGAATACGAGGACAAGTTCTACGTCTACGATGATACATGGCCATCCATCAACAAGTCCGCGGGCATTAGTTTGACTGGTACATTACCCGTCCTGGAAATAGATGGCCAGAGGCTTTACCAGGTATGCTTTGAATTGTACCCATGACCACTTCTGTGCCAGTAACTGCATGCTTGCTCGGCCGTGCCTAACAACCAGGTCTAGCATCTCGCCATTCTCCGATATCTCTCCCGTCGTGCCGGTGCATACGATGGTGAGACAAACTATGAAAAGTATCTCGTCGATGCTGTAGCTGACATCTACAATGACTGGCGAGTAAGTACAACCACTAATGCCGCTGAAGCCGGCTTACCCTCCAAAATTATCCAGTATTATTATGCCATGGATGAATAGTTTCCGCTTACCACAGTGCTAGACTGGCTGGGTTGCCCAATTGACCGCGAAGAATTCGGATTATCAGACCACGCATGTCAAGAAATTCCAAGATCTCTTCACTGATTTCTACTCTCGGGATGCTCGTGGCCCTTATCTTTTGGGTGACAAGCCAACTTATGTCGACTTTGCAGTCTTTCAGGCCCTTGACAACGACGAGTGCATTGGCTGCAGCAGTGTTAGTTCTCCCTTGATATTTATTTCTTCTCCAATTACTATCCGCGTAGTGTTTTGTACTTTGTACCAAACACTCATTCATCGGAAGCTATTTCACTAATGCTGACAACCACTGCCAGGATACACTGTCAGAGCCATTGAAGAAATTAAGGGAGGCTATCCTTGCCCGTCCTAATGTCGAACGCTACTTGGCTGAGCGGGCAGCGGCCAAATAAGCCGTAAGACCGCTAAAAAGAAAAATTTTGCCCATCCTATCTCTTCCAAGCATAAACATTCAACGCGGCTCGAAACGGTATAGAACATTCGGTCATGGTTGGGTCTTGAAGCGTACGAGCTCTTGCTTTTTCTGTTCTGTTCTGTTCTTTTCTTTTCTTTTCTTTTTTCAGCTGGTAGAGATAGTGCATTAAGGCTTGTACTTTATACGTGGCGATAAATGTTCTTAGGACCACATGAGAGCCCATATCGACACTGAGGGTACAATTCCATAATTATCCTTGGAGTGAATAGTGCTCTCATCGGGGGTCGTTCTCTCCCACTATACACCCGACATTAAATGCAAAATGAATGGCAAAGCGCTCAATTGTACCATTATAAGGGCCGAATGAAGGCTTGCGCGGTGACTTTGAGTGCACTTCCACAGATATGTAAATATCATGAAGATTAGGCTACAAGTGCTTAAAAACTGCTGATGTTGATAGCTGAGTTGCGGAATGATGGGCCATTTAGCGGCAATACCCAGGCAGCAGTACTCACTCCTCCTGTAATAAAATTCTACTCCACCCGACCTCGTAGCGGCATCTTAGCACTGCTTCAATTTAGGACCATCCCTCGGATGAACATTTACGGCAGTCTGCAACTAGACGACTCTGTTCACTGTTTGCCGCGGTGAAGCTGTATCGATGATTCATCATGGATAACCTTAGTTCTGAGATACTGGCCATGATTGCCGATAATCTTGAGCTTGTGGATTTACACCACTGGATGTTGGCAGCCAAAAGGATCAACTTTGCATTGGAGACCAAGTTCTACACAAAGGCGGTGTCCCTTGACGCAGAGCGTGGACGACCACTTTACCTCGTGCGTGCAGTTTTGCAAAATCAGGCGACGAATGCATTCCAGGCGCTTCTCCAGCGGACGAGACTCGAAGCCATTAACGCCGCCAATATCGATCCATTTGACATCGCAGGGGATTACGACTGGAGCCTTTTGAAACCAGAAGAGCTATCATCAACCAATAAGTCTGCGCATCTCACCTCTGTTCTACACATTGCTTGTCAGCTGTGCAGCAAAGAGATTACGAGACTCGTCCTCTGTCGAGGCGCACTTCCGGGTACTCTTGACACGTATGGGTGGTCGCCACTGCATTTGGCGTCTTGGAGTGGCAATACAGATGTCATTGAAATGTTGATAGATCACGGCGCGGATATCGAACTACAGAAAAATTGGAATCAGCCACCACTATTCGACAGATTCAGGACTCATTATTCTGGTACAACCCCTGTACACCAAGCTGCCGCCAGAGGGCATCTCGCTGCCGTAGAGCTTCTCTTAGCCGCCGGGGCAGACCCGAAAGTGCCATGTTCGAAGGGATGCGATGCCCTTGGCGCTACGGCAAAAGCTGGGCACAATGCGATATTCCAACGCCTTCTTGAGGAAAGCTTTGATACGACAACATTGACAGCAGCGCTAAGATTTGCGGTGGAAGGTGAAAACCCGTCAATCGTAGACAGCTTGCTGAAATTAGGAGCGGAACCCCATGATGCGGTAATGGGTGCGGTGCAATGTGATCGACTGGAGAATCTGAGGCTGTTGATTAAGGCAAAGGCAGATTTGAGACGGCACATGTCCCACGACAACGTACTGCAAGCGGTTTGTAGCATCGAAGCTACGAGGATGATCCTCGCTAGCGCGCCTGGTTTGTCCGCCAATGTTCGCCCGGGGATTTTTCACGGAACTCCGTTGGAGACTCTTTACGAATCTGCCAGATACGGGAAGTTGGCAGAACTGGAAGGAATCGCCATGCTTCTCATCGAGGATGGCTGCCTGATCCGCGAACCGGAGCCAATAAATGAAGATAACGATCGAATCTCGAGCAATCGAAATGTTCTCGAGGATGCCTCTTTTTGGGGTCACACACATGTAATTGAGGCTCTTCTATTACGAAAGAAGTCGTTACTTCACGTACGATATCGAGAAAATAGCTCGCCTCTTTTATCAGCAGCATATTCTGCCTCTGAAAATAAGCTTGCTTGCTTCAAACTTCTTGTGGAGGCCGGCGCCGACATCCATGCAGATAATATCATGGAATGCCTGTACTCCATGAGCCTTCAAGTTGCTGGCACTCCCCGACCTCTCCTACAAAATGCCCTGGTGACACAGTTTCTCGTTGATATGGGGTTGGATATAAACCGTGGCCTAAGATTTGATTCGCCTCTAATACATGCTCTATCCATGGAAAACGACTCATCTGCCATGATACTTATCAGAGCAGGTGCCGACATCACGGCTAGGTCTAGCCACGGATTATCGACGTTACAAGAAGCGGCATCGAACGGATGCCTAGAGTCCATGGAATATCTCCTTAAAGCTGACAACGCTGAAGAGCTCCTCGAGAGCCAAAGAAAAGAACCTCTATTGCATATAGTGACTAGGGAAGCGCATTTAAAACATGGGAAAGTTAAAGGTTACGTGAAGATGATGGGTCACCTTCTCTTAGGTCATTTTGACATCTCACCGGAAGAGGTAGCTAGTGATGATGTTGCTTGCGATGATGCCACCCATCTCAAAGATCTTGCGTATGTTGGGCGGATGGAAGTCATGCGGAGGCTGTGTAAAGGAAAGATCGCCGATCCTGGAGCAAAATACAATTCGACAACGGCGTTTGATCAGTTAGCCCGTTGGCACCCGCACGAGTTGGTTGACTTAATGGATGAGGCTCATCAGAAATGGCCGAAACCCCAACCAATGGGCTTCTTCGGTAAGAGAATTCATTAAAATAGGGGTAATGGTAAGGCGATACAGGTGCATCATCGATAGTGAGTATAAATAACAAGTATCGCTTATGCAAGGCCAATACATAGATGTCACTAACTCCAGTATGAAACTGCTCATGATGTGTCCGTACTTCTACAATATATACTCGTAGAGAAAGCGGCTACTTCCGTTGCCCAACAAATATATTTTACCAAATTTTCATGCAAGCAAGCACATATCACCTTCGTATCTTGTAGTGGGAATATCGTCTTGGTAGCGTTAGCACCCATATTACCCTACATAGTCATACAGAAAGCATGCATGTAAGTAATTGACTGGCGTTATTTAATCGTTGGTGTATCTTCATATTACTTTAACATGCAAGTTGCCTTTAGAGATACTACATAGGATGCTTATTTATTCTTCCTATCATTTGCATCGTTTTAGTATATGCTTTCAGGCTATGTTGGATCTACGGAGTAGAATGAAAGAATGATGTTCAACCCCTCATTGGAAAGTTGAGGATTGCCTCGGTCAAATTGGTCAAACTGAAGGAAAATAATAGCGTCATGTTGTTTCGAATCATTGTCTAGAGCGAATGCGTGATGCCTCTCATGTGAAATAAATACCTACAGGCTTTCCATCTTTATGACAGTGGACACCCGTTAAGCCGGATTCGGATTCGGATTCGGATTCGGATTCATCTTGCTTGATCGCTGAGAGATTCTCCATGGTTTCCCCAAAGGCAACGACCCTCTTCCCCGCATTATCCGCCTCACCTAATCCCCCCCTCTCGTTATGACGAGCCAGTTACGAGAAGCGTATTTGCGTCTCATATTATAACAAATGCGATTCATAACTCCGATGCTCCCTGAACTTTCGGCTACTGGAGACATATAAGTAGCATTCTTTCGTCTGACCTTTTTTCTTTTTTTAAAAAAATGGATTGAACAGAGCCCTTGCGAGTCTTAAACAGAATCCGAATATTGGATGATATTGTGGGAGGTCAAGGGATACTAAAGAGGCTACTGGGGCATTCATCATCGCTCGGTTGTTGAGCAAAAGCATTCTGTTGCCTACCATGGCGTTTCAAATATTGGGGATAGCAATTATCGCCGCCGTTTTTGTTGTGCTCAAAGTACTCAATGCAACGGATACACCGAAAGTCAAAGGTATCCCTGAAATTCCTGGCATTCCCCTCTTTGGCAACCTACTCCAGCTGGGCGTGGATCACGCTCGGGTTGCGAAGAATTGGGCATTGAAATACGGGCCTGTTTTTCAAGCTCGCCTTGGAAATAGAGTATGTTCATTTCTATTCTACATTATAAACAGAGGGAATAAAGTGCTGACTCGGTTCCCAGCGGATTGTCTTTGTCAATTCTTATGAAGCAGTGAAGCATTTTTGGATCACTCATCAGTCGTCTCTCATTTCTCGCCCGACCTTTCACACTTTTCACTCGGTTGTCTCCTCATCGCAAGGGTTTACAATCGGTACTTCTCCCTGGGATGAATCTTGCAAGCGACGCCGCAAAGCAGCCGCAACGGCATTGAACCGCCCTGCGGTCCAGTCCTACATGCCAATCCTTGACCTTGAATCAACTATGAGCATCAAAGAACTGCTCAATGACTGTATGAGAGGCTCACATGATGTGGATCCCAGTCCATATATGGCACGGTTTGCGCTCAACACGTCACTGACCTTAAACTACGGATTTCGCATCGATGGCAACATCACCAACGAGCTTTTAACGGAAATTACACATGTTGAGCGCGAAATCTCCAATTTCCGATCAACAAGCAACAACTGGCAAGATTATATACCACTGATGCGCATGTTTAGCAAAACCAACACCAAGGCAGAAGAATATCGTCTGCGACGAGATAAATACTTAACCGACATGCTTAATGATTTGAAGGAGAGAATTGCGAATGGCACAGATAAACCATGTATTACGGGAAATATCCTCAAGGATCCAGAGGCAAAACTCAACGAAGGTCAGCATCATCCGCCCCAATCGACTTTGTGTCATCTACCGAAAAACTTTATTGTGTACTAAATTATGATGTTATATTCTAGCTGAACTCAAGTCCATATGCCTGACAATGGTATCTGCTGGTTTAGATACTGTGCCTGGTAACATCATCATGGGCATGGCGTATCTTTCTACTGAACATGGTCAGAGTATTCAGGCCAAAGCCCTCGAAGCTATCCAAGAAGTCTATCCCGATGGAGATGCTTGGGAAAAATGTCTTGTTGAAGAAAAGGTACCCTACATCACCGCTCTAGTCAAGGAAACTCTTCGTTTTTGGACCGTCATTCCAATTTGTCTCCCTCGCATGAACATCAAAGACATCCCCTATGAGGGCTCTATTATACCCGCTGGAACAACTTTCTTCATGGTCAGTAATACCGAGGCCATTGTGGCATCTTCAAATCGATTTTCCCTGTGCTGACAATTTACCCAGAACGCCTATGCAGCCGACTATGATGAATCTCGGTTTAAACTCCCAGATCAATTCATCCCTGAGCGATTTCTGGAGGATAAAGAGACTGGTACACCTCATTACGCCTATGGCGCCGGCTCTCGAATGTGCGCCGGTTCTCATCTTGCCAACCGAGAGTTATATACGGCATATATTCGACTCATCACGAGCTTCCAGATAACCGCGACGAAAGATTCCACGCAAGCCCCAGTTATCCACCCTATTGATTGCAATGGCACGCCCACTTCATTAACCACTGATCCAAAACCATTCAAAGTTGGCATGAAGCCGCGAGATGAAGCCAAGGTCAGACAATGGATCGCAGAGGCAGAAGAAAGGACGAAGCATCTATAAATTTTTAGAGTGTATCTGTTTTTGAGCTTACCAGATGGTGTTTGTACTATTATATGTATTGGTAAAGTAACTAAAGTAAACAGAAAATCGCCAAAACTGTACCTGGATCTCTCTATTCTATTTTCTAGTCTTTACCTTTTTGCCCGGAAGTGATTTATGTCAAAGATCTCGCAGAATCTGTATTTCACAATCTACACAACAGCCACGGGAGACCTGTTAATACAAAACCGGGCGCCCAAGATGAAGAATCCAGATGCAAGCGCAAGTGCGCCGGCATAGAACATGGCGGGTCGGTATGCATGCAACCCGCCGTCAACACCACCGAAGCCCTCCAAGATGTAGCCTGCAATTGGAGCCCCCTGTAGAAAAAATGGGTTTTGTCAGATGTCACCCATAGTTTTTGGATATATATTAGGTGTGAGAATGTTCGTTTGGATAACTTACCATAAGGTAACCGCCAACCCAACCAGTCACCACCATGCTCATGGCGACAGCCACTCTGGCACTTCCAAACACCTTACTGATCGCTGTCGGCATTGTGGAGAAGAAAGCTCCATTAGCAGCACCGTTGACAACGACGAAGACGATCAGTGGCGCCAGCGCCGTGGATGTTGGCCAAATTGCCAGCATAGTGACAGCAGTCAAGATCAGAGACGCGAGTACGGTGTTGATGGAACCGATTTTATCGGATGCAAAACCAGATAAAATACGGCCAGCTGCGGAAGATAGACTAAAACCAGCAACCAAGCCAGCGCCAACGTCGGTAGAGAAGCCTAGGGATCTCGTGTATAGGGGAATAAAAAATGGTGGAACAAACAGAGGGAAGGTCCCTATGGCACTTCCTATAAATACAAGCACGAACGTGGGAGATTTAAATAATTTCCTAAACGAGAGGGAAATGAAATCCGTGTCAATCAGTCAAAAGGATCCTAAGCTGCGCGGCTGTCCGCATGCTTCATTCTACTAATTCTTGACTCACCACTCGATAAACTCCCGTCTCTCAACTGGGATCCTCTCTTTCATAAGCCACGCAGCCGGGAGGCCCGTTGAAAGTGTCATGAGGCCTAGGATGCGATATGCCCATGCAACACCAAGCCTTTGGATCAACGAGTCCAACGCAAAGCTGATTGCCGCGCCTCCGAAACCGCTTCCAGCGAACATGAAGCCATTGGCCAGTCCCCGTTTGGTGCTAAAATATTGTGATGGAACCGTAGAGATGACCTAGCTCGTATTCAAGGTTAGCTGTGTAATGCTCTGTGTTTAATGCATTGCACGAAGCATGCATGTAAATGTGGTGGAAGCTGGAAGTGGCCTACAGCGAAACAAAGACTATCAATGCTCTCACGGTCAATAATCATTTCCCTCACTTCTACAACTTGCATTGGCAGTAAAAGTAAAAGAGAAAAGGTCGGCGTTATTTCTTTGTGTTCTCTCTTACCTGACACCTATCCCCATCACCACCCCAGATGTGAAAAACAGCGCCCCAACATTTTTGACCGTGAAGCTGCTGAGAATCTCGCTTCCACCCATGCATGCTGCACCTAGCATTGCTGCAGCACGAACTCCCGTCTTCCGCACAAGCATGGAGTTAGCAATTGCTAGAGCCGATATCAGCGCCGCCTGCAGCGACCCGACGAAGGAGAGCACGGCGGGATCAGCCAAGCCATCAGCGACCAAGGCGGTCTGCATCACACCCCAAGCATATGTTGTGCCAAGGGACCACCAAAGTAGGACAAAGCCACTGGCTACAATCACCCAGCCGTAGCCGCCTTCAGGGGCCGTCAAATCAGCCTCTCGCGAGGCTTCGAGGACTTGATCGGCAACGGTAGAAGTCTTGGATGGCTGGGGTTTGCTAGGGCTGGTATTGCGCAAACTCCATGCTGGACTTGGAGCCGTGCTTGTAGGTAGCTCGATAGCAGTCGTGACTGAAGTCATCTCGACCCCGTTGACAGTATCGCTGAAAAGAAGGAACGAATGGCGATAGCCTTATCAAAGTCGTATAATACACTAAGTATTATTTTGGACTGGCTCTCATTGTAGGTTACGAACCGTTGCTGAATTTCCAAGTGTATGAAAATCCTCTCTGCCGATACTCGGAATTTTTTTTAACTCCAATTTGCTGGCCTCTATACCTATGATACGGGTGGGGTACACATGCTTGTCATTGGAAGGCGTTTTTTCCTCGCTCAGTCTTTGGATGTGAGTGTCTTTTTTTTTTCTCTCCCTTTTTTGAGGATTTACTTATTTAGACAAAGCTATCCTTAGCTCAGATGAAATCTTGTGCCCACACCGAGGTTACGACGGTGTATAATACATGAGGCGGATAACCCCATCTTTTCACTTGAGACTTTTTAATCCAGCCCGCGTTGGAGCTGCCCTACTCTCATTCAGTACAGTAAAGGTCAGCTGCACCAAGTATCGGCAAATCAGAGTCGAGACAGAAATTTCACTGTTTTGCTTACGTTTGAGTCACGACTATCGAGGTGAATCATGCTCATTTGCTTTGATTCAGCTTTAATCTCAATGTACTCAGAATGTCGCGCTGCCCCACATTATATAGGGAGGGAGATGGTATTTTGAGGCAGCTAGCTCATGACTTTCTCGTTCAACGCAGTTGTACTGCAGCAAAGCTGGAAATGCAGGGGGGGGGGGGGGGGGTTTCCAAGCGTAGGACAAGGAATAAGCCATTTAACGGCCAAGTTTTGTGATATGTCTTACACACAGCTCACTAATCTACCTACATCATTCTCCTCACATACTCTGCCAAATTTAGAAAAATGAAGTAATCTTCGTTGTTCTCTATTTCAGGATTTCACAGACATGGAGTACGGCGTCGTATGGTTGCAGTTCCACCCCCGCACGCTGATCTTTACTCTATTTCCATATCTAGTGAACCTGAACCTGGCAGTATGTGAATCGTTCGTGTTACAGTGATGACCAATGGTCTATCATGTGCCCAGGTCATGGACACCAAAATTCAAGGCCAGACATTTGGCATAGCTATGGAATAGGCAGGTAGCCGTTATCATAATAGATGGCTTGTCACATTTCTATTTCTACACGTGAACTTGATGTTAGGCAGATTGCAGTCGGTTAATGCCGACGGGTATGACTGCCAGGCACCAGAATAACTCTAAAATCACAGGAGCGAGAACGTCATAGAATTTGTTTTATCCCTGTGAGCGGCCAATCTTCTAGCAGCCACGACGCCATTTGTATTATTGAGATGCGCTCAAACACTGCACCCAGCGGGAATGAGCATCTTGTTTGGTTCAAGTTGAAAAGGCTCTCCTTATATTTCCATATGTTTGCGTAAATGAAGGATCCCTCAACGGCCTGTGGGCTTAGGCACTGTGTCTCTTGGTCAGGAGATGGACGAGATGGATATTCGACTTAATTCTGCACGAGCGTACTTTCAATCAATTAAGATTGCTAATATTAAGAACACGAGCATGTCTCGGCCCGGATGTCTCGAGTATTGGCCAGAACGCCTTCCAAATATAACCCAACAGGAACAAAACCAACAACCAATTGCACATTAATTTCGTGGTATTAGTACGAGTATGTGTGACGCTGTTGTGGATCCAAAGTTGCACATCTTTTACCCCACCTGTAGCCGACTGACCTGTTGTCTTGCTTTTCTAGAGTTCTAGCTCTTCCCAAAGGGATACTTATAAACTGCGGCATATTTGAAGTAATATTGCTGGTGTTGTGTGGCATACACTGTAACTTGGTCCAGGAAACATGCCGTTGATACTGTGGGATCCAGAAGCCGATGATCCGGATATGTTCCACCATACCCATCAAATAGGCGATACGAAGTAGGTGATGTATCGTTTCTTCATTGTTCGCAGGGTTTCTTCGTCTACCCGTACTGAGTCTCGTGCCATTCATATTCCCGAAGTGGTGGGGAGCGAAACTTGGGGCATTCTTGAGAAAGGCTAGCGGCAACGCTTGCATTAGGTAGTATTCGTACTGTAGAGCTTTCATAGCCGTCAAGTCCTTCAAAGTCATAACCATCCCTTGCGGGGGGAATACTCGGCCGATGATCATAAGATTTCCATTATATCCGAGACGGTCCAGTGCCTCACGGCGTCGCGAGCCTTTCAAGACGTCATCTCAGCTCCCGATTGGATCGGCAAGCACAATGACCAGCATTTCAGGTGCAAGGGAGACTAGGATCAGACGCCAAGTGGTAGATCCACACCCTTTCTCGAGGGCGAGCATCCAAAAGGCCTTGATGCACACCTCTTAGCAAGGGTATCCGTAACACGATTCGCTACTGGTTCGCCCTCGTATGCTCAGATCACTTTGAGCCAGCTCACCCTCTTCTTCTTTTGTCTTGGATGTTCATCTATGTCCGCGGCTATAATTGCATGACTTAGCTTAGCGCAGACCGGTTCACGGCAGATGCTTGAATGAAAGAGAAGAGGGGGGAAATTTGGGGCTTGACGCAAGGAAATGCGGTTTTGCAATGCAGAAGCCCGTAGCTCTATCATTGATGCGTGTCGTTATGCGAGTTAGGAGGCATACAAATAGGAGGCAACTCTCTGTCCCAAAATGCCATTTCAGTCTCCCCGGCGTGGATGAAGATATATCTGTTCCCTGTCGGCTGAATGCTAAGTGGCTGGCAACGAAGCTGTCTTAGCCATAGCCAGATTTTCCCTATCATATTTACAGCCTGGTATCTGTATATGGTCCTTTATTTTGAATACTCTCGTCTACACCATGCTTTCCTACTTATCCCTACTTCTGGCAGTGCCTGCTGCCCTCGCGCTGTCTTCATTGCCTCATGAGGTTATGAGCAGGGATGCAAATGCTGCCCAAACCGAGGCTCATTGGGCGAGTCAAGCTGCGGCTCAGGGTCGTCATTTCTGCTATGTGCGACCAAATACCGATGGTGACGATGATGCTCCAGCTATCATGGACGCACTCAACAACAAATGCAATTCCAAGAGTCTTGTCATATTCCCTGGCCCTGTGTACAATATTCAGACAAATATGACCACTTTGGATCTTCAGGACGTTGTCATCTATCAATTTGGCCGCATGCTCTGGAGTACGGACATCAATTATTGGCTATCAGTATCTATGCCCGTTGGCTTCCAAAACCAGAGTACTGTCTGGTACTTTGGAGGTAATAATGTGATTTGGGATGGCTGGGGCGTCGGTACTCTCGATGGCAACGGCCAAGTCTGGTACGACTGGGCCAAGAGCCAGGGAAATTTGGCTCACAGGCCAATGAACATCAACTTCCGCACACTCACAAACTCTGTCATCAGAAGATTACGATTTGTACAGAGTCAGATGTGGACAATGGCTATCACCTACTCCAAGCACGTGGATCTTGATGACATATACGTCAACAGCACTTCGACAAGCCAGTGGAGCACTCTCAATACTGATGGTTGCGATACCATCTTTTCTGATAGCATAACATTTCGGAGATGGATAGTCTCCAATGGCGACGATGCCATCGCCCTGAAGATGAACTCGAGCAATATTGCTGTTTATGACAGCTATTTCGAGAATGGACAGGGCATAGCTATCGGCTCTATGGGGCAATACAACGGAAAATATGAGTATTTGGAGAATTTTTATGCCAAAAACATCACACTCAAAAATACCGCTCATGTTTCCTATCTGAAGACATGGGCTGGAATCTCGCGAGGCTATCCTCCAAACGGAGGCGGCGGCGGATACGGTGTCGCTCGAAACATCACAATTGAAGATGTTAAGCTGATTGGCGGACGGCAGCAGCCATTTTTCGCTTGGCAATGCGAGAACTACTCTGGATTTGCCGGCCAGGACTGTGATTCTTCCTTATTCAAGATGGAGGACGTTGCGTGGAGGCGCGTCAGCGGAACAGTGCAATCTGGAGTGACCGAGGCGGCGTATTTCCAATGCAGCGCCGCAGCCGGTGGCTGTGACAACTTCGAAGTGACAGATTTTGACGTTACTCATGCAGGCTCTGACGAGTTGTTGGCTATCTGGGACTGCTTCAACGTTAATGGGCCCCAAGGATTTGCATGCACCGAATCACAAGCCCCAAAATTGAGCTCAGATACAACAGGGGGTCATGGTCCTCATAACAAGTAAATTAGGAGCTTAAAGTCAATTTTATGCTTACATATGAGACATGGCCACCCGTCCTATTGATGAGACGATGCGAGGAAGTGGCCTATATAGTCTAATTACATGTACTATATGCTCATGCACAAATGGTATTGCATTACATCTTTTCCTATCTTCTTAGTTTATAGTGCCATTGGCCTCTTGTTCTAGTACCATGGAGAGGATATATGGCCGTTTTTCTAGAATCCGATATCTTTACAACCGATTTCCCATGTTTACATGCACAGCTTTGATCTGGGAATACGCCTCAAGACCCGCCTCTCCAAGTTCTCGGCCGATACCGCTCTGCTTAACGCCTCCGAATGGCACACGCGGATCACAGTCTTGACTGCTATTGATCCACACCATTCCCGACTCAATCTCAGCTGCCATGCGATGAGCTCTTTCCAGGTCAGTTGTGAAGACGGCGGCCCCCAAACCGTAAGTTGTGTTGTTTGCCAGCTCGAGTGCTTCGTCCTCCGTTTTGAATCGTAAGATAACAACAACAGGCCCAAATATCTCTTCTCTGTAGACTCTCATTGAAGGAGTGACATCGGTGAATACTGTTGGGGCAATAAAGAAACCCTTGCCCTTGCCTTCGATATCAAGAGGGTGGCCTCCAGCAGCAACCTTTGCGCCCTCGGTTTTACCGATTTCAATGTAATCCAGTACTCGATCATATTGCGCTTTGGAGACCTGGGGGCCCTGGTATGTATCCTTTTCCCATTGACTGCCCACTTTGCTGACGGCCTTCAGAGTTTCGAGAAATCTCTTTACAAAATCGTCATAAACTTCATCCTGGACCAGAATTCGCGATGTAGCCGTGCAGATTTGACCCTGATTGGACATGATGCCCAAATGAGACCATTTGACGGCCTGGTCCATATCGGCATCTTTGAATACAACAAGTGGCGATTTGCCTCCAGTTTCGAGAGTGATATTCTTCAAAGTCTTCGCTGCGGTCGCCATGATACTTGCAGCCGTCGCCGTTGACCCTGTAAAGGCAATCTTGTCCACCAACGGATGGTTCACCAGGGCAGATCCGGCATCCTTGCCCAGTCCATTGACGAAATTGACTACTCCGGGCGGGAATCCAGCCTCTTTGATAAGCTCTCCAAGCACAAGGATGCTTAGTGGAGTCTGCTCTGCGGCTTTGAGTACTACAGTATTGCCGCAAGCCAGTGCGGGCCCTAACTTCCAAGTAGCCATTGAAAGCGGATAGTTCCATGGAATGATTTGGCCAATGACTCCGATCGGCTGACGCAGCGTGTATGCAAACTTCTGATGTGTTGTGCTTATCGTTTGGCCATACTGTTTGTCGGCCCACCCAGCGTAGTACCGTATCACGGCCACGGCCTCGACAAGATCAACATCCAATGCTTCTTGATATGTTTTACCTAAATAGATGACGATGTCAATAACTTGTCATCAAAACAAAGACAATGTGTGAAGAAACAATTCTCATTAATTCTCGAGGTGGTAAATTTTCTCACCATTATCCCAGGCCTCGATTGTCGCAAAGACTTCTTTCTTCGCCTCAATCAGGTCGGCAAGACGTGCCATAAGGCGGCCTCGGTCAGAGGCCGACAGTTGCTTCCAAGAAGGATCTCTCAATGCCGCTTTTGCAGCTTTAACAGCTTTGTCAACATCCTCAGCACTGGCAGCCTGAACACTAGCAATAACTTCTTCAGTGCTATTTGATAGCATTAGTCTAACGCAGCTCGGTGGAAGCCTCGGCTTGTGTTGTCAGTTTCCTTACGCTGGATCGATCGATGCGATTGTCTCGCCGCTTGACGACGCAACAAAGTCGTTGTTAATAAACAGACCAGTGGGCTGGCTCCATTTGACGCCATTTGGCGCAGTGAGGTCGATAGAGGGGAGAGTCATGTTGTCATGAGTCGTATTTGCGGGCTTCTGATCAGAAATGTTATTGTAGGGAAGGGGAGGAGGGAGTTGTAATGACAGGTAACGAAGAAAACTAACCCCATGGCATATTATCTAGCTGAAGGGCGGCTCCACGGAAGATTGTGGCAAGCCCAGAAATTCTCACGAAAATACTGTGTGCAGAAACTCCGACCCTCTAGAATCTCCACTGCGGTGCTGATGTGGGTTTCAGTAGAGGGCGGGGTAACACCCAATCTGTATAAAAGGAACGAGCGCTTTCGGCCGCTAGACATTTATAAGCTCAAATCGGAGTGGATTGAGATAGTGGATAATGACTCGAGAACACAAGATGGGGCAGCAGTGATAGCGTCCAGCTGAAGGATTGCTGAGGGAAGCTGGCAGTATGAATGGTTCAAGGGGGGGGGGGGGGGGGGGGGGGGGGTAAAAGATGTGGCAAAAGACGACGATAGCACGAAAACACTGGTTATTTTCACCCAATAAAGGCGAGCATATAGAACGAGAAAGAATATTATAATCGCTCGAGGAAGCAATGTTACATGTCTGAAACACAGATATAACGACTACTGGGTAGCCTCCTCAGCATCTTTTTCTCGCCGTATTGACGAGAACTCGGTCTCAAAGTCAATTTCCGAGGTGGGGATAACTTTTGACTTGAAGAATATCTTGAAGAAAGCATATAGAACTTCACTAGTACGTTAGTGAAGTTTGCTAAAAGGAATCTAAAGCGTAACATATCGTACATACCAATGAAGATTGCAATGTTAAGATAACAAGTTAAAAACCCGGCAGCTGTAAATTTCCCCTTGACGAATACATCGAAGCCTATGCATGTTTGTAAGACTTGGTTCCAACATAAATCCCAAAATTAGGGGCAACGTACCTGAAAAGAGAATGACTAGGCTCACCACAAACACAGTTGCCCACGAGACATATGGCTGCAGCGGGCTTTTGTATGGGAGCGCTGCGCAGTTTATTAGCCGGGGTCGTAAAACACGTAAAATAATTACGACAGGCAGGCCTTACAATCTCTTGAATAGCCTTGCTTTTTTAGGCCAGCATAGAATCGTAGATATGTAACCTCGATGACTACCCAGCCGATCAGGCCTGAGACGGTCGTAATATTGACGAACCAACCGAATACCACCGACGTGTTATTGGCAACGTTCAGGTAAACAAGCGGCAGCAAAAGACAAGTCAACCCAATGGCGTAATATGGTGTTCCAAACCGATTGCACCGTTGAAAGATTCGGGGTGCATGCCCATCACAACTCAGGCCATAAAGAGTCCGCGAGGCGATAAAGATGCAAGCTGAACCACTGCTAATGGCAGATGTACAGACAACCGCATTGATAATAGATGGAACAACCTTTACACCGGATCGCTGGAATGCGATAACAAAGGGAGATTGCTGAGCAGTGCCCGTAGAAATGGCAAGAGATGGGTCATTGTATGGACTGTTTAGCGGCAGATATAAGTATATCGTTTGAGTTAGCTGCTTTTGGAGAAGAAACTCACACAATGAGGCCAACGATGAAGATGCTAAGGACGTAGAATAACAAGACTCTATAAAATGTCTTTTTTGTCGCTGCTGGGATGATTTTCCTCGGTGCACGGGTTTCCGACCCAGAGATGGCCACCACTTGAATATTGCCGTAACTAAACGCTGCCGTAAGCATAACTTTCCAAAAAGCTAGGAAGTGTCCTGCCGCTCCGGTTTTTATATACTCGTTGAACGCTCCTGGGTGTTTCCAATAGCGGAATCCTAAGCGGTCATGATTGGGTGCTCCTCCTAGATCGATGACCAAGCCACCAATGATGAGGCCAAGAATGAGCATGATCTTCAAGGATGCGAAAATAACTTCGGACTTGGCTCCTGTTAATATTTCTTGCTTTTGAACAATTTGCATGTAAAATCATACCTCGCCATATAGACGGACACCGCAAAGGTTCAGCGTGACGATAAAAACTAAGAAGACGGTGATCCAAACACCGGGGTTTACCGACGAATTCCAAAACTGAATTACTGTAGCAGCGGCGCTGATCTCTGCAGGTACAGTAATGGCCATGGTATACCCTGGCCCCTCGTAAGCATTTGGGATGGAAAACACTCCGTGAGGCGCTATAACATGATGGGTATATAGAGAAATTACTTACAGAAATTCCAACCTGTGGCTGCGCCAAGTGCTGGTTCCACGAACTTGGTTGCGTGTCGGATGAATCCACCAGTTCCGGGCATGAATGCGGTAATCTCTCCCGTGGTATATGAGACCCCGGCAGTGACAAATCCCATTACAATATATGCCAAGAGTGCCCCAGCTGGGCCTGCAATTGCAATTGCTTGCCCTGAGCCTAAGAAAAGGCCAGTACCCTATTCGGCGCGGTTAGATGCCAGCCAGCATTAGTTATTGTAGTGTTTTGTCAAGGGACATTGTATTGACATACAATCATTCCTGCAATAGCAATCATATTGATGTGGCGAGAACTGAGGTCCCGCCTAAGGCCATCGGCCTCATAGGTAATGCAGGAAACTTCTCCATTGGGAGGCGTGTCGACTTCGACACTGCGCTCCAAGTCCTTCTCGAGTGCCATTGAGCCGTACGGTGTGCAGTCGGCGGCTTGGAACTCGTGGGTGCGTTACAGAGCGTCGGGCTGATCCTAAGATGCCTGCGAAAATTTCACTTAGCCGTCGTGAGTTCTCTCACATGCGGCACTGATCGTAACAAGATTGAGTTGTGGACATCGCCCAGTATTATTGGCAACTCTTCATGGAGCACTAAAATTTCTCTGTGAGAAATTGAGAGCGGCGGTAACAGTCGTAAGCAGCAGGGAGAGTGGCTTGTAATATCACCTGGTAGCAAGTATGAGCACCCTTGTGAGCAAGGATGTCATTATTCTAGTCTAGCATTGAGGGGATTTGACCTTGTTGAAATAGCTGTTATCACCTACCCATATCATTCCGACGCGTTGCACTCCGCACACACCTCTATCTCTGATGGTTTTGTCAAGTGCGCATTTGTGGCAATTGAATTGATAACCCACTCGGATACCCGACAGTTCATATCGATTAGCTAGTATTAGAGATCTGCCATCCGATTCTTTGAATACCGTTACCGGCGTCCTCTGCTTTAGTTTGAATCGCCGGTCTGACCGCCCTAGTACGCGTTTACTCCACACGCGACACCTAGTCAAGATAACGAGGCTTCCGTGCGAAGCATGACTTATGAAGCAGTCGGTAAATAGATCATATCATCACCCTTGTTGATAACACGGGAGTCTAAGAGCGTGCTCTATACGGAATACTCTGTATATTTCATTGAAGTACTTTGGATATTATTGTCCACCAAGAAGAATTCCAGCAATGGTTCACACCGGTACCCAGGATGACTCGTTTCAGCTTTACGATCTTCGTATCGAAGTCGTATGTCCCCCAGGCAAACGAATCATGTGTGGAGCAAAAGAAGGGGATTACTTTACTCTCCAAGGAGAAATGATCTATCTACCACCAAACCAGGGTATCAGTATATATTCACTGGGTAAATTACTATTTCCAATCCCATGCCTTTTATAATTTTACGCCAAGAAGCTGACAAGAGATAGCCACCGTTATCCCACTCCTTCCTGCAAAACAAAGAGTCACATCTCCCAACGACTGGATGACAACCGATGCGTTAATAGCGTGTCCAGATCCAAATTGCCCTTCCCAGCTGAAAATTATCAGGGAGGGCATTCGCACTTTCAGTCATTCGGAAACAACTGTAGTTCCGCTACATCATTGATAGATAGGATCTATTGGGCTCATACTAGTAGATATGGCGACCAGGAGCAAACTGGCCAATAGCCTCAACAATGCATAAAGTTTCTTGTTGGTGGGTAGATTATATTAAGTTAATAGAACGCCGTTTTGAGTATTGAACGCGGCACTTGACAATATATCAGCCCATGCACAATCATCAGTGAATAAAGGGTCAAGATCGGTGTGCTGAAATATAAACACTTCGGGGAGGGGTTGTTCAAGAGACTGAGGCATGATTTGACTGGTTTCTAAAGGTAGAAAAGAAGCTCTCGCCGAATCCACGTCATTTTGAGCCAGCGACGTATGCCTCTCTGCAATTGAAAATTTTGCCGCTGTCGTCGCATTTTCGGTCCTTCTTCTCTGAGAAAGTTTTATCGCAATATTATTGAGGAATCTTGCTTGCAGTTCACAACTTGTGCCTGGGGCTGTCCCTTGGTGTGAGAAAGCTTGGGCGGCGGCGCGAATGACATTCACTGTTGTGGACTCTATCTCCTGGACTATTGTGTCAGGAGCAGACAGTAGGAGCTAATTGCATCGATAGCCAACAATTAGTATCTCGAATTATCAGGAAACACAAACCGATAACAAGCATACCTTGACAAGGAAAGCCGCGCTATATGCAGTCATAACATGTATCGAATCCTGGGCAAAATACAGTTGCCCTGAATGACGCGATATTAACTTCAACATGTCCATGGCTCCAGTAAATGCGGCCCATATTATGTCCAAGTGGAGAGATGAATCTGAGTATTCTGAGGACAGTACGTCTTGTAGTGGCAAAGAAAAGAGCTGCAGCCGGAAATGAGTGCCATAAAATCGGATCAGGAATTTGTGGCACGTCTCTTCTTCTGGCGACTGCTTTCGTTCCACGTTTTGGACCCAATGGCTTTCCCATCTCTCAATGCTGGCTTTTTTGAGCGAAAGCAGAGCCTCCATATTCTCCAATGGCACCTTTTCGCTTCGTCGAGAGCTGGGAGCATGTAGAGAAAATATTGAAGAGCTCATCAGTCTCAAAGTAACAAATGCACCAAGCAAATCATCGTTTCGATCAGCGATTGGGTCACCGCACCAGGCCTCTATTGATTCTATAAATGCGCTTCGCTCAATCATCCACGGTCGTCCTGTTTGAAGGCTGATACTGAAGCGATATTAATATTGGCCACGTAGTAACAACTGGGCATTAAAAACATACCTTCGGTCATATACAAACAACACATACCACGTTCTCTCAACATTGCGAACTTCTCGTCGCCTTGCCTCGTCCATAGCAACACGGCTAGCTGTGGAGTACGCAGTCAACTTGTGCCATCCCATGTCCATGCACATGCGAATGGCATATCCCAAGGAAGTCCACGCTCGTGTGTCTTGCGGCTGCTTCCAGTAGGTGAGAATGAGGATGGCTTGGACAATTTCTGTCGACTTGGCGCCATTTCGAAAACTTTCAGTGTATAGGTCTTGCGCATGATTATACAGTGCATTGTACACGATAGGGTTGAACGTCTTTGCAGACATTGCCAGAACTGCTGTGAAGAGAAAGGAGGACTTCTGGCGCACATAGAAGAAGGTATGAAGACTGGGATCAAGCTGGCTGATGTACGGGTTGAGAACAACAATAAAACTACACTCTCGCATCAGTTCCTAGAGCACCACCCTGGAAATAACAATTCACTTACTTTTCGAAGAGGGATTTGGCAACGGAGAGGTTTAGTATGCCCATCTCAATTGGGTCTTCTGGTCGGCTCGGGGAGGATCTTTCAGGAGGCTCTAATGCATCGCCTTCTGTAGTGCTTAGTATTCGTCGCAGCGAGAACTTGCCTCTCATTGCTTCCTGATTGAGCAAACCTGACGGCTGCAAGTTACCAGGCTCCTCAGCGGGCACGCTCTCTGCAATGGATGGAGTGTCACCGCTGTAGTCCGGAGTCTTCTTTACAGCCGCATATGCGGAAGGCAATGCAGGCATGGTCCGTTTGGAGATCCTACACACATCTCGTTAATCCATGGGTACTCGGTGGAAAGGCCATGTCTCACTTACTTTGTCCCAGGCTTTCGGCCTCTACGGTGCTGTTGAAACACGCAGTCAAGAGACTTCCGCGCGCATCGCTCGCATTTAGAAGCCGGTTGGCTGCCTTGCCGGCATTTCATCTTTACTTTTCGACATGGGAGACAGGCATTCATGGTGACGGCAATGTACAAACGCGTGCAGCCTAGCTGGTTCGCGACAACCCGATATGTCAGTTGGTGGTGGAGCAATCAACTCAGCCGTGGACACAATAGCCAAGACGCGCGAAAACGATGGCATCCAAGGATCTGTGGGGCCGGTGGGCCTGACAGAGATGCTAGTCCGATACGGACTCCAGACAATCCGGAGGCAATATTGTTTAGAAGATACCGAGGAGGTGGTACAGCTATTAGTGGTGCTCCGTACGTGGATAAAGAATCGATAACCCCGCATCACAATCTCAAGCCATCGTTGGCGATGCAACTTGAAGCAAAGGGCTGACACTAGATCCAGCCTTCCGAGCACGTTCAAGGCTATTGTGAACTTCCGCTGTGGGGGTGAGACGCCGACCGGCCATCTACACAGCGCCGTTGGAACGCCGGTTACTTTGGGTTTGAAATAGCCGACAGGGATTAACAGCACGGCACGAAACAAGATCACGAGATTTTGATGTGCTCGAAGCAATTGTCTGCTCTTCGGCAAACAAGAACACTGGCCAGCTCAGTATATAATATCACATTGGCATACGCGTTTGGACCTACAGAATTGAAGCAAACTAAATCTTGGTCGCTCCGATTAGATATCTTTTGACATGGCCATCGCACAACATGGCGGCGGCGTGGGTACGGCACACGTCAACATGATGACGGATACTATCATCGCCAATCTCCCTGCCGATGGTCTTCGCGTGGTAATGAGGTCGCTCTTGGTATTGTTTCCGGAAATCACACGCGCTTTTGAATGCGAGACGAGAAAGTATGTTGAACAGAGAGCTACGTCTTCGATAATAGGAAAAGACAAAAAGCCCAGTCTTGCCGAACTGAACAGGACGCAACAAATCGCCCGCAGTATGCTTGGCTGTGGACTCTCATTCGAGAGCCTTCAATTATTTCAGAACCTAGTTTCTCAGGGAACGTTTCTTATACCAAGGACCAGCGATGACAGTCGTGGCGAACTGTATGCCTTTTTGACAAGCGTGGATGGCGACATCGTACAAGCAATGACTGCGGTTCAAAAATCTCTTTTTATAAATACTGGCGCACGGGTAATGAATAATGGAGAGCACTCCTCGGTGGAAGCTCTCTATCAGTCATTGACAAGCTGTTATGCTACCCTAAAAGCAACGGAGCAAGATTATCCCTTTGGACGAAGTCTAGTATCAACGGCTGGTATTCTTGGGCTACCCCGACCAGCACTTCTAGATGCACATCAGGATGTCAGCAAACAGACCTCTATGACACCGTTACCTCTACAAGCAAAAGAAACTTTTCAACTTAATGGACACGAAGTTCCACGAATATTTTCGGGGCTTTGGCAAATGTCAAGTCCTGCGTGGGGGGCTGCATCGTCCTCTAAGATTGTGGAACAATTCTCAAGTCATGTTCAACAAGGTTTTACAGCATTTGATATGGCTGACCATTACGGTGACGCTGAGATCATTTTTGTAAGTTATTTAGAGACCAGTTCAAACGAAGCCCGCTGCTCACATATCATAGGGACGCTTTTCATCCCTGTACCCCCACAGGCATAAAATATTTACAGCAACAAAGTACTGCGTTTTTCATCCAATGACTGTGTCTCGAGAGGCAGTACAAGAAAATGTCACAGAGCGTTGTCGCCGATTGCAGACAGAGAAGATTAATCTGTTACAGTTTCATTGGCAATTTGTAAGAGCCAAAGAAACCCTCTGTAATTATGAATTTCGCGCTAATGGACATCAAGTATCAAAATCCGGACTATCTAAAAGCTCTCAGATTTCTAACAGAAGATGATCGGGTTGAAACAGTCGGTCTTTGCAATTTTGATACGAAGCATCTCCTTGAGGTGGTCCAATCTGGCATTAGAGTATACACCAACCAAGTCCAGGTTTGACATACTGATCGATTTACTAGCGAGTGAATAATCACTGATTGGGAAATAGTTTTCTCTCGTCGATTCTCGGCCTATTTTCGAAATGGGGAACGCTTGTGAGGAGCACAATATCAAGCTCTTGACATATGGCACACTGGTAAGCGGTTTAGTCTGAACTATCTCGCACTTAATTGCATCGATATTTATTAATCTATTCACGAAGTGTGGTGGGTTTCTTGCCGACAAATGGCTTGGAAAACTTGAGCCAGATATATACGATGGATCAATCACACCCAGCCAACGAAAGGTGAGCTGACGGGGCAAGCAGCTATTTCTTCGCCGTTGCAGTGCTAACCATACTAACCATAGTATTTCGAAATGATACGCAGTTGGGGTGGCTGGGATCTCTTCCAAGAGTTGCTAACAGTGTTGCGCGTTATTGCCACAAAACATCAGGTCGACATATCAAATGTCGCTACTCGCTGGGTGCTGGATTTTCCCTATGTCGGCGCAGTCATTGTTGGTGCACGTATGGGCATAAGCGAACATACAAATGAGAATTTGTCCAGTTTTGGTTGGTCTCTCGATCAATCAGATCATGATATGATTGAACAGATCTTAATACGAAGCCAAAGGTCTGAAATATTTCACAAAGTAGGTGATTGTGGAGCAGAGTATAGGTAGGGCCAACACCGCAATTGCATAAATTAAAACAATTTTTTTACTTCTTTAGAGCATGTTAGAGAGAGCTAGCCCCAAACTTGGAATGAAGGGTGATTGTGAACTAGAGTAAGTTAGTACTGGCCTTTTTTCTTTACTTCTTTTAACCATCACTTTAAAGAATTGATCGCTCCAGTCAGTGCGATATATCGGCATTGTTCTGATCCATCTACATATTCCCTGCCACCTACTCTATTACCAACCCTCATCAAGCACTGTCAAAGCCTCATAACCACCAGTCTTAACCACTTCGGTGTCCACTACAAAAATAGCAATTGCCTGCGTCGAGGCAGTTTTGCTAGTATTCTCTCCCACAGTATGATGGCAGCCCGGCAGCTCCATAAAACTCTCCCCAGGTTTGTATACCTTGGGAGGGTTACCGTTCATGCCACTCAGGAGTTCGCCTGCAAGAATGTAGGCGACAACGGTGGCGCCGCCGTGCCGATGTGGAGGAGTGAAACCTTCAGGGGGATAGTCTAGATGGACACCAATAATCGATTTCCCAGGTGCATTGGCTAACTCATGGTCAAAGAGGATTTTAATATCTTCTCGCGGTCGGTTTCTAAGGATATAGCTTTAGTAGACTGTGCTGTGCGGTTTTTGTAGTTCATTAAAGCGCTTACATATTTGTCACTGGAGATGCCATGATACTATTTGTTTGGATAGTGTAGGAAGCTCTTGTAATATGAAGCAGAATGGCCTAATGGGGAATGTCTAGGTTCTGCGAAGCTCGAATAACTAAGAGAGCCAGGCAGCTTCTTTTATAGAGGTGAATCATACAAACAAGCTTCAGGTAATACAGTGTCAACCTGTCTTCGGATGATGTGATGCGGGTCAACGCAAGTTGCTCATAGTCATATAGTGACTTGATACACCTATCACATAGCTAATCAGCCTACGGCGAATGATATCTGACTTGACAGGTATAGGTTAGTCATTTGCCCGTCAGTCGGGTCGGGTCATTCACGCTGACTCCACAATCGGGTCGATTTTGCGTTTCCGAACCACCGACCCGAATACGTTTATGCCATTACCCGATCCTTGCTCACATTAAGTAACCCTTCATTGACGAAATACTCACAAAAATTCCCATCCATCATTTCTTTACGACATAGTTACCGGCTAAAGGGAGATGGGCGTAGTCGTCAAGAAGTCTCAAGCTATTACTCACTTCCGGCATTTAAATACCGTCACACCTGAATGGAAAATATTCTGCTACTTCCAGCCACAACATCCTCGTATACACTCACCAGGCTTAAACTGTATCTCCAATTCGCAAACAAAATCAACAAAACTCTTAATTTCACTCAATTTTTTTTTTATCCACAGTAGCAAAATGAAAGCTATTCAGATTTTGGGCAGCCAAGATGACCACAATGTTATTCTCTCAAACTCTCTACCACGGCCAATTCCTACCGGAAATCAGGTTCTTATCAAGGTCCACGCAGCTGGGATCACGGCTGACGAAATCATCTGGCCTGAGTTATATGCTTCTCCCAACAGAGTTCCTGGGCATGATATATCGGGCACAGTCGAATCCCTCGGATCCCAGTATGAGGGACCTCTATCTCTTGGGCAAAACGTTTATGCTATGATTGATGCAGAGGCTCCTCAGGGTGGCCAGGCAGAATACGTAATTGCTATGCCGAATGAGATAGCTATCAAGCCCTCATCCATTTCTCATGCGGAAGCAGCAGCAATTCCCATCCCGGCATTGACAGCTTGGGAAGCACTCTTCAAGCGCACGAATCTGGATCACGGCAGCAAAATCCTTGTAACAGGCGCCTCAGGAGCTGTTGGTGTTATGTTTGTACAGATCGCAAAGAAGCTTCTCAGTGCAGAGGTCATCGCCCTAGCTTCTACTTCAAGCAACACTATGTTAGCAGAATTAGGGGCAAACCAGGTCGTGGACTATAACAATCTTAATTGGCACCAAGGGATTCACGACGTGGATGCAGTTTTTGACACTGTTGGTGGAGAAATATTGACCAAGACTTGGAGTACGGTGAAGAAATCTGGCATCGTTGTAACAGTAGCAGATCCAGCCCCTAAATGGGCTTTCGGCAGGGGACAGCCTGAAGAACTGCAAGACCATCCGGAAGTTAGGTGGCTACACTTTATCCTTTCCCCAGACGGCGATACCCTTTCCAGGGTGGCCTCGCTTATAGACGATGGCACTCTGAAACCCATTCCTGTTGTGGCTTTCGAGGCGGAACGAGCGATTGAGGCTTGGAAATTTGCAGCACAAAGAGGCAGGAAAGGAAAAGCGGTACTCGAATTCGTTGCTGAAAAGTAATTGGGCAGTGGTGAATTGCAAATTCTTTCAAGCAGCTCCGCTCCGCTATTAGACACGCCGTTTATATATCTTCCATCAAAATTTCCCACTCTTTGCCCACATCTGATACATCAACGCCTTCTGATGCCCCATTGATGAGCGTTATGTCTTCAAGGCTTGTCATAGCTTGAATACATGGGAAATCGATCCGCCCAGTAACGTCCTGCTTCTCGAGAACTTCTCTTGCCATTAGCTTTATCTCACCCGACCAGTGTCGTGCCTGCGACCATATTCTGGTAAATGCCTTCAGTACTCCTAAAAATACCCGAATTCGATCTTTTGCATGTACTAGCTCGGGACCCGCCAAAATATGTTCACAGCCAGACAGATACGTGGCTACGGCCAGTGATCCCATGCACATTACAAAGGGGCTGTGCGTTAAGGGGGAAGAAGAAGCGGTTAGTAAATCGACAAAATTCTTTGCCGCATTGATCGCCTTATGTGTGTGTCTGTCGCGATGCTGTTCTTCAGCGCTTAGAACTTCTGCAGGTAGCGGTGGTGCATATTTTGAGCATAAAAGTTCCATCGTGGTGTAGTGCAGTGTCGATCTCGGTCGATGTAGGTGAGTAGATGTACTACAGTGTTGTTGTTAGTTATAACAAAATAACCGCCGTGTTGGAGAAGAGAAAGAATAAGTCGAATTCTTTCTAGGGATATATTCTCACGTATGTATCGCCATATGGGCCTTGAATAATACTTCATCCACTGTTCCATTGGATTGGACAGGGTCGCGTTTCGCACGAGGTAAATGCAAATCCCAGCTCATTAGGTTTGCCTCAGCATTCTGAACCAAAGTATACGCGGATTTGTTGGCAACATCACCAGCGGCTAACGTCGTCCCAAGTATCCGAGTGGCATCGATGAGATATGCAAAAGAGGAAAAGCTTTCATCGTCGTCATCGAATCCACGATTATCGTACTCACGAAGGGTTCGAGGTTGAGGAATCATCTGAGAAATAGTTAGTGGAAAAGGAAACTGAAGTTAATTAACGTTGGAAGTGACTTGTCTCACCCCTGCAATGTATAACTCTTCTTCACAGGGAATCTCAACATCTGCATCTACTCCCCAAAATGTGAATGTAGGCAGGTGGCGAATGCCGGCGAAGAGTGCATCAATCACATAGAGCTCCCACCAGGTGCGTCGCCAGCTTTCTTCCAAAACCCCATCTCCCATGCCGCAACGGGAAGCAAAATCTCGCCGTTGAATGCCTATTTCCAGACCCATAGCCTTTGCTCGTTCAAGATATATCGCTGCTCTCTCATTTTCGCCCGACCATTCCAGGGTGAGGGCAAACAGCATCAGAGCTTGAACATTAAAACCATGAGGCGCAAGTCGGCTCCCCAAAGCCTGCTCAGCTTGCTGCTTATATTCGTCTGACAGCGAATCGTGAGTATATAGCGAACCAATGAAGACGATCATCAGAACCAGTTCACGGCTGAAATCCGGGTTCTTCTCGAAGTGGCGCATCAAGTGTGCTTGCGGTAGTATGAATGGATGGCCCGGGAAGAAAAATTTATAAAATCCGTCGACTGGTCTGCTTGATAGAGGGTCATTATCCGCAAACACGGTTGGCCGGAAAGCATTGCCAGCCGCGACAAAGATTGGTAAGAGAGGGCTCGATTGCCCTGGATGTAACCGAGATCCCTCAGAAAGCCGGCTCTGTTGACGAGCTGCAGTGCCGTTTCTGGCTTCTACCGTAGAATCATCGTAATGCTCCGAGTGCATCGACTTTTCGATTTCGGCTTGTCTCCGGCGGCTTCGCCGTAAATCCAAGTAGACACACGTTTTGTGTAAGTTGCGACATCTGGAACAGGTCGGCACGACGGCATCGCACCGCAGATGCTGGCTGCGACACTCGGTGCATGCTATCGCAACCCGCCCCTTGATTCTTCTCTCGCCGCTTCTTGGTGTGGTCGTCTCGCCTTCCATTTTCAGGCGGGATGTAAACGGTAGCTTGGGAGATTCAGCGTCGACCGAATTTATGCATCTGGGTCCAGCAGTGCGACCGCCGGAGAAACTGTCCGACTCCGCCACCATAAGAATTATAGCACCACTACTCCGTGTCCAAAGTAGCATATCGACTGTCACTGGCCCATCCCATCTCCGGTTTCCTTTCTGAGCATTGAAAACCAGTACATGCAACTCCCTATTCACATCTGCGAAGGCAGTTGATAAGCGATTCTGCCCTTCTTCGGCAAAAGCTAGTCCATATGATGTGGGGGGAAAACGAGCTGCTTCTGTGGCAAAAACAAGTCAAGGTCAATCAGTGGATAAATATTCGGTTGATCAATACTTTAAAACAATCCCGGCGTACAACAACAATCATCTAGACACTCATCCGCATAAAGTCCATATATGCAACGAATTTTTGAGGTATCAACAAATTTATCATAAATATTCTAGACGTTCTCTATGGCCCTTTATGCCGGTAAAGCTCTTCTCTATGTCTATTCTATTGTGTCAGATGCTCTATAAATATATTCCTTTCTCTCCAAATAACGCCCCCACCCCCCAAAAAAAGGAAGAAAAAGAAAATTGTTAATGTATCAAGACTATTCACGCCCATCCAATCTTGAAGAGTTTATAACCAATTTCGTCGGCTCGTCCAATGTTGTCCTTCTTGTCTATCCACTGGTGGTCCAGAATCTTCAGATGCCGGCAGCCATTAACACCAGATGCGTCTGGCTCAGCGAATATAGCCTGTATCGAATCACAAACGCCGGCAAACTTGCCATTAGGTCTGATGGAAACCATCAACCAAAAGACACCGTTTGGCGCGAGTAAATAAGTAGCGCAATGCCGAAGCCATCGAGCGTGCTCTGCAGCATAGACAACATCTGCTGCCACAATGATGTCTGCAGGTACATCTAGGGGAGGCTGCCGCGTGGGCGCGCACCAATCAAGATGAGCTACCTGCACCACTGCCGTAGATCCTTCTTTGCAATGGGAAGCCACATTCTTTTCCAAGTTCTTTAATACGGTAGGATGGTAGTCCGTCGCAACAATAGACGGCAGTGAATCGGATATCGAGGGCAAAAGGCTTGCAAGTACCAGACTGACAAGACCTGTCCCAGCGCCAAGCTCAACGATTCGTATGGAGGAATCAAGTGTCGGCGTGTTCGACAGAAAATCCATGGGCGTATCGCAAAACATCTGAGAGAACGCGATGGATGCTCCCCAAGTTTGCAAGCCAACATCAGTGTGATCTTCACCAGTTTGCATGGGAGTATCGTAAAGATCAACCACAAATGGTTTTGGGCTGTTGCTAGTCGAGAATTGGAATCGGCGCGTCATGCCGGGATCGTCATCTGGCGTATTGGAGCCATCTTCGGTAGATGTCAAATGTGACAGTACCGAACACGCCGCATCCACAAACTCGTCACGCGTGTCATCGCTCAGAGAGAACTCCCCGGCTTGTCCAATAAATCCGGTGAGCCAGCGAACGGCGAAGTCGCGTTCTATAGGGTCCAAATACAGAGGGATTGCCTTGTCCGCTTTGGATGCCTCATCAGCATCATTTTCGGATGTATAACCAGAGTCTGGCGCGGATGCGTCCTGATTGTGGCCGAATGATTCCAACTCAAGCACTTGTGGGATTGGATAGTACGAAAACTCGTGAAGCCGACCCAAAGCTTGCCGTGCCTCAGCCTCAGTGAGATTAGCCGATTTCCTGAGGGGTGGCAGACTTAGAGAGAGCGGAACCAGGGGAGTCTCCACATCAGGCAACCCCATTGTAAGGGCACAGTTTCCACGAAGACAGCCTGATATTGGCAAAGGAAATATTTACAGAGATATTTTTTTTTTCTTCTCCTTTTCTTCCCTTTTCACGGTTTCTATGGTGGATAACCCTTCGCCCCTCCGATATCCGTCAAACTAGGCCACGTGGGGCTTATTGCTGGTGAAAATTTTTGATACTCTCGTGGAGATAAGTTTTCAGGGTCTAACGAGCCTTTTTTGGTAAGACTCTGTGGAGACGTGCTCTGGAGATAATGAGAGTAAGCTAAATCGCTTGGGGTACGTGCACGTGGGAGGTTGAGCCAATGCTGCATCCGCTCGACGGATGTTGATGATATTTCTTGTTAGTGAACGATTGAGAAAAGCCGAGAAAATTGAAAGTATCCTTCCGTAATATAGTATACTCAATAGAATAAGCTATTATCTCCAGGGTGGCCTAAAGTTTATCTGATTTGCCCGATTTTGAACGAGCCTTTTTTTTTTAAATGAAAATAAAAATTGGCGTTTCGGGGTTTGTTTTAGTCGCGGCTTCATAGGGTAGGCAAGTAGGCTAATTGTCGATACTGAGGAACGACTGATAGTGGGATCACGTAAATGGGAAGGGAAGGAAGCACAAGATGTCGACTTGTTGTTTTCTCAATTATGGACTATAGTAGACCGGAATGCGCTAAATAGTGAGCCGTGATCACTACAGGATTTTAAATGTGTTCTAACATGGAAACCGACTTTAGCGTTAGCTGATAGATGGTGATCGTGGAATATTTCACGAGTAAATTTTGCTCTTTTCATGTGGCAAATTATAATCATAACAGGCATAACTTGCAGTGCGTATTGTAAAAATGTTGAAGTATCTGACCGGCTGTTTCACCTCTGAGTGAGTTTAGCATTTATAACTACTAAGGTACATGATTCTAAAGCCTGGCGGAGCTTGTACTAAACCAGATCTTGTAGCTGGCATCGAGTCTAAATGCCGTTAGAAATGAACAATCTATACTGTTATTTCTAGAAAAATTGCACACCTCGTGACTCTGCTTGGATCCCAACCCGAGTTCTATGCTGATCCCCCAACCACCTTGCGGACGGAGATAAGATTGTCAATTGGCGCATCATCTTTGATCAGCTGCCAAAGGCCCTCCAGCTGTTCAACTACTGAAGCCTCAAGAGGGCCCTTATCAAGCTCTGCCAAGGCCTCCTCCAATTGCTGAGCGGTCACAGAGCCCAGGATCATTTCATCTCCTAGCTCTGACTTAAGCGCTGAATGATATCTTACCCAACGATAAGCCAACCCTGATCGGCTTACACCGGTTTCTGAAGAGAGCTTCCCAAATTCCTCCAACATCTTCAAATACGACGGCTTATAGTAGAGGTCCCGAAAGATCTTGCCAGTGATGGTATTAGGATCCCAATTGCCCTTTCCCGCTTCAATATACTCTGGAGTTTTTGACAGCAGCCCTCCTGCCATTGGTGAGTAAGCCTGGATTGCGATACCCAGTTTGCGGAGAGTTGGGAACAGCCTAGTTTCGTTCTGACGAACAGCCAGAGAATAACTAGACTGATATACTGTAGGAAGGACATAATCTTTGGATTTGGCGTAGTTGTAGAATTCAATCACCTGCTCCGGAGTGAAGTTGGATACTCCAAACACCTCAAAAGCCCCCTGCTTATACAGAGTTTGGATGGATTCCATTTGCACATGTACTGGCGTGTCTTCATCCTTTTGGTTTGAAAGCAAGAATTAGAGGCGGCATTTAATACGAGATTAGAGTAAGAAAGTCAGCTACTCACCGGGGCATGCAAAAAGAAAACTCGAACCTATTTGTACAGTCAAAATCTAAGCAAGAGTATAGTGTGTAAAATGCATTCGCAATTAACCTTGGTAGTTTGCAGAGCTTCTAAGCTCTCTTTGGCAAATTCTAAAATCTTCTGCCCCGTACCAGGTGCCACGCCGGTAGCAGCTTTTGTATCAATGGCGAATTCACCAGCCAGCTTTTTGAGTCCGATAACGGTCTCTGATGCACCGAGGCCCTGCGTTGTCCCAATGTTTATTAGCCATTCCGTCGATTTTCAAAAACAAAGAAGGAAGAAACTGATTTGCATACATAGCTTCTGGCAGTGTCAATGATCTTGATTCCATGGTTGCGCATAACATTCAAGAGACTCTCAACCTCTGTAATGTTGTTGGAAGACCAAGTATGCGAACCGATGGCGAGTGAAACATATTTAGAAGACATCGTGATACGGAGATGTTGCGGTGTGCAATCGATTGGCGAAAGTGTAGGATCTGTCCTTTATTAACTTCTCTCCCAATGACTATGAACCGGAATCATTGTTCCAAAAAAGCGGGAGATGGAAGACACATGTCTTTTTATGTACTGGAGTTCATTAATCACTTCCATTGTTATTGACTGTTATTTCCGCTCATCACTTCAAAGGGAATAGTATACATGACTTCCAATGGCCGTCGGCTATAAGTAAAAAACAATTTGTCTGACTTGCTAATTTCTCCGGCGTTAGCGTGAGATATCTGGCGCTACAAGAGGACTCGGAAATATTTGTCAGCTCATTTGCCCCGCTACCATTCAATGAGAAGCTCTGGCCATTACAAACGAACGAGAATTCCATATATAGACAAACATTTTATTGTGAACCCGAACTGTACATTCGGGCGACTCGACAAAATAATATAATGAAGAGCGGTAAACCAATGACGAATCCTCAGGCTGATACTGCCCCACGGCGCCGACCTGGGCGCCCACGAATGATGGAGACAGGTCATGAGACAGCGAATGACGAAGCGGTAAGTCCATCCCCCTTTCCGGACGTGATATCAATTCAAACGCATCTAATTTATCCAACAAGAGAAAAACTCGAATGAGGCTGGCGCAGCGGTCGTATCGTAGCCGGAAACAAAGCGCACTTATAAATGCAAAAACTCGAGCTGAAGTGCTTGAGGTGGCTTTGGATGGCTCCATTGACGAGTTTATAAAATTTTATGAGAGTGTCTCAAAGAGAGGCAAAGAACTACCTGCGGGCATCATGATGCAGCTCAACCAAACAGCGATGAATATCGTATCTATAGCGAGGAAGGCTCGATTGGAGAAGTCCATGTTGCCCGGCAACCAGAACCAGTCTCTAGATGACGACGCAACAACCTCGCTGGATGAGTCTGATGCTACTCATGAGCCTACCTGTCGTCTGACTGGGAATTTCACGGCACTTGAGCACCAAAAGGCCGGATATTATCATCCTCAGGGCCAGTACGGACCATTGACTAGGAGCAAGCCGGCTCCTGTGTCGCAGCGGCTCCTATTGGCCTGTCTGACAAGGGCCATAGCACTTTTGCAGCTGGGTAACTTCCCCGTCGTTGCAATTAATCCGGCGATGCTTCTACCACTGCAATTGGAGCGAGCAGAAAGACTTCTAGAAAGAGTTGCTCATCGCCTTTCTGGGAACCCTAGCGCATTCTTTTCGGACTGTCAATATAGCGATGGACTAAACGCGTGTTTACCCAAGATGATGCGTCTCATCGAAGGAAACCTGAACACATTAACGCCACGAATATCACCACCAAAATTGCAAAGCTTACAATTTGGGCGGACAAGAACGATGCTTCACACTGCTATTTCGGATCTCCAAGGAGAATGGTTAGAGGCGCCAGATGTTGAAGAATACCTTGAGCAGCGAGGGATATTCGTTCGCATGGGCTCGCCTAGTGATGTTATTAGCCTATCAACTCCGACGACTGACGACCAACCACTGCTAAAAACAGCTAGATTGGGTATGCCAAGATCGCAAGGTGACATTAATTCTCGCTTGAATACATTTGGAGAGATATCAAATCCTCAAAAAGACGCAACGCCAGATGAATCGCTTATCATACTTGAGAACCAGGCCTACAAATCTGGAGGCCATAGACCCAATACAACGACGAGGCGTGCTGCTATTCCGGAACACGACTTTACAATATTTGGCAGATTGTTCCAAGAGGGTCAAACTGTGCCGACGGGACAAAACAATTTCACATTGTCGGAAGGGTATCCAGAGATGCGTACTCTAACTGACAATGCAGCAACAAGCCAACAAGCAAAAGAGAGCCTCCAGATAACAATTGATATCGATAAACTAATCCAAGGACTTGCCGAGAAGGCAGTGTGTCTTGGGCCATGTCCTGGAATTAAGAGGATACATGTCGACGAAGCAATTAGAGGATCAGTGAGTAATATTCAACAGTAATTGGTATTTTGCCGATCTCGAGGAATAGTCATACCAAGTTTTGGTGCTTATAGGAATGTTATAAACGATTCAATATGTAAGTAATGGATAAATATTAGCGCACAGTATATGTAGCATTGTTTGGATGGAGAATTCTAATAAACAAGGTCTTTCCTAAGCGTAGTTATGAACAAGCAAGTTTCAATTTGTCTTTCTTTTCTTTCACACCTACTTTTCTGTGGTGACTAGTAGTTTGCGAAATGATTATAGGCAGCTTCTAGCTGATTGAAAGTATTTAACGCCATGGGCATTGCCACCTTCACACTCCAGCACAAGAACGAGATCATGTGTACTGCCATAGTGACTGGCCGTCAACATCGACTATGTAATGGTACTGTATTGAACAGTTCACGGACCGAAAGGCTCAAAAACTGCGATTGTAGATATGGAAATACTTCAGCCACACTGCAGGGGCAATCCTGACTGAGCATTTACAAAATAGCTGAACTCATATTTGGGACAAACCTGCAAGCTGCCAGCGAATCTAACCTACTTTCAGACTTCCTTGCCAGAAAGAGTAGGGAAGCGATAAAATAAAACTGAAGACAACGTGAAGACGAAATGATTCTACTTCGTAGCTTTTATCAGATTACGAGGCAGTGGGGCGCGTCGAGACATTTTGGATACATTTATGGTGTGTACGAAAGAAATACAACAAAACTGCACTAACTAATAGTTTAGTAATAGTCTCTGTTTAATGTCAACTCGTAGAAGTATTAGGCCGAGTTTGGTGAGGTGATGACATGTGAGGCTGACGTGTTTTTAACGAGATGTTTACGGAAGCAAAACGTTCGCCACAAATACATGAAATAACGATTACTTTGATGTCTCTCAAAATAATAAGTAATAGAGCTACGTTTAGAAGATTTTCTCCCGCATACTATTGGATAATTACTGGTGCACTCATTCTTCTCTTCTCGCAAAAAGTAACCGTCGTTTTAAGCAGTAAGAATGCTGCATTAGTGGATGCAGCTATTGCCTGCTTACTCTGGGCTTACGTGGTACGGTAGTGGGATGGGGTTGGACTTCATTTTAGTAGCGAATGTACGAAGTACTCCATACCACTAGATTAAGAGGTGGAATGGAGGAATATGGATCCCACGCTCGAACGCTTGTAACCTTAGCCTATATCTGACATAGCTGCCACAGACTCCATACGAATGGACTAGTAAAATGCTGCGTAATCGCTTGTCTGGCATGGTTGGGTATGTATTATGTTCGTGCACCTGTGGTAGTAATTTCGGCGTCTATACAATATAAAAATTGTCGTTCAGGCATCAGCGAGTATAACAAATTCCGGTTGCGGTGAGGCTTATTTTGATCGATTTAACGAAACACGTACTCCATTAAGGCCAGAGACGGTCAATGCAATCTTTTCCTGCCACGGTCTTTGATCTTTTAACTCAATGGTCTCAAAATGCTGAAGGAATCGAATAAGGACGTAGCTCGCCTCTATGAGAGCGAATTGTTCTAGAGGTTGATGGAGTTAGCTAAACAATGAATGCACTTGGTGATTAAATATTCCGGTCACTCACGGCCGATGCAAATTCTTGGGCCGCCATTGAATGGGAGGAACTCCCATGACAGCCGCAGTGATTGCCATCGAGAGGGGTTGAATTCCTCGGCATCAGTACCGTAAACGTCTTGCCGACGATGAAGGCCAAACACATTATAGATGACAGGAGTCCCTTGTGGGATGAACAGGGGCGATTTTCCATCTCGCCCGCCCCCCCTCGGAAGGACTGTGTCGCAGTTTGCGACTCGTGAGTTAACAGGAACGGGTGGATATAATCTTAAAGCTGTAACAGAAGTTTGTTAACTCAGTTACATATAATAGCTCTGTTACGTCGACTGAGTGCTGGGCGAGGGAAGGAATGGGGGAACAGCTCACCTTCATTGATCGTATAACAAATATATTTGCATTGCGGTATTTCCTCGAACGTCGGCGGCTTGTTTTGGAACTGATCCTGTACCTCTTTTCGTAGCATTGACCACAATTGCGGCCGTGATGACAGCATGAAGAAGACGTTACTAATAAGACTGGCTGTGGTATCTCGCCCAGCGATGAGAATATTAAGAACTTCATCCCGAATTTGGATTGGATCTTTCACATCTTCAACTAGAGCTCGCAGCAGTACATATGGCTGTGTCTTGGAATCCAAGTCATTTTCTTGCAGAGCCTTCTGAACAAATTCGTCAACAAATTTGTGTACCACACGTACGTGATGGTGGAATTTTGGATCTGGTTTTAGTAGAGCCCATTTGCCTAATGCAATATGCATTGCCATTCGATCTTGAGCGTACTGAACTGACTCCGCAAATCCCTCCAGTTTGCTATGATAGCCATCCTGATTCACCAATAAACTATTAGTCGACTCTCCAAAAAGAAAGTCAGTGGCCATATCCATAGTAAAGCGCAGTAGTAACTCTTGAAGCTCTACTTCTTCCCCATCGGGAATAATGTCAATCAAACAGTTGACATGACTTTCTAACATGGACAAGTCCATGAGCTGTGAGCGAGCGAATTGTGGTCGAAGAAGAGCACGCGAATGAGCCCAAGAAGATCCGTCGGAGCTGAAAATACCATTTCCAAGTAGTGGGTTTAGTGCCTTCGTCCTCTCATCATGGAGGCTGTAATCTTTGAAACGGATCGAAAGAACAGTCTTAATGATTTCTTCATCTCTGGTCATAATACCTGTATCATTAAGACCCAGCAGGTCAGCCTCTCCATGAGAATCAATAGTTCATGCGAATCATTCAATAGACATACCAATTGTCCCCAACATGTTGAGCTGATATGTTTCTCCGACTTCATCGTGTCGTTTGGTCACAGTTTCCAGAAACTGGTGGTTAGTAACCGCCTTGATGTTACGGATGAAGACATCGATCCCGAAGAATGGATCTTTGTGGGGATATTTCTTATGAATAGGTTCACATCCATATTGTCGTGAAAATTCTTGCTGCCTCTTTGCCCTACTGATTCTATGGGAGACGAACCTGAAGACACAGTAGACAACGACTCCGAGGTACAGGGTCAAGGCGATACGACTGAAGTCCATGGTGTTGACAAAGCAATGACATAAGCTAGTGGAAACCAATGAATTGCCACTAACTTCAACTGTGATACAGGTCCCCCCTATCTTAAATAGGTTGGTACTTGTAGCCGAAAGCGCTTGCTTTCTGTCGGGAAGATGCTCGGCCTATTTATGACGGCTAGCACTGAGTTGGGTAATTGGTGGATTGATAGTACGACCGAATATACACATACAAATGTAAAATATCCACCTTCGTACGAGCACCGGGATCGGGTTCAGCAGAAGGGTCTCGACTCTGGATACACGCGAGCTCGTATACACATATATTGCAGAGAAGGCCAGGGTCATGCTAAAGCTAGGCGTAATTATCGTTGGGCTCTTGCGTAACCACCAGCCACCAAGCGTTTTGGTTGTTCCTTCCTGTGTCAGTCCCAGCTTAGCCCTTGTTTCTCAATTTTGCTGAATTCACCTCTTACCAGAGATTACATAACCCCTCTTTTAAAGATGAAGATTCTTTGTTTACACGGACGAGGCTCCAATAATGAGGTAATTCCTTCACCGATGATGTCTGCAAACAACTCGCTAGCGGATTGAGCTAACAGCTGCGCGGCATCATACTATAGATCTTCCAAGCTCAGACTGCTGCACTTCGCAGTATTTTAGATGACTTCACGTTTGACTTTGTGCAAGGGACAGAGCTTCACACCGAAGGTATGCCAACGTTTCTCACACAGTACTGCAGTTCTTGTGTTCCGATCTTAACAACACGTTAGGTAATTGGTCGGTATTTACTACTCAGTTCTCCAACTTGCCCCAGTATGCATACTACAATCCTCTGGTTCCCTCCTCAGTGGTAGAGGCTGAAGATCATTTATTGGATCTCATCGAGCAAGAGGGGGGGTTTGATGGAGTATTGGGTTACTCCGGGGGGGCCGCCTTTGCAGCTCAAGTAATCATCCGACACAGCCAAAGGGATACGGTCGAGCCATTGTTTCGTTTCGCAGTATTCATTAACGGAGGGACACCGCTTAAAGCCTTCTCTTTGAATGAAGAGAAGGTGCTGGTGGACGTGGTGGATACTACGGTGCTTGATAAGGAACTGGAGGATACCTACTTGCGCCCATCGAACATGCGAGTCCGTAAGGGCGATAGCAGAGAAGAGGCAGAAAAGGCCATTGAATCTAGAAAGAAAGAGATCAAAGCAGTCAAAACAGGCATGCTCGCTGATGGAAGATATTGTTTAACAGATGGCAAACTTGGGTTGACAAGATACGGAGCAGAGGATGGGCCTCTTATTGACATTCCATCACTGCACATTCGTTGTCCAAATGAAGACGATGCCGACTTGGGACTTAATTTGTTGAATCTTTGCAATCCAGAGTTAGCTCGGGAGCACCATCATCCCTTTGGACATGATTTCCCCAGAGGTCAAGACGAAATGCGAAAGATTGCAGAAAGGATTATGGAGGTGGCGGAATTAGCATAAATGTATTACTAGAGTGGCCAAGAGAAAGTGCTAAGTAAAGACCTCCATAGACTATTGACCAGCAAAGAAACAATATTTCTCAAACCTTTCTCATAACTGCTGTTTCGATCTTCTATGATTTGCACTTCGGCCACTGTCGCTCCTAGTCCATTCGAGGCGCAAGACCCATTAATCACTAGCTTTAGAAATCGAAATTGAATCGATTTTTCGAATTCAACAGCCGTCATATTACCTTCTCTTACTCGGACAATTCGTGCTCTTTGTGCATCGTATGGTGCTGATATCTCCACTTTTTGGGTAGGAAACAGCTCTTTGAAGCCGCTTTTCGCCTCATCACATCCGGATAGACTAAAGGTAGAAGGTGGCACCGCGCCCCAATTAAGTATGACTTTTGAGATCTTCCGTGGTTTTCCGATGTCAATTACAACAGAGGCCTTCTGGGGAGTGGCGGGCTGCCAAACGGTTGAATTAGACCCGTCAACTATTGCGTAAGGATAATTCCCAGCAACCCACTCAGTGTCAGACCCAACTGGCCGACACAGAGCCAAATCTTCTTGCGCGTGGCTAATATCTGGACGCCTTGTCGGGATAACAATCGACTCTCCTGCGCTCAGGCGATATTCTTTTATCGCCGGGTTTCCTCCCAAGATCTCCAAGATTACATGCTTTTTGCCAACCGAGCTTGTCTGTCGTCGGTTGATCGTAGTGTTATGCATTTCAATGGCCAAATCGAACGTTGCATTTTGCCATTTCATTCCTTTAATTTGGATTCCATCTGGTAGCTGAGGGGGTAACATAGGGTCCAAATAAAACGAGTTTATATTTGGCCTCATGCCAGTCAATCCGTGGGTTAACACTTGCAAGAAACCTCCCGCCCCCGTAAGGAACGGAAATGCTGGATTCAATCCGAAAATGAACGCTGGGTTGTCTACCCCTGGTGGCTGCGTATCCAACTGAGTCTCGCTGAACTGATAGAAGGGCTGACGAATATATGATTCTGATGAACGCTGAAGATATGTATAAGCAGCGCAGCCTTTCTGTTGTAATTGGGCTTCAGATATTGCATATATAGACCATGTCATTGCCGGGCCATCTGCCGTATTAACCGAAGAATACTGATGCTACACATTAGTTTGACGTTTCAAAATTCAAATGCGAATGGGGTAACAAACGTATGCAACGTCGTTTCTTGCTTGTGTATCGCTAAATTGAAACTGTAGCGGATAATGGATTAACCCCGTGCTCGCCTGCTTGGTCATCCACGTTCCATCCATACCATCGAACTCGATAATAATTTTTTCCATTTCATTATAAGGAATATACATATTCTGGGAAATGTAAGACCAGTTTTTGGGAACTTCTAGGTTCAATCGATTCGCGGCTGATGGTGCCCAGTCGCCGAGTAGCTGCTTGATTCCAACGTTGGTATATGCGCCGTTGTTGATATTATACGCAAATTCGTCCTACAATTTGGTTCGTTCGGTTAGCATGGAAAAAGGAGTCATGGAAAATTGTCCAACTTAGGCATACCGGTTCTCCCAATTTTATGGTTTCGTATTTTCCAGTAGAAGAATTATGAACCACGTATGCAGCAAACATCTCAGCGATTTTGTTTATGATCGGCCATCCTCTTTTGGCAAGCCAGCCCAGATCATTCGTTTGTTGGAAATACTGCCAATGAGCCAAGGCAATATCTGTGTTGATGTGATACTGGTAACCCTTGCACACCCCCGTTCCCGTGCAGTTGCCAAACCGGCCACTTGTCCATGGATAAAGCGCTCCAGAGAAGTTGTAATACTGTGCATTCTCAATAGCTTGATTTAGAAGTCGGCCGCGATATTTGTTGATGCTCGCGGCGTACTGGGGATAAAGAGAAAGAATAGAAGGATAGATCCATGTGTCTGCATCCCAGAATATCAGACCAGCGTAAGAATCGCTTGATAACCCCCCAACAGAAATTGAGTTGCCGGCCAACCCTGCGTCTTCAGGAAGAAGATTGGTGAGAATGTGGAAAAGAGAGGCACGTGTACGGAATTGCAAGTCTTGGTCCCCCGGAATGACAATATCGACATCATCCCAAACAGCGTCCCATTTCTCCGTGTGCTCGGTTATCAGCTCATCCCATGATGTCGATCTTGCCAAGATCGCCGCATCCTTCACAATCGATAGCGTGTTGGTAGGAAAAGCCGCAGTAGATCCTATGCCAACGAACTTGTAAATTGTCAGGGTATCTCCCCGCTTCAAACGCCAGTCCCAGACTTGCGAGATGGTGCTACTATTAGTGGAGACCCAGGGATACCCCCCACCGTCCTTTCTAGTCTCGAATGCTTGTCTCAAGTCATCCAAGCTAGTATTACTCGTGCTCTCAAATTTGACCGTGGAGACCAAATACGCGGTGCAGTAGTCAATTCCTGACGGCTTCACGCTTGTCCAAATTGTTGCATCTGATTCCAGCGATTTGTCATGGAAGTCGGCCCGTACAGCACCAGCTCCATCCAAAATGTCGGTAATTTTAAGCCTCACATCCTGGTCGGCAGAGAGGTCCAAACGAACGATTCCCAAGTTGAGTCTGGCTCTGTGGGCAACGACGGTATAGTTGAGTTGGTAGGTAGTTTTGTCGCTCAGCGGGTTCCACGTTACGTTTGTTTGGACAATTCCATTGCGTATTGAAAATGACTGCATGAAACCCTGTACAGTTGAAGGGTCAATCCCAGGTTTGAAAGTCTGGCCGCTCTCCGTTGTTACTGTAAGACCTGTCCAGTCCGGAATGCCACTGATCACTGATTCACCCCCCCGTTTCAAGTTGTCCGGCGCAATGGTGTGCGTAATGTTCTGCTGAACGTCCCAAAATCCGGAAATAGTTCCAAATGTGGCTCTTGGTTGATCCAGCGGCCAGGCTGCCTTGTCACAGGACCGATTAGTATTGTTCCACAATGAGCGAAGTCGGGATCGTTCGATGATACTGACAGTTTAGCTGGTAATCACCGGTAGAATTATCTTGATATACCCAGTAGCCAATCCCCTCAGCCGGTAACCGCTGGCCAAAGTATCCATTGGCCACGTAAGGAGAGCTTTGATAACGGTTTGGAATGAATTGATTCGTCGACAAAATCCAAGGATCGGAAGAAGCGGAGCTTCCATAGCCCCAAAGAGCTGTAGCCACTGCTACTAAACGGAATGCCATTCTGTTCTTACGGCAGGAGCATACTTCGTATAGCAATTCCGAACAAGGGAGCTTATAAGTCCTTTACTTTTTCTTTTAGAGCTAGCAGCACGGGGTGGTTACATGATCATTCGTTCATCCGTTCCCCTCACTAATGGTCCTTTTGAAACCGTTCATCCACTCTGGTGCATGAGTTGAGTCCGAGTAATTGACCCTAGATGAATATTCTTGGCCCACTATGGATTCTACTACTTAGAGTTACACGCAGGATGAAGGATCAAAATAGTAGTAAAAGTAATAGCGTGGCAATAAAACGTTCCGAGTGTCCGTTGGACCTGATACGGACTTGGTTGCTGCATCAGATAAGCGCTAGATCTGTGAGTTGCCGCATCGTGCATAGCGAATGGACCGAGGGATCCACGCTGACTCTCTAAATTGGCAATCTAGTTTAGATATGCGACGTCTTATCCCGAGACCATGTGCGAGCGTAGCATTCGGAAGGAAAGTATTCGTGACCCATATGATTGGTAGGACGCCTCGATAACCAGCCGTGCCCTAATTACCTCAGCGTTCTAAACATACCGGGAACGGGCCGAAATGCCCAAGGTTACCCCATACCCCATACTCCATACTTCGCGTGCGCTGTCGCACGATGACAGAATTGAGAGAGGATCAAGGCCCAGCGTTATACGAACGACCTAATGCAGGGCACGGGTGCTCGGGCGTAGTTGCAGGAAAATAGATAGTCGTCAGGAATGGTTCCTACACTAAGTTGCTAAAATATGCGCCTACAACTGGATCATTACTAGTGTACTTCTATGAGTGTACTAGTCCTAAGCCATGTACTTTTGTCTTCGAATGGTTACCTGTGTATGGCTACCGGTACACTGTCACCTCCTTCGCGTATGTAGGTGACTTAAACCATGACGTCCTTATTATAATAAAATATCAAATTATTATTATTATCTTGACTTACTAATCACATATATATTGGACAAAAATATCATTTTACTTATATAGTCCCTTTGAAAAGTCTCAAATTTGATAGCAAAAAGTTGCTACTCACTCACTCCATTCTCCTTCAGTATCCATCCTCCTTCAGTAGAACTTCACCACGAAATCTTTCCTCCTGTTACAATGGAGCCCCTTGCTATCATTGGTATGGCCTGTCGGTTCCCCCAGGAGGGAGACAACAATGAAAACTTTTGGAAGATGCTCATGAGCGGTAAATCCGCGATGACGCCGTTTCCCCAGAACCGGTTCAACATGGACGGACATTACCACCCTGATGTTGAGCACGGTGGTACCGTAAGCGAATAAAGTGACTTCTCAATATATATTATACATTTGCTTACAAAAGTCATAGTTTCATGTCAAAGGAGGACATTTTATGGCTGGTGATCCAGTTGAATTTGACAATCAGTTCTTCTCAATACCGAAATCTGAGGTTATGTCGCTTGATCCGCAGCAGCGACTACTGATGGAGAATGTATATCAAGCTCTGGAGAATGGTTAGTTGCTGTGACCGTATTCGTTTGTTTATACATCATTATTAATGTAGCATACTAGCTGGCATTCCATTGGATCGAGCAATAGGGTCGAACACTTCAGTGTTCAGCAGCGGGTTTAACCATGATTACCTTCAATTATTGAATAGCGACCCAGAACTGAAGCTAAAATACAAGCCTATGGGAACCAGCAATTCCATTCTTTCTGGGCGCATAAGCTGGTTCTTTGACTTCAAAGGCCCAAGTTTGACAGTTGACACTGCATGCTCCAGTAGTATGGTTGCCTTTCATTTAGGCGCCCAGAGCTTAAGAGATAACGAGTCTGAAATGTCCGTTATTTGCGGCGTCAATGTTTTCACATATCCTACAGATTGGTTTGGTATGGACCACCATGGATTCTTAGCAGGAGATGGAAAGTCTTACAGCTTTGACCACCGCGCCGGCGGATACTCTCGAGGAGAGGGCGTCGCGACAGTTCTCATCAAGCGACTGTCTACTGCCCTTCGAGACGGCAATACCATCCGCGCGGTGGTGCGTGCGACTGGCCTCAATCAAGATGGAAGGACACCTGGTATCACATTGCCTAGCGCAACCGCACAAGAGCAAATGATACGCGAGGTGTACAAGCGAGGGGGTTTGGACCTAGCGGAAACGGCTTATATCGAGGCTCATGCCACCGGTACTGCTGCTGGAGATCCAATTGAAGCGCGAGCAATCGCCAATTCCTTCAACACTGCTGACCGAGAATCGCCACTGATAGTGGGCGCTGTCAAATCTGCCATTGGACATACAGAAGGAGCCTCAGGACTTGCTGGTATCATTAAGTCTGTGATGGTATTAGAATCTGCAATGATTCCACCTAATACAAACTTCGGAAGAGTGAATCCAAAGATTCCCATTGACAAATGGCGACTTCATCTGCCACTGCAACCTACTCCATGGCCTTCACCAGGCATCAGACAGGTTTCCATCAATTCCTTTGGCTTTTCTGGGACCAATGGTCATGTTGTATTGCAAGATGCACGACATTATCTTCAACAGAATAATTTGGTTGGACTTCATAAGACGTTGCCATATCTCGATCAGGTGAATGGTCACGCAACGAATGGCAACGGCCATATCAATGGCCAAAGCATTAATGGCATAGATGCAGCCAACACCCACAACCATCAGAATGGCGATTCTACAGCAAGCTCCACTCCCCTGATTTTTGCGCTTTCATCCTTTGATGAACAGGGAGTGCAGAGGAACGCCGATTCTCTGGCTAGCTACCTGAATGATCAACTCTCACAGTCTTTAAGCAATGCGCAGAAATATCTGCAAGATCTCGCATATACATTGGCGGCAAAACGGACTGCTTTCCAATGGCGATCGTATTGCCTTGCCAGCAATCCAAATGATTTAGTCAATGCGTTAACCACAAACTCCTCTATTTCGAAGCCACTCAGGACAAGAGCAGCTCCAAGTATTGCTTTCGTCTTTACTGGTCAAGGGGCGCAGTGGTATGCTATGGGGAGGGAATTGTTAATTTTCCCTACCTTTAAAGCAAGTTTAGAAAGCGCTTCGCACTATATGAAAGAGTTGGGCAGTCCGTGGTCTCTATATGGTGAGTGACCTACATTTTTCTTGGCTGAGATGCATGTATCAACCGAAGGATTCGTATAATCCGAAAGATATTAAAAGAGAAATATGTCAGCTGACGCTATGAAACAGAGGAACTCTTAAAGGATCAATCAGAATCTCAAATCGATAAGCCACAATTGGCTCACCCATCTTGCACTGCTATTCAAGTGGCTCTTGTGGACTTGCTTGCATCCTGGAACTTGCGTCCTGCACGCGTGGTGGGCCATTCATCAGGCGAAATTGCAGCTGCCTATTGTGCAGGGAAGATTAACCAACAAACGGCATGGAAGGTGGCCTATTATCGAGGTTACGTCTCAAGTCAAGTGTCAAGCAATGGCTCGATGCTTGCAGTTGGCTTGACGACCTCAGATTTGAATGAGTACCTTCAAAAAGTAGATGCCAAGTTGGCGGGCGAATTGACAGTGGCATGTTACAATAGCCCCAAGAACCACACTGTATCCGGAGACACCGCGAAGATCGACAAAGTGAAGCAAATTCTCGATGAAAGGGATATTTTCGCAAGGAAACTTAAAGTTAAAACAGCATATCATTCGGCACATATGAAGACAGTAGCAGAAGAGTACTTGCATCTCTTGGGCGATATGGAACCATCAGATGCCCAGTTCTCAACTGACATGTACTCCAGCGTCACAGGAGCACGGGTCGATGGCGATATAACGGCACAGTATTGGGTTGACAACCTGATTTCGCCTGTGCGATTCACTGATGCTTTGCTTAAAATGTCATTGGAAAGCTCCAAAAGTTCTATGAGAGTGAATACAAGCAACAGCGCGATTCAGGAAATCATCGAGATTGGACCTCATTCAGCTCTTCGAAGCGCCATCAAGGAGACAATTGCCAGTCATTTCAATGATAACCAGGTTATTGGATACCACGCCGTCCTAGATCGCAACACCCCGGGCGTGGATACTCTACTAAAGACCGTTGGAAACCTGTTTGCACGGGGCAGTGTTATCGACCTCGCTCTCGTGAATCAAGCCTCCTTGTCTGGCTCGAGTGAAAAATTGCCCACTATGCTTACTAACCTTCCTCCCTATGTTTTCAACCATAGTCAAACGACTTGGTATGAAAGTAGGCTGAGTCGCAATTACCGATATCGCAAATATCCTCGTCATGACCTGTTCGGAGCCCCAGTACCTGACTGGAATCCTGAGGAGCCAGTTTGGCGTAACTTTGTACGGATCTCTGAGCAGCCTTGGCTAAGAGACCACGTGGTAGGTGCCCATCAATCGTTTAGCGTATGGCGCGGTGTATGAGAAATTCCAACACGTTATAGGTTACCGGTAGCATTGTATACCCAGGGTAGGATATGCCGCAATATGCCATGTGGATAATTGGGTAATGAAGCTAACTGATCTATAGTGTTGGGTATATCATCATGGCTATAGAGGCTTCCAGGCAGATGGCATCACCAGATTTGAAACTCCTCGGATTCCATCTCAAGGATATTTCGATTAAAAGTGCCCTCATTATTCCAGACAATAAAGACGGCATTGAAGTTAAGTTTTCTATGGTAGGAATGGACGAGTCTAGTCTTGAGAAATCAAAATCCTGGAGAAAATGGACAGTGACAAGCTACAATACTGTGGCAGATAACTGGGTGGAGCATTGCACTGGATATATTCAGACCCAGTATGAAGTCGCTCCAGGACCTATTGACGAAGGTCTCGAAGAAGCGTCGGAGGCACAAGAGTCCAAGAAGATGCTCAAGGACAGTGTCGAATGCTGTACCACACCAACAAGCATCAACTATGACAACTTGGATACTGTTGGGTTGCATTTCGGACCTTTGTTTCAAAATTTGTCAGATGTTGTGGTAAATAAAGGTAAAGGTGAAGTGGCTTCACTCATTACTGTCCCGGATGTTGCCAAAATCATGCCTAAAAATTTTCTTCATCCTCACATGATTCACCCATCCACATTGGATAGCATGATGCATCTTTTTATTGCTGGTATGGATAAATTATTCTCCCTTGGTGACGATTTGATAACATTAACATTGGGAACAGGTGTTCTTGATATCACGGATAAGACTACACTAGAGTCTCCTATGGTCCCCACTTTTATCAGAGAAGTGCGTATTTCTGCTAACACGGAAAGTACTCCTGGACATAAATTCCGAGGATTTGGGGTTTCCAAATTATCAGGTTTCCAAAAGTTCCACAGCGATATCACAATCTGGGACAATGAGACAAATGAAGAAAGAATTGCCGTCAGAGGATGGTCAGGTAAATCCCTTGGATCAGACGTATCTTCTGTGGAGGCGAAGAAACTGTGCCATGTTGTTGAATGGATGCCAGATCTCAATCTTGTTAAGCAACCTCGATTCAAGGCTCAGCTCGCTTCCTATGAGGAGAACAAGGATTATCGACAGAACATCAGACGATTACAATTAGCATCAGTCCTCTTTATAACTCTTGCCCTAGAGGATTTAAAAGACCATCCTGAAAGCAATTACGAAGGCCACTTCAAAAACTATTATGAGTGGTGTATCAAGATTCGGGAAGATCTACATCAAAATTTGCTCCCTCACCTGGACTTTGAAGAATGGAAACGATATATGGCGGATGAATCACTAAGAGAAGATCTCTTCCGCCAAATTACGGAGCACAATGCAGATGGAAGACTGTTGGTTCGGATGGGAAAGAATCTGGCCCCAGTTTTGAGAAAAGTGGTCGACCCTCTGCAATTGATGTTTGGGCAAGACAACATCCTTGATGAACTGTACAGGAATATGGTCGAGTCTGGAAACCTACCTGTTCTTTTGAAGGCTTACCTGGAAATTGTCCATCATAACCGCGTCAACCTTAACATTATGGAGATTGGCGCTGGAACTGGTTCATTATCCGCCCCAGTATTGGAAGCTTTAGGCCCATCTGCCGCTGATGAAGAGAGACTCTTGAATGACTCGTCTATTGCCAAATACACGTATACGGATGTATCATCGGCATTTTTTGAAAAGGCCAAAGACAAGTTTAAGCGATGGAGAAATATTCTCGAATTTCGAACCTTCAATATCGAAAACGAGGCTTCGCAACAAGGATTTGAACAAGGCACATACGATTTTATATTTGCTGGAAATGTCATCCACGCCACTGCTGACCTTGAGAAAGTCTTAACAAATCTTAGATCGCTCTTGAAGCCGGGTGGCAAGTTGGTGATGCACGAGGGTATTCGTCAAGGCATGTATATGACCTCTCTTGGTTGACGCGATGGACTAACACCCAGACTAGATCTTTTATGGCTTCCATTGTCATTTGGTCAGCTAAAGGGATGGTGGTTAAGTGTAGAGCCAAACCGAAAGTGGTGTCCGTCGATATCTGAGCCTGAGTGGGATACCGTGCTTCGCCAAGCTGGCTTCACTGGGATCACAACCATTCTCCAAGATCGTGAAGTTGCCGATATCTGTGGACAGAGTATAATGGTTGCTGAAAATAACGAAGTCATCGGTCTCCAAGATGCTAACAGAAAAGTACATATCATCTCATCAGCAGCAACACAGAGTTTGGCAACTGCTCTTCAGTCCAGAATCACAAGCGATTTCGGTTACAAACATTGCTCAATTGTCAGCCTGTCAGATTTATCAAACACTGAGCTGATATACGACACATGCATTTCACTCATTGATTTGGAAAAGCCTCTTCTTTCTCAGCTCACTGAACAACAATACAATGACTTAAACCATGTTATTGCTACGAGTGATGGGATACTATGGATCTCGGGGGATTTCCAGAAAGATCCCTCGCAATATATGATCACGGGCCTTATACGGACAGTTAGATGGGAGCGTGATCTAGATGCCCCCAACTTGATCACGCTGGCGGCTGCAGAGCCTCGACCAGAAGATGACCAATTTATCGAATCAATATTGTCTGTTTTCAAGCACCAGTTTGTAGACAATATTGACTATGATAGCAAAAACGCCGAGTACTTCCTGAAAAATAACGAGCTGCTAACAAATCGTCTCATCGATGCTCAAAACACGAATGGCTTCATCCACTCCAACTTTGCGGAAGCGGACCCTGAGCATGGGCCTCTTGGGGAGGCTGGACGACCAATCATGCTAGATACCTACTCTCCAGGATCACTGAGTGCCCTCCACTTTGCAACAGATCCGGTTTGGGCCCGCCCAATGGCCGAATATGAGGTAGAAGTGGAAATTAGAGCTGTCGGTCTTAATTTCCGAGACGTCCTGATTGCCATGGGGGAACACGTTGCGGCATGTCTTGGAAATGAAGCTGCAGGCTATGTCTCCCGCATTGGCTCCAAAGTCACCAACGTCCAAGTCGGTGATAGGGTGGTCTACATGAATGGACTTGTTGATGGTGGATGTCTCAAGACCTTTGGAAGACAAAGTGAGGATGCTGTGGTAAAGCTTCCGGATTCTGTGAGTTTCGAGGACGCTGCTAGTCTCCCATGCGTTTATTCTACAGCAATCCACGGACTCTATGATATTGCTCACCTGTCCAAGGGAGAGACAGTCCTCATTCATGCCGCTGCTGGTGGCGTTGGTCAGGCTGCGATTCAACTTGCAAATTTAGTTGGAGCAGAAGTTTTTGCCACAGTGTCCACTCCCGAAAAGAGAGATCTTCTTATCACTGAATACGGGGTAAAGAAGGATCATATCTTCTCCAGTCGAGATTTGTCATTTGTAAAAGGAATAATGCGCATGACGAACAATCATGGCATAGACGTTGTCCTGAATTCGCTGTCAGGCGATGCTCTACGTGCTTCATGGGATGTCCTAGCTCCATTTGGACGATTCATTGAAATCGGCAAAAAAGACGCTCAGTCAAATGGAAGGGTCGACCTTAGCCCTCTCTTGCGCCAAACAGTCATGGCTAGCGTTGATTTGACAACAATTATGAACTATAAGCCAAAGAAACTTGGCCAGCTAATCACAGAAACTGTTCGGCTGTTCGCTGAAGGCAAAGTGCGATTGGCTAAGCCTACTAGAGTTATGGATTATACACAGATTGAAGAAGCTTTCCGATCTCTGCAATCAGGGAAGAGTATGGGCAAAACAGTGTTCAAGCCGAACGCAAATGACCTCGTTCCGATTCTACCTGAGAAGACATCTCCACTGCAGTTTGATCACGACGCTTCTTACGTTTTAGCTGGCGGTCTTGGAGGTCTAGGGAGAAGTATAGCACGTTGGATGGTGTCCCGAGGAGCAAAGCATCTGATTTTCATCTCTCGATCGGGAGCAGCAAGCGAATCTGCACAAGAACTCGTGCAAGAGCTGGAAGCGGCTGGTTGTAACATTCACGTCTTCGCATGTGATGTTAGTGATGAAACGTCGCTATCTGGCATTATCGACCAATGCAAGGTTAAACTCCCTGAAATCAAGGGTTGTGTTCAAGGTTCTATGGTTCTCAAGGTGAGAAAAAAGTGCGCCTGTTTTCATCTCAAGAATTAAGTATTAACATGATGTCACAGGATTCAATGTTTGAGAACATGACATATGAAAACTTCCAAGCGGCGCTACGACCTAAATTCCAAGGTTCTTGGAATCTGCACAAACTGCTGCCCACGAGCATGGATTTCTTCCTTCTTCTGTCGTCTGCAACGGGAATCCTAGGCAACCGAAGTCAAGCTAATTATGCTGCGGGCAACACTTACCAAGACGCACTGGCGATACACAGGCATTCAATTGGGCTCCCTGCTACTAGTATTGACTTGGGGAGCATTCTCTCAGTCGGCTACGTGGCTGAGAATAAGTCTCGCCTCAAAACAATTCCCACCATCTCTTCTGTTCTTGAATCCATTCGTGAAGATGAAATTCACCTGATCCTTGAATATCATCTCGATAAACGGCATCCCGGATCAAGCCAGACAGTTTCTGGGCTGACAAATGCCGCACTATATAAGCAGCGTCGCATGCCGGTGCCAAGCTATCTCAATCTGCCTCTATTCCGACATCTCCAGAGCGAAACAAGCGCAGCAAGCGACGCTGTTGAGGATGATCCTATCCTCTTGGTCCCCATTCAATTAGCCGCGGCGACAGCAATTGACGAAGCTGTCGTCATTGCCTCGAATGGAATTCGACTGAAGCTCTCGAAACTTTTATCAATGGCCGCTGATGATATTGACCCAGGGAAATCAATTAGCTCCAACGGAGTTGATTCTTTAGTTGCTACCGAATTCAGAACATGGCTTGCAAAGACATTAAAAGCTGATTTGCCTATGCTTGATATTATGGGAACCAGCAGTATTCTCACCTTTAGTGAGAAGGTAGTAAGCCTTAGCAAGTTGGTTCAAATTGCACCGAGTAGCTAGGCTTGATTAGTTTGTTTAATAAAGTTGAGACAAATACCTTTCTTTTAAAAAAAAAAAAAAAAAAAAAAAAAAAAAAGTTTGAGAATATCAGTGCAGTAAACCAGGCTATATAAAAGCGTATAGAACGGAAAGCGAAAGGGCATAGGTAGTATATGGCAACGTATCAATATCCTAATTATTAGTTAGTACACGCTAATCAAGCGATAAGGATGCTCAGCTCAGTCCTGGCAGACACGCTTTTCCTTAATCTGGCCGTTGTATTAAGAGGTAGTAGTCCCCCCACAATTTCTTCATTACTATGCAGGCAAAGCCTTAGCTGAATTATCTACTACGAAATTTTTACTGAGAGTATTGATTACAGCTATAGATCCACTATTCAATCTAGCAAGACTGTCAGAATCGTTGCCTACGGAATCGGTGATTATGTAACCGTTTGTGTTAGAGATCTAGGGCAAGAGAGCCGTGGCTATTGTATTCGAGCTCTATTGAAACTCCGTTTTGTTTATACCGAAGTATGTGAGAGAGAGAGAGAGCAGCAACGGGGGCTATTGCAAGACCCAGCAATTTTCTACAAGAGGAGCATACAGGCTTCTTCTTACGAGCTAGAATCTCAATTGGTTAAACTATCATTTTGGTACACTGGTCCAAATTATAATCAAGATAAGAGGTTCAAAAAAGCTGTATGAGCTATTATCATGTAGATTCCACTGGGTGCTATCACTAACAAATTACCGGTTGCCTGTATAATACCGGCAACATGCATTCGTATATGCGGATAGCGAACACACACACACACACACACACATATATATATATATATATGAAGACGATCATTGATCCAGTAATCGCTGTGAACTATGTGGACTCCAATGTAGCATATGTTGAGAGATTAAATCACCCTTTATGAACTGATGTGTTACATCATTCTTGTTTACTACTTGAACATTTTAAAATAACGGAGAAATAGCATAGGCTAAGATATCTTAAGAGCAGTGTCAAATTTTAGAGATATTTTATTTTTCTTCCGGCCAAACATTGTATCCAAAAGTGTCTTTCATGTTCACAAACCTGGTATGCCTCCCTTTGGCAACTTGCTCAATCGCTGCAAAATCTGCGTCGCTTAGCTCTGGGATTATAAAATTGCTCTCGATACGGCTTGGAGTCGAACTTTTTGGAAGCACGGCATAACCTCGCTTTAGGCCCCAAGCCAGTAGTACCTGGGCAAGGCTATAGCCACTTCTTTCGGCAACGGCGTTGAGTGTTGGGTTGTCGCGTACCCGCTCACCAGTACTTGGAACCTGGTTCTGAGACCCCAGCGGCGAGTAGGCTTCAGGCAAGATGTTGTTCTGCAAGCAGAATGCCACGAGATCTTCATTGGGCAGGAATGGGTGAATCTCAATTTGATTCACTGCCGGTTTGGTAGTGGCGAATTGAAGAAGCTTCTTCAATCCTGGTATAGTCCAGTTGGAAACCCCAATTGCCTTCACGATACCACTCTCAGCAAGCTCCTCCATTGCTCGCCAAGTCGGCTCAGGGTCTTCTGTCAGGGTTTCGTTGATGACGTATTTCCCATCTGACCCTAGTTTTACACTCATGTCGCTGTTTTTCTCCGCTGCAATTGGCCAATGAACAAGGAATAAATCAATGTAGTCAAGCTTGAGGTTCTCGCACGAATTCTTGGCGCTCCACTTTACATCATCCGGCTCGTGTAAGTGGTTCCAAACCTTGGTGCAAATGAATAGATCCTTACGGGTCACGTCGGATCGGCGGGCGAGGAAATCTTGAATGGCATTGCCGACCTCATCCTCGTTGTGATAAAACCACGCACAGTCAAGATGTCGATATCCAACATCCAAAGCCTTCGTAACAGCTGCGTATGTCTCGCCCTTGGCACCTTCATTGGCAAACGTGCCGAAGCCGACAGCTGGCATCTTGGCTCCCGTATTCAGAGTGAAGGTTCTAGAGGACATATTCTCGGTAGTTTTGTGACTTGTACCTGAAGCCATTGTAAAGATTTTTGAACTTTCAGGTCAGGATATATAACGATGGGTCCACGGAAAAGAGTATTGGAACAGAGATAATTTTGCGCTTCGGCCCTGATACTTGGGTATCAAAGAGCGATAAAATTGCCAGGGATTGATCACGCAAAGAATTTTTAATGCCTCTCTTTCAAAACTACTTTGTGCCTTCACTGTTTCTTATAAAGTAATAGCTGTGAGAAGTAAAAAATACACTGTTCAAACATGTAACGGCTGAACCATTATGACTGGTCAACTTACGCCTCAAGGCAACTCTACTGAGCGGCAGATTGACCCGTAATGGTGGAATTGTTACTGCAGCTAGAAGGATTTTCATCCACATTGCGTCCTGAAAAATGACGCACGGGGCGGGTAAAACCTGGCTTTTCTCCGAAGTTTAATAAAGATCTGCGATATCTTGACCGATGTTTCGCCCCTAGGCGGCATATTGATGGCCATGGACAATAGACTTCAGCGTGGCTGGCATGACATTCTGTCAAGACTGTTTGGCGAATCTCATCCTCTGAAACCGCCACAACAGACCCGCTGTCTCCACCACTCTCGAGTTTTCAAGCGCCTCTTGCTTAGGTTATCTTCTCAGGCGGCGCCGGCCAATCCGACTGGCCCATCCAACGGCTCCATTTTTTCGAAATCTCTTACACCAAAAACAGATGCCGTGTGGGAATCGTGTCCACCGTCAACATAGACGGTGGTTAGAAACGCATAGCTAATGCCGATGCCGTGCCGAAGATGACGATGTTCTAATAGGACAACAAGCCGTATTGTGTTACCATTGGATTGACTTGGTGGGTTCGGTACCTGAGAGTGGCTCCCACAAAACGCAGCCACCATGATGATTAAGGCAACGGAGTGGATATGAGGCAGTCGGTGTTTTCGTATGAGGGCGATGACATCAGGGCTGAATCATGAACGAAACCTTCTTTTGCCTATGTCATCGTATCTACGGTTCGAACAAATGGCTCTGCTGTCTCCACTCCCTCAAGGGATGTTATCTCCTTATCTGTGGTATGCCGCCTCCATGGCGAGTATTAAAACATGAAGCCCTGTGCCGTCAATAAACTGTGACAGCCAGATTTTGATCAACTCTCTTATCATACATATCTCACCGCAATCATGGCAACTTTCGATGATGTTGATTTTGGTGTGGAAACACCAACACAGCCTGTCAAGAGCCAAGCAAATGATGCTGCGGCCAATGCCATTCATGACGGGGCCCTTGCTATCCCAATGTCACCTACCTCAACATCTCATGATGCTATCGAGATACCTGCTACGAGGTCTCCTCATGCTGATGCCTCCAAGTACATGCACAACCTTTCTCTCTCTCCCTCGATGAGAGACCGGAGATCGTCTCGGAATTCTTTTGGCACTTCACTGCCCATCCCGCGTTCCAAGAGACAGTCTCGACTCAGTTCTGTCCACCACATTGACCGAGATGCCGTCCTGGGACCGGGTGCGGCTCCTGTCCAACCAACCCGAGACATACTAGCTGCCCAAGTCCAAGACATATCCGCAGACAAGGCAAAGAAAGCCAAGAATATGGCATTCGTCTTCGATATTGATGGCGTATTGGTGCACGGCGATCGGTTGATCCCAGAGGGAAAGAGAGCTCTGGAGATTTTGAACGGGGATAACGAGCTTGGAATAAAAATCCCACACATATTCCTAACAAATGGATCGGGCAAACCAGAGCTCGCCCGCACGCAGCAGCTATCCAACATCCTGCGGAATCCTGTCAACACGGAACAGTTCATCCAATCCCACACTCCAATGCGCGCTCTTGCCGAATACTATCATACAGTACTCGTCGTCGGTGGAGAGGGATACCGATGCCGAGAGGTAGCAGAGCAATATGGGTTTCGTGATATCGTGGTGCCCAATGACATCGTAGCTTGGGATACCACTATCGCACCCTATCGAGTATTTACGGAAGAAGAGCGCGCCAGCTCACGACCTCGTGATTTCTCAAAGACCAATATCGAGGCAATTCTTGTCTTTTCCGACTCCCGCGACTACGCTACAGATATGCAGATTATCATTGATCTTCTAAGATCCGAGGATGGTCGATTGGGCACCATAGCCGCTGATCCTCTTTCTCAGCGGATTCCCATTTATTTCTCTCAGGGGGATATGCTGTGTCCTACTGAGCATCCCATCCCCCGTATGAGCCAGGGTACTTTCCGTATCGGTCTCGAGGCTATGTATAAATCGCTCACTGGGGTTGATCTGGATCGCGTAGTGTATGGAAAACCCGAGATGGCGACCTACAAGTACGCTGATGAGGTTATTGCATCGTGGATGGAACAACTCCATGGCGAGGAGCGCATTCCCGAAAATATCTACATGGTCGGTGACAATCCGGCCTCGGATATTATCGGAGGCAACATGTATGGTTGGAATACCTGTTTGGTACGCACTGGTGTATTCCAGGGCGGTGAGAATGATGAAGCCAACCCGGCCAACTTTGGCGTCTTCCCAAATGTTTTGGAGGCTGTCAAAGCAGCATGCCGGAAGCAACTTGGCGATTCTTTTGGCTTTGAGTGGGATGATCGCGTCAATCCCGTATTGCATGGTGAGAAGCATGTTGCTTCGGCGATAGAGTAAGAGGAACAGCATGGGCATAAGAACAAAAATGGTGTATGGTTGAGAACACATTGATGATGGATACGAATTTAGCACTTTGATAGATAAAATGGAATAGACATCATAGCGAGCTTGAGAAGCCGCAGCATATCATTTAGAGAATATTTGAATCATGGCGAATGTCGAAACAGGAAACCAGTCACGAAACGAGTTTCTCATTTCATTTCGGAATTCTTCCTTCCTTCCTTCCCCCTCCCCAATAACGACATCGCCAGCAAATTGCGCTGCCTCATATGTAAGGTTTATTATGTACTATCGCCACCTAAAACTTAGATTCAAGAAATAATCTAACTATGGCGTCGCTAGTTTTTGATTGGCTAGAGTACTCATGAGAAATTAACTCGTATTTCGCCGCCCAGAAGCACTGTATTGTGCCTTTGTCTCATAGAATGCTCTAGTATGAAGATAATCATATGTTTATCAACCTCAATTCAGACATCGCCAATATTGCCCGTAGCCTAAAAGCTCAAAGCTCACTCTACATCGTCCTCGACATGCTCACTTCCACTTCGTTTTCCAAATCTCTTTTCAAGTCTCTTGCAAGCCATTTCGCGTAGCAATTATCTCTATACAATTATATCTCGAAAGACTTACTAAATCCCTGGTATATCTCATGGGGTGGATTAGAATCACAGAATCACTCTTCTTCAAGGCATTCTGAGCTTTCGAATAGATCGCTTATGATGCATAGCGGCCTTCAGTTCCCCAATGCCGGCAGTGAATATACCTTCAAGCCCGAGTGACCTTCAGGGATGATAACTATGACAATGTATCATGGCGCAGCTTATTTCAGATCAAAAGAGTCCTCTACTCTTCAACCATGCGTGACGAGCAAGGCTAGAGTTTGGATTTTTGTCTATTTAAGAAAAATAACATTGAGCAATTAGTTGATCACTACGATATTACAGTGCCTAAAGTATCCTCCGATTGCCGATCGCTGTGCGTTCTATATTGCTCAAGAGGCCGATCAAACATTTACCACTATTAGAGAAGTTTATTACCGATGAGCTAATTGAGAGTCACTAGTTCAGGGATAATTGCTATCAATTGGGCAGAACTTACGGGAAAGAAATTTCGTGGTGGTATCCGTTCATTCAGATGCTACGTATAAGAACAGATGAGTAAACATGAATTTGACGTTGAGTAATCGGAAATTGTGCTTGGTACCCTGGGCCAATTGCCACCAGTGAATAATGTTGAAAAAATGGATATTCTTTGTGACACACTTCATATACTCCTGTGTGCTAAATGGTGATGACAAATGGATCAAAGGTTTTGCTTGATAAATATGACCCTAGACGTGATGATTAGAAATGATACATCAAGAGAGTTTAAAGTCTTGGTACAGAAGAAGTATAAATATATCCCATTACTAGTATATGCCCGCTCTCTCTTGACAGTTTCTTTAACAGCTTACCTTATCTAGGTATTAATAAATACATACATCGAACCAACCCACCGTGCCGGAGGAACCAATTGTTTTAATTAATATGTTGGGTTTGGAGGCTCCCATTCTGGTAACCGGAGCAGCGGGCAGAGTTGGGGGTGTTGGAGGGCGTGTGGTGGAATTACTGAGAGCTGCTAATCTGCCAGTTCGAGCACATGTACGGCAGGATGACGACAGAGCAGATCAATTGCGTTCTCTGGGTGCAGAGGTCGTCGTAGCCAATCTATTGAAATCAGAAGAGGTGCTTCCGATTCTCCAAGGCTGTCGGAAAATCTTTTTCTGTACCAGCGTCTCTGCCGATTATCTAGAGGCAACGGTGGTGATGGCTGCGGCGGCAAGAGCTACAAGTGAGATCGAACTCCTTGTCAATATGTCTCAAATGACAGTTGCAGAGATGGATCTTACCCATACAACGGACTCGCATCAGCACAAGTTGCAATGGTTGAGCGAGCAAGCACTGAACTGGTCTGGTGTGCCAGTGACGCATCTTCGACCAACTGTGTTCCAGGAAAACGCGCTCTTCTGGCAAATACCTGCTTCCAGCATTAAGCAGTCTGGGATTATAAGAATGCCCTTTGGGCGAGGCCGTGTCTCTCCCATAGCTGCCAATGACGTTGCCGAGGTTGCCGTGAAAATTCTGCTTAATCCAAGCCATTATGTCGGCCAAAGCGTGGAGCTGACTGGGCCAAAGTCAGTCGACATGTTTGAGCTCGCCAAAGAGTATTCGACTGCAACTGAGAGCTTAGTTGAATACATACCAACTGAGTTCGACGTTTGGACTGAGGAGGTGTTGAAAGCTGAGGTATTACCAACACATGTGTATAACCATATTTTGACTATGGTTAAACTCGTCGCAGCCGGGCGTTATGATAGATATACGGATTCGGTTGAAACAATTCTTGGTCGTCCGGCAGCGTCTATCTCATCAACTATACACCGGGATCCTAGCCGGTTCCTGAAATTCTGACATATTCATGAGTCTAGAGATACATAGTTTCCAACATAAGAAATACGAAGGGCAGTTTCATATATAAACAATGAATTTCTCTTCGGTGTGGATTATCAACTACTCAAAAGGACCAACATGAACAAAAGCCCTGATTTTGGTAATTTAGCCTTTATTTAGCCGCTTTATCGGCTTCTTTGACGATTTTCTTGGTCGCTTTGCCTGGCTCCAGGCTCATGGTACCCTTTAGTTGGTTTATCTTGTGTCTGGCTTCGCCCGCCCAGCTTTGACATTACCTTCTTAGGAGCTTCTGGTAGTAGATTTACGATCTCATTGATTATGGACTTGGTGGTTTGTTCCGCCATGTTGCTATAAACGATTAATAATTATTACATCTTAGCTGATATTAGTGTATGAACTAAGAAACAACCTTCGGATGTCCATATCATTTCATTAAAAACGCCCTGCGTTTAATATCATCAGAATCGTTAGTCACGTTAAACAAAATACTATTGAGAAAATAACAGACACATTGTTGCCTAAGAGACTGCTTTTTTGGGCAGGTGAACCCCACTAACTCCGCTTGCGTGCCCTAGAGTATAAATGAAGGTTAAGCGCGCTATAGATACGATGGTCTCACGTGGTTAAGGCATGTAACTTTAGTTCGCGGTTGAATGCCTGGCTGAGCCTTGGGTCTCGAACTTCGGCATAACATTACTCGGTGGTAGGCGTTCAGCCTCTTCTAAGTGCTAATTGAGAAGGCAGTCCATATAACAACTCTACTCATGGGAATCATCAGCCTAATTAAGCACGCTATTAATTGCGTTGAAGGCAGACGGAAATAAGAGGTCGATCTCATTTATATAACATAGATCATGGCCAGCTAGATAGTCGTGATACAACTTGCTTTCCAAGAGGATTATATAGCAAGTCATCCGCGGTGCTCGACCGGCGGAGTGCAGGTATAGGCCAGAATTCATGTTAACCTACAGAGCATATGCGGAGCCCTGAAGTGAGGCCTTTTTCATATCTTGCAAGTCTCATGAACTGATCCTCTGCTCCTTATCGAGCATTGACTTCATGGTAGGCTTTATACTAGTCGATAATGCCGGTAGTCGGGCGAGGGAATATGAGGATGTCGACTGGTCGACCGGACGGATGGCACGGGGCTGCATACGTATTATTTTGCTAAAAGTTTCCACGTTCGATGAAAATGATATCGCTGTTAATAATACTTGCAACTGGTTATTCATTTGTGACAGGTGGGGGGAGAACAAACATATACGGATAGTAAGCGATGTCTAACATGAAGATTTATTAAGTGGCTAGTCAGTATTTAGCAAGAAATTTAGATGGTATGCTGCTGATAAAGAATGAGGTATTGAACAATCCAAACCATAATAGTCCCCGTTAAAGAATATTCTTTCCTGAGAAAATCATCTGTGAACTTCTCACATCATGTAGCTCGTGAGATTGCTCGCGAGAACCATAGATTGTGTAGTTTAGAACGTTGACGTCGATAATCCATCTATGTTTTTGTTTTAGACCGGGCAAGTCGGTCCCTCAACCGTTGAAAATTATATTTCTTTCGCCGTGTTGATCTTTTACATCCACCACCATCGTCGAGAGCTTTCTGTCTTGAGTTCCTTGAGCCTGTTGGAGAAGGCCATGCGCTGCTGTTCGCTCACGCTTTTTCCCACTGCTTCGAGGACCTTCATGTGCTCCTTTTTAAGGTCTTCAAACCCGTTGTCGAGTTCTTTGTGCCAAGGGTAGAGTACAAAGACCTGGAAGCCGAGTGCTGAAGTAGCGACCATAAAGTTGGTCAAAGAAATAGCGCGTGTTACCCTCATATTGGTATCGGCAATAGGAGATGTGGGAGTAAGAATAGATTTGAAGGAGTTGTATTTGTGAATGAATAGCGCAAAGAGAGTAATATGTGGTGGTTGCTCTTGGATTTTTCTTTCGGTATGCTCGTTCTTTTTTATTTCGACCGTTTAATAGAAGAGTCGTAAATAGCAAACAAAATCACAGCCTCTAATAGAGTATAAATAGGAGCCTTGGGTATTGTAGGTGAAGGGAAGGAGAAGGAGAACTAAGTGAATAATAAGCACCAAAACAGTTATTTTTTTAGCAATACAAAAAAAAATTTGAAGGAAGAGAGGGAGGGATGGAGGGAGGGAGAGAAGAAAAACGGAAATAGCTGGGAGAAAATCCCGTTGTCATTTTTTGGGTTGCATGTGACTGCGACAGCCTAATTAATATAGTAACATATTTCTTCTACGTGTTACAGCCCACTTCTCTTCTTCTCCGGCCTCTGCCCGATTCTCCACTTTATCCGATGCGCCCCAAAGCTAAATTTTATTCTTCTATGCAGGAACATCACGCACGAAGATGCTGTAATCTATAGCAACGATATTCAATACAGCGAAGGGTATCAGTAATCGCTGCGTGATGTCTTGCTACATCGAGCAAGCCCGGCATATCCGTGCGAAGTAATTTAGATATGTTGTGTATTGAAGCTGTTTCGATAAGGGGGCCTGCCCCCAACTCCCAAATTGGATCGTAGTCTCCGATTTGACACGTGTGGCGGAAGAGAAATCAGGCCACTTTCATCGGCATGCCCTTGACGACAACCCACTTACGCTCCATAGCCTCGGGTATTGGGATCCATTTCAGCCGACACCGCAGATAATTTTTCACCTTCTAGAAGGTATGGGAAGAGGAGGGGGGTGCGTGTGGGTGTGGGTGTGACGGGGCAAGGATTTGAAAGCAGGGGATAGTGTGATGAATTACTCCGATTGCAATGCCTAGTAGATACAAGGTCGAAGCGAATAAGAAGTAATAGCATGCAAAGCTGCCCAATCGTGGAGTAGGCCTGACATAGTTGGGTTCTCAACCCCAAAACGAAAATGTACTTACAACCAAACTCTGTCATTCTACATGTATTTAGCTCAGTCGCACACAATTTATGAAATTTATTACAGTAATGTGCCAAGAGCAAAAGCAAGGACCACCGCAGATTGCTCAAAACCTATTAACCGTCTAGCCTCAGCGAAAAAGATGCTTCAAGACAAGACATAAGTGCAGTCAGCTCCAACTTTTTGTCGAAATACATCCACCTCCTCCAAGAAAATACATTCGTCCGTCACGAAAGCGTATCAAGTCCGCATTTAGAATTTTAATAAATATTATTCGCAGTATTTATTAGATTTATTGCGTCATTACTCTTTATCGAAGCCCCTATCAACCCTGCTGATGGTCGATGCCGAGCCTTTTCCTCAGCTGCCCTGTGGAAAAATTATGTCTCATAGAGGCTTATTGACAAAGCTGCAAATACATCATGTATCTGTTCCCTGTTGGAGGATTTAGACAATCACCGGCGGTGGCCCTCCGACTTTATCAGACTTTAGGAATACATATCCCTTGATTGATGTATCGATATGAAGACACGATCTGTTCTGGTCCCGGTGCTAAGCACGGCTGGGTGGCACTTCCAGCCCACTTTCGGGTCCGGCCCGCCGCTCTCCCTGGCGGGGGATATTGAATCGGCATATTGATGCGCCGAACAATATGGTAGCGCGTAAGACTAGATTACGGCTTCAAGTCATGTCTAGGGTCAAGACGATTTCATTCAGAATTAGCACACCTTAGAAAGAGCATCATTGAGACAAATTAAGCATTTAACAATGTACAAACCCAAGGTTCTGTTGCTTGGTAAAATTGACCAGTAAGTCGCAGCCTATATGATATCCCCTGCATTGTGTCTGACGCTTCAAAAACGATGGCACACTAACATTTGAGCCGCTATAGCGCCATAGCATCATGGAATAGCCTTGGTGAGGTTGCAGAGATCGTCACTGCTCAGGCAAAGAATCGAACTGAATTCATTGAGGAGTGTAGATCTGGTAGATTCGATGGCGTTGTTGTAATTTGCGACCGGGCGCCATTCAGCCTTATCACCACAGGTAAATATGATGAAGAGCTCATCCAAGCGTTGCCCAAGAGCTTAGAGTTTATATGTCATAATGGTGAGTTATATACCCAAATTAAAAATCACAAAAAGCTGCACCATGTTCGAACGACCCGCTTAATAAATTTGCATCTAACCTCGTCTCGCATCTATGGCGGGTGACAGGTGCCGGTTATGATAATATCGATGTTTCCGCACGCACTGCATGTTCGATTCTAGTTTCAAATTGCCCTAACGTGGTTGATGATGCCACGGCTGACACAGCCATGTTCCTCATCCTTGCCGCGCTCCGGGGCTTCAACAATGGTATTATGGCGATACGGAATGGTACGTGGAAGGGAGCCGTACCTCCACCTCCGCTCGGCCATGATCCGCAGGGCAAAGTCCTTGGTATTCTTGGAATGGGCGGTATTGGCCGCAATCTAAAGAAAAAGGCCGAGGTTTTCGGTATGAACATTATATACCACAATAGGAAGCGGTTGGACGCAGAACAGGCCGACGGCGCCGAGTACGTGAGCTTTGAGGATTTGCTGACAAGGAGCGATGTTCTACGGCAGCCCTGTTCCGAAACACAATGTTACCGAGAGGGATATTACAACGCCAGAGATGTCCTACGGCTGCCAGAAAGTCATCTGCGAAACCTTCATTAACGATTACACTCGCCGTGGAATGATCAATGGATTCTCACTCCGCTTCCCGACCATTTCAATTCGACCTGGCACGCCCAGCAAGGCCATCTCTGCTTTCTTGTCAGGCATTATCCGAGAACCCATGAACGGACAGGAGTGTATTGTCCCATTAAAGGATCGTGCGTGGCGGCACTGGATGTCTTCTCCAAAGACCTTAGTGCACAACATTCTTGTCGCACTTACCATCCCTCAAGATGCTCTTCCGCCACATAGAAGGGTTCTCAATATGCCAGGATTTGCAGTTACGATCCAAGATATGTTATACGCTCTGGAGGAAGTTGGAGGAAAGGATAAATTAATTTTTGTGCGAGAGGAGGAAGTTCCGTCCTTGAAATCTACCTTGTACTCTTGGGCCGACGATTTCGACAACTCTCTCGCGCTGTCACTGGCGATGAAACAAGACACATCTTTTGTCAATTCTGTGAGGGATTATGTGAGAACCCTGGCAGAGGACAAGCAGTATCAGTGAGTAGTAAAAAATAGCGTACCTTACGGGCTGTTTGTATGTATGTAGTCTATGGGCACCAAGGAAGATACTGTGAATATATGATGTATTTAAAATAACGGAGTTACATCATGAGGCCGTCTAAGATATATAGAAGAAAAAAAATGTTCTCACTAAGTACATGCGAATTAAAAGAAAGAGATCAACATTTTCAACAATAAGACTTCAGCATCTACACACTTTGTAAATAGTCTCTGTTCTATGATGGTAAAATACTGGAACACCAATTTATACTTTGCCGGCTGACTTGAGCCAGTCCATGTGGTCCTCAATCACCTTTTGCATCGCCTTTGTCTGTTCTTCCATCACCGTTGTCAGCGGTTCCTTACCCGTCAGTCTAGCACCAATTTCCATATAAGCCGCAGCCACCGGCCCGTTAATATTCACTTTGGCCATGCCTTATGTGATACATTTGGCAAGAAGTTCAGCCTGAAAATATTTCTCGTGTGTGCCGTGTAGAACTAGTCGTACTCGTGAGCCTACGCGGGTAGCAATACTCTCCAGCCGTGGGAAGTCGAGTTGAGGTCCTTTTGGTCCATATGCGCCATGCACGTTACCAAAAGCAGGTGCAAGCCAGTCAATCCCCAGCGCGACAAACTCCTCGGCTTGTTCTGGCGTTGTCAAAATCTCCTCTAAGTCCTCTGTGTCCTGAATGCCATCTTCGGTGCCGTTGATTCGACCAGGCTCGCACTCGGTGATGATGCCGCGAGCATTGCAGTACTCAACTAGCTCTTTGCTCAAGCGCATATTCTCATCACGCTCATAATGACTCATGTCTACCATGATACCGTCAAATCCGCCCAGGTCTGCTGCTCGCCGGATGATTTCAGGGTCCTGCGCGTGGTCCATGTGTACCCCGATTGGTACGCTTGCCTTATCTGCAGCCTCAGCGGCTGCGTGCAAAAGCAACCCATCTGCATATTCAATTGACCATGGGAAGGGTTGTATGAGTGCTGGTGAGCGCTTGGCCTCAGCCGCGCGAATTGTTGCCACTACAGCCTTAAGGTTGTAGCAGCAGACGGCCGGGATTGCGTAGCCTCCCTCGTACGCCGCATCCACAATGACCTTGGCACGGTTCATTTCTAAGTTGTATGCCTTGCCATTGGTTCCATTTGTTCCGCTCTTTGAGTTTGCAGTCATTGTTTCTTGATAAATGGAAGAATGATGTGAAGTGAGAGACTGAGTGAAGTGAAGAAGAGTGTGAACGGGGTTTTCTGTATTGAGAGAGAAACACGGGGTTACGATTGAACCTCCGGTTGCACTCCTGCCAGAACTCCCTACTCATACAATTTCATTGTGTATTACCGAAGTTGTTGGCCGAACAGGGTCCGAATAGAAGATCCGGAGGATGAAAGCGCCGGTTCGGAGGAAGCGGAACATGCATGATCCGCCATCCATGTAACGACTCGGGATATCATCATTATGCATCGCACTCAGTCTTAGAATATACGCAGTAGTTTAGTCATTTTATAACGGTGATGTAAATCATATTGTTGCATCACGGGAAACTGGGCAGTGGAGTAGCGAGATAAAGTCTGACTGTGAGAGCTGATGGATGAAAATTTAGAGCCCGATCAAAAACCCCGAACAGCAATATTTTTGACTCACATTTATTCAAACGTTTCCAAATGACCGTTTTCCTAAGCAAATAGCGGTTCCATTATGACAGCAGTCATCATGGCCGCGAGGCGTCGACCTGATCTTCGATATGCCCTGCGCTGGCTTTGCCCTCAAATGCTACTCCTTCAGCAACTACATCCTGCTCATCGATTTCCACAACACGGTCACCAAATGCCGCGGCAATTTCCTCGAGAGTCTTTTGGTTAGTCTCCCTACGCGATAATTAGCATCAGGTTTGTCACTATTCTCATGAGGCCGAAGATATTACGGGAAGTAAAAGTAGATGATGAGCAAGTAAACAGTGCAACATCCGACAAAGACATAATAATAGTTCTGATGGATCGTAGCAAAGGCACTGGGTCCAGCCTCGGTGACTAGGAAGGTGTCGTGTTAAATCCGCAATGATGGAATGAACGAAGAGAGTAGACGTGAAAACTAAACCTACTGCCAACATTGACGACATAATGAGCCATGGCAGCGACGCCCATTATCCGGCTGCGAATGGACATAGGAAGAACCTCAGACCCGTACAACCAAGTAGTACTGTTGATCAGACCATCTATGTGACTCGTTAGCAATTCACTGCCCGCAAACAAAACACAACTGAGAATAAAGAAAAATCGCACAGTAGCACACGACAAATAAAAATATGCCTAAAATGGCAAATCCTTTGCCGACGCGGTTATCCGTGTTCTGGAATTTAAGCTGCATAACCGCGGAATAGATCCCGGTGATAATGACACAAGTCAGCCCGAAGAGAAGCATTCTATATGCACATTAACCAAAACCGTATCATAGTTATGAGATGAGGATGCTTACTTCCGGTGGCCTAATCCGTCGGGGAGGAAGTTGACGGCGATGGCGTTAGAGACGAAGGCACATGTTCCCCAGGCCGCGGTGAGAGCGAGAATTGTTTGAGAGCTAATACCCAAAGACTTATAGAGGATTGCTAGGCGTCGTTAGAATATTGCATAGTTATAAGTCGCCAATACACACTCACTCTGATAGTACTACGAGCTAATTAGAAAATTACCCCAGCATCATCCAATCTTATTGGAGGACAAATAAATACTAGCCTGAATAACATTGACGCCCGTCACAGTCGTCAATACTTGCACACTGACGGACCTAGAAAGATATTTAATTGCTTGACCCAAAGGCAGTCTATAGCGGCTCGGGCACATACACTAAGACGCGATGTTGATATAACCGAAAGATCTCGCGAAACGAAGTGAGTTCACGGGACCGCTCATATTCAATTTGCCTTCGCATAAGCCCAAATTCTTCGTGTAGTTCTTGTGATTGTAAATCGCTTCGAATTTTTGCAAACTCTTGGCGGGCTTCCTGAAGCTTGCCCTTCTGAATCATTTCGCGTGGGGAGTTGGGCATGAAGGTAGCCAAACCGGTGAATAAGATAATACCCCAAGGCAACTGGAGGCCCAATGGAAGATGCCACTGAACTGCACCGTATGGAGCATAACCACAGGCGTAACCGACCCAATTTGCAAGCATCGTGCCAGACGAAAGGCCCACGCCGGAGAGACCGCCAATCAGCCCTCGATTCTTTGGGGGTGCGATTTCTGAGAGGTAGATGGGTACAGTACCGCTCAATGCTCTGAAGGGGTACGCAATTTAGAAGTCAGACTAATAATATCATATAGTAAGGAAAAGATTTCCACACATACCCAACGGCGACTCCGGAGATAACTCGACCCGCAAGAAACATGCCAATGTTTACCGATGCAGTCTGCAATATGGCCCCAATCGTGACAACAATCGCCGCAATCTGCATGAAACGTATTCGCCCAAGTTTATCAGCAATTAAGATTTGTAAAAAAGCACCGACTGCCTCGCCGGCTATGTAGATGGCACCGACCTTGATATTGTCAGTAAAGTCGAATGCCAAATATTGGGCTTCCAGTGTGAGAAACATACAGCCCCCATAATAGTAGAAGACGGGCTACCCATATAGGCCGCCCAGCTGAGATGGGTAATTGCTATTTGTTTCGGTTGGCTGCAATTTCACAAAGGCACGGCAGGAAGGAAGAGTAGAGTAGAGTAGACCAACTCGCAGTTACGATGCCCGTATCATAGCCCTGTTTTCCGATATGATTAGAAGCTTATATACGAAACGCCATATTAAAGGCGTGACTTACGTATAAGAACGTGCCAATTGATGCAAACGACGCGATGCCGATGGTGTACCAACCAGTTGAGGGCATGGTGAGGAATAAGTCTGTGCTAAGCCTGGTTCCTTGACACGAAGATGCAGAAGTAGATGCAGCAGTTAATCTGTTAAAAAGAAGAGAGTCATAAGATTAATAAAAAAAAAAATCGAGGGAACTTGCTGGCGTAATAATGCAACCAACTGATATAGAATGCTTAACCCAGTGGTGTATGCATGTATGCAATCCCAACTTCCCCAGATACTTCAAATCTGGGGAAACTTTAGCCCAGTGCTGCATGGCACCCGAACCCCGCGAAATTCAGATTGCGGCTTATCATACCGCCGAAAGGGCCAGCACCAGTGCTAGAAGCCCTGATATTGATCCTGGGGATGGCCAAAAAATCGCTAGCTCCGCGACGATTACTCTCGATGGTTTAGATACAGCAAACCTCAAGTATGATTCTTGATAAATGTGCATAGTTAGACAGATTCTACTATCTTGCAAATTGACGGGTACGTGTCAACTGAGTTTGTATCGAAAATCCTCCAAAAATTACAGTGGCGTATTATACGATGTTGGAATATTGGCTTTCAAAGCATCGTCACAGTTTCCAAAATATTCCAGGTAATGAAGCACAGCTTGACTTATTTTTAATAGTTGATATACACCTTCAAACGAGTTGTTATCTCCCAAAGAATTGTCTCATGAATGTTTGAGTTAATTTTTCTCTTTGTGAAGTCGATAATATATGAATGAGACGAGCTCTTCTTTCCGTTTTTCTATATGGCAATATTCCACTATAAAAAATTTAGCGCTACAGTGTCTGAACTTGTTCCATCGATAGACTACATCGCTACCGGTTTATCGCCGTTTCAATCACGATCTGAACTACATCAGTCCATCTGGAAATGGGGGGCGCGGCACCGACAGCGTGATTGCTTACGTTCCCTCTAATCCGAATGCGATGTTTTGATACACGGATCTTATTTCAACCGGCCGATACTAGTTGACAGCCTCAGTACCCCTAGGTGCTTGTCTGACTTCCAAATACCGTTTCCAGGCCAAATATCCACCATCCAAATCCGTTGCTCGCGATAGTCCCAACTTTTGCAGCTCCCTCGCGGCCAGCGAACTCGTGTAACCCTCTGAACAGGACACAACGACCCGTGTGTCGTATCCAAACTCGTCCACAATCTCTTTGATCCGGGCTTCGTTCTGAGGATCCAGACGCCACTCTAGCACGTTACGCTCGATAATACTAATAGTATGCTTAGTGGTAGATGCATCGAATAGCGGTGCGCCAGGAAAGACCAAGGCGCCTTCTCGCTCGCGTTGGGAGGCTGGCCGGATGTCTACAATGTGGGTTGGGCGATGAGATAAGGGGGATTGCAACTCTGTAAGTAACTGAGCAGGAGTGATGCGATTGAGGTGTGTGCGTGCATCAGCAAGGATCTCATCGATACTTCTGGCACCAGGCGGAGGAATATGCTTTGACATTTTTTTTTAAATGTACTTGCTTTTGGCAGAAGGAGTGTGTATGCGAAGAATAATATCGTGTGTATACTAATTGCAGACACATGGAAACTTCGGCGACACTACTCCGTATATGTGAGAGTAAAATTCTATGGCGTGATTTTGCGCTAAATATACGTTTTTTTTTTCCTTTTTCCTTTTTTCCTTTTTCGGGGGCTGTAGCACAACAAGTGACACTCTATCATGTATGATGGGGGAGAAAAAGTAACAATTAGCCTTGCAGTATATTATGATCTATATGGAAGCATTCGCCAACTTATAACAAATTGTTGGAATAAGTTGTTGTTTTCCGGCTTTATTACAAAATGATTTACAAGACGACTAAGCTTACACGCGCTCACTGTTATAACTTAACTTCTATATTACGGAGTATAACAATAAGATTTTAGGGTAATAAACTAGCTACTACTCCGTAAAGATGGTTTTTAAACGCCGACCGCAAACGCCTCAAGTATGGCCCTCCAAACAGTGGGGGCCAGATCTGAACAGATTAAGTAAACAGGAATTTGTTACGATTTGGTCAATGGGAACAGCGATCAATCCCTTATAAACAGCTGATTCCGTCACAATAATCTACAATTGAGATTATTGGTCTGATCTTTTGCGCCCTTTAGCTGAATGATTTGACGGAATTACGATATACTCAGGATATATTCAGTATAAGGGCAACTTGGCAGAGATAGATTATCCTTCTTTAACATCGAATATGTTAAAGAACAGCTTCAAACATACGTTAGGGGAATTTGCAGTACATAGTAAGGATGTATATGGTAGAATTCTCATATTGCGTGCTATTTGACGAATACTATTGGAGTATACATGTCAATAATTTTATTTGAACATGAACTTATTGAATTAATATAATCTAAGCCCTCTGAATGCTGGCTTTTAGGTAGATATACATACTGATTATAGAAATAAAATTTTACACCATAGGGGGAGTGATAAGTTATAAATGATAGATGCTAATATAAAGCTACCAAAAGCTTAGATATTTTAACAAAGGTTATACCAATTGCAGAGCTGTACCAAAAATAGATATTAAAAAAATGCTATTAATCAATATTCTTCAATCTATTAAGATTAAGAAAGCGTCGTACCACCTCTAGTCAAACACATCAATAGCATATCGCTCGTTGCTAACACGTTCGAACCACTCGGCGGCTTCCTTCTCTCCCATCGACACCCCCTTTGTTTTAAGTTTATCCAACAAAATTTGAATCAAAATCTCCCTAACACCCTCTGCCATCTTATTAGAGCCGCAAACAAAGATTTTGGCGTCGCTTTCCCACAGATCCGCGACATACTCTCGTTGACGCCAAATGCGGTGTTGTACATATTTACATCCGAGGGAAGCTTCGGGTTGACGACTGTATGCCCGGAAAATAGTGACAACGCCAGCAGCTTCCCACCCACTGAACTCATCATAGTACAAATCGTCATCCAATGGGTTTCGACAGCCGTAAAACAGAACTGCTGGGGCAAGCGGGCGTCCGCTTCTAAGAATAATGAAACGCTCTTCAATAAACGCCCGAAATGGAGCAATGCCAGTACCTGCAGCGATGCAGATTATGGGTGTTCTACTCGAGTCAGCTGGCATACGGAACCCACCTTGGCCAGCGCGGACAGAGACTTGAAGTCGATCACCAGGTGAAAGTGACGACAGATATGATGATGTAACACCAATATACCGACCATTTCCAGATAACGCAGGCCTATCTATTACCGAGTAGGTTATGGTTGCTCTTGTGGGGTTCGATAGTGGAGAGGATGAGATTGAGCTGCAGAGTGAATTTAAGTCAGATAAAATATAAAATATTTGACGGCAAAAAGGTTCTTACTATTTTCGTACTCTCATTGGGGGGAGTAGGAGGAGAAAATGGTTGAAGGGGATTGGAAGGTCTGGAAATTGCTCAATAATGTCAAGTATAGAGACACGTTTGAGCCTAATATCTGAATCATATGCATCAGTGGCTAGATGATGTAGTTCCTGTTTTGTCTGGTTATCCTCGGCAATACTATGAAGACTAAGAATATTCTGGGTTAAAATGTTAGATGAGAGTCTCGTAATAACGTCCTTCAGCATTGCACGAACCCGTTTGGTCGCCGGTTGGCCAAGTTCCACGTATGATGTTAACAGAGTGGAAATAGGGATACTGGTATCCGTCGGGAGGGTAGTTGGTTCCGATGCCATGATGATAACATGGGAGTCCCATGCCAAGTTGAAGCGACGTATGGCTCGTGATACAGCTTCCTTTGGGTTATAAGGAAGCACGGCGAGATAATCGCCTGTGGAGTAAGTTACATTACTCGGTAGTCGTACCTCGATATGCTTCTTTATGACGGCTGATTCGTTGGACACAAGAGTACGAGTGGCCACCACGCAGCCTTCCTTGGTGTCCTGGCGGAGAGTTAAAGCTCTGGGAGTCGAGAAGGAAACAGAAAGTCCAGACACGGGGGTATTATCATTCTCCGTACATCCCCCGAACTGTTTTTGGATTGCAGGCCAGAGAACTTCATCCTCCCAGGACTCAAAATCACTAAACATGTCTCTATCCTTGGCATTAGTGGTGCCCATTGGAACAATCCGACGAGCACCGAGTCTCTCTAGAGAGACATCCACGAGCCGAGGAATGCGATGATAAGACTTCGCCCAATCGGAATGGCCTAAAAATATGTCAGTCACATAGAACGACTAAGTGTGCAATACCGAAGCGTACCGCAGCCATAAACAGCATAAGCAACGTCATTGAACTTTTCTCCATTTATATTCTGGATCCAGTCGACAAAGTGACCAGCGTTATGTGGCGGTTGCCCTTCATACGAAGATGTGATAATGATAACTGGTCCGTCGATTGGGAGTGCTTCTCTGGCAGCGTCTAATGTGTCCACCGCGGCCTTGAAGCCATGAGAGGAAGCATCATTTGCCAATCTCTGGGCCATAAATTCACAAGTTCCAGAATCAGACCCATAAAATATTTTCAGTCTCGCGCCGTCACTCACTGTATCCACGTTATTCGATGGACTTGCTGATTTCTTAGTAAGTAAAGGTTGATCCAGGGTGGTTAGTGACCCTTGTGTACTGGCACCGGAAGCTCCAGCCAGCCGTGCTTCTAATTGGAAAGGTGTAATGCCGCCTCGAGGTATCGCCCGAATTTTGAAGTCTTTGGGTTTGATAGTTAGAGTTTCTTGTATGACTAGCGAATAAGACGGGTCGTCCATAACAAAGTTGAAGTTTTGCATAAGCATAGCGAGTGCGAGAATCATTTCTTGCCAGGCAAAAGGTCGCCCAATGCAGCTTCGTAATCCCGTACCGAAGGGGCTCCAACAGTGCGGATATTCTTTCATTAGGCGGTTGAAGTTGTCTTCCATCATCCTCTCTGGATCAAATTCGCAGGCGGTGTCACCATAAACACTTGGATCAAGGTGGGATTTCGCTAGTAGGCAGACGAGTTGTTCACCAGCCTTGACCCCGTACTTGCCTCCAATAGTTTCATCTTTGGTGGCCTCTCTGGCAAATGCTGAAATTGGTGCGTTAAATCTTAAAGTTTCTCGAATGACCTAAGGTTGAAAAAGATGTCAGTGCCTATAACCCAAGAGCTCAGAAGTACGTTAACAGGTTGATACACACCGCGGCCAAGTACTTTAGCCTTCCAATATGATCTATCTTTACTGGCCCGCTCCCCACGACACCATCAATCTCAGCTTGGACCTTGCGATAAATCTCGGGATTTGTGACTAATTGGTACATAGTAAATGAGAGCGTGGCGGCTGTGGTTTCGTGGCCCGCAACAAGAAATGTAATTAAATTGTCAATGATGCTCTGCTCTGTCATTTTGCAGCCAGTCTTAGGGTCCACGCCATTGAGCATGGCGTTCAGAAGATCCTTAAGATCACCAGTGGCTTCCGGGGATTTTTGCCTGGCTGCTAAGACCTGACCAGCAGTTGATCGCAGGATGTCAATATTGGACTGAAACTTGCGATCCGCTGATTTGTGAAGATAGGATGGTAGGACGCGCATGTTCCTCTCTCCGGCTGCTTTTAGCACAGCGTACATTGCTTTAATAAACGGATGCATATCATCTCGGTAATATGAGTTGAATCGGAACCCCATAGAGCAGAGTGCAACCGTATCAAGAGTAAGACGCGTGAAGTCCTCCCCCACTGAAATCGGTGTAGATGATCCATAACGCGCCCATTTTAGGGTAAGTTGACTTGCTACCTCGTGCATATCATCAAACATTCCACGGATAGACATTGGTCCAAAAGCAGACATTAAAACACGGTGTGCAATCCCCCAGTTTTTTTCCTCTTCTCCAGAGGACTGTGTAAAGTTAATACAATACCACTGATAGTTCAGCTTTGAAGATTGCCTACTGTAAAAAGTCCATCATGCACAACGGCCCTCAGTTCCTGCATTCAAAAGTCAGCAGCAAAGAGAGCTAGGTTGTGGAAATTCTATTACCTCAAGATCACCTTGGATGGATTTTTGGAATCTGTCATCGTCACAAACCTCATGAACAAGCTCATATGAAGAAACGATCACCAATTTAGTGCCACCGATGGATAATCTGTATATTGGCCCTGCCAAAAAAAATTAGCAAATCTCTTTGTATCGTATGCAGACTGCAGCATTTGTTGCGTACCGTACTTGCTTGCAAGATGGAGCATAGATCCTAACGGGTAATCCATATCAATGTCCTTAATATTACCCAGCAGCGGGATGGTTCGAGGTTGTGGGATATTAGATTTGGCCATAATGTCTTGGTCAATCGGTTTTCGAATACAATGCCGTAATGTTCTTGAATCGTAGTATCAGTATAGTCGGTTTAAGGAACATTATTTGTGGTGGTTGAGAGATGAGGAGATATATATTTGTATCTATCCTAGAAATGCCCTCATTTTGTTCAATTCGTAAGCCTGCGGGAATAGACGAACGCCGCGGCTTCTGGCTGCATCATGGTATGCCACATTTAGTCTACTGCGAAGCCCCTTAAGCCCAGAGCCTAATAAGTGTTGATGTTTCTGGCGTACCTAATATCAAATAGGAAGTGCATGCGCCACCGTCGATCCGCCGCTGGCCGCGGAAACCGAATGAGCGGCTACTTTACTCCCAATAGGCCTTGACCAACTGGAACAGCAATAATGACTTGGTCCAAATGTGTTGCTGACATGGAGCCCGCGGATAGACACCAGTTACCAAGCAAAATAGGCAGGGGTCCTACGGTAAAAACCCTCGTAACCCCTAATCAAGTATCCGGATTGCAGCAGGAGTCATTACGAAACTGGTACACACAAAAAGGTGATCGAGCCAGTTCACTATGGAATCATCGACGTTGTAAAATGCTGCCGTCTGTGAGATAGCTGGAGCCACCAGAGATGCAGTAAATGTTAAGTAATGTACGATTCTCATTACTGATGTAATTGATAAGAACCAGAAACGAAACCCACTTCTCAACTGCCAAGAAGTTTCAGAAATTTCAACATTGGTAATCCGGACCATCTGCTCTTATAAGTTCTGTACCGCTCCTAGGAGGACGCACATCGTTCGGCGCTCAGAATGGCATCTTCATCATGGGACTTTAGCTTATCTTCTCTCGCTAATAGCATCTACATATTCTGCAGTGCTAGCTGAAATCTTATAGTCAAGGGTAATTTGAGCTTCAGTGATGGATTCAAATTGAAAGCGAATGGCAGATGTTAAATAAATACCAAGTCATTCAGTGAATATAGGTAGATTCAAGTAAAGAGGCAAATGCTCCGAGCTCTGCAAAGATCCGAGTCGGCCCTATAGATGACGACGGCTTCATGGCTGAAGTCTCTATGACCTGTGCGCGGGCTGGACCGCTTCAGCACAAGCGGCGGGCGATTCAATAGCAGCCGCTTCGAATGGCCAGCAGTCCGTCTTGTTGTCCAATACCTGTGCCCAAGCATAAGGACGTCTTTGCAGTGCCTCTCATCCATGATGCAACTAACTAGTCTAGATATGGAAGTCGTTGCGCCCCAACGTCAGCGTATCAACCTGGCGGAGTGTGGCAAGGCTTAGCTGGCAATGCGGTCAGCGTCTCTGCTATATATGGTAAAGTTTAGGTTCGAAAGTTCCATATTAACTAGGTACATTGAGTACAGTTGCAGTAGTAAAACCGCCTCTCAGGTCGAATTCTTTCTGTTCGGGGGTAAAGGTTGCTGCTACATGTATTTTATCTGTAGTCTAGGGTATTGATGTACATGTGTTTGAAGAATTTTACTAAAAGAGAGCATTACAGACTCCCTCCCCTCTCTTCCATGGTGTAATGTTCTAATCTTCCCCAGTTTTGGTGCGCAGAGCGATAATTGGACGTTGCTCCAGTGCAAGAGTCTCAACACACAACTTCTTGGTCGTCATCTACGCATTTTGGATCCTGACAAACAGTCTACTCGAGTTAGTACTGCTGTTTCAAATTTACCAATCCTGGCATCTGTGAGTGAATTGTTGGCAGGCATGCGCGTAGGGTGAAGTAACATATATTAATGGCGGCATGAGATCAGGCGGTAGAAGGTAATTTTTCTTTCCATTTATGTACTGACTATTAAGTGATTGTCTCACTAACCACTTCTTTTGCCGTCTGCACTCCATGTGCAGATATCAGGAGGCAAAACGCCGTCCGCAGGCCGCTCGTAGCTTATTATGGGCCACTCGCCTTCTCGGCCGGGGGCGATATTGATCGTGACGAATCAACCGCGCAGAGAGGCACTGTTTCCTGCGCATCCGTCTTTCTGGACCGCCTCACAAGAAACCACTGGACGGTCATCGCAGCCATCGCCCCATTCCAGACAAAAACGAGCATCATGCCGAGCGAAAAGACCCATGAGTCGGACAGAACGGCCGTGTCGCAAAGGCTCATGACTGCAAAGTCGTCGATTCCATCGGGGAGTACAAAGCTCGATATCATAAGTATGAGCTGGCACAGCGCAACGTCGGCGTAGTGGACATATTTCACATTACGGGGGATGGAATCGTAAGTCGACAGTCCCCTACTCATCCGCCGCAAGAAGAAATAGAGTATCACGTCAACAATCGTCAGGGACACTGTAACGAGGCCCACGATCTGCGAACTTAGTATAAATCTCGCCGCGATAATCCAATGATCAAACACTTACACTGTGCTCCGATGTAAAATGGTCTGCTGTTCCCCTGGCAAGAATGCCAGTAACCATGCCACCAGCCACGAGCGGAGCGAAAACACAAAGCTGGAGAATCATCTGCCACTTATCAACGACTTTCTTTTCGATTGGGCGGCCGATTAGATGACATAAAACAGTTGCCGAAGCCAACAAAAGGATGATGGGATAGACGAGGAAGAAGGCAAGCGTCATGGAAATGACTGCTGTGTTGTTAGCTAAGGCGGAGGCTTTAGGTGGGAAGGGGATCCAGACGTACGGTGTACTAAACCAAGAGTGATAAACGTCGACTCTGATACACCGTTGACGGAAAACTCGTCTGTTATGAAATTGATAGAGAAGGTGTTGCCAGAACTACTGATATTGCGCGTGTCCAATGCGAAGTTCCTTATCGAGGCGGGGGGTTGCGAAATGTTGCCCTGCAGCAGGACTCTTAAGCCGGTGACGCCAGGCTGGAGCCAACACTGTTGTTCGGATGACAGGGTATCTAGTTGGGCTTGCAAGAAGCTGGTAATGTAAAAGTCATCCTGCTTAGTCGATGCGCGTACTGGAGTCTTTATCATTATATCGTGCGACTTGTCATCCTGGAGTTTGGTACAGGTGGCCGATAATACAAACAAGAAGATCAATGCCCGTAGGAGGGTCAGGGTTGATGCCATCACCGCTGAGGTTAGATACCCAGGAATCAATTAATTTCCAGTAGTTTGACAGGGCTGAATATATGCGCAGTGGATGCAGTGTCGGTATTTTGATGTAGGGATGTTCCTAACAAATGATAGCTTGAGATGCTAGTTCAAGTCGGAGTATGGGTTTCTTATACTTGGCCGCGAGCAATCAACGCCCAGCGCACCCTACATATAACGCGCGTCATCGGCGCTTAGCTGTTGTGGCTTATGAGACACTGCCATGTAATAAGACTGACAATTTTCAGGGGAAGGCGAGGCTTACAATTACAAGCAGCCCAATGACGACGCAGAAAGCGAGCAAAACAACTCGGTCGCTGATCCTATCTGTGAACAATTAGAATTGGCTGCCATTCGGTATTATTTCTTAAGCTATGCTAGGTAGGTAAGCCCTAACGAATTGACTAGGCCCAGTTAAGCACACTTTCACTGTGGTGTTTGTTTTATGTATGTTGTATTATACGTTATTGATGGTTACCTGCAGGCGTTTTCCATGACAGTACGAGGGTTAGCCATGACATATCCACAGAATCCGAAAGACTCATAGGCATAAAGGCAGAGACAGATACTCTGGCTTTTAACATCGTGTTTTTCAATGACAATAGCCATTCTTTGACCAAATTAAATGCTATACGGACATGTCACATATTGATTTGCATTTAAAGATGTTCCGTATTCTCAGCTGGGTGAAGCATCTACACCGTGCTTGGCGAATTATCGTAATTCCATTGAACTCTAGCTTTAGGCGCTTAGGCTGTTGAATTTGAACTTTTCTGCTGTTGGCCGAAACTTAACGTAACCAGAGATCCCATCCAGCAAAACTGCCTGTAGGCGAGCTCTCAGAAATAAGAAATCTTGAAATAGACGGAGGTTCACATTAACGACGGTGAGATACCACTGAGAAGACCTGGCGCACTGTGCCTTGTTTATCAAGACATAAGATATGACAAGTTTGCTTGCTTGCCCCATACACAGGAGCCGCGTGAAAAAAAGAAATGTCAACATAATCTCGATCGCAAAATTAAATGAGCGTACTAGGTAGAGGCCAACATTCGTTGACGGGGTACCGCTAAAAAAAAGGATGTGATAACAGGACACGCAGGCTCTGAAAACTCCCTACGATTGTCTTACCGGCCACCACAGCGTGTTTAGATGTTTCTACTCCGTAAATTCCCAGTGGATCACGGACGAGGCGATACAATCCATAAGATCTCATCGTCCTAGCCTATGGCTGAAGATGGAAATAGTCAAAGGAAAAATAAGATTCTGAACAATAATTTCCACTTGGTCTGAGAGCTCATAGCGTATTTACCTCCATTCGAGAGGTAACCAATACTAGAGAATACGCATTTTTCGACAACTTGAAGGTTAGTAGGTAAGAGACAATTTACAGCGCCATATGGGAGACTCATTGCTGGTCGTGTTGGTAGTTCGTTCAAGCTGTTTATGATCTCTCTTTACCTTAACCTCCCCTCCTTTGAATCATGACTGCTGGTCTTAATTTCGTTAAGATTACTCCTGATCCAGACCTTTGACAAGAATCCTTCAGCCTTAGCGAACATCCCCTTTTCTCTAACCTTTTATTATTGCTGATTGGTTGATATAAGCGCAACTCCTTCCTCATCAGGTAATTGGATTTGCCGGTAAGACGAAAGTGATTAGGTCGTCAGCACTGCCGTGTTACACATTTGCCCTGGCTCGGATAGTCTAGTTGGGTAGCTGTGGAAGGGCCTTCTACTATAGCCTGAGAAGAGGAGATTTCGCTCCTATGACAGATCAGTGAGCTGTATATGTACATATCTCGATTCACTGGCTTAATGGACTCTTTATTTGCTGAAGTCTTACTGTAATCGTCGAGCTATTGCGGGTAATACGTTGTTAGTGACAATACTGTCAGGATGCGAGAGTAAAGGCGTTTGCCCATCCGAACCTATGGAGAGATCCTAACTGCGGATTCTATTATAGAAATCTGCTTTTACTTAAAAACGCTTTGTCCAATAACCATGTCTGGTATTCACCGGAGTAGCAATACATCATCTGAGATTGAGCGGGGACAGGTCCTTGATTTAGTTTGATGCCAAGCCGTGAATTTTGCTGAAAGCATTCAAATTAATTAGAACTACCTTTACAAGAATATGAAAAGTGAGAATAGTCCTCTTCTCGGTGATACTCTGATCTGCACTCAAAGCATAGACCGGTTTCCCACCAATGCTCCATAATGCAGTCAGGTTCTGCGTAGAAATTTCTGACCCAATGGAAGTTCCGTTCCACGACTGAAACGTTCCCTCCTCTCGTATCTCTTTTCTCTGCTCAATCAAGCCGTGCGGCCGTTGGTGTCGCGCTGCATCGAGAGGATGACGCATTGAAAGACCGGCGAGATATCCGCAATTTGTTTATTTCTTTGCTTCTTTGCTTCTTTTCTTTTCTTTTCTTTTTTTTTTTCTTTTTTTTTTTTTTAATTGCGAGAGAGAGAGGGGTACGGCTTCTAGTCAGATGTGAGGCTTAATTCCAAAGGCACCTACCGAGGCCTAATCATCTAGACACAGGTAGCCTCATTAGAGAGAACGTTCCATAATAAGTTCATCTGGATTCATATTTCCGAAAAGATTTGCTTATATGCTGTGCCTTCCGATGACTGTTAGTTTCTGCCTTCAAACTTTTTATGAAAGAAGGATGTACTCATGACACATGCATGTAGCACTCTTTATTAAAAGAGTGATCACGGTTCTCCACGTTACTGATTTAAGTATGACATCCATAGTCATAGTTGGGAAGGTGGCTAACACGTATCAGATTACTAGCGCAACAGTTCCCTAAACAGGACATCTTACAATGCTGTCAGCTTGAATACAGGTCTATAACACTCCACATCACCAATCAAGATTTAACGGAAAGCTAACTGCTCCTTGGCAAGGGGTTATTTAATAAACAACTACCCAGCAGTATCTTGAAATACGTTGTTTAATTCATGCCGTTTATCAAAGGATGTCTGGTGCAATTGTGCAATTGCGACTATGGTCGTCGTATAGTCCCACACTGAAAGTGTCATCCCCAACATAGACCGCGATTTCGACTGGCAGGAAATCTTTCCTAATAAGTACTTTCAGATCTTGGGTCACGTGGATCACTGTGTATTCAAGACGCCCCCTTACCATGACGAGCGGCGCAATGAACTGCCCACAGAAGCACCTCTGTCGGGATACCTCTCGACAGCAATGGCCTTATCGCATCCTTAGAAACTGCTTGGATGGACAGCAGATATGCCTTCCTAACGTCTTCGCTGACAAATAAGAGCTACGAACTAGCACGCAAAGACGAAGCGCTAGAAAAAGTAAGCTGCCGAGTCGTTTGTGGTGCATATGGGAGTCTCGTCCAATGAGTAAGTGCCTAAGCTGCGATCAGAACACCTACTCATCCTGATGTACGATTTCCCACACTGGCGGGAGTTATGTCTCCTTGCGGACCACCCCCTAGTAGATGCACACGACATACGCTTATTCTAAACCCGTTTTCTTCACTTTTGTGGCCCATCCGCCGGCTGCTGCTCTCAAGTTCGGTAGCGAGGGTAAATTTTTCCCATTGCCTTGGACGAAATGTTCAAGTTTGCCGTTGCGGAGAGGATGGTCTTGGGCCTGACTTCTTCGCCAGGCGCCAACATGGACGACTCCCAGTAAATTGCAACATCTGTATCACCAAGTTGTCCAAACCACAGATGAGTCACAGCATTCTGAATGAAGTATTGGAAACCTTGAAGCAAATTTCGAACATCAAGCACTAATATTACCAGCCAAGAACTTCTTGCTAGACATATATTTGTATCATCCAACAAGAAAGTTCATTCTGAATCGTTGCTTCGAAGGCCTATATCTCTAAAAAAAAATTACCTATGTACCTAAATTCCACCTAAATAGCTTTCTACCCGTCAGTAGTCATCTTCTTCATCGTTGGCCTCTTTATCCCAATAACTAATTTCACCCTTTATCTGAAGTTCACGGGCCAGTAAGGCTGCCTGTAGGATGCCCGTCTCGGCCCCCAATTCCTTCAGCTGCACAATAGCCCAATCACGGTAAAGCTGTGAGGTCCACGGAACTGCCGAGACCACGTACAACGGCCACAGTAGGAAGCTGCCCCTGGCAATAAAGCCAGCTTGCTGCCTATCCCGGCTGGTGAAAGAAAGAACACTAGCACAAACCTCAGCTATTAGGGTGTGGATGACATACTGGGAGCGCAGGCGTTGATAGTCCACAGCAGTTTGGCCTTTCACCTGATCGAGCATGTTTAGGATGAGTTCGTTAGTAAGGATGCGTAGAGTGTGACAGTTGATCGCATTTGATACGTGCACATCCGAATAAGAATTGACACCTTCTGGGCCTAGATTTTCTTTCACCCCAAGGCTGTTGTCAATTGCAATCCCATATTTAATAGATAACCTTCTTGACCAGTCTGCCAGGTTCCCATCTAGAGCACAGGCTCTGGAGATGATTGTAGGCCTGTCCGCAAGAAGCACATTTTCAGCAGAGGCGCGTAGAGAGCATAGATCCATAGCTAAGCGGTGAAGCTGGTCCTCGAAAGCCTGACTGGCACTTTGCAATCCGAGCGCCTTTGTAGACCAGCGCCGTATCTCGTTAGGGACATGCTGGGATCGTTGGAGAGCCTGTATGATCTAGGACATACTCCGGTTAGTGAGACAACAATTCATGCGCAGAGCTTGGCAAAGCGGCTGCATACCGCGTGTGAACGGAGATGTGAGAAGATGCGTATCCCAACGGAATTCAGTATTCGTTGCTGAGCAAACTGTGAAATAAGCGCGGTTGCACCTGACACATGGTTTGACCAGATACGCAGCGATTGTGGCGAGCAACAAGTTATTGTCTAAAGAATGGTATTTGCGTACGGATCTTCAGAGTAAAATAAAGCTGAATTCGTAACCACTTACCTCGTACAAGGCGAGGAGTAAAATGCTCACAAGAGTCTGATCTTGAATGCGTAGAGTCTCATCCATCAACGCCGCTTGAGTGAGCTGAATTGCGAGAAGGTATTGAGAATTCGCTGCTAACAGGAGATCTCGACTCCTCCGTAAATTTGCGATGCCAGCCATACCAATAGCAGCGACAACCGTAGGCAGCGCCAGATCGCGAGTAATAGTATCATATATGACTGGAAGATACTCGAGATGCCCACCACCAGAAATGGGATCCGTAAGCACGAAGTTGAGGAAAAAGAAGCATACAGCCTGGTCTGTAATGGGAACGGAGGGTATGGACGTGAGTAATGAATTACTCTCTTGAGGCTGGCCAGTAGGCTCAGCTTCCCTGGGTTTGCCAACCGGCTGTGTGGCAGCTATAGGGCTCTTTGCCGTGCGTTCTGTTTGATTACACCTGCGAATGACCTGTCTAGTTTGATCACGAAAAGCGAGATCAAGTTTGTCGCGATAGCCTCCACAGACAGCTCCTGTTCTCAAACATCGCCGACAAGTTGGGACGCCATGATCACACTGTAGTAGGGCCAAGTTAGCTTCTGCGCCGCCTTCGCAGAAATGGCAGAACGAGAATATAGAGGAGAGTTCGGCCCACTTTTTTCTTTATAGCACGGCAATTGCTACACCCGGTACTCGGCTTGCCTTTGAATACCATTGTGTGACGGACTGTGGAATGTGAATTATTGTAATCAAAAGCATAGCGGTGACTAACTTCTCAATAGATTACGAGGTACTGTGCCCAACCCCGGTGACGTAAGCCTAAACAATCACAGCGTATTTGTAGTGGGAAATCTGGGTTCCCGCGGAGACCGGGCGGATTGCGTACATCGCTATAATGTTACATTTATAATAATTAATGTAATAAATCTTATTTATTTATTTATTTATTTATTTTAGAAACTAGACATATATAATTTGACTTGACTAATCATCAACTGGTAGTATCTCATCTAGGTACTTGTAGCTTTAAAGCAAGTTTCTCATAGGGGATTTCATGAATAGATTTATCAGAGCTAGCTGACGGCTATCATTAGTAGATAAGAAAAGAAATTCATAGACCAGCACTTACGTTCATTCTACCTATGACTTACTTGTGCAGTGCCATCGCAATAACCTCAACTCTGCATCTGGGAATGCTCCTCACCGCACTCGCGTTCTGTTAGAATGCTCACATGCTAATATATTAATTCATTATCTCAGGTTGGAGACTCAGAACATGGAATAGAAACAACGGTAATGCTAGTTTCAAGTCTGCCATCTGATCAATACCCGAACTTTTCCCCGTTAGAGCTCTCTCTGTCAGTCTAAATGAAGGAAATGCATGTAAAGTGTGGACAAATGACAAATGTCAATGCCTCTCCAGTAGTTTCCGGACTTCCTATATGCCAATAGTGGAATATGTCAGGGTCGCAATCTCTGGTCGAAGTGATTGTCGGCGACGTTTTAGCTGAGCATCCACAACGCCGATTTGCCGATTAATTAGGATATTTGGTGTCCAGCTTCTCTATTCGGCCAAACTTCATAATTGCGTAAACAGCTGTACATGAATACCAAATTAATTATAATGCTTAATGTATGTTGTGCTCCAGTGAGACATGATAGGCTCCAGGGGCCCTGCAGATAGGAATCAATCACAATGAGCCTTGGGCCAAAGTCCTGATTCTATGTAGCTACTTTTATGGCGCTGAGTCACTATACATATATATAGTAATTCATAAACTAAATCAGACTTTTTAGTAAACACTATGTTGCTGGAGAATGGCTCCTGAAATGCTCACTGATCTACCCACCACGGCATCTCCGCGTCTATATCGCCAAGCGAATACCACGAACAAGGACCATCTAATGGGTCAGCCATGTAAGAAATATCATTGGTAGATGATGAAATGTCAGATTCTCGAGTCGCCTGCCTATCACTACTCGAAACGCTGGGCAGGCTTGGCAAATTGCCGACGCTGGGAATGGGTTTGTCCTCTTCCAGTCCAAGTGCATGTTGAGCAATTCTCTGTATCTCTTGCAGATTTCTTGCTGTCCTAGGCCATATATCACCCAATGCTTTTAGGCAACCAATCGTCATGCGAACCTGGTCCCTGGCTCTCGAGAGCTCCCGTCCCTTCAATAGGAACTTACAAGCCGAGAGAAGTGCAAGCGTTCCTTCGCTGATCATGCAGGTTGCAAATGGTGTGTGATGAAAAGGATGAGCAGGTAATGCTAAAAGGCAGATTTGTGCCTCTATAGACCGCAATACTCGTACAGTATGCACATTCACCATTTCTGGCGTTGGTATATCCGGTGGAGGCTTTCTAGCGCAACTTGAGATGGCCTCTGCTGTATTAAACTTGAGATCTGATAATGGCCTATGTAGACTGATGGTTGCCCTGTTGGAGATTTAGTATCAACTTGGTTAATACCCTCAACAAGTGAAAAAGGGTACAAAGTGTACTACATACACATGAACAAGGAGCTTGGCTTGGAACATGAGTTCATCTATTTCGCCTGACTTATCCATGATCTGTTTGCTGCCCCTGGGTAATAAGAGTAGCCATCCATCAAGAATAGAATCAGCAGTATTAATCACCTGCAAAGACGCGTCCTCGGGTGTTATACCCAGAGCCATTGGTGCTGCAGATGCAACGCATCTTGCTGCACCAACGAGATATGCGAAGGATGAGAATGAGGTATTGCCTAAGGCGAACTCACGGGAGTCAAAATCTTCCAATGTTTTCGGTTTGGGGATTTCCTACAGAGTAGATTAACGATCGAGCCCGGATGTCTGTAACAGTGATGAGATTTGGGTGCAGGAAAAGTGCAGCGTATATTTCAGTAAGGGTCAGCACTTACGCCTGATTCATACTCAAACTCCCCACAAGGCAATTCCACAGTGGCCTCAACATCAATTAATGCAAATTCCAAAGTCCCGACCGTACCAATATAGTAGCCATTCACGATGAACAGCATCCACCAGGTCCGTCTCCAGCTCTCTGCCAACACAGGGTTTCTCCCTCCCTGTTCGGTCGCGAATTGACACCGAAACATTTCAAGATCGAGTGCGAGTCGTGCAGCCATACCTATTTCATTTTTTGCCTCTGTCTTATACCCATACCAGAATAATGCGATGGAGTATAAGACCCGGCACTGCACCATGAAAGGATCTCTCTGTGATGCCTGAGAGAAACAGGTTTTCAAGGCGTCCTGCAGCGGAAACGACCATTCCCGGGATCCGTAGAGATGGCCGATGAGGCGCATGACGGCAACGAGAGGCACTAGTCTGGGCTGGGTGTCTGCTTCTTGTGAGAGCCTAACTAGATGTCTTTGTGGCAGAACCAGTGGGTGCAGTTTGTGAAAGTTCTTGTAGTACAAATCCAACAGGGCATCATCTTCGAAGTCGCGAATATAGGTCCTAGACGGTTCAGGTGGTGTCGGGTCACATCTCTCCGGTGTTAAACCTTGGGGCGTATCAATGACGATAGTATCAAGACAGGCGTCAACATCATGCTCCTGTCGGGCATCGGGCATGGCTGACGAATCTGTAGCCCGTATCAAGTTACCAACTACCTGATTCTCCGCTGCAGCAAGCTGCCTGAGTCGTATCAAGGCTGCACGGCCAAGTCCACCTCGACGTGACTTGGCATAGTTACATAGCCTCCCGGACTCATCGCATCGGGTGCAGCGAGGCCGTTTGCCGTCACATTTGACATGTCGGGAACGGCATGCGAGGCATGCCAGCGATGAGCGCGTGACGATTTTTTTCCGAACTGCCGAAGAATCCATGGAGTCCATGGACTGAGGGTAAACGCACATATAGAAGTATACAATGAATCTCAAGATTGTATGCATTGTGTGGTCAGAAACCAGCCCGGCGGAAGTGCGAATGCGGGTATTGAGTTGCCGAGTCACCGATTCACCGAAATTGTGCGCCACAACTATAGCCGGCTTCAATACTATTAGTCCCGAGATAGAATATTAGCTAAAGCTGAGTTGATCGTTCGGGGAAATTAACGTGATTGGTCGAGCCGCAGCTGTAGCATTCATGCGTGCTGTGGACAAAGACATTGATGCATACAAAAATATATAAATGAACAATCATCCAATCTACTTTTTCAGGAAAAGTATTCGACAGCAACTCAAACAAGCAGTGTATCCGGAATCCGTCATCATGGCAAAGAAAATCGTCATCATTGGGAGCGGCTTCGCTGGCTTATGGACAGCTATTGGTGCAAAGAGGGTTATCGACCTGAATAGGAACTTATTAAGCGACCAAGACATTGAGGTCTTGGTGATTGCGCCAGAGCCTAAACTTGTGATTCGCCCTCGTCTTTATGAATCAAACGCAGCAAATATGAGTGCTCCGCTTGGGGAGCTGTTTGCAGCAACCGGCGTCCGTTTCACTCAAGGAATTGTTCATGCCATCCAAACTGAAAAGAAAAAGATCGAAATGATCAACATGGCTGGAGTTTCATCAATATTATCTTACGATAAACTTGTCCTAGCTGCTGGAAGTCGTCTGGTTCGCCCTGAGGTCCCTGGACTCCGAGATCACGCTTTCAGCATTGATACTATCCAGGAGGCATCAACTCTTGAAGCTCACTTGCGCCATCTTGCTGCTCTGCCACCTACCCAAGCTCGAAATACTGTAGTGATTTGCGGCGGTGGCTTCACAGGTGTTGAATTGGCCACCGAGTTGCCTCGTCGACTGCGCGCTATTCTCGGTCTCGATACTAAAGTCCGCGTCATTATTGTTGAACGGTCGGATGTTATTGGCCCTTCCCTAGGAGAAAATGTCCGTCCAATCATTACGAAAGCTCTGGAAGATGTCGAGGTGGAAGTCAAACTTGGGACCACGATCAAGTCTGTGGACGCTAGAGGCATTGTGACCACAGAGGGGGAGCGCATCGAGACTCTCAGTGTTGTTTGGACTGCGGGGATGGAAGCAACTCCTCTCACAAAGCAAATACCGGGTGAAAAAGATAGCATGGGGCGATTGATCGTCGACCGCAACCTGCGAGTTCCATCCTCTACCGACATTTTCGCCACAGGCGATGCAGCATCTGCTTTGACTGACAACGAAGGCAATTACACCATCATGTCATGCCAACATGCGATTCCGTTGGGTCGTATATCCGGTTACAACGTAGCTGCAGACCTCTTGAAGTTAGAGCTGCGTCCATATGAACAGCCTAATTATGAGACTTGTCTTGATCTTGGAGCATGGGGCTCGGTGATTACTTGGGGTTGGCAACGTCGGGTTATGAAGTCAGGGGCAACAGTGAAGGAGGCTAAGGAATTTGTCAATCGCATCTTGATTTACCCCCCAACCACTGCTGCGAAAGCGTTTGCTTTTTCAGATCCTGATTGGGTCAGTCCGACAACCAAGACTTATCTTGACCCTGTGCAGAATTAGAACTATGATTGCCTAGATAGTGTAGGGTACATATTGATAAAAACGCCGCTCATTCCATCTATACACATTTACACGTGAAAATACTACCAGATAGATCATCAAAATGTTGTAATTTCATTCACAAATAGGCAGTCTCGGTGTTGATAATACCAACGTTCAGAGCGTCGGTGTATGTGTTCTTCTACGTGACGATTTGACTGTAACCACGACAAATTAACTGAATCTGGTTGTCCGTGTAATACCCTGTTGCCTATTATTTTCCATTGCCGTTATTTCCGCCAACTATTTCTAGTTCATGATCCGTTTCTAATCCCTCTAATCTTTCGGCTTTCTGCCCCGTTGTGTTATGCCAGCTCTGCCGCCCTGATTGTGTAATAGGAATGCCACCCCCTACCAGGCTTTTATCGCTTGCTGTATCGTGAAACTGCCACAAACGATTGCTGCCAGCAGTTCCGCGAGACTTCATTCTCGGGCTGGCAGGGTTTTTATTAGAGCCGCTTTCGTATTGAGCCCGGGAAGCCGCCACTCGACCATGAATGAAGACCGCAAAAGATGGGAGGCATCCCACAATCATTGCTGTATATAAATAAAACGTTAGTACATGAATTTCTAGTTCTTCTCTCTCATTATGGAATTGAGATGTGGAATATGCATTGCACACGTACCAATAGCTCCCTCTATGGCAGCCCACTACACAATTGAAGTTAGTCATGGTTCAGTCTCCATCGCTCCGAAAAGAACAAAAAAAAGAGAAAAAAAAACAAAGGGGAAATTAAAGGTTAGAAACTGAGAATGGATATAGGAATAGAAATGAATGAGCCAAAGAGGGTACAGGGGCACATACCATTATGAGCCATGTTGTACTGACTTGGCCAGAAGTCGAGCTTGACTCCAAAGTGACGCTTCGTATGATAGCGGTAACCATGGTTATCAGGCCAACTGCGAAGACGACACCGATACTAATCTTTTCCACAAACGACATTTGAAGTCCCCAGAGTACGCGCATAGGAACGGCCATAACTATGTCATAGAGTCAGCCAAGACCAATCAAACAGAGCGATAGTAGAGTTACTTAGAAGGTCAGTAGCCAGGTCCACCGAAAGACTAAACCACAAACTAATGTTTTTAGCTCGCGCATCTCGAGGTGTCGTACACTCTCCTGCCGTAAACCAGGCATGCATGGAAGAGCAGCTCGTAAAGTTACTGATACAGCACCCGATGAAGGTAAGAATCGAGAACACAAGAACCCCCCACCAGATTTTGTTGTAGAGGGGCAGCCCGTCTGTGAGTTTCTTGAACATACACATTAGACTCCACTTGACCATCCACAGCGTTAGCCAGAAGAAAAACTGGACAACAAAAAACTCATGTAGCATCAAGACAAGATCATTTTCAAGGCTGGCATATGGTTGCATACGGCCCTCTTGGATAGCCTCGACATTGAAAAAGGTAGGAATGGTAGCAAGGTAGAGCGCCGTCGTGATTGCAAAGGACACCAGCGCGCCATAGATGAGGATATCTTCCATCTGCATTGGCATCCTACGCAGCTTGAACCAACGCGCCCCCGTGCGCATGGCGACAAAGACAATCGCGACACAGAAGCATGTGATTAAACTTTTCTGTTGATAGGTAATTAGCACTCTTCTGCTTGTCGGTCCATACAGCCAAACCCGGCGATTGTGGGGAGACTAATTACCGTGTCTGCGCTTCGAGAGACATCTTGGGAGCCCATTGTCCATGATTGGCCGAGGCCCACGTAGCCGGACGACGTGAAGATGAAGGTGTGCCAAGCTGCGGCGGAAGAAATCCACAACAATGATGCGATCCATAAGACAGATGCCAGGTATATAGTAATTTTTTTTTAAAGATGCCCCGTGCCGCTGGATAGCGTGCTAATCGTGCCGCGGTCAAACTAGTTGCTCTCCCTGATGGCTTATTGAATCATTTGTATCACCGGTAAATACGGAGTACACTAGCTTTTCCAGAGGTTCCATGGCATTCCTCTTCTGTGCAAGCTTGTCAAGGGCCTTCTGCATATCTGACGCGAAGGAAGCGACGGCGTCCTGGAGACGGCCACGATTCCCCCCGATTCAGCTTGCGGCACGTAGCCGTACACGCGGCAAGGATAAAAAACATGGATGAATGCGTGCCCTAGAGTAGTCTCGGCGTTTCTCAGGCCGCGGACATGGTACTTAGCTTATTACAAGGAGCAGTCGAACACAACCAACAGCATATACGAGCGCTGCTCGTCGCATTCGGTGGAACATTTGGAAATATGAAAGCCGAATTCCTGACGGCGTGGAGTTCTTTTTGTAATGGAATGCCGCAAGGGCTTATCACATGCATCCAATATCTACACCGCATGATCCTCCTGCCAAGCTGGAGCTGTGCGCCCGAATCTTACGCTTCTCAATCGACCTGACCAATCCATCACAATGCGCCCCCTTAGTCTCACTCTGCCGCTGTTCCTGCATTTAGGAATCGCCAGTGCCACCTACACCTTGAGCGATGTCAAGGCCCAGATCTCATCCTATCTAGATCAGAATGGCACCCACACTGCACGATCTACTCCTCCATCCGGCTGCCAGCTTGCAGTAAGCCCTGCCACGCCATGGAGGAAATCTCTACCTCCAATACAACGTACTCTATGCTCCGTACTAACCCAAGTTCTAGTGCGGCTTCCTCAACTTCGCCTTGCCCCAACATGTATCATATCCGCAGAGTTCAACCTATGAGTTCGAAGAATCGCGATACTGGTCGCAACAACAGGAACTCACGCGACCTTCTTGTCGCTTCTCTCCTACATCGGCAGAAGATATATCTCTAGCTGTGTTAACTTTTCGTGTCACCCAGTGCAAGTTTGCAGTCAAGAGTGGCGGCCATGCTGCTTTCGCTGGGGCCTCAAACATCGACAGTGGCGTGACAATCGACTTGATTCATCTTAACCAGATTTCTCTCTCAGCAGACAAAACTCAGGCTTCAATTGGGGCAGGCAATGTCTGGTATGATGTCTACACCTATCTTCAACCCAAGAACGTCACCGTGATTGGTGGAAGAGTGTCTGCCATTGGCGTGGGAGGCTTGACCCTGGGAGGAGGCATGTCGTTCTTCTCTAGTCAGTACGGATGGGCTTGTGACAACGTGAACTCTTATGAGGTATTTATTCTATTCCCTGTTGGTTTCAGGGTAGCATGGGGACCTGACACTTGCATGGGTAGGTTGTGCTTGCAGACGGTTCAATCCGCCAAGTCAGCTATTCTTCCCCATACTCTGATCTGTACTGGGCACTCCGCGGTGGAGGAAATAACTTCGGTATTGTGACAAGATTCGATCTAGCAGCATACCCGCAAGGCGACCTCTGGGCTGGCTCGGACACTTTCTTATACACAAATGAGACTGCAGCCGCCATTAACAATGCTTTCTATTATCTCGGCGTCAACGCTCCTTCGGATCCATACGCCCAGGTCATCATTGCATATGCTTATGCCCAAGCACAGGATTTGTTCGTCATTGCATCTGACCTCCAGTATGCAAAGCCGATACCGAATCCTCCCATCTTACAAAACTTTACTTCGGTACCCGGTGCTATTGCGAGCACACTTCGCATTGTTGATCTGGCTAATCTCACGGTCGAGTTCAACAATACTAACCCAGGTGGCTTCCGGTATGTTTTCGAAACATATCCTGCTCAATTACTAGACACTAACGTGAATATCACAGGCAAACGTACTGGACCTTTACGGTCCAAAACAGTGCTTCACTGATGGCTGATATGGTCGCAATCTACCAGGAAGAGGTTACAGCCATTAAAGACGTTGCAGGCATCGTTCCCTCAGCCGTCTTCCAACTCATCACTACCGACATGACTAAACATTTCTCGAGAAACGGGGGAAACCCGCTCGGACTTGCCGGCCAGGGTCCCTTGAACTGTACGTGTCTTATTTTCCCTTAGAATTATGCGTGCTGACCATGCATACAGTGATCAATATTGACATTTCTTGGTCAAATGCTTCTGATGACGAGCGAGTTCTGGCTGCTGCACAAAATATGGTTAACCGCTCTATTGCAGCCGCACGCGCTCAGGGCCTTGACCATCCCTACCTTTACCAAAACTACGCCTCATATCAACAGGATGTCTTTGCTAGCTACGGCGCGGATAATCTTGCGAAGCTGAAATCAATAAGCGCCAAATATGACCCACAGCAAGTGTGGCAAAAGCTGCAGCCAGGATACTTTAAGCTGGGATAATTCCAATTCCGAAGGATAGACGCAGTCGGCACATATTCAGAATATGATATAATATCCCGTCTTCCAGCTTAATATGTATTTTTTATATATTGTATATACTACGATTGATATATTATATGCAATTCCATTTACGTCCCAATAGTAATTCTGTGTTTCCCGAGACCCTCCAAATGAAGCCCATTATCTGGAGGCCAGCGTAATCCACCGCGTGCCCTCTATTTCAACATATAACTGGGTATGTTTCACAGAACTGCATGGTATTCATCATCATATTTTTGTAATGAGATTTCCAAGTCCAAAAGTACTATCTTTTCACTACAAGAATATTGCACGTAATTTATTCCAAGACACGAGCATAGGATCACGTTGAACATTCTGTGGTCAAAATATCTCCTCAGAGTATGAGTGCATGTTAGAGGTATATGTGACATCAAGTACTTGATCATTCATCATCGAAGCTTAGCCAAAATTTATAAACGCATTCTGATTTTGGAGTCATTGAACCTGCTGCTCTCAACATCTTTTGTAGGAGGGCACGTGCGAGCGGCCACGGCTAGTTAATCTATAAGGAGGGGTGGTGTTGGTCATTTTGAAATGAATCTAGCATTCTTAAGACTAAGTACATTACCTCTACAGTAACAGAAGCATTGAGCAATCCTCAGTACTAGTATAAGCCAAGAAAAAGGCACTAGAAGCTCTCCTTCAGCGCTCCGCCCTGCGACGGACCTGCCAACCTTCGTAGTCAACCCTATAATTCATCCTCAGCATATGTATCGAAGCCGAAGATAGCGGCGGCTCGGTGGTCATAGCGACATTCCTGGCAATAATGGCTTTTACGCGCAAAAACCACGCTATGATGCGTAATGAAGAGCTTGTCTAATTATGTGAAAAGATCACTGCCAGTAGTGGCAACACAGAGAGCTTTTCTATATTGCGAATAGCAAGTCCGTGGATAGTATACTCTAATTGGCAATTCTAGAATCAAAGTCGCTGGAGTGCTATCGACCAAGGACACCCTGGTAGTGAATACACCTCACTGGGATTGCAACTCTATCTGTGACGATGACGAGATTGCTGATAGATCTCTTTGAGTTTAACCCTCAGCAAAGGAAGCAAGAGGGCAAGTATCCATGATAGCTTGTAGAAAATCTGATTTGGTGATAAATTGTTCTTTATGGTTTGTTGCTATGACGCTCGTTATATCTGATTGGAATTTATTGGCTATTATATACATATATCTTCTTCGCTGTGATTCGTTTTTGCTTCGGGCTACATCGATCATGTGATATATACTTAATATATGGAAAAAATAAAAATACAAATTATAGCTAACATTCGTTTCTTTTCTCTCTTACGACCTCTAGTCTTATTTTAATGTTTGCCTACTTCTGTTCTTGTTTGTAAATCGCGCATCATGGCTGATTTACAATAGATTTGTGAAGTTCGGATTGGCTAAGCGCAGCCACCACGACAATAAGGTGGATCAACCACAACAATAAATAAAGTTTCGCTGAATCAATCCAAGAATTTGAAATTATGCCAAATCCAGGTTGGTGGTAGTCAATTCAACCAATCTAGAAGCAACTAAATATCCCAATATAGATTAGTTCAATAAGGCAATGTTTTAGAATTGAAGTTGTCCTTTTGTCTATTACTAGGTAGTTCAACCAGAGTCTTTAGAAATAGCCAACATAATCATACCCTTCAACACCGCTCTTGTCTTTTCTTTCTTATTTTAAGAAGATTATAATCACGCATCTCCCTAAAGATCTTTGCAAAGTAACTTGCCATCGAGATGCCAGTCCGCTTCACAGAGGATGACACCGAATCGAATGAGTGTTTGATCAAACACCAGCCAAGCGAAAAAGAATTTCAACCCCAGAAATGGACCATTCTTCTTGCTGTTACGGCAATATTAGGAGTCGTTGGGGTTATTGAATTAATAGTACTGGTGGTCGTCTTTGGGCAATTAATTTCCCAAAATCACACTCAATCACTGCTTGGGGAAACAAACCATTTGGTTCCAAATTGTCGGTGAGAATCAGTTGGCTGTGTCGAGTGATTTCTAACTTGAGATTTGGACTGCAGTTCCCTCCCGCCAAGTTCTCTTTCGAGCCGACCCATCCGCTACAATCGAGCATAAAGATGAAGAATCTAGGAACAAGACTCGGGAGAATTGGCTCTCCTACATGCCGAGTAAGCATAATTGATCATGATTACGGAAAAGAAAAAATTGAAAACTCATCATATGTTCTTTGTATGGCTACAGAAGGAAATGGATTCATCGGCGTGAATAATACGGAAAGATACAACCTTCCAAGCCCAATGATATATGAAGGAAAACAAACCTATTCGATAGCCGTTTTTCATCAGCTACATTGTCTGGTATTTGTCCCCCATTTCCATTTCTGCAACAATCCCGGATATCTGACAAGGGGCATATCTAGTACGCCATTATGGACATGTACAATGACTTAACAGTTCCTGCATCCAGCTTAAATATAAGTGCTGATTCTCACGGACACATTCAACACTGTTTTAGATATTTACGACAGTCAATATTTTGTTGTGGTGATACAGCTTTGGAGGGACAACAGTCTAACAGTAATTTCAGTGCCACCGATGGAACAGGAGCACTACACATTTGCAAGGATTTTGAAGCTATTCGAGGATGGGCCGAGGAGAACAGACTAGTGGATTTTAAACACCCATGAGATAGTAACCCAGTATGATAAACAGATTTTTAATCAAGATTATGAATTCTAACTTAGGTGTATATGTTGGATATGATTTAACAGAAACGAGCTAGCCGCGAGCCGTTTGGTAACATCGTATGTACTTCTGACAACTCTACTATTAGGTGAGCTGATGAGCCATAAAACTTATTGGATATATTTATGAAACCATGTAGTCTAATATGGCCGTTAGAGTGATTCGCTGCGGCGGCGCTTGACTAGTCGCTCAACTTGTCCATCAGCCACCGGGTTGGGTATAGTAAAAGTTTCTTAAGTCCATGTACCTTCCTGAGCTCCTTTCAAAAGAAAGTAGCTACGCCGCTATAAATATTTTCACCTCATGGCCCAGAGAGGTGCGGGTAAATATATTAGCTTGGAGTTACGCTTGAACACACCACGCAACATACCCCCGAGCCTTGCATCCATTTGAAAGCTAAGACTCAGATAGAAAGCATGATGTTAAGCCTGAAGCTTAAATCATCCATCTGCATGTCTCTCTTGAAATCATACTAGTCATCCGCTTTAGGGAATTTAGTGATATTGAGCTTTACGTTTTAAGTATAGCTGCCAATTGTGTTTCAGTAGGTTCATCAGCCCCAAATTCTATCTTTGGTGATGACTATACGATTATCTAGGATGTATCCTCTTTGCTGTAGTTCTTGAGTCTACTCGTCTTCATTTCCCGCGATACATACGCTACACCATTGTTTTTTATGAGCATCCTGTTCTCAAAGATTGATGAAGGATAGTCTTGCAAGCCCACAAAAAGGCTAATTAATTTAGAATTTTTCACGTAGACAGTCTTGAGATGATTGTAAGATCAATAGCTGTATTACTTGGATAGAGTAACAAGCGGGTAAGACAACGCATGAGTGAGGCATTTTGTAGAAGATTCTACTGGACAATACCTTGGGATAGACGCTGCTAGTAGATGGCTATCGTCATCGTCAGAACTACGGTTACACCATCCATTCTTATATGCAAATGCTTTCCGGAATGGCTTATCATGGAGACCATATTCGAACAAAATGCCCTGCGATTTCGAGTTGATGGAATTTGGGGGTACCCGATTTAGATATTGAAGTAGTGGTCTCTGTGCTGTTGGATCTACGCTGCTTATATTACCCCTCATATTCGTAAGAGCCTGGAAGCGCAGGTATCATTTCCAAGAGTCTCCGACCGCCCTTTGAAAGGCCGGACATTATCGTATTTTATACCAATCTTGCATCTAGTAGTTGATAACATGATTTATAAGAATGAAGAGACGATTAGTGAGTTAACTAGAAAATGTTTGCTTGGGAATCTACTTCCCCCGCAGAAGTTGCCCAATCGCCCAGGGCAAATAACAGGCTGGGGATCGTTTCTAGGCGTTTCTATTGCACTAGTGATGAAACATGATGTCGATGCTGTGAATAATCCTGCGGAAAACAAACTGAATAAAGTACTTGAATGAACCAGTGGTGCTATTCCTCATCGCACCTGATTGCTAACATTTCAGTTGACATTGTGCCATTTCCTTCCACTTTTGTATGTTTTGTTAGTGGAATTAATACCCAACATTCTGATATATGAGCTGCCAATAACTACTGAGCTTCTTGGGGAGTGGTATACGTTCTGTACACGATTTAGAATCATCCAGTTTGGCAAGCTGATGATGTCGCAGGTGAATCAATTCAAATGAATCCAGAAAATGTTTCACTGGTGTCTTGGCGTCGAAATCTATATTGCTGTTTGCTCCGTAGTCTCGCTATTGATTGAAGATAATTTGAGTGACTCGGCGAACTCTGTCTAGAAGTCTGTGAGCCGGTTTCACGGTCATGGCAGCGGCTTTTTTTCCATCGACAACATAACATCTACTTCTTTGGACGGAGATGGATGCCGTTGCTCGTGAGGAGAGCGGGTTTTCAAACTGTCTCTGTGCAATCTACGCAAACTGCGCTAACTGAAAGGTATGCACTTCAATGGCAGCGAGAAATATGATTGCAAGTTCTATAAATGGGTTTATCGACACGATGACTGTTACTCGGGTTCCAATGACAATCGGAAACGCATATCCTCCCAGTGGACACTTCTTGTAGTGCATCTCGTGACCACGATCTCAACGATGACTTAGGGAGAGCTCAAGCTCTGCACAATGACCGTTTGCACGGCTAAGTCTAAGAAAGGGTGTGAGCGGTGTGCCCCATCCACCACCTGCTGAGCTCGCCTGTATTATGAACCGGATCCCGCTTATCAATGCAATGAAAATTCTGTTGATTACGAATACCTACTCCGTGGCCACATCTTACGATATGCGGAGCGTGCCAAAGCTGTAGTCTCAAGTCTGTACAGGATCGTTCGATGGTAAGCCGTCGGTTCAATCTACATGGAGCTTCGCTGTCTGTAGGTTCTAAGCCATAGGTTAAACTTGCGCCTCGCCGTTGAGCGGTAATTTCAACGGTTAGTCAGGCGACCTTGGACCGGATAGCATGCTACCCATTCAATTCTATCGAATGAAAGCGATTTGCAATGTCTAAGATATGTGTAGAGCGGCAAAGCTTGGAGCTGAGTGAATGAGAGATGAAGGATTTCCTGGTGACCACGGACAAATTACACGCGGTATGTAGCAGACCTGAGCCTCAGTGGATGTGTTGGGGACAACAATGGCTTCCTGGGCTCCAACTGCAAGCCAAGCACGGCGAGTCTCGTACGAGCACGAGCACTCAGAAATTTCTCCGAAACTGAACCAAGACATGATGAGCCCATGGAGAAAGGTAAGAACGAAACCGAGAAGCGAGGTTTGATTTCCGTAAAGGCGTAAAGGCATAGAAGGGTCCTTGGAGACATATTGCTGATGGAGAAGGTAAATAATCAGTCCAGCACCACCTAAAATAAGGGGGGCAAGAACTTTCCCTGAATCCCAGTGATATTTAGTTCCACCCCAAGTGAGAGAAATCAAGACAGAGACGACAGAAGCGCTGAGAAGTGCATGGCCCAGCCAGTCAAGTTTTACTAGACGTGGAATGATAGAACCGTTGATGCGATGCCTCACTCTCAGGAAGAAGAAAACAAGCAGGAGAGCAGCCCCGCCGACGGCAAGATTGATGTAAAAGGTCCAGCGGCAGGATACCCGAGTGACTATCTCACCACCGACAATTGGTCCGATGAAAGTTCCCAAGGCAAAAAAGGACATAACAATGGCCATGTACTTCTGACGATAGCGCAACGGGACCAAATCGCCAACAATTATTGATACCAGTACAGAAATACCGCCGCCTCCGATTCCTTGGATAATCCTCGCTGCGATGAGCATCTCGGTAGAGCTTGCGCCAGCACAGAGGCCACTCCCAAGAGTGCGCCGGCCAAAGATATTGGCCATCTGGCCGGCGAGTGGCTGCAACACCGCAACGGATAGGAAATAGCCATTGACAATCCAAATATATAACGCACCAGAGCCGAGACTGCTAACAATGGTGGGCAAAGCGGTTCCCACTATGCTGGTGTCGAGTGCTACCAAGAGGATGGAAAAACATAGTCCGGGAAAGACAGCATAGAACTGTGCGCTACGGCGTGAGTTCTCGAAATCTTAGCCAGCCTCTATGTTTGTGAAAGCCATTTCTCTGGACGAGGGCGAATAACGAGGGGGAAACTCTCTTTCACGCCGAGACTAGCTCATTTCTACCGGCCTGGACAAATACGAGTATATATCGAGTTCCGGAAAAAGAAAGACGAGGGCACGGAATGTTCTTAATAATATTACTACAAACGCTTGAAGCCTATTACGGATACAAGCCTGTAGAGTTGCAACGCTACAACTGCAAGTGCTGGTAAACTTACTCGTAGTGGAGTATATTAATCTTGTGTACTTTGAGGCGAAATGCGCATATACGACCTATGTAACTCTGCCCACGTATTTGCGTCAAAGGCCAGTATGCACCAGCCACGTATCAACCAATACTGCTACCTTTCCTATTAGAGTATTTTTATTCAAGATTAAGCATTGTGATTTTCTTAGTAGCTAGAAAACATAATCCTGTCACATGCCCACTCCATTGCTTGGCAGGTTTTCAGATTGGCTCCCTTCTCCTTGGGGGAATGATGGCCACCACCATGAGTTATAATCTTCCGAAGCTTCGGGTCGCAGAGTTGCGTAAACTTGTGCCCTTGCTCATTATACTCATCCTGATCACCAATCACATGAACAGTGGGGATATGCAGCATGCGAGTCTGCACATCTGGGTGGTACCGCAGGAGTAGCTCTACGGTTTGAGGTAGCTTGCTTAAGTCACTATAGTCAAGTCTCTTCTTTTTCTTCTCAAATTCATCCATAATACCGGCTGTTTCAGGGTCACTGAGCCAGTTGTAGGTTTTGTTTGCCTCTTCGTCGAGGTCATGTCGTATGGCCGTTATGGTGTCCGGGTCGGTGACTGTAACTCGAAGAGGACCAGAGTCGAGACGAAAAGGCATTGTCGGGCAAATAAAGATTGCAGCTTTGAACGGAGGATCTGAGGGGTCCTTCTCCATCGCTGCCGCTATCGTGGTCGCGGCTAGGGCCGCTCCGTTCGAGAAGCCTAATATGGCATCGAATGGGCCATCCTCTTGAACTACATCCATGCCGTGGATGTTGCTCAGGTTAACAATCCTGGTAAAACCACACCGGCAATTCTAGTGGATATGCCTCCGTTTGCCTGGAACCGCAGCACAAAATACTGGTACGAATCCCCCATCTCTCGCGCTTACCGACTGCGAGACATGCCGAGACACGATCTCGTCGGAACCAGATGCGAATATTCCAGTGAGCAGCAGCCTAGTTGGCGAAATTATCTTCGGATTTCCGAAATCCCATGGTTGGAGCACCATCAGGTCCAGTCATCAATCCTGTACCCGTTTGCGGGTATGATCGTTATGGCAGTTGAGGCCTCGCGCCAAGTGGCTGATAAGACGAAGGAGATTGAAGGCTTCCAATTGCGAGACATATCGGCCGGTGCGGCCATGATCATTCCAGCTGACGAGGCCGTCGAGTCGAAGATTCAACTTCACCCATGGCGTGCCGGCTCAAGACTTCCTGACTGGACATGGAACGAGTTCACCATTTCTTGCCGAGATCGTCAAGGTGCTTGGACACAGCATTGTTCAGGCTTGATCCAAGTCAAGTATAAGACAACGCTAAACCCTATTTTCACAGATGAAGACGCCGCCAGAGCCAGCAAGTTCCGTGAGGAATATCAGCGAATCACAGATGCTGGACTGGACATTGAGGATCCAGCTGATGTGTACGCTTCGGTATGTGTATACAATATCCCATCAACGCTTTTGACCTGTTGCTAACTATCATAATAGCTCGCTGAGCTCGGCTTGCAATGGGGCCCATCGTTCAAGTCACTGGTCCACATCGGTTCAGGACATTACCAGGCACAATGCGCTATCGAAGTCCCAGACACAAAGTTCTTTATGCCTGAGAACTTTGAGCATAACCACATCATTCACCCTGCAACGCTCGATGGTATCGTGCAAATGATTGTGCCCGCTTGCTCACCTCGGGGAGCACTTGTTGACAGAGCCAAGATCCCTCGCTTCGTTGAGAGCGTCTACATCTCAAGCAAAGTGGCAAGCAAGAAGCCTGGCGATAAGCTTTACGGCTACTCCCGCTCTACGGCACACGGTTTCCAGGAGTCCGTTGGAACCATTGTCGCTTCCGATGGAAACTGGGAAGAGCCTCTCGTTATCTTCGAAGGGTGCAGAGTCATCACTCTCGAGACTATGACAGAGGGCATTGCGTCGGCTTCTGCTTCAACAAAGTCGATCAAGAAGCTGGGAGCTTGTACTCACTGGGGCCCAGATATTGAGGAGCTCACCGCCGATGGTCTCAAGGCATTCTTATCACCCTTTGCACAAATATATCCTGATCCAGAATACGAAACAATCTACGACCTCGAGTTGGGTTGTCTCATTATCTGCAAGAGGGTCCTTCGGAAGTTTACCGCAGAGGATTCGAAGACGTTCGCACCGCATCATCGTCTGTTCTACGAATACATGCAGCACCAATATGACCTTGCTGTCGAGGGCAAGCTCAACTGCCAGAACTCCCCCACCAAGAATATCGACTGGCTCAACACAACCGATGAATTTGATTCGGCCTTGCTCGAGAAGGTTTCCAATGAGTCTGTCGACGGAAAGATGCTGGTCCGCGTCGCCCATGCGATGAATGAGATCCTTGGTGGCAAACTTGAACCTCTCCAGGTTCTCCGCGAAGACGATTTGCTTACTTCATATTACCGGAACATCATTGGTATTGAAAAGGTTAACCCAGTCCTTGAAGAAAACGTGAGACAAATCTCTCATAAGAGGCCACTCCGAGTCTTAGAGGTTGGCGCAGGTACCGGAGCAACCACAAAGCTAGTTCTGACGACACTTGGAAAACGCGACGATGCCGCTGCCAGGCTGAAGTTGTACACATTTACCGATATTAGCAGCGGATACTTTGAGCCTGCTGCCAAAGACTTCAATGAATATGCAGAATTCTTGGAATACAAGATCCTCAACATCGGGAAGGATCCCGCTGAACAAGGATTCCCAGTCGGCCAGTATGACATTGTCATTGCAAACAACGTCATCCATGCTTGTTCGTCGATCGACAGGTGTTTGGCGCACTGTCGTAGCATGCTCAGGCCGTGAGTGTTTACAACTTTGACAATTGTATGTGAGCCGCAGCTAACAATCGAGTTATAGCGGCGGAGTTTTGCTATTGGGAGAGCTCACTACAACGATGGCTCGTGTTCCGATGATTTTTGGAACACTTCCCGGATGGTGGCTTGGTAAGCAATAAATGTAATATTAAATTTTATTTTGCAATCCAAACTGACAGTCGTTTAGGTGAGAACGATAACCGAAAATGGGGACCACGGCTTTCGGAGAGCGAATGGGACATTCACCTCCGTCAGCAAGGATTCGATGGACTCCATGTGTCCTTCCGAGACGATAGTAGAGAGGACGTTTACCAGTCGTCTCTCATTTTCTCCGTGGCCGTGGAGACCTCATCTCCTCCATTACCCAAGAACGCCGTCGTCGTCAAGCCACCCGTCGCAGACCCTGTCGTCGATTCGATGGCATCGAAGTTGTCGAAGTTCTTGAACAAAGAGGGCGTACAAGTCGAAGTGATTTCGCTGCAAGATGCTAAGGCTACTAATTTCAGTGGTAAGGCATGCATTGTCGCAATAGAGTCGAACAAACCTCTACTTCATGAAATCAAGAGTGAGGACTGGGACTCTGCCAAGAAGGCAGTTCTTGGATCAAGAAGCACGCTGTGGCTTACTAACGGCGGTACCATGGAATGCGCGACTCCCGAGTCCAGTCTTATCGTTGGACTTTCCAGAACCATTCGAGGAGAAAATCCTGGCCTTCAATTTACAACATTGGATCTTGATCCCGAGGAATCAATCGATTCAGACTCCACTTGCGCAACTATTAGCCAGATCTTCAAGTCCAAGGCTGATCCATCAAACGCCGAGTGGGAGTATGCTCTACGCAGTGGGCTACTCAATGTGCCCCGCCTTTACCCCGATCAAGAGGTGAGTAGCCTCTTCGAAACTGGCACAAAGGATCCCCCCGCAGTGAAGCTGCCTTTCAACCAGCCAGGCCGCGCTCTTGCGCTCGAGATCAAGGTACCTGGAATACTAGATACGTTCCAGTTTACGGACTGTGACGAATATCCGCTGCCGCTTGGCGATCTAGAGGTCGAAATTAAAGTCAAGGCTGTGGGTATGAACTTTCACGACGTCATGATTGCCATGGGTCAAATTCAGGATACCAATCTGGGTGTCGAGTGTAGCGGTGTTGTCACTCGCGTTGGGAAATCCGTCACCAAATGGAAGGAGGGCGACAGGGTCATGACGTTCCGTCTGGGAACATACCGTACGTATATCCGTAACCCGGAGGAGATGCTCCAGAGAATTCCCGACGGTATGTCCTTCGAAGAGGGCGGATCGATCGTCTCTATCTATGGAACAGCCGTTTATTCGTTGTTTCGGTCAAGGAGCCATTATTATCTCTCAGTACATTGGTGCCGAGATTTTTGTCACTGTCTCAACTGAGTTTAAGAAGCGTTTCTTGATGGAGACGTATGGCATTCGTGAGGATCACATCTTCAACAGCAGAGACCATAGCTTTGCTGCTGGTATTAAGCGTATGACCAACGGTAAGGGTGTTGACGTCGTCTTAAACTCTCTTGCTGGGGAGGGACTTCGCCAGAGTTGGCTATGTGTGGCGCCCTTTGGCAGATTTATTGAGCTAGGCAAGCGAGATATTAGTAAGTCAAAAATCCGGCACTCGTTTCACTGGCATAGACGTTGTGGGAAGATGCTGACTATCTTTTAGCTGGTAACACGGGGTTGGACATGACGCCTTTCCTGCACAACATCAGTTTCTCCGGTGTGAACATGCTATCTGTGTACAGAGAGAACGTTCCGCTGCTCAGCAGAATCTTGGAAGACGTGATGAAGTATTGGGCTATGGGTGTCATAAAGCTCGTCACACCCCTTAAAGTGATGAACTTCTCGCAGATCGAAGAGGCCTTCCGTATTATGCAAACCGGAAAGCATATCGGAAAGATGGTGTTAGCCGCTAATGACGACGACATCGTTCCAGTAAGATATTTGTCACTGACGGAGCCATATATAGAAAATAAGCTAACTGGGATAACAGATCGTCCCCCCTAAAAAGAAGAAGTTCACTCTGTCTTCGAATGCAACCTACATCATCCCTGGTGGTCTTGGTGGTCTCGCGCGGTCACTTGCGATGTGGATGGCCTCAAAGGGTGCCCGCTACCACGCCTTTACCTCTCGTTCAGGCGCAAGCAAACCAGAGGCAAAGGCACTTCTTGGCGAACTGGCGAATATTAACGTTCAGAGCAAGGCTTTCGCAAGCGATATCAGCAATGCAGTTGAGTTTAGCCGAGTGCTTCAAGAGATCAAGTCCGCCAACTTCCCATCGATTCGCGGAGTCATTACATTTGCTATGCAGTTGCGGGATGTCTTCTTTGAAAACATGACTGTTGAAGATTTTCATGCCGCAGTCCGACCCAAGGTTCAGGTTACGAGAAACTTACACGAGCAGTTGCCCAAAGACCTTGACTTCTTCATTTGTATGTCATCTGTCGGAGGTATCGTGGGATCTAGAGGACAAGGCAACTACAATGCTGGTAGGTCTCAATTCCCATCATGGTGGAGCGATTTATTTGCACAGTGATATCCTCCATCCTTTAGATAGACACAGGCACTAATCAGTATTCACTACAACAGGGAACACATATCAAGATGCCATCGCTCGCCATCGTTGTACCCTTGGTCTTAAAGGAACAAGTATTGATCTTGGTCTCGTACTGGGCGTCGGTTGGGCTGCCGTTCACGGTGAAGCACTGGGTTATCTCAATTCCGGTGCAATGGCAGGTCTGAAGGAAGCTGAGGCGTTGGATGCTATAGAGGCAGGCATGGCTGGTCTGCTTCCGGCAGCTGAAAACACAGTCGGTCTGACTACAGGAGGCATGCTTAAGCAGGGTGGCTATGAGGAACTGTATTGGCACAGCGAGCGCCGCTTTGGCCTAGTCAGCGTCTACGACACGCAAGATAACGGCACTGCTAGTTCCGGTGAGCTAGATAGGTCTGAGGAGCTACGCGTAGCTTTAGGCGCAGCCTAAAATCTGGATGAGGCTGGAGTTGCTGTTTGTGTGGCATTAATGCGGAAGTTGGCAAAGGCCATGATGATGGACGAAGCAGATCTCGATTCTGGTTGCCCTGCAAACGCTTATGGCGTGGACAGTCTTGTGGCTATAGAGATCCGAGCTTGGGTGTTCAAGACAGTCAAGAGCGATATCTCTGTGTTTGACATTTTGAGCAATGCTCCGCTTGCTACGCTTGCCGGACTTATTGCTGCTAAGTCTTCATATGTGTCCGCTACCATTCGCGGTGAAGGGGCCTCCTTGGAGAAGTAAGATGAGAAGTGGAATTTAGAAGGTAAATTGGAGTAAACTAGATATTTATGAAGTTAGTATGAATATTCGATCTTAACATGGAAGTTTATTTGCAAGAACCATTCTTGTAACATTACATGTCACTAATCTGGGTTGTTAATTGCTTACCACCTATTAAATGGGTTATTCTTGAACATCGTCTATAAGTTACGTAGCAGGCATAATATTTGAGAAGTTCCATATACCACTTATCCAGACATTATCCAAGCAACTATGAGAGAATGATGCCGATTCCCTAAAATCAGGCTGGGGGTGTTCAATTTGTGTCACTATGTCATGTCGGTAAATTATAGATCGCCAGTATCAGTGAATTTGCAGAAATTAGTAAGTATAGCTACGCCGGGAAGAAACAATGCGACGGTTCAGTATATACACATATAGCCATCAAGGATGTACCTAAGGGTTAGTCTTGGGCCACTTCCAATATATATTGGCACCCTCGACACCTGCCAAGGGATTTCCATCGCCGTGAGTGGCGTTGCCATATTGTTCCTCAAACCCACATTTGGTATAGAACCCATCTTTACCCAAGGCGCTGACCACCGACGCACAAACACCATCAGTTTCAGCCTGCTCGAGGCCCCATCGCGTAAGTTTCCGACCTATGTTTTTGCCCTGGAAATCGGGCCGCACTGCTAGCCCTTCGAGATACCACGATTCAGCGCGTTTGCCGCTCCAGATCGTGTCAAAATAAGGATACGACCGCTCCACGATGTCCTCCTGCACGGGGTCGCACGCACGACTTGGCCACAACCAAGCATGAATTTTCATAGCGACAACAAAAAGAGGCTTGAGCAAATTTCCTAGGCCAATATCTCAGCTTCCATGAGTGAATGAGGCGCCAAGATATACTCACGAGGATCCAAGTACGAGCGCTCCAGCTTCTTGCCACCGTCTCCCAATCTTGTCCATTGTGCAATCCCGGCGATGACATCTCGGCCGCTCTGGTCTTTGTCCACGGCGACGAGCCATCGCCAGCGGTAATCCCAAAAGTTGACGCGTGCCCGCCGCAGCCAATACAAGTGCACATCGTCTGGATATTCGTTACGATGAGGATGGATGAGCTGGCCGAACAAGTTATCCTCCCAGAATGCCTTCGCCATCACACGGGCAATTTCGGGCAATTCTGAGTAGCGCGCATCGCGCAACACCACCTCAGACATATTGTGGAATGGAGAGAGAGTGATGGCGACAGGATGCAATATGTTGGCCAAGAAAGATTGAAAACAGATAATAACCCAGCACAGTAGATGGTCAAACTCTAGGGTAGTTGCGAATACGAGGATTTGTACGCTTCTTGTTCAAGAAAACTGCTGGATCCAACTACTTAGCATTAAAGAGCAAATTTCCCTTGAGTATCCCTGTAATATGCCAGCCCTGCTTAATAAAGTGCGGCCAAATGCCGCTATTGAGAAGCATCGCAGTTTCTTGGTGATGAACACCTTCACATGCTAACTCGTACGGCACCTATACTTGTGCATTTCAGGAGACCAATCTAGACTGCATCCCCCCGGCATGGGACCTCCGACATGCGAACTAATGAATTTAGTTTATATAATAGCGCGTCCGGGGCGGCCCTGCTTCCCGCTGTCTACGAACTATGAGTAGTACTAGAGACAGTAAGCATTAGTAAAAAAGACCAAGTCTGCATTGCAATCTATTTCGACAACCTGATACTCTCGGACTTGATCTGCTTTAACCCGTGAATCTACGCTCAAAGTCCTGATAATTTGCGGGCAAAAACAAAGTGTCTTGTTGTGGCCTACGTAGTTTTAATTTGAAGATTTTCCATATTCGTTGCAAGGGCCGGAGCAGTGGCCGACGCCCTTGTTCGATTAAGTTGTTGGCTGTGTGCGAACTACGGCAGCTTGCATTGTGATCCGATTGGCCCGGGGTCAAACCCCTGTCATCCGCTTACTCAATTGTGATGGCTCCGATGTGACGTTGGCCCGCCCCATGCTTAACGTTCAGCAGAGTACTCGTAACTTCCTGATGATGGGTTCGATTAAAATCCCTCACACCACGGATCCTTTCCGAGGGATTTTCCCGAAGACTTCACAATGGCCAAGTATCCGAGGCGTACTATGTATATATAAGGAGCATCTCCCTCTTTCCTGAGGATTAATTAGAGTGAGGAGGCCAGTAACCCCGCTTGGAAAATCCCATCTCCTACTCTGGCTATGGACGAATAATTACAAAGAGCTAGCATTCACCGCTTGGCGATCCTCATGCGTGACCTTCCACGCCACCTCCTTGGTGATGATCATATCTCGACTACCAGTTCTGGACCTTTCCTCTTCTGACAAGTTCTCCCGGCTATCCCTGCCGAAGTGATATGCCTTGGCGGTGGTTTGGTCCGGAATGTGATCCGGTCTCCAGCTGTGCGGTCGACCACGGGCTTCACCGTCAGAGTGATCATGGACCCAAACAGACGTCGATGCTCCTGCAGCTGAGGTGGCCTTGGATCGACTATTCTCAAGCGAGCGAAGTGGATACGCATTGCTTGACGCGTACACGCTAGAATCGAAAGCGAGCGGAAAACCTAAGCCTATGGAGAAAGATTTTAGAAAATTCTTCATGTTCGGGACGGTGGCGGAAATGAGAGACCAAACAATCATGGTCTGTTGAAAGAGAAGACTGTTCGTGACGGCAAATTGAGGCTCAGGGGAGGTCGGATATTTGCTGAAGTACGCCAGATGCAGAGCTGAGAAGGCGATGAGCGGTAGACGGAATGAGAAAGCCAAGGCAACCTGAAACTTGCGGGAGAATGACATATTAACGGTCCATGATACCCATACGATGAAGAGCCAGGTAAGAATCTCGGTAAGTATGTCAATCGCAGTGATCACAGCCCATCGTACATTCTAGAAGCAATTCTCTGGTTAGGCATCTTGGTCGTGAGGACACCACGAGGAATAACATGGTTCTTCCATACCTGGTTTGGACATTGTTTGACATTATCCAGAGTCAACAATGTACCGCCGCGGCAGTTGACTATGAATGCCAAACAGGAGCCTACTCCCCATACCGAACTGAGAATCATAAGCCCGATACAGAACGGTTTACTCATCCCAGTCTTGGAGTCAATAATTCGATGGATGAGAGCAAGGACAGAGCATTTGGCGAAGCTCAGGGATAAAAGGCAGAGAATAACGGCCGCGAGAGTGGACTGTGAGTGAATGTGTTAGTTGCCGAAAGCTGTAGCAGCGCTCAGAGGCTTACTTTCGAAGATGTCGCCCATTTTTCTGCTGGCGTGATAGAGTTGAATTTGCCGAGGCCATTGTTTAAGCCAACAAACACGGCGATGGATTGAGCTAAATGTAAAACCTAGCATGATCGTCAGCTTTGATTTCAAATGTGAGATCAGTCTCCTTACCGTTGCCGAAGCAAACAAGAGATCATCAAAACCGAACATCCGGTACTTAATGTACGCTCTTGTCAGGGCACCAAGAAAACTATATAACAACGACAAGATCGTTAAGATCCATAGCTGCCCTGAATGGTCGTTGAAAGTAACGCGCGAGAACGGAGAGGAGCCATCTTTTGATGTTTCTGGATCCATGAGTAGGAACGGCCTGCAAGTCCGGCTCGAGAAAGGCAACAATTTGACAACATCGAAAGGGCAAACCTTTACAGGAGACAATGAATGCCTATTAAGCTTCTCATTTTACACCTACAGCGTGACAGCTGCGAAAGTTCCGGCACTGACAGATGGACGGACGTGTCATTTGTTCCAGACCACAGTATCCTGATTTCAGACTAGTTACAAAGTAGTCAACGGCTTATTCTCGAACCAGGCACATCCAGAACCAACACTTCAGTTTGGGACAAGGGTGTGAAATTTTTCGCCTTGGTGCTCCGTAATGTGTGCGCCGTTTAGACTTCATCACCTGTCACAAACATACGAGACATCATACACACTTTGTACAAAACCATGTCCTTGTCTGCAACACATATCCTTCGACCCTTGATGTTGTATTCTCAAATTTTCATAGCACGATTGCAAACCACTCATTCCCTCATACCAGTGATTGAATAACGAGAAGTGGGCCTCATCCATGTCTTCTCACTTCGTACTCGGCTGTTTAGCAATGCGCTCTGGATACCCGAAATCTTGGGATGCATGTGTGTACCTGTGCCAGTCGCTGCATATTAGGTACCATCTGATTTCAATCAAGCTCTGTCACCTGCATTACACTAGAGCTCCCTGCACGGCACAAGGTAGGGATGATTAGACAAGGACCAACCAACACTCATGCACCAAGCCATCTTTGGGGGCTGAGGCCGATATGCGCTATCCCCAATCCAACTTCAATGGTATACTACGTACAGTAGTACAAGTACTTCTCATTGCTCTCCCTGTTTTTGTGACTGTCTGGCCATGCGTGTCTGCTGCATGCACCCTTCCTCCTGCACCTATGTAACACTAGTTGCAGATTTGTGATTATTTTTTTTTTCTTTTTTTTTTTCTTTCCCTCCCTCCTTTGTTTTGTGTTCCTTCCAGTGAATCCACCGCTCCAAAAGGGGTTCAAAAAAGCATCGCCAAAATGGTAGTTGACGATAAGGAAGTCTCTGAGGTCAATGATGCCGCCATTGGCCTCAATGATGATGTTGATGAGAAAAAAGGAAACGCGGCCGACCGCGCGGACATGTACCGTATGGGCAAGGTACAGGAAATGAGGGTTCGTGCTGGTGACTCTTGACCTTAATCTTACTGAGTTTTGTTAACGTGACATCTATTAGAGAAATTTTCGCTTCCTGTCTATCTTTGGCTTTTCTATGATTCTTATGGCGTCATGGGAGTTCTCTTTAAGGTAAATTGTACTATCAAGATGCTGTGAAAGTTTGCGCAATAAACTAACATAATGATTCAAGTGTATCTACCATCGGACTTGTTAATGGCGGAACTGCTGGTTTAATCTGGATGTTCTTTGTTTGCTGGATGGGTTTCCTCCTGGTGAACACGACCATGGCCGAGATGGCTTCAATGTGAGTGATTTCTAATCTATGTGCATGGATGGATTTCTGATACTTACTTTTGGCAGGGCTCCAACAACCGGAGGACAGTATCACTGGGTATCTGAATTTGCGCCGCCGCAGTATCAGAAATTCATCAGTTATCTCATGGGGTGGATGTGCGTACTTGGCTGGCAGACATCTTGTGCATCCTCTGCATTCATTGCCGGCACGCAGATTCAAGGTCTTATTGTTCTCAACAGCCCCGACTATGTCCCCAAACCATGGCATGGCACTCTACTCACTGTGGCCGTTGCTGCTTTCTCAGTACTCTTCAATACTGTCCTTGCTAGGAAGCTGCCACTGATTGATGCGCTCATCCTTGTTATCCACATCTTCGCCTTTTTCGGCATTCTGGTTACTCTCTGGGTTCTTTCACCGACAGCAGATGCTAAGGCTGTCTTCACCGAGTTTAGTGACGGTGGAGGTTGGGGCAGCGTGGGAGGCTCAACCCTCGTGGGAATTCTCGCAGGAGTTTTGCCGCTGTTAGGTGCAGATGCCGCTGTCCACATGTCTGAAGAGCTGCGCGATGCCGGCCGCGCTTTGCCACGTTCCATGATTACGACCACCATTTTCAACGGCGCTTTCGGATGGATTATGGTTATCACATTTTGCTTCTGCATAGGCGACCTCTCCGAGGTCATCGAGTCTCCAACCGGCTATCCCTTTATGCAGGTCTTTTACAACTCGACAAAGTCAACCAGCAGTGCTACCGCGATGTCGGTGTTTATTGTTGCCATGACTGTATTCTCCAATCTGACTATGGTGGCCACGGCGTCGCGCCAGCTCTTTGCGTTTGCTCGAGACCATGCTGTTCCTTTCAGTCCTTGGTTTTCCAAGATTAAAATAGGATGGGATGTACCGCTTAATGCCATTCTGACGACTTTCCTCATCTCAAGCCTTCTTTCACTTATCAACATCGGCTCGGCTGTCGCACTAAACTCTATCACTTCTTTAGCAACAACATCACTTCTATCTAGTTACATCGTCTCTACTGGTTGTATGATCTGGCGGCGATGGACAAAGAGCCCACTTCTTCCATCCAAGTTCAGTCTGGGGCGATGGGGCCTTACTATAAATATTGCCTCCGAGGCCTTTCTCGTTGTTATCTTCGTCTTGGCATTTATGCCGGGCAACCCTAATCCGACGGCAGCTCAGATGAACTGGAACATTGTGATTTACGGTGGCGTTACGATTTTTTCTTTGGCATACTACTTCTTTCGTGGAACTCACAGGTATCACGGTCCGGTCGCTTATGTCAGAGTTCTTCAACAATAGAAAAATGACAATGCATTGTTCTTAGTTAAGCCAGACCTCCAAGAAATTGAGTAGTCGCATTGCTTTCTAGGGCTCTTTTTATCTGTATGGTAATATAGGCAGTTTATCATCCGCATACAAAAGGGTAAATATATTTATAGCCTCTATTAACACATAACAATTAACAGCCTAATAATCACATAGTTTAATATAATTGGTGCGCATGGAATCATCAAAGACGAGATCCACATTTCGGATATAATTCAATTATCCTATTTATTAAATTTCTTGTTCATACTTATTTCTGAAGATAATACAACACAGAGAATTGCGGACCATCCTAAACGAGTGTACAAATTATTGTCACATACTGCGCAATGATTAGGCAATAGCATTTCTCTAAAAGAGAAAACAGTGCACTGCTGCCCTACAAATTGCCCGATATTTGGCTAGTATATAAGAGTCAGATACCTCCACGAGACTCAGGATGGTCGTTGGGCTTCCTGCAAACTCTCTTCACAGACTGAAGTTTTCCCATTTATTTTATCATACTTGGTCATGAAGTGCGCTCGCGTGCTCGCCCTCTTTCTTGGAGCGGCTATTCCCGCTCAGGCCGCATTTACATGGAAGAACGTTAAGATCGGTGGCGGCGGCGGTTTTGTTCCTGGGATCGTCTTCCATCCCAAGACAAAAGGCGTAGCATATGCCCGAACAGACATTGGTGGCCTGTATCGCCTGAATTCTGATGATTCATGGACTCCAGTCACAGATGGAATTGCTAACGACGCGGGTTGGCACAATTGGGGTATTGACGCTGTTGCTCTAGATCCGCAGAATGATCAGAAAGTATATGCTGCGGTCGGCATGTATACGAATAGCTGGTGTGTGAAATTCCATTGCATATATATCCAGGGCTAACAGCTCTGACACATCATCAGGGATCCTAATAATGGGGCTATTATTCGCTCTTCAGACCGTGGTGCCACGTGGTCTTTCAGTAACTTGACATTCAAAGTCGGAGGTAATATGCCAGGACGCGGTGCAGGGGAGCGGCTAGCTGTCGACCCGGCCAATTCCAATATCATCTACTTCGGAGCTCGATCAGGAAATGGTCTCTGGAAGTCCACTGATGGCGGCGTTACCTTTTCAAAGGTAACATCGTTTACGGCAACGGGCACGTACGCGGCAGACCCTACCGATCCCAACGGCTACAATAATGATAAACAGGGACTTATGTGGATAACCTTTGACTCAACAAGTAGTACCAGCGGAGGCGCGACTTCTCGCATCTTTGTTGGCACCGCTGATAATATCACTGCTTCAGTTTACGTGAGCACAAATGCCGGCTCTACGTGGACAGCTGTCCCTGGCCAGCCGGGAAAATACTTCCCTCACAAAGCCAAACTTCAGCCTACGGAAAAAGCTTTGTACCTTACATACGCCGATGGTACGGGACCATATGATGGAACACTAGGATCAGTATGGAGATATGACATCACAGCTGGGACTTGGAAAGACATTACCCCAGTCAGCGGATCGGACCTCTACTTCGGTTTTGGAGGTCTCGGCGTCGATATTCAAAAGCCGGGGACTCTTGTTGTCGCTTCATTAAACTCTTGGTGGCCGGATGCCCAGCTGTTCCGTTCCACAGACTCAGGAACGACATGGAGTCCTATTTGGCAGTGGGCTAGCTATCCTTCTATGACTTATTATTATGGCATCTCGGTAAGCCAGAACTGACAGCGTGAACTTGCCAAGATCTTCATTGCTAACCTGGTTTCAAGACTCCAAAGGCGCCATGGATCAAGAATGATTTCATAGACGTAACTAGCGAGTCGCCATCTGATGGACTTATCAAGCGTCTTGGTTGGATGATCGAGTCACTTGAAATTGACCCTCTAGATAGCAATCACTGGCTCTATGGTACCGGCATGACAATATTCGGCGGTCATGACTTGGCCAACTGGGACACTGTTCACAATGTGACAATTCAGTCGCTTGCTGATGGCATTGAAGAGTTTGCTGTACAGGGTCTAGCCTCTGCACCTGGGGGTAGCGAACTGTTAGTGGCACTAGGAGACGAGAACGGTTACACATTTACAAGCCCGAATAGCCTCAGTACCTCGCCGCAAAACGTCTGGTCAACGCCAACATGGGCGACTTCGACAAGTGTTGACTTCGCAGGCAACTCCGTCAAAAACGTTGTCCGCGTTGGCAATACTGCTGGCACTCAGCAAGTTGCGATTTCATCCGATGGCGGCGTGACATGGAGCATCAACTACGGTGCTGACACATCTATGAATGGTGGCACTGTCGCTTATTCGGCAAATGCTGACACAATTCTGTGGTCGACTGCCTCATCTGGAGTGCGGCGTTCGCAGTATCAGGGCAGTTTTACAGCCGTCTCTAGCTTGCCCGCCGGTGCCGTGATCGCCTCAGACAAGAAGACCAACACCATCTTTTATGCCGGATACGCATCTACTTTCTATGTCAGCAAAGATACTGGCAGCACTTTCACAACTGGGCCTAAGTTGGGCAGTTCCACTTCCATTCGAGACATTATTGCCCACCCAACAACGGCGGGCACTCTATATGTCTCGACTGATGCCGGCATCTTCCGTTCGACCGACTCAGGCACAACCTTTACCATAGTCTCTACAGCCCTGACCAACGTTTACCAGATTGCCCTTGGCGTTGGTTCTGGCTCGAACTGGAATTTGTATGCCCTCGGTACTGGGTCAGCTGGCGCCCGTCTTTATGCCAGTGGGGATAATGGCGCAACCTGGACTGACATTCAAGGTAGCACTCAGGGTTTCGGTGCTATCGACGGCGTCAGACTCGCTGGTAGTGCCAGCACTGCTGGACAAGTTTACGTAGGTACCAATGGTCGAGGTGTTTTTTATGCCCAGGGAACAATTAGCGGTGGTAACGGTGGAAGCCCATCTTCCTCCATTTCCTCGAGTAAGCCCAGCACCACTACCTCAAGCCGTACTACACTCTCCTCTTCAACCATCTCGACTACCCGTACCTCTATTGTGACCTCGACTACTCGCACCAGCTCGTCAGCCAGCCCTTCAGGAACAGGCCTTGCACAGCATTTCGCCCAGTGCGGAGGTATCGGCTGGACTGGTCCAACACAGTGTGTATCACCGTGGAAGTGTCAAGAACAGAACGAATGTGAGTGATGATTTATATCCTGAGCATCGTCACTATTAACGAAAAAAAAATTGCTAATCTGACATCTATAGACTATTATCAATGTGTTTAAGCAACACTGCATGGGCTTGTATATTGTGATAATAGCAACGATGAAGTTTCGATACCATGTTTAACTCCTAGAAAAAAAAATGTATGCCAAGTCCACATAATGCAATATCTGAAAGCTATTAAAAAGTTATATCGTAGCATTTTTGATTAAATGACCCAGCCTGTATGAGTGTTGGGTTTATGGAACTGAATTTGACTGTGTCCAGCAGTGTGTTCTAAGCTGTCTTATTCTGTTCTATTTTATTTTATTATTTTATCTTTCTTTTCCTTTCCTTTTCCTTTTTGCCCATCGAGGTTGAGTTCTTAGTAGCACAGTGGCTACTATTACCAAATGAAATTCTTGGTTAATAATATTAGGCTCTCAATCCGTCAGCAACCCTTGAACGATGAAATGTTGAAAGCTGGTACGTGCTATATCGAATCGCCAAGAAAAAAGATGTTCAAATCAAAACCACCAAATCCATAAAAACATTCCAGAGATAAACTTTGTTGATAACTTGCAGGCTCTCAGTTTCACCTCAGGGAGAGATAGTTCATCAAATCTCTCCATTTTCCGGTCTCTCTCTCTCCCATTTAATCTCTCACGGCTGCTGGTGGCGGTGTGACGATTGCCTCTGTAGATTGAGCTACCCTGGTTGCTGCCTTGTGCACAATGGATCTCATCGGGCTACTTTGCAATTTCTGCTGAGGCTGATGATTTCCTCCAAACCGAGATCGAATCCCAGGACTTTTTGCATCGAGCTCAGCCTTGACTTGGTTGTACATCTCTTCAATAATAAACACCTCCTCTTGGGCGTCAAGAGTGCAGTCGGTTAAACAAAGCTCCCGTTCGCGTTGCTCAATGTGCTCACGAAGTTCTCTCCATTGGTTCTCCTGGATTTTGAACCGATCAGGAAGGCCAGACCCTTTAAGATATGTCAATATCCCTGCCATGATTGTGCCCATGGCGCCTAGTCCAGTAACCGCATGGCGAGAGCCGTCAGCGGCTCCGATTGCCGTCAACGCGGCGCCAACGATGATTTGCGCTCCAAGACAAAAGTTTATAGCGATATGAAAGATTTTGTAGCTCTTGGCTGCCTTCTGCTCTGCTTCGATTACTCGAAAGTATAGACCAATATTGGGCGCCGCGCGCCTGGCATGGCCGGCGCTTGACAAAGCAGGCACAGTGTCTATGCCAGTCAAGGAACGAAATGCGAGGAGCTTATCAGTCGGCGGGATTAGTGCATCGTGATCAGTTCCGATTATTGTGATTCGTTTCCCGTTACTGTTGGTCTCTTGACCCGCTGGGTCCCTGTTTGGAGGATAGCCTTGCTCCTCTCTATCTGTAGACAACGGATCTCCCATATCCATAGAACGGACGACTTGAGCAATTTTTCGGAGCATAATTTCCTAGATCTTATGAAATAAAAGCTACAGCACAGAATATAAACGAGAAAGCTGCTGAGCAGTGGTAAAGAAGAAGCGATGATAATGACGAGTCGCGTTGCCACAAATTTTGTGGATGCGGATCTGTCTTCGGAGCTTTTTGAAGCTAAAAATGGGAGCGATCATAGACCACAAGAGAATTTCAGGCCCAGATCAAATCATGTGGGAAGACATGACAAAAAGATGTCTTGGGCCTCCTTTGCGGCCTTATGTCACCCACCTCTCCATGCGACTTCTCCTGCTTCATGCAGCATGTAGTATTGGTCAAAGGAGACACTGCCGTCTGCAAGGGACTCAACCTGGTCCTCTAATGATGCGGGCCGCCCCTGTATCTTATTTCGATAAGCCCATCGCTAACTGGATTGAGATTCGCATGATAAAACCCAAGACATGATTCGGCGAAACGCAGGTGGCAGCTGATACAACAACCCCGCTTACTGTGCGGCTGAACTCCCGTGTGGTTAAAAAAAGAAGATTTGCGGTTGGAAATGCGATGAAAGATTGCCGAAGCTAAGCTGCCAGGTGCGGCACATCAAAGAATCGAGATTGCGAAGTGGATGCGTCCTACCGGAGCCATACTTGATAACTAGAAGTAGAAGACATCAACCAAGGTGGTAAAGTGTGTATGGAGCAGGGATGAGCGTTGCTTTCAAACACAAAGTTGCGACTTGACATTCTACTGCTTGCCTGTGTTCACAGTCACCATTGGTACCTATGCTGACGACTGAAATCTTCCAGCTTAGTTTTTTTAGCCTCAGAACTGGCGATGTTACGCCACCTATCATACAACAAAGAAAAGCCCAAAACATTCTCCATAGGCATTCTCACTAAATTGAAATTGTGTTCTGGGCTTTTACGTACTTATATTGGCAGTAAAAGCCTGGTGTAAGAAGAAAGGGAATGGAAATTGTTGACTAATTGTTAGGAGAATTAGTTTAGCCTAGTCAAATGCCCTTGATAATGGACTCATCCTCCTCCTCCTCCTCCTCCTCCTCCAAAAAAAAAAAAAAAAAAAAAAAAAGGGGGATCCCTGATTTCCATCATAATAAAGATTCCACTTGGAATAAAAAAAAAAACCTGAGCGTCTAAATTTATTATTCTCGTATTTAAATGGTGGTCGGCAAAGGATTTCAGCTTGAAATGTTGGGTGAGACAAAGGTCAGCTGCTCCTCCATTTGTCTGAGACGTAGCATGAAGACTGAGCTTCCAATAGTAGCAATTATCAGTACCTATACCCATATAAGATGCGGAGTCCAAACTTTCGGAGAGAGGCAGGGAAAAGAGACATCACAATATCTGGCTGAGGATGGCCAGGCCAATAGTGGCGGTACAGATCCCCGTTTCATAGCTGTATCCTTTTTTATCTCCCAAAATCTTCAAATCTAACACAACGACAGAGCCATCTAATGAGAACCTCTTGTGAGGCAGCGTCTGTAACAGTCAACATTTGTAATTAGCTTGACTTGGGGAATCCTATTTATTAGCAGCCGCTAGACAGAGGGCTCTTATTTAAATTAGGTACAGGTGCATTGTAATCTGAGGAAGTGCATATGTGTGTGTGTTGGTCTTGGTGGGCATTGCCAATAAGAATGGAATTCTTCTTACAGCCATAGGAGCCTTTACAGGATCCAAATATCCAGGAAGCTCTTGTTTTTCGTATGGAGGAGGTTGCAGGCATAGGAATGTCAGCAATTAGCGTCATAAGAACGAAGCATCCCTTCCCACTCAATCTCAGCCTACGAGATCCTGCGAGTAAAGTAGTCAGGTCAATCTATTACATACTATGTATTGCATAGAGATATAAATCCTTCCGCGTCTTATTTCGCGCGTGGTGTTCATGTGCTGCACGCAACCCGCTATGTGTATATCAAGATGCCTACAAGCGATGGCACTATCTTGATCAGGCGCAATCTCAGCATGCGAATTCTGCAAGCCCAACAACTGAGACGAAGCCACGAATAGACCTCATGTCTTTTCTTAATTAACTACTTATTCTAGTGATGGCAAGTCATTTATCCAGAAAGTGAGAATAGGCTCTAATAGATAGCCTATGCAATTTTGGACAACTTCTACATCGCGGTATACTGGTATGTACTAGTATGAGCTACTACACAGCTCTTCCGGCGGAAATCATTCACCCGAACAAACAAGATCGCTTAAACAACAGGGGCCAAGGAGAATTTATAAGCTGATGGAGTCAACATCAGTCCCATTGGCGACGGCAGATGGGGTAGCGCACGATTCGTGCATCGCAAACTCTTGCTTCGATCAAATCAGCGCGGCGTGATATTCCCGATCTAGTCTAGCACATCGCCAAAAGCATATCGATCGACTTCCGAGCTGCATCTCGGGCCGCCCTGTCAAACTGATCTGTGCAAGGGCATGCGAGGGCAATAGTCTGCGGTGGCGGTACCCAAAATGATTGGCTGGACAAGCTCAACTGTAGTTACCGGCCCTGCCAATCTGCTGTGAACCAGATGCCTTTGGACGATATTTGAGAGCATGCTTATTGACACTGTCATTGAATGAAACAAGATGCGATCGTAGCAAGTAGGATAAAGGACCGTCAACGGCTATAAGAAGAAGCTGGAAATCCAACAATATTACGGCTATAGTCAACAGTTCCAACAGCACCACTGAAGCTAGATACTGACCATAGATATGGACACCGCCACCAGAGATGAAAAGACCATCAGAGTCGGAGCCGTCCAGGCCGAACCTGTCTGGCATGACCTTGACGGATGTGTGGACAAGACTATACAACTTATTAACCAAGCCGCCGCAGATGGCGTTCAAGTTCTTGGATTCCCCGAAGTATGGATTCCAGGATACCCATGGTAAAACGCCCAGCCATCACTGAAGCCATTTCCTTGTGCGACGACCCCATATGCTAACATTTCGAGTTGTATGGATACTAGGCAGATGTGGTGCGCTCCACCTATTGTTCAAGCGACCTGGGTTCCTCAGTACCAAGCAAACTCCATGACTAGGGGCTCTCCTCAAATGAAACGCATTCAGGCAGCTGTTAAGAAAACTGGCATGTTTGTTGTGCTGGGCTACAGTGAGCGCGAGGGAGCCAGCATCTACATTGCGCAAGCCTTCATCTCACCTGACGGCGAAATCATCCACAATCGCCGCAAAACCAAGCCTACTCATGCAGAACGTACCATCTGGGGTGAAGGCCAAGCTGAGTCCCTGAAAACAGTTGTGGATTCGCCATTCGGCAAAATAGGTGCCTTGAACTGCTGGGAGCATCTGCAACCTTTGCTGCGCTACTACGAGTACACACAAGGTGTACAGATCCACGTCTCGAGCTGGCCGTCCATCTTCAGCATGCCCGAGCCTGAAAAGATTACTTGGCTCTACCATGAGACTGGCGAGGCGAATAATCGCATTAGCCAGAATATGGCGATAGAAGGTGCAACTTTCGTCATCTGCTCTTCGCAGATTCTTACAGAGAAGGGTCTAGAGACGAACAGCCTGTTGGCAGGTAATCCCGTCACCAAGGTGGTAAGTCAGTTTCTGTGTCAGCTCTTCTGGTTATGCTGTGTTCTCGGCGAGCGACGTATTGGCTAATCTCAATCTCTCACACCTAGCCTGGTGGTGGTTTCTCTCAGATATTCGGACCCGATGGAAAGCCATTGTGTGAACCAATTGGAGAGGGTGAAGAAGCAATTTTACAGGCCGATATAGCTCTAAGCGACATCGCCAAGGCTAAGATATTCATCGATGTCGCTGGCCATTACGCTCGACCAGACATGTTGAGTCTCCTAGTCAATCCAACAGTTGCTAAACACGTCACAGTAATGGACAAATAGAGAGCTCAATTTTTCGCTATTTGTATTTAGTTAATTGATGTCATTATTAAATAAACCAGGGAACTGCAGTCTCGTAATTAACAAATTCCCACCATTTCGTGCGATGCACGTATGTCGAGTCAGCCTGAAGGTCGTAGTGTTTCCAACATGTTTCAATAAGATTGCGCATCACACGGATGTTGCCGATATTTCTCACATTATTCATCAGATCCAATATTCGTAGAATCCGGATGCGCTGTTCGTCTGTCTGGCATTCGCAAGCAACCATGAATATAGGCCATGGGCTTGTAGCCACCCCCAAGCGCTCCAATATGTCAAACACCTCTTCCAAATAAGTTGCTTTTTGCTCCTCGTCCCCAGGCAAAGGGATAACATGAAGCAGGTATAGAATGGTTCCTATGCGATATAGCTCTGCGGTAGCCAGAATGCGGGTACGCCTCGCGGGTGCCTCGCCGGCTTCTTCATCGGGATCGAGTCTCTGGACAAGGTTATGTAGCGTATGCTCCAATTCAAATCGCTGCTGAATGAGTTTGGGTGATAGCGGGTCGATTTCTTTTTGTATGATGGCGATGCGGAATTTGTTCACCCGGTGAATTATCGCAATCGTCTCCAACGAGCATCCGAGAGCGCCAAGTATCTGCCGCCATTCGAATTAGCTTCATGCTTTTAATATTTAAGAAGAAGAGAGACATCGTCGCAAGAGCTCACCAAAGTAGCATCGCAGTTCGACGCCCCCAATAGGAAAAGAACGTCGATGCAGTTATGGGCTTGCCGGAGGGGTTGGCTGAAGCATGCCAACACTTCGTGGTAGAGAAACCAAGTGAAGAGGAAATCTGCTTTGATGTGCCTTCGATGCTCCGGGTATAACCCTTCCAGCATATATTTAGCACCATCAAGATGCGTCGTCCAGTGGCCGTCGGTCTCGTCGAAGACCTAGCGTCAGTTAGAATACAGATTACCAACCCGTGCATTCAACCTTTTTATAGCTCACACTGTAGATACAAAGCATCATAGATGCAGCAAACTGCGTCTGGTTGAGATCAATAGAGCTTGTTTCATATCCGGGAGTTAGAGAAGCAGATAGATGGCGGACAGCATTCGTCTTGTACTTTAGAGCAGCTTCAGTGCCGCTGTGATGAAAAGCGGCGACAGCCATCATAGAATTCCATAAGGCTTTGGTCGCACTGTCTCCCCGTGACAGCACCATCTGGACAAGGTCGGTCCGGAAGCCGTTCGTGACTTGCGTGGTCGAAATCATGGGAGCAATAACGCGCTCATCTTCACTGATGTCAATCACTACCCAGATACATTAGATGAACGGCTTTGGGTACTTACAGTATGACATGAATAGAGCATCTTGACCGACCATTGTCGGATAGAGGTTGAGAGTTCGGGTAGGTTTGGCGACAGGTTTGATAATAAGCGCATTGTAAGAAGAGGGATCCAGCGACGAGGCAACATCGTTATGATTGACATTGAGAAAATGCAAGCCATAGTTCTTGGACGCCTCCAGCGGGTTCTCCGGCGGCTCATAAACTACGAAGCCTGTGTCTTTGCGCCTGCCATCATGACGATCCGGCCACAGCAGACGGACGCCGTAGCCCAAGCATTGTCTGCCCGTGCGAGTGCAGTTGTGGCACACAGGCAGATCCCTGTCACACCCTATTTTCCGCTCTGGATGGCGCCTGTCAGCACTCGAGCAGATGCGCCAGCGCTCCAATTTGAAGCCAAAGACTCACGTTTACAAGTCCAGCAGCCTTGTTTGGCCTTCATATCTTCTAGGTCAAAGTCAGATGACCTCGCCCAGCGCAATACGCCTTTGGCATTGTCATTCGGCCAAATCAATCTGGCGAGAGCTGCTCAAACTAGCAGAGAAGGTAAGATGACATGAATCGCTTTTCTGACTGTATCCGTAGGCCTCCGCTTTCAGGAGCCGAAACGCGCCAAGGAAGGGCTATCAATATTCCGATCCGCGAGGGATCAAGCCATTACCCATACGCGTTTTACATGTACTGTATTAGTACTGTGACTAAAGATGGAGGTTGGGTTGAAGAATCCAAGTGCAAATACTGTTATCTCATTGTGTGAAAGATGTTGATGAACTTGTGGTTGACCTCAATGGTCCAAGAACAGACATTTGCGCCCAGAAATTTGCCTCAGACGACCTGGTGTAGCCTTGATGTCAACATTTAGCGGGACTTGCTTATTTTTTGACAGCCTGGCTGACTAGAAGCCACAAATAACCAGGGCTCCCCCTTTTATTAACAAAAGAACACTGAAAGCACGCTGCTCGTTTAATGAACAAGTGAAGTTGATTCCGTTTGGGAAGTATACTGCAACTTGAAAGATGCCCGACTCGGTTTCACGTAACTGATTCAATGCATTCGTCAATGACCCTTTCACTCTCCACTCTATATGTGGGGGGTGAGGAAAGGGTTGATGTTACCATACAAGTACGCCCAGTGTTCATGCTTGGCCTACCATTCATGAAATATACATGAGTAACTCATGCACCTTGAAGTATCACGACTGTATAGCAGACGACCACTCTGAAGGAAATAATCTCCAGTGTGTAGATAGATATATATCGCACACAAATATCAAGGTAATATTTATATCATCATGGGTATGTACTTCAGATACAACACGAACGTACTGGGACTGCCTTTAAGCTACCGACTAGTAGGCATCCGTTCTTTGCGATTGGCACCTTTAGATTGAACCAGATAGAGTGCCACTCTAGTTTACTCCGGATCCCAATCGGCTGCTTCAATGCACCACCAGTCTCATCCCTCAAGGGATCCGAGTTTTGTTCATTCTGAAGCTTAGAAATGCTGCATCTCAATATCCACTTTGCCGAGCCTCGAAACTACAGGTCAGCGTCCTACAACACGAACAGCCAGATCTTGAATTGGCTCGAAGCTATATCATGGACTACCTCAACCACAGCCAGGCTTGAAACACCTACTATGGATGGTTCTTCCAACAGGCACCTGGCTGCTCAAGGAGATAGCAATCATCTAACCGACCCTGTAGGTCACTAGTTAAGGGAAGTAATATGACCGAAGCGATTGTTCGACCCAGTCCAGGCCGTTTATATAAGCCCGAAAGGTTCCATCACCTCACATCCGCAAGAAATACACGCCGCCTACTAGTCGGAATAGTATAAAAGAGGAAATAGCTTCATGCGAGATCAGAAATACGTCGCTCTGCTCGCAACCTGGGGCATCTTTATGTGTGTATCAAATCTTAGAATCACCCGATAAAGCAGAGAATCATATCTTGCGTTATTCACTACCGATCGAACGGTACTAACACTTTCCCCCAGCAAGATCCGGTCAAACAAATCGAAGCAAATTTTCGGTAGAGGGATAAGAGAGTGATCATACGTTAAACGGAGTACCACGCTACTAACCGTCCTTTCAGAAGAAATACTTAGTATATATGGTGTGAATTGCTGTAGTATCCTAGTAGAGTCTGTTCAGAAAAGTTGGATCTAATCAATCCCTCTCGTTGGTAGACACCCCCAAACGAGAATATTCAGTTGGCTTCTTGCTTAAAGCATTTACTTGCGATCAGGTTATGAAGCTTAAGCTGTCTAAAGACGATATATTCATATTGCTTCTTATTTTTATTGATACTTGATATATTACTCCCGTCTTATCATGTCACGTTGAGGATATTAAGAACTCCCTATTTGTGTCTAATTGTCAAAATGCCCGCATCATAGCCCATATAGTACGGGAAGTTGGCGCGCACTTCCGTGTTGTGGATCGAGAGGACAACAACTACAGTCACACCCGTCTTTATTGAGGGGAATTAATTTTACTTGTACCGCCACCCGATCCGCACATTGGGTTCCATGGAATCGGGTGGCAAGGAGGGGATCTATCGATTCTGGACAACTTGTACGAACCGTGGATGCCGTATCACATGAAGGAATTACGCTCGGCTATCTACAATCTCCCTCTTCCATTGACTTTGGATTTTGTGGCCTCAAATTCTCTTGAGCAAGATGGCCCCACGACACAGCTCCTCCAAAGAAATGTATAGGCAAAAGCAAAAGACCAAGTTTGAGTGATCTTTGGATGCCACTATTCTGGTTTGTTTCACATGCCGCAGAGATGCATACCAGTAAGTCAAGATTGCTCTTTGGAGAGAGATATTCAGATTAAAGATTTGTACTCCTTCCAACCCTATGATAGAGGCACGATGTAAGGGGTGAGTCTGTCAATATACACCCTGCGTCCCTTCCTTAATGAAGCGACTGGAGCATTAAAAAAAATATGCTCGCAGCCATTGAGATTATTATCAAGATCAATAATAATCCCCCAAGGATTATCTTTTCAGTATGCGGGTAGCGACATGAGGCGTTTCAGCCTGTTTCTAACACCACCGTGATCGCTTTCTATGCTGCTCTGGCTGGGGCGACGGGGGACGGAGTTGACCATACCACAGCCAGCAGCATAGCGTGTCGTCGCTATGCGATTCGACCGTTCTATGCAGAGAGTTAGGCATTCTTTTGCGTGACGTCGTACATGACCTTACGGGAAGAATCATATCGCCCCGGATCGTTCAACACCGCATCGAGTTTTGCTTTCGCCTTCTCGGAAGCTGACGGCATGATGATACTTCTGTACTGCGATTTTTGAATCAATGAGCAGTTGGTTTGCGACAGCCGGGGCGTTAAATAGAGTTCGCCAAACGGTTATATATCCAACATGCGGGGTAAAAGTGTTGTTTCAATACATATTCTTTTATAAAACTAAACTCTCGTTAATATTTCGTAGCCCCGCGACGTAATTATGACATCAAAGTCAAGAATTGTTCCAAAGCTCAACAGCAGCAGCAACCAAATCACTTGAGTTGGAGCGGCAGCCAAAGTAAATGCAAAAGATCATTTGTAGTGATGAAGACAAGAGAGGCTATTTGCTTAACGGAGGCTGGCTGTGGATCCATGTTTCTCCAAGATGAACTCTCTTTGATCTGCTGCTGTGCATTCGTCTTTTTGTAGATGGAATACGCACTGTAGCTGGTTGGTTACCATTGGTTCCAAGAAGTGGAATGGATGTACCATTTTATTCACGACATAAAAGAGAATTACGGGGGCGACTAGCATTATTTCTACTTCGGGGTACTCGGCACACTTCGGAAGACCTCGATTGAACCCATCGTCAAGTATTGGGGCGAACCAGCCAGCCAATCCACTTGGAGTTCTATTTACGGATGACAATGTAGTAAGCTAACAAAGATTTGCTAGCTCCTAACGAGCCAGGATAATGAGATTAAAAACCTAGCCAGAAATGGACTCGAATGTGTGGCGGCTTACGGACTACAATAGTGCACGTCTGTACTCGAACGGAGTAGATACTAATAGCTTCTGCGTGAAGGCTGACTAAAATCTGAGGTGCTTGTAAAAGTTCCCCAAGATGGAAAAAGGTACACCAGGAAGTTCGGTAACCCTGTATGTTGAGGTTATTATTTCATGACGAATGAACGGATGGATGGATTGCCTCATTGTATATGCGTGGCCAACTGGCAATCTGCGAATGCAAACTATAATAGATGAGGTGCAATTCATGCGTTGGCAAGCGATGTGATGTGGTCTTGCGCGGTTGGTGGCGTCACTAAGCGATTCCATAGCCACAAAGAAGGAAAATGATTTTCATCATCATTTGGAACAAAGAACGTCAATGACAAAATCGCAAAATACCACCAACAGCACATTTCAAAGAGTATCTACCTCATGTGTAAGCTAATCAAGTCCGTTCATCCCAAGTGTTCGGAAGTACCTGAAGGAAAGATCGCGGAGTGCCAGGGAGTTTAATTACATGAATCTGACTGCGCCACAGAAAGCTTAACCACAAGGATTCTTTGCCTCTTTGCCTCTGACGGAAGCAGGGCCATCCGAGCCGGCCTTCAAATCTACTGGTCCAGAAGCCTGCAAATGGTATATGCTTTACATTTGGTTGCATTTTGTTTGTTGGCAGGATTCTCGACGGATGCAGGTTTAGTCTGCTGCCGGACATTTACTACCCAAAAAGCAGCATGTATTCCCGATGTAGGAGCGTGCGTCAATGGCTGTAGCTTCAATGAGCCAAGCTTGGATCTTCCTGCGAGCACAAAACTGTTGGTAGTAGGTTTGGCGTTAAGCATTATCAAACAACCACCCAAAAAAAAACCTGCTTGGTGAGGATATGTAAGTTCTAGAAGGATGAGCGCTTGCAAATTAGTGCATTAGTTGGAAAATAGCGACGACAACGGGGGAGAGAAACACCACAACCATTGAGCAAACGCATGGACGTCCACCAAAAATACATGTAGAGAAGTGGACATATTACCAGAGATCTAAAATAAACGGGTCTCTCCTCGAGCAAGAGAGAGTGGACAATGACAAATGCATCCGGACCCCTAGTAATACCTCATTCGGAGAAACAGCTGTCGTCCGCATGCATTCTAACTTTGCCGCCCGATCCGTTGCTGTTGGATCTTTGGACAGGACAGGGTTCAGTCAGCCTGATCATTGCGCCTTCAGCCAGCGAGCATGTTTTTATTTTCACACTAAAACACACACAGGGTCGAAAGTCCGTGTGGCGTTGGTGGCAGTCAAGAGCCAAAACATGTTTGTTTGTTCTTTATTTTCGTGAAACAAACTCCTCCAGGCTGCGCCCGGCCATTTTGTTCGCCATGGTGGCAGAAACGCGCGCTTCTTGGGCTTAATGTGAGGCCGGACGCGGCTGCGCAAGTTTCCACATTCGCAGGGCTAGCCAGGAAAAGGAAGACTAGAAATTCTCTTTAGCCATAACAAACGCCACAGCCTCAACAGCCAAAAATAGCACGGCAGTCAGCAGCCAGTAGTCATCCGCTTACCAACTCATCCGGCCCTTGACTGACCGCAAACCTGCCAGACTAGAATCGGCAATTATAGCTCCCGGGTCAGGTAGTCTAAAATCGGAGCTGTAGGTCGATGGCTTAGAGAGGGCTGTTATGGGAAGCAGCCACATGCCATTCGGAAGTAGACTGGTCCGCAAGTTCTGATGGCAGAGATGATGCCGTCTAGCGAGAGCCTAGTGAAATTAGGATGCAGCGGTATTGATGGCTATGGAAGGAATACCTAGTATATAACTATCTCATGGTTCATCCCATTCTAGTCAGAACATTACCATCATCACCTCTCACTTCGACACCACTCTGGACAGTTAGCATCATACCATCAACGGTTCCATAGTAAACACACCACCACCTCATATACATATACACATACACACACACACACGAGAAACAATGGCCAAGCTTACCAAAGTTCTTGCCTCCGCGCTGGCTCTAGCCGGATCCTCTGTCGCTACCTGGCCTCCCAATAGCAAGGATTGCACGACCACTGCTGCAGCTGCGGATGGTTTTCCCACACCCAGTGCTCAGCAGCTCAGGTCGATTTCTGAGACTGCCGATGGCTCTCTCTCAAACGCCCCTCCGCCAGCCACCCTTGCCGACAGCACCCTTCAGTCACTCCAGGTCATCGCCTTCAACGAGGAATTCGAAGTTGCCTACTTCCAGTCTCTTCTCGCCAACGTCACGACTGGTGTCCCCGGCTATGAGACATGGAAGGGCTATGGCAAGGCTGAGCTGGAGAAGATCCTCAAGGTTATCATTGCTGTAAGTTTAATAAACTAAGCTTCCCAATCATGTCTTTTGCCTCAATCCATGCTAATATCTCCTTAGCAAGAAGAGCTCCACGCGCTCAATGCGCTCAACGCCTTGAACAAGTTCAAGAAGCTTGCTCCTCTGCCTTGCAAATACCACTTCCCGACCACCAACATCCATGACGCCATTGCCGTAGCTGAGGCTTTTACCGCTGTCGTCATGGGCACTCTTCAAGACGTCAGCCAGGCTGCCGCCGCAGCTGGTGATGCCGGTATCGTGCGAGGTGTGGCTTCCGTTATCGGTCAGGAGGGCGAGCAGAATGGCTTTTACCGCACTCTCCTCGGCGCTGTCCCCTCTGAGAAGCCATTCTTGACTACCAACGTCGGCCCGTTTGCTTATTCGTTCCTCAACAACAACTTCATTGTTCCCAACTCGTGCCCCTTTGACGTCAACGCTCTTGGTGTCCCCATCTTCACTCAGCTCAATGTCGAGGGTGGTTCTGCTGCTCTTGCCGTCAAGCCCGATGACCAGTGGTTCAACTACAGTGCCGATCTTAGCTCTGTTAAGAACGCCGCCAAGTTCAGCAACGGCAATGGAGAAGGTCTTTTCATCACCTACTTCAGCGGCCAGTTGCTCCCCATCAGCGTTCCCGTCAAGGACTTCAAGTGGAACGGTGGCAAGGTCTCATTCAAGGCTTTCTTCCCCTTTGAAGAGAACATCATGTTCGGCCTGTCTATCGCTGCTTTGACCGATGGTAACAACTTTACCAACCCCGATGCTGTCCCTGCCGCGACACTGGCCGCCCCCGCTATCATCAACGTCAACGATGAGTTCTAAATGTGAAGCAGCTGGAACGAAAAGCGCTTTGAGAACATAATGTATAATGCCACTTGGGTTTGAATGGAGATTGGGGGTCAACGGTTAGGTTTGTCATTTGTCAATAAGACTGGGAGGAAGATATCCAATAAGAGGGGACTTTGCATGGGAATCGTTTGGGGCGCCATTTGTTTTCTTTCTTTCTTTTTTTTTCTTTTCTCAGATACTCTTTCAATCAATAGACTTGAACTCATTTCATCTCCTCATCGTATATCAACTCATGTGATCCAATGAAATGAAAATTGTGTTGTGATATAGGCTTCAAGAGATTTGGCTGGCTGATGACGGTAGCTACATAACTGTTTGTGCTTTGGTGGTTGACAATTCCAACTAGCCGCTACTACCTTAGTATCCCTGTATTCCGTGTACAGCATCTGCTATACGACGAGATGATCTGTACAACCAGCCGTATTTGGATGGAATGTGTGTAGTTATCGGTAGCGAAAATAAATAGAAAGGTGAGTAAGAAAACAAGGCCTCGGCCTCATAGGAAGCCGCAATCTCCAAGGGTTCTCTGGCTGGGTGCCTTGGTCTGTGTCCTATTAGTTGCGTCTGTGTTCTGCTTACACTTGAGATGCCCTGCCATCATACGAGCGTATGACTAAGTACATCATCATTGTTGATGCCTTAGGCCGTGATTTCATCGCTTTTGTAATTAGGTAATCATTTACGGCAAAAAGCCACATGGGGGGCGAAACCAAGCTGAGGACGAAGCTGGCGAATCTGACCGTTGGTGAGCTTGAGAAACATTCATGTGCTCATACTCACTACCAACAGCATCAATCGCCATTCGGCCACTTCGCAATTTACGAGTATAAAGCATCGTCTCATGTAAAGACATACAGATTGGGCAACGTCTCATTGTATGGTTCCCATTGGTCCACTTTACATAGCCCCGCGTGACAACCAGAGGCGCGTTGAAAAATGAACTTCTCAAGACCGCCGTGATGAAGAAATCAATTGCTTGCGGCGCATGTCGAACCTCAAAGAGAAGAGTAAATCAACACCAAAGCCATCTCGTTCTCGCTGCTGTTTGCGGCTCATGCTGATTCGTCCAGTGCATCCATTCTGGTGGACCGCCATGCATCCGCTGCAAGGAGAGAGGTGATGAATGCATCTTCCCTCCCAAGGGCACTTCCTTCATCTTTAGGCGCTCACGACTTGAGCGCCAGGCACGTGCAGCGTCTAGTGCTTTACCGACGGATGCCAACATCACAGCTTCGCTTTTATCAGCCTCCACAGGGCCTCAGGGTGGTATTGCGGAAGACCTCGACGAGCCCAAGGTTGATTTGTGGGCGACGGACCCTTTAGACTACGTGACAGATGAGGTGAAGGAGAGCTATCTAAGATGCTCTTACAAGTGGTCCTTTCATCATATGCCTACCTTCTTCGCATCGATCCGGAATAAGACTCTGGATCGATCTGTTGCGTGGGCGATGCTAGCCATCACAGTCCGGTTAGTTGGCAATTTCCCACTTGCACCAGATGCATATATTCAAATTCCGAGAGGGAAGCTAACTTGCTGCCAAGTTTTTCCCAGAGACCTCCAGATGGGTTCTCCAGCCAAATTCAGACGAGTAACTGCTTCGCCGCGCATACCAGATCTCTCATCCTTCCATCAATAGATGAGCCGAGCTTGCAGCGGATACAAGTCCTTCTCATGCTCACGGGCCACTCATGGGGATCGGGCGAAGGTAGACGCGCATGGGTTTACCTTGGAATGGCTGTGCGAATGGCTCAAATCATGGGCTTGTTCGAAGATCCTCCAATCACGACACTGGCCAAAGAAGAATTTATCCATGGGGAAGAACGACGGCGAACCGCATGGACGTGTTTTCTAATGGATAGTCTTTTGAGCGGCGGCAAAGGCCGTGAGCGGCTGCTATCTGCGGATAGCATGCATATCCAGTTGCCTTGTGATACGGGCAACTTCATCTTCGGCGAGCCGGTCATCTGTCCCTTCATAGAAGGCTTTCGATCCGATGGCAATCCTATGATCCCTCGAGGCAACTTGGGAATCATTGCATACAGCATGAGAGTTGCAGATGTCTGGGGTGCTGTTGCAAAGTGGTCCTGTTCTTCACACCCAAACAACACGCCACCTTGGCAGCCAGAGTCTGAACTCCAGCGTTTATTACTGCGCTTAAATGCCTGGAGAGAATCGCTGCCTCCTCGCCTGCGATATGATCTGTCGCTGCTACACGCCCATAGTGTCCAGAATCAAGGACAGGCGTTCTGCTACATGCACTGCATCTATTTCATGTCTGTCATATTTCTTTACCGGTCCTATCTGCCCGAATTGGAGATGCATGAAGAGGCAGAACATGAGAACGGCGATAGGAAGCAATGGACTGAATACTCTTGCAGGGAACTTGCAAAAGTTGCGGACCAGGTGTGTGAAATGCTTCAGGATATCCGTGGATTCGGCCTGTTCTTTCTACGAGGCCTGGTTCCATGGATAGGCTTCACTATTTACACAGCAGTTGGAACGTTGCTTTATTTTTGGCATTTCCCTCACGTTAGCGAAGGCGATCCACAGATTGAAAGCTGGAGACAGCGCATCATTGACGGATGTGTTTTTCTCAAAGATATGAGGCAAGCCTGGCCAATGGCTGATACCTGGGTATGCCGCTCCTCGCTCCAGGTCCTTAATTCCCTTGCAGGTGTCACTAACCAATTTCTATTATTAGCGCGAAACCATCAAGGCAATGCATATATTCTATAGCAATGTCAAGTCCAAGGGCAACCAGGCCATGAGCCCAAGTGCGCGTCGAGAGATGCGGAACGCCATCATCGACTATGGTGCATTACAACCATCTCCTGTCCAGCCCGCGGATAGTGGGAGCGAAGAAGAAACTCTGGTGAGGCTTCTCTACCCATGCATTTCCACTCACAGACATGACTTATAATTTGGATAGGTTGTTTCCGAACAAGAGGAAACGAATACGAATGGGATGGATTCGAATGGGATGGATTCGAATGGGATGGATTCGAATGGGATGGATACGAATGAGACCGAGCTTGTGTCTCATGAATTTGGCGTGGTACCGCCTGCCGATTATGACCTTTTTGATACGCATTTTGATATTGACTCTGCGATGCAGGCGTCGTTTGCGGATGCTACCCAGGGCTTCTGGGAGGGATATCCCGGAAATGTTGAGGTGTCAGGATGGTAGTTGTCGCCTTGAAGGATGATACTATTCCAGCCATTCAATCACGACGCTGTTCTTACATTTGATCACGATCACATTTGCGATAAAGGGCTGTTCGTTCGTTCTTTTTTTTTTTTTTATAACCATCTCTTTCTTATGTTTTCCTGACATTGCCATATATCTATTGAGATGTCAACCTATAGGGCCAAGAACTCATTGATACGTGCAACCAAAGCATGGATACCCCTCTACTCTATATGCAGCAACAATTCAACCACATTTACCATCATCTACGCCTTCGCTCTGCGCCTTTTGGTAATATTCACAAGCTCATGTGTGACCCCACTGCCCATTTCGCCATTTAAAGGCTTCGTTATTGCTATCAAGTGATACCTATTAAGACGTCAAGACCCATATCATTGGTGTGGTAAATTACAACACCTTGAAAATGAAGCTAAATATTTTCAGATACCAGCAACCCGACAAGATCCGAAATGTTTCTTTATTCCACGAATTAATACGCCTGCGGTAAATACCGGGCGACAATGGTGTATCTCGATGACACCCTTGTCGTTTCATGCGAGACAAGCCGAAAGAAGAGTGGCATCGCATAGCGGAACTTGCAACCATATCCCCAGGTGATCAAGCCTCACCCAATAACTCGCCCGTATGTGGATATTGCTGCGGCTTGAGCATGCCTGCCGACTAGATCCCGGCATTACCGATCAAAGTCCATGAGGGCCAGTGATTCTTTACATAACAGGGCGTATAGATGCCAAGGCATTACGTACGGGATACCACGGACTTTTGTTGATGAGGGACAGAGCCATAGCAGGTTGGATAATAATAACCACATGAGTAGTACGGACTTTTCGAGATGACCAAGTAGAGATAAGAGTTGGAAGCTAGATGCTTTCGTTCTGTTGCAATGATAGGCCGGGCGATGGAGGAAGGCTTTATGCTACAGCTGGGAATTAGAATGCTCTAGAGTCTCATATGGAAAAGCATTTTGATAAAAAATCCACTAGGACGAAACGCATGTTTCACGCGTATGACTGGCCAGCGGCCCGCAGAACCGGATCCCCTCTTTCCGAAGAAAAACACCCTGGGACTTTTCGGGAGTGAATAATGATACGACATGGGAAATCGGCAGGGTCCTGTCCACGTACTCTACCTTATGTGGAGTATTGCTAAAAACCGGTACTTTCAAGTGGTATACGACGACTGCAAACCACCAAGCAAGATAGGGATCAATTACCCTTGAGGATGACGTTTTCGTTACCACGCTGTGTACTTCTATCATATCTATTCACGTCTGCTCTTTGTGATATATGTGTACCAGATACTTGAAGGCACCAGGGTCTTTTGTCTTGCTTACATTTTGACAACTTGACAGGGCATGGATTGACATCATAAGCTTCATGGAAATCGTCCCATTGGAGGGCGTAAATGTGGATATTCAATATCGGTCTGTCTGACTCTTTTTGCCGACCCATAACTTGCCGGAATCCACCGATTCGCACGGTGGCTATGAGTAGGATGAACCAACTCCTTCCTAGTACATAGCAGTAGCGTTCATCTAAGCATATTGCACCAAGCCTATCTTTTGGTTGCACTCTATAGCTAGATTTCGGCATTCTCTAACTTGTAGGATAAAGATAGCAGTAGCATGGCATATCTGTCTTATCTACGGAGTACAGCCGCAGCGCAGTTTTCTGTCCTCTTCAGCACCCGGCCCCGCGGCTTGGGCATGCATGTGCGGCGTCTGCGGCGTCTGCGGCCTTTGGTGATCCTCTTTTTCAGAGAGACAATGTTGCAAACATTCTGGAGACATTGCAGGGTTTAACGGCAATTGAGCCTATTCACAGGCATCCCTTGCCATCCGCATTGTGGAATTCTGCATGAGAAAGCGCGAGATGGTTGGATCGCTCCGCGAGGGTATGTCATTTCCATACTGAGGGGGCGAGATTAGATGCAACTGGTGGTTCGATATGATCTTTTCCCCCAGGATTTTTTTTTATCTGCTCACTGCATCAGCATCTCAAAATACACAACATCACCGAGATTCCGATGGCCGAGGCCGGATGCGGCGTATGCGGCATCTTGACTGCACCTGTACGCCTAGTTGACTGGATTGAAACTGAGGGAAGGTTGTGTTTATGCAGCGAATTGTGAAATTTCAAATGCTATTAATTATTTTCCCCCAGAAATGGGCGTCTCGGCTTCCTCCCACACGGCATATAAATGTTGCGATGCCCAGGCATCCTCGAATTCGAAATGATACTCATCATCAACCCGCCAGCCTAACAAAGTAACATCCTCATTAAAAGTCACTTACAAACGCCAAAATGGTTGCCACTATTCGCCAGTACAAGGCTGCCTGTGTTCAAGCCGAGCCTGGCTGGTTTGACTTGGAGAAGTGTGTCCAGAAGACCGTCAAATTCATCACTGAAGCCGGCGAGAAGGGATGCAAACTGATTGCTTTCCCTGAGTTGTGTAAGTCAATCTATGTAAATAACGAGCTGAGATGATGTACTAATAACTCCTCCTAGGGATTCCTGGGTATGAGCTTTAGAAAGCGAGAACCACTAATAATATCTAAAGCTGATTGTTAATGATAGATACACTTACTGGGGATGGCGTGTGAATTACCAAGATTCCCTACCACTTCTCAAGGACTACCACAAGAACAGTCTTCGTCCTGATTCTGATGAGATGCGCCGCATTCGATCTGCTGCCCGCAAGGCTCAGATCTATGTCTCTATGGGCTACTCCGAAATTGAGGGTAACAGCCTTTACATTGCCCAGATCATCATTGACCCCAGTGGCGAGGTCATCAACCACCGCCGCAAGATCAAGCCCACCCATGTTGAGAAACTTGTATTTGGCGAGGGAACCGGTGACTCCTTGGTTAGCGTTGTTGAGACTGAGATTGGCAATCTTGGTCATCTCAACTGCTGGGAAAACGTAAGTGGCGAGTAGCTCGGTATCATAGCTTAAGCATATTAACTCGCTGCAGATGAATCCTTTCCTCAAGGCGAATGCTTGCGCTCAATACGAGCAAGTTCACGTGGCTGCTTGGCCCGTCTATCCTCCTGCATCTACTCTGCAGTACCCCGACCCTTACACAAACATCTCAGAGGTCCAATCTGAGCTGGTGACTCCTGCATACGCTTACGAGACTGGCACTTGGACGCTTGCTCCTAGCCAGGTCGTCACTCGAGAGGGTGCCCGCCTCAACCTGCCCCCACGTCTGCGCAACGATGAGGCTGCTGTTGATGCGGAGGCTGCCGTTATCGCCAACGGCTTCGCACGCATCTACCGCCCAGATGGCTTCCGCGCTGTCCAGGATCCTCCCAAGGACTTTGAGGGAATCTTCATTGTCGATATCGATCTGGATGAGAACCTTTTGACCAAGCGCCTTGCTGACTTTGTATGTATTCTACCTGCTTGCATCCAAGCTTAACATTGCACTAACTAATGACTGTGGAAAAAGGGTGGACACTACATGCGACCTGATTTGATCCGCCTTCTAGTCGATAAGACGCCCAAGACATTCCTCGTGGACACGGACAATGTCGACCCCAAGAACTTCCCGAGCTCTCTGCAGCGCCTTGGATTGGACAAGCCCCTGCCCCCGCCAGAGGAGCAGTAAATTGGCCAGCATGTTGGATGCAGAGGGATGAATCCTGAAAATGGCGCATTATTTGCTACTACCATTAGTGTAAATGTTGTGGTTATGAATAAAATCTCATCTTTGAATATGATACACCGTCTTGTTTGATAATGAATATGAACCCAGATATTCTGTGTTGATTTGCGCATGTTGTGATTGTGAGTAAGGAAGGCTTTCACAGAAGCGTATACCTTCTACTGTGGACGTGCTAAGTATAGGTAGGTAGGAATAGTAAATGCATCCAAATAAGATAACAATATAGAGGCGAGCTGTAGGATTGAGAAAGAAATGTATTGAGCTTGAAGAGAAACTACCTACTCCAGGGTAGTTTTGAAACACGCACACATACCTACTGTGATACATCCCGACAAGACAAAGTCTTAGGTAGCATTTGCATATCCCCTCGCGTTTCTCATAACCCTTTCGATAATTGAACTGAATTACCCCATTCTCTTAATCAGCTAAAAGAGTCAAACTTGGCGTTACTACGGCATCGTCGACTGAGTATATGTACCAATGTAGCGTAAACACAGCAAGCTGTTCTCCATTGACAAGCTTTAGCTTACTAGGGACATTGCTATGAACTCTGCAATTCATATTATACCCCACACTATGCTTTCCAAGACGATTCGGCACTTGCCTAGTATCGGCGCGGGTGGCAATTGGGATAAAGTAAGGGAACCTCCGCCTTGGTTTGGAGAAGAAGCGGAGAATTCCGTTTGATGCTCCTCAGGTAGTACCCCGGTAGCTGGATAATTAGTAACCAAGGCGATGGAATAATATTCTCCCGTCCGTTTGCTAGTAGCTTGTTCGCGTGTGAATGCTGAAGCGTCCTTTAATTATTAGCATGGGCAGCAGATAGTTTCCGGCACCGTCTCTCTTGAAGAAGCGCCATGGTCTTCACCAGCTGCAGCGTGATTTCATTATGTCCTGAGCGAATTGTCAAATGATTTGGCGCTCTTCTGATCTCCATTGTGGCAATTTTGTCTGCAATCACCCAAGGACGCGCTCGTGGGGCCCGCAAACGAATCGCCGAAGACATCTGGAGCCGGACTAACTTCCCGTCTGCCAAGAGGCCTCTCTTCGTCCAGATGGATGAAACATTGGCCGGAGGCGCAGGGACTTCAGCTCCCAAGAGTTCAAGGAAGAGGAGACACTCGTATACACGCGTTGCATGGTGAGCCTGGCCTTGTCTTTGCAATCGGCGTTAAGCTTAGTGACACCCGTTAGTGATGAATGCCAGCGACGCAAGACAAAATGCAGTGGCGAGAGGCCATGCAAAGCCTGCAAAGAGAGCAACCATGCCTGCCTCTATGATCGCACGACACGGTTTCGAGCTCGTAATCGTACCTCGTAAGGCTCAGCTCATCTCGTCTCTGTTATGGCCATTGTAAAGTATCTTACCCGCGTTAGGAACACCACGGAAAGCCAAGGTTCTGTTACGAATGCGCAGATCCAGAGTTCTGTAGAGCCCATCTCAGGACAGCCTCAACCAGGAGCTACTAATATTGCTACTCCTCCTGCGCCTCCGTCAAAGGCCAATGGACTGCTCAGCTCAGACTACTACCTTCAACTTGCCGAAAGGCTTTTGACAGCAGCAAAACCTCCATCATCCCAGAAAGCAAAGAGCCAAGGCCCATATGAAGGAGTACCTGTAACGTATCTCTTAGAACAGCTCCTCGCCCACCGGGCAAGCAAAACTACAGGAAATGTGCTGGCTTTCGTCGATAACGATCGCTGGCTCAGCATTATTGCGTTTTATGAAGAAGAGATTGGTGTTCAGTATCCCTTTCTCAATCTTGAAGAGCTGAAGCGCCAAGTCATAGAAGTTGACCCGAGGAACGCGAAAGATGAGCATCATTTGCTGTCACAACCATCATCCGACGCCATGCCTAGCCGCAGTCAGATCGAGAACATTGCGATTCACATCTTGGCTATCATTTCCATCTTTGCCGATGCGCGTGCGATTGGAATAGCAAACCCATGGATCGAAGAAACATACGCAGCAACAGTGGCAAGGACTCAGATTCAGAGCACCATTAATGCCGCCGATCTATGTCTCCTTATTCTTGCCGTAAGTTCAGAATGAACCCCCTGAATGCAAAAGATATGAGAGTTTCTTTATCTAACCACATGGTACGTGGACCAGGCCATCTTCTTCTTTCATAGCGATAGAGAAGTCCTTGCCTGGAGAGGGATTGGTAACGTCCTTCGGCTTCTTCAGGAAAATAGCTCCCGGAACTCGGGGGACCTGAGTCTTCATGCTGGGAGTCAGATTGCATCATCTGGGGAAAAGTTATACTGGTGTGTCTATACACTTGATCGGCGATGGAGTTTTGGGACAGATTTGCCGTTTGCAGTCCATGACACTGAGATCGACCGACATCCCATGTTAGATGTGAGTTTGACTTATCCCTTCAATAGAATTCCTGTCTTACTCATCAATTCTTTAGAACGACTCACCCTCCTCGTCCTACGTTATGAGTATGGTGTCTTATTGTCGAATCTCATCCGATGTGAGAAAATGGCTGCTGGAACCAATATCCGGATCTGCATCTGACATGACTCGCGATTTCCTCGACTTTCGCGTTGTGCAGTGGAAGCGTAATTTGCCGACCAAGCTTCAATACGACAGCTCCAAGAAATATGACGCAGCAAGGGTGGATCGTGGAGAGTATAGGATTCGCCTGCTCCTTTACCTAAGAGCCAACCAAATGAGGATCATTATACACAGGACATCGGCAAATCGTCTCGCATCAAATAACCTCGACCCATCAACCGTTAATGTTCTGGCCGAAGTATCTCATGATACTATTCGGACTCTAGTCCGACTAGCCGACGAAACGGACATATACCATGCACAACATAAAACATACAACCATTTTCTTGAGTCCGCTCTCTCATCAATGCTACTCGTGCTGGGAAGCATCAACGATGATGCCAATCGAGCCTCGTGCCTTCAAGATGCCTTTGATGCTGTGGAATTGATTCAGCGACTATCACTAACATCACCTGTTTCGCAACGTCTTTTAGAACGATTGCGTAACATACACGAGGCCATGGACAGCTTTCGAGCTCGAGGCAGTAGAGCAACGTCGCAGATGTCTTCGAGTCTGGATGGAGCGGCATCACTAGTACAAAATCCATATAGCCCTGATCGATCAATGGCGTTTGCACGACTTGACGTAGATCAAGGCCAGAGCAATGGCTCGAGGACAACCATCGACTTGGCGAGGTCATCCGAAGCGATTTCTTCATTAACCAGGCGTGATGTCGGTGAAAGGGATCAGCAGCAACGCGGCATTATGGGATACCCATTGGATTCCAACCAACCAATGGGCTCACCCTCTCAGTCTTTCCCCCAATCATCGTCCGCCGGCATTGCGACTCTTTCACCGGACATGTCGCACTCGAGACGTGGATTTGACATGTCTGGCTCTATTCTTAATCTGGCTCATGATTTGCCCTTTATGAATTTCCCCGAGCTAGGTCAATTTTTGGATGACAACCCAGTTAATTTTACTTTTTAATGGCAGGAATGGGCGTAAGGCGAAACTAGCATGCTTAGAGAGGAACCTGATCATCTTTTAATATTTATTTATGACACTGCTGATGTCTATCTACGAAATCATAATGATTCTACTACATCCCGATGCTTGGAGAAGTGCCTCAATTGGCAATTTCTACTTCGTATCATAGTTGCATTCAAAAAGTTGTTTGGTATCCCCATCTCTTAATGTTCATGTCCCGGCTACATGCTCTCTACCAGTAATATCAGTATTTTATCACAATTCAACGAATACTATAGTGACTAGCGACTAGAGAGAGGAGACGGAAACATCTCGAACGATTAGATGGTGGGCTGATTCTAGAATTATATGTACCGGTAGTGTAAAAGGTAAAGTATGAACCCCATCTGTTTTATCTCTAGCCGACAATCGGTACTTGCACATAGTCTAAAAGCTGGCCTCCTGCAGCTTGGAGAATAAGCTTGTGATATGCATACCCAAAGTTATTCCCGGCTGCGTCTAAAAGCAGAGCTTGTTCCCGTTAACAGTTAGAAAAGTGAGCAAATGATTACCAACTACAAGTGAGATAACGTAACTGTCCACATAGGAGAGCCTATTACTACTTGTTACTATATCACAGAGAGAGCTATGTCAAAGAATACTTAGCGTCGTTTTCAACTTGGATTCCCTCATATGAAACATACTTGTGAGTATGAAGATCACACCAACCGACGATTCGAGCTTGTTACTGCATTCATATCTTAGATAGTATTTGTCTTTTAACGTGATATAGTTGCAAATGTGTGAATGTCTTTGAATCGTAGATTATCACCCTATAGATTTCTTAAATAGTTAATTTCCTCAAAGCTCTGCTTTAGCCATATAGGTGATCATATGCAAAGGAAAAGACAGATCTGGATACTACCCCATTTTCATTACCACACACAAAGTGGCTGGTATAATACCCACACTATATCGATCGCATCTTGGGAAGTGCCACTACGATCGTACGTCACATTACCTGCCGTGTATGTGAGATTCTCCGTGGAGTACCCCAACAAGGCCTTGGCTGCAGATTCCCGTACGTGTAAGAGGTGGACAAAAATACTAGAGACCGCAAAAAATATTATCTATCAAGGTAGCCGCTGATGGAATTACATAGCTGCATTTGAGAAGATGTGGACCTAATTGTGGCAAGGTTTGGTCTATAGATAGATAGAGTAGCGGCACATAGAGATATAAAAGTGAAAATTTCTTCTAGTTCAAGTACTATCTTTCCTCGATTGAGATTTTGCGGAGTCGCATATTTCGTTTCGCCAACCTCCCACCACTTAATCTCTAGCTATGACCATTGAGATAGACCGCGATGAATGTCAGTAATCAAGTACGGAATTGGATATTAATTCCCTCAAGGTTAAACAAAATAGCCATGATAATCTTAATATTGTTTGTTTCTTAATTGTGTTGATGGGAGCATCTTCTCGTAAGAGATTTATACTCGTACCTGTTCGAGTCATTTCCTACATTCCGAGGTAGTGTTATATCGCGCGTATGCCTCGTAGCGGAATAGGAGCTGCCGTTAACCGAATCCGAGGGAGTTCCGGGATAACCGGAATATTCAAGCGCGCTGTTAAAAGCCCAGATTCTCTCGTACCCATGGAAGAATAAAATGCTTGATATATCCCGAATAAATTTGGGGGCCTTTTGGGCTCTTCGCCCGCTAACTTGGAGTTGCTGCCATTCATCGGTACACAAGTACGGAAGAATGGAATGCTGATATTGGGTGCTTATGAGCCACCGCATCCTTCAGGAATATGTATAAAAATGACGGTAAGACAATTACTCTGACTATTACATGAAATGTTACGGATTGTAACTAATTGATTCGTGGTAGAACAATAATGGAAACGGCTGATGGCCTGAGACGTCCAGTGGTTACGCAGTCAGTCGAATAGTAACCATCAGCTGCCATTCTATCAATGCCGTAAAGACAAGAAAACCGTCCGACGTGTTCCTTGCCAATCTGATGCAATGTAGAGGCTGGTAAGGGAGGGATTCAGCGGGCGAGGCAAGATGAGACGCATTGAAGTGCGTTGACAAGCTTATCCGCGCCGCATAAGCATGCATGTGGAGAAGCTCAAAGCCGAGGTATGCAGTTTGTCTATGAGGCTATTATTGGCAATGAAAACCTGATTTATTATCAGATGCCGTCTTATCCCATTCTAACTCTTGTTTTATTTAGGTCTTTTGCGAAGACGAATCCCATTGCCTGGTTCTTGCTGAGCAAACTCTACCAAAACGTCGATTAGCGCTAGTGCTAGCAAATTGTCATATTAGTCCTCAATCATGGCCAGTAGAGCATAGGAATAATTACTAATAAGTTGCCGGCGCTCCCGCATCTAGCTGAAAGGGGCAAAAACACCACGGCTCGGTCTCGGTGCTTGTGGAAGAGCCGAGACCGACGACCTCGAGACAAAGTCATTGATTATCCCAGGCTCACTCAGATCGGTCGGGGATTCTTTTACTCACTGAACCCGAGTTGCTCTGCTCTTTGAGACATGTCTCCTCCGCAAGATCCCAGCCAGCCGGGCAGCACTGATTCCCCTCTTCCTCTAACCACTCCTCCAGCCTCGACGGGCCGTGGTCTCACTCCGCCTTCGCCGCACCCGCGCCGGAAGCCGGATAGGTCGTGTGTGCTCTGCCACCGGAGGAAGATCCGATGCGACAGACAAACACCATGCTTGGCATGTGTGAGGGCTCGCCTCACGTGCACATATCCGGCATCTGACAAACCTGTTCGTCGAGTCCGCAAGGCCACGATTGCAGATGTTGCTTCAAGGATATCAGATCTTGAGAAGACAATCGTAGCGGCGTCCATTGACCAAGGAAGTACGGCGAGAAGATCACTGCCGCCACATGCTCATATATCTGCGCCGGTGGGCTTGCCGGTGAGCCTGCCGGTGAGCCCGCATGAGTCTCCGCAGGAACCTCAGGAAATCCCTTCGGAGGAGGTCTTGATCAGAAACGGCACCTCAAGCCAGTACTTTAATGAACTCCTTATCTCCAAAGTTATTGAAGAGGTGAGATTTTTACTCAAGCTCACGTATCACTTGCCTGTTATTTTCGGGCCAAACTAAAAGCTACTTTAGGATCAAGACAAATCCTCGCTGCTGCATACACCATACAGTGAGACCAAGCAGCAGGATCTTGATTCGCCCTTCAGTCTTATGGGCTTACTGTCAAGCCCTGCCGTTTTTGATGAAAAGGAGAGAGGTTGGCGGTTATCCCGGCTGAGTGCCACACAGCTTTGGCATCTTTTTGTACAAAATGTCGATGCCACTATCAAGATATTGCATATTCCGACTGACGAGGTAACCGTTTTCACTGCTATCCACCAACCGGAATCCGTATCTAGTGATGTCCTGGCAATGGTTTCAGCCGTGTACTTCGCTACAACGTTGACTCTGGAACCGGAGGAGGCTCAGCACATCCTGGGCGTTGACAAGTCAAATGCGCTGCGAACATTTAAAAGAGAATTTCAGAGGCATTTGGCAGGGGCGGACATGCTGGAGAATCCAACAGTCGTGCTGCTTCAAGGGTTGGCTATATATCTGGTTAGCCCCTTCTTTTCTTCAATCTCACTCTACTTATAACGTTACTTATAAATGAGTCTAGGCATCATCGCGAGCTTATTACCACGGCAGGGGTATCTGGATCTTAAACGGTCTTGCTGTGAGAATGGCGCATTCTATTGGCCTTCACCGGGACGGAACGAAACTGGGAATGTCGCCATTCGAGTCCGAAGTCCGAAGGCGACTATGGTGGCACTTTCTTGCCAGGGACGGAAGAGCTGCTGAAGATCACGGTATTAGTTCATGGTCGACTGTCCCGGGCTACGACACTAAAATGCCACTGAACGTTGACGATAATGAACTTCGTCCGGATATGAAAGAGCTTCCGCCTCCTCACGGTGGATGGACCAAAATGAGTCTTCCACTGACATGCATGGAAGTGGCTCAAACGCTGCAGAACATGGCCAATCTCTCTATGACGCCATCAGGATCGACGCCTAAAGAGGTTATCAGGAGTAACATGTTCAATCAGCTCAGGTCTCGTGTTGAGCACTACATAAAGCCATGTAACCCAGTTATTCCGATACAGAGAATGACCATGAAAACAGCCCTCGCCATGGTGCACAAAATCGACTTTGTTACACGACAGCAGCTTGCCATTATGGAGAACCCCGATAAGCGGAACGCGTTTGCCACAGAAGCAAATCTGCTTTCTGCGCTAAGGTGTCTGGAAATTCACCTCGAGTTATGGGGAGATGAGCTTCTTCGCCCATATAGATGGTGCATGTATGGACATCCACAGTATCACATGCTGCTATACGTCCTCTGGCACCTCTGTGTTTGCCCTAGTGGCCCTAGCGTTGACCGAGCTTGGGTCATTGTCGAAAAAACATTTGAACTGGAACAAGTGAGGCTTTCTACGGCTGTGTCTAGCCCAGCACTGAAGTCTGTCATCTTGAAGAGACTCCACAAGAAGGCTGTAATGATCCGACAATCGTCAATCAACGGAAGTGATAATACAAGCTCCACATCTGGAGTAGATGAGATTCCGGATGACGAAGAAATGGAAAATCCTCCACAGGAGATAGTCCTAGACGTTCGTCGTTTCGATGGAGAGAACGTGGACTGGAGTAGTCTTATGCAGAATAATATGCCCGATTGGAACACGTTAGTCGAAGATTTGCATTTGGATTTGCACGACTTTTCCAGTTATTTTTAATGCGTCATATTTTTACTGATATACCCTTTTACGAAGGCGCGTCTGGGAATGAAAGATAGATACTAATAAACTGTATTTCAACACATTGCTCTGCTCAAAGTGTCGATGCTAAGTACATAGGTCTGTTGCCCGTTAACACCATCTATATGCTAAAATTTGTGCATGTATGCTATAATATATGTAATGCGCGCTCCTTTTAGAAGACGGTTCGCAGCTTCCATCCCGTCTTGTGGATTCTTGCTGCCAGCACAAAGGTCGTCCCAGCAATGCAGAAGACGCCTGCAAAAATCTTTGGGCCAAGCCATCCTATAGGCTTCTCCAAGATGGCACCAGAGATAGGATTTGTCGTAAGGCCACCGATAGACGAAGCCAGAAACACTAGACCAGTACGGAAGCCGATCTCAGTTGGAGGCGATACTTGCACAACAAGGGCGGCGATCAAAGCGACATAAGCTCCTGAGAAGAAGCCAAAAAGAGTAGCAAAGGCGATCCTCGCTGCAGTTGTTGATGCGGGAATCCAGAGGCCCAGAACGAATATGCCCGCCATATAGCAAACCCCAATAAAGACATTGTACCGACCCCATTTGTCGCCAGCGTAGCCGGAGAATATACGACCGAATAGACTAGGCAAAGAGTATGTCAGTAAGAAGATACTAATATGAAGAGATATTACCTCTTGTAGTTAATGGAAGCCTTACCTTCCAGCGTTTAGGATAGGAATGAGGTATAGCACTAGGTTGGGATCCATCCCTGCTTCAGCAGCCTCGACAGAGATGTAGTTGATCGGAGTGTACAGTCCAAAGGTAAATAGTAATAATCCCATAGAAAGACAGAAAAATTGAAACTCGGTAAAAGGGGTAACCATTCGCTTCACAGTGATAGGCTGGAATTTTGGTGGGTTGTGCGTTTTAACTGTGATGATGGCAATAATGAGGAGAGCAAGGATTAAGAAGGCTGAGATTCGCATAGACCAGCCGAAGCCGACCTCGTCAATCAAGCGGCTGACCATGATGGGGAAAATGACACCTCCCAAACTTGAGCCAGTTGCCAAAATTCCGTAGGCAGCGCCGCGCTTCGTGGTGAACCAGGTGGCGATGCTATTGAGAGCTGGCTGGAAAATGGCAGAAACGCCGATAGCGCTGCAGACTCCTTGGGAAAGGAGAATCTGGTAGTAATCATGTGAAATAGATGTCATCATCAAGCCAAAGACATGAAGAAACGTTCCGCCAATAATGAGCCAACGAGGACCGTATTTGTCATAGATGAGACCGATAATTGGCCCCTTCAAATACATAGTCAGTATTGGATACATAGAACGGAGTGTTAGGGAGTTAGCTTACCAGGGCCATCATGAAGAAGATTTGCAAGGACGGAATCCATGAGACGGTACTAGTCGAGTAGTCTTTGAGAATTGTAGCTTCGTAATAGTCTTGGAATACACCAACGCCTATTTGCACAGAGGTTAGCATCCTGTTGTCCTCTCTAATATTGGTATTATGGGAATAAAGGGGACATACTGTTAATCCACCCAAAACTACAAAACGACGTGCACCAAGCTCCCACAACCACAAGCCATGCCCGTAGACCTCCATCCGGAGGCGCGTTACCGACGGGCGCCGGAGCTGTAGCTTGATAGCCGGCTTCTTCCTCCTCTTTCAAGATAATGGGCTCCTCACGATCAGAGCCATTGTTACCGTGCTTTTCGGAAATGACGATGCGGCGCTCAACATCATCAACATCCTCCATAGCGGTGTCGCTGGAATTGGAACCCGTAAACATGGCGGTGACTGAGAGGGCGACAGGAAGGAATCGCTAATTAGCGGTCGGGAATAGGATATCCGTTCCTTGGGCTTCTGATTGCCGGAGCAGTTTGCAGCCAAGTGGTTGCTCGTCGCTGATACAAACAAGGGTGCCTCACAACGAACACATGTTACATATAAAGGTGAGAAGGATCGTTGAGATCACAGGCACTAAATTATCGCCATTCTAATTACAAAGTAAAGCTGAATAACAAAATACATGACACGAGATTTTCAGGAGGCCCGGCCCTTCAAGGCGGCCGAGACCGAAGCGGGTGGGCGTTGGGATCGGCTCCAAGCCGCGAGTCGCACATGGCCAAGAGGTCTCCGCCGGGGCAACGGCTATCGAGGCCGTTCTTTTGTCTTCCCATTTTACTAATTGATATGGAGCTCTCTACTTTATAATGAACGACGTGTCACGGGATTATATTCCAAAGACAGCAGCTTTGTGCAGGTTTCTTTTGCATGTTCTACCAGTGAACTAAGCCGATTAAACCGGCTTTAGCGATAAACGCGAGGCTACAGAGTGGAACAGCAGCTGTTAGCAAATAAGAAAATTTTCCTAAGGTAGAAGGATTTCAGAGACCGGCTAATAGCTTCATTTCCAGTTGCCTCTCGGTCGACCGAGCGCTCTCGGCCCATCTCGTGGGGGCTTTTAGGCCGGGGGTCAATGGTTTTAGCCTTCGTTTTCAACTCTGAAATGGAAAACGCCGTGCATACGAGTAATAATACGTACGATGAATCCGACCAGTCATGTTACTCACCGCATCAATGAGGTTGACTCCTTATGTAGCCCCCCAAAAAATGTCCACAACCAGTCATTGGAGCCTCACATCAGGTACCTCAACGTGACGTATGAAACAGCTCGGCTGAGACAAGCAGCAAGGTACAGCGAATATTGCGTACTATGCACATAATTTTTCATTGAAACAACGCCACGATCGAAATACATACCCCGCATTGTTCCTTGTAACAAGCGTTTTCTGTTGGCTGGTGCTAGCTACGCTGTCCAGTGGCAAAAGGACGGCAAAGAGCCGCGGGAACGCCCACCGTTTACACCACATTGTCATTAGATTGCACACTTCGCACGTGGTCATCCCATGCTGTTAATAAACCCAACGTGAACGGGCATGGTATGTAAGCACCTAGAGTCGAAAGTGTGCCAAGATATATGGGGAGCTAATAAACGCGCCAAGGCTAATATCTCAACTGCGGAAGATTTCGTAGGTATGCGGGGGGATCATGAGAATTGCATCTGTAACGCCCGAATGACGTCGGCATAGGTATAGCCGGAGTAATGCTTGATTGTCAAAGTGATTGCTTCACATACCAACGTTCATCTATGAATGCCGGCTCTTCTAAATGTTGTACTTCGTAGCAACCACCAGATCTGCAGCCCATTATGACTAATAGCTGCGTGGTGCAGACCGGCGTGAGTCATCTATGCAAACTCCTCTTCTCCACGGGTGTCCATCTCACATTTACCGTAGAGTATGAATGTCGAATGTGTAATGTATATAATGTCAATTACCCATCACATCTATCGGCCTCGGCCCTCATTGTCGAGATACCCTCCGAGCTGCGAGTTTGCGAATAAGCATCGCGAGCCATCACAATCAGGGTTGCAAAATCCGAGTACCCGCATACCCGCCCTGTCAGCAACGGAACAATACATAGATAAAAGCGAATAATCTCCGGACCGAACATGTCCAGCTCGCCCTCCGCTCGCGTCCGGCTTCGCGACCTTATTCCGGGTCTCAAAGTAGGGGCTTGGCCAACTGGAGCCAAGAACGGCATCACAGATGTTACAGGGGTTCTAGTCCATACAGAATCTATTCACAGTACCGATGGTTCTGTCAATACTGGTTTGACAACTATTCTTCCACGCAAGGAGTGGTTCAACAAGGCGTGTTACGCAGGCATCTTTCGGTACAATGGCTCTGGAGAATTGACTGGCAGCCATTGGATCGAAGAGACGGGCCTCCTTCATAGCCCCATCGTCCTGACAAACAGTTTCGCCGTTGGGAACTGCTACACTGGAATCTATCAATACGCCATTGAAAAATACAGTTCAGCTGATGGAGCAGTTGACTGGTTTCTTTTGCCCGTTGTTGGAGAGACTTACGACGGTTACCTCAACGACCTGACCAAGTTTGCAGTCACGCCGCAACATGTCGTCAATGGCATCAATGCAGCATCTGCCGATCCAGTACCTGAAGGCAACACTGGCGGCGGAACGGGCATGTTGTGTCAAGGTTTCAAGGGTGGCACGGGAACCTCAAGCCGAGTTGTGCCAGGCTTTGATGGCCAGGGGAACGACAAGAGCTACACCGTTGCGGCACTGGTACAAGCAAACTACGGCCGAATGCATCACCTACATATTACTGGCGTTCCTGTAGGAAGGATCCTCGCCGCACAAGCCGAGAAGAGCAAAGAAGCAGCTAAAGCAAAGGCTGAATATGATGCCGCCAAGGACAAAAGAGACGGTAGCATCATCATCATCCTCGCTACAGATGCTCCGCTAAGCCCAATTCAACTACAACGTCTAGCTAAACGTGCCTCTGGAGGACTCTCTCGTGTCGGCGGATATGGTCACAATAGCAGCGGCGACATCTTCTTGGCATTCAGCACGGCCAACGAAATACCGGTACAAACAGTGGGCTCCAATCATAGGACCGTCGATCCATTCAAGGCCAATCCTCTGGCGACAGAGACAATCGACGATAGTACCATCAACGCTCTACTCGAGGCTGCTGCTGACTCCACAGAGGAAGCTATATACAACACTCTATGCATGGCTGAGAGCCTAACGGGCCATAAGGGCTATCACATGGATGCATTGCCACTGGATAAAGTCAAGAGCATTTTGGAGAAGCATATGGCGTTGGAACAGGCAACCAAAGCAGATTTGTAACGACATATACGATCTATATAGGCGTTAACAAGTAATGCGAAAAAAAGCTCAGCATATTAAGTCTCCTAAAAGAGAAGTCATAATTCGTCCATTAAGTAGCACTTCATTGCACGGGTATAACTCAGTATCCCCCTGATTAAGATCAACGCTCTCTCATTAGGGTTTAGTAAGCAAGTTGATAGTCCTCCATTGATCCTGTTCTTTTAAAGAATCACAGCCAGTAGCCCAGTTCCAGCACCAAGTAATAAGACCCAAACTGTCTTCCAGTCCGATCCTACCCACAAAGGTTTTGCCCCAGAAGAATCGTTGCCGCCGTTTCCACCCCCATTTCCACCTCCATTGCTTGGAGGGCCGTCATCACCGCCACTACGAAGAAGAGAGGTAGTACTACTACTAGATTTGCTTGTAGAACTGCTATCGCTGTCACCGGGAGCGCTCGGTTCGGGGCTCAGCGGGACGCTGAAAGGCGGACTGGGCGCTTCGGTAATGCTTGATTCATCCGTCGGACTTGGATTGGGGCTTGGTCGCGGGCTCGGAGACGAAGAGACAAACGATGTACTTCCCGCTAGGGACTCCAGAGATGTGGCGGCAGCAGGCGTGGGAAGAGACAGGGTCTGAGATTTGGAGCTGAAATACTCAGAAGCAGCAGCAGCATCTGTTGTCTTGACACTGAATGTAGTCCAGGTGGTTGAACGGGTAGAAGTCACGATAGATGCCTGGATATCAATCGAGTATGTCCAGTAGTAGTACCAGTAGTACCTACGGGAAATTGTCAGCTTGAAACTGCTAATTATGATACGAAGCACTCACCAAGTCACCGTCCAGTAGTAGTATTGGTAGTAAGTAGTAGTAAAAGTATGTGTGGTTGTCGTCGTTGGCGCGTATGTTGTCTTTCCATTTTCCACATGTGCTGTGCAGTGTTCATCAGTGCAGCATACCATTAGATTTGTTCTTAGAGATCTATAGCAGTTATTCCCCCGTGGACAATGCGATTCATCTGTACAGCATTGATCTCCAACAGGCATGCAATGGCTGGAGCCGCAACATGTCTGTCCGCTGGCACACGGGCCAGTTGGGCAACAGACGGACCCTTGGGTATGACAGTATCCATACGAACAGCAGAGACTGTTCGCAACGCAGCATCCTCCAGCACCTTTGGTCATTCAATCCGCGGTCAGCGACCATTCGTGTTGAGTTTTAATTTATGTTGGTGAAACTCACTGGGACAATATCCAAAGCCTTGAGGGCACGATTGACGCTTGCCCAGTAAGACGTCGATTGCTTCGCGGGCTGTCAGCTCAGAGCCAAGTGGCACTTTTCCATCATCGTTTTTTAAATCGGATTTTGCCGGTATGTCCAATTTCCCAACTTCCTCTTTCACCAGTGTGAATAGCCTGGGCCGGTCCTCTAGTTTCTGATCGTAGTTTACAAAGAGTTCTGCACTAGAAAGAGTGGCAATCCACAGAAGTAACAGCCGAGATTGCATTTTTGCCAGATCTCAGAACACGCCAGCTCGAAAACAAGGCAAGGTGTATCGACAAGAAGCCGGTGACGATCCAAAGTAAGCAATGAGGGAAACCCATTTATTTTAAACCGCTCTCTAGTTTGAACGAGCTTGTCGATGAAGTCTGAGCTAGGAGACCCTTGGGCTGTTTAGACTGCTGGCTACTGCAAAGGTGCATGGTCGACATCACATCTGCCCAACAGCTTGAGCAGCTAGTAACTGGGAGCGGGCCTAGGATCACGAGGTAACTATTTTTAAAAATCTTCATTTCCTTGTTCTGAGTCAAACTACGATTGATGGAAAAATCGGCTGCTGTATTTTGGGTGACGTTGGCCCTGCTCCGATCCCAAAATGTCAATAAAAGCTAACTTGAGTTAATATTGTAATTGCTCAGCAGCTATGCTTAAACATGTAACATAGTTCTTTCTCATGTAATAGCATATAATTGAAACACCATTTGCATCTTGTGCTATTCGTGTTGATGCCCTCATCATCCTTGTGTCTCTGACTCTGCTCTTTCGCCCGCCTTACAGCTTCACAGAATGACAGGGGTGTCGTGCGGCTGAAGGTCGCTTTGCAAGGGTTAATTGATGCGTTTGTACCACCACGTCTCCAAGCAGGGGATCGACGCTCTAATTGCCTTGCTTGGTAAGGTTTTTATGTTCCTTGACTCTTCTTGAGAGATACAACAAGGAAAGACGAGAGGCCCAGCCAGAGGTCTTGTTTTCTCAAACGTGGATCCTACAATGATCATCACATGAGCAACTACTTGACTGCTTGAGACAGCGTGGTGCATGATCCGCCATACTGATGACAAATTGGAAGTTCCGAAATTGGTGCATGACGACGAAAAGCACAGTTCTCGTTTTCTCACTCTTTTCTACTAATGGACCTTGCGACAGCTGAAAGGATAGCGCCAGCTACTGCATGATGAACAGGCTGGGGAGGATTTAGCCATGTGCATTTTAATATAATTTAATGTATTTGGTTCACACCGGTCTCGTAGGTCAAGACTTTGCTCACGTTGAGCATGAGCCTGAGGTCAAGGGTGGCCAAATCAGGTATTTATCGCGGATCTCAAGCCGAAAATTAGATTGGCTGCGCATGAAGTGGTGTTTGAAGAGGCGAGCGGGGAAGCGTAAGGCGGATGAATAATGTAGCCGAATGATGCAGCGCAATCTCGTTTTTCCTTTTTTTTCACTTTTTTTTTTGTTGTCTATCCAAGGAAGACTCGGCATTTATTGCAGGGTTCAAACAGACCGTCGAGTTGCTTTGACCTTTACTGGGAATTTTGTTGCGAACCGCTGGAGGTCGAAGACCGCACACGTAGTTACCTAGTGATGCTGGCATATACATGAACAAAGCTACGGTGTCACTGACTCGGGTCTAGACGCTTGGGACATGGATGTTTATACTACCTATTTAGGCATACGGATCATAGCAATTGGTTGAAATGTTTCAGCTTTTTCCTGTACTGGGAATAAGCCCTAGCGTAGTGTTTCTTTACTCGGGGAATGTGTAATCAGTTAATGTTGGGAAACTTGAAGCTGCTGTACGGATAAGTCTGAACGGCATTCCGGTTCCGATTGCTCAAGCAACTGAGGGTTGCAACCACCCCGCTCGAAGCCTACTGCGCGAAAGGATTTGATGTGTGCTGCCTCAACTCCGCTTGCTTCAATAATGGAACTGTAATCGTAAGTGCTACCTTATATATCCGGCTTTCACGCGTTCCCTGCTGCTACCGTTATAACATCATCAGTGCTACCCATTCTCATGCTCTAGCATTTCCGCGTTATTCCAGCTAATGATGCTACTTGCGGCTTCTCCTTCAGAGGTACGAGGCCACATAGTAAAATCGTCATCGTAATATTGGCCTGATGCTTTACTATCTGCTTTATAAGCGTAGATTCCATGCTCCACAAAACATTGATAGACTACTGTACTCCGTACTATGTACTCCGTATTCTCACAGCCTTTGGTCGGGGGTATCGAGATACATATTTTACTGGAGCCTCTATCGACTATTCCGCAGGTATACCGTAATTACCTGCCTCGGTACTCCGTATGTATCTGCTAAATTCATCGTATACCTACCTATAGTGCCATCTCCTCCAACATAGGGAATTACCCCTGAGACTTTCGCGATCTCGGAGTCACAGTGATTTCACGCAACATTGAGCAAAACACTTCTCCCAGCGCCACTCTTGAAGTGTGGATTTGACTTGGACTTGCGAGGGGACCGTTTGCCCACTTGCGTTAGAACCAACCAGATCGACCCGCTATAAAGGCAAAGATGTCTCGGCCTGGAGAGGCTATCGGCGGATGTTTTAGCTAGTTGAAGCCCGGAATCGGCTTGCGGCTCGTTTCCGCGCAACGCCTCCAGACTTAAAATCAATTACTCGAAGCCATCATTATTTGAATCAAGACGCTCGACGACTGCTTCTATAATACACTCCAACCTCCACAGGTTCGGCTCGACTTGGCGAATTCATCAGCTCATTCTAATCTATTGAACTGCTGCGCCTTGAATTTTGTCGTTTACTCATACTACCAACCCCACTCGGCAAAAGCAAAGTGCGCTTTTCACCATGTCAGATCCTACGTACACAGTATACAGCTATTTCCGCTCCTCTTGCTCCGCCCGGCTTCGAATGGTGCTCAACCTGAAGGGCATCGAGTATGATCTAAAAACCATCAACCTCCTCAAAGGCGACCAGCTCACTAGCGAACACAAAGCACTCAATCCAACCGCTACCGTGCCCCTGCTGATTCGCACGGCTGGTGATGGGAGTGTCTTCAAAGTCGGCCAATCAGTGGCAGCTATCGAGTACTTGGAGGAAACACACCCCCAAGGCCATCACATCTTGCCGCCCGTATCGAATCCAGAAGCGAGGGCAGCCACACGTGCCTTGGCTGGCATTATCGCCTGCGACCTGCAGCCAGTCACAAACTTGAAGATTATGAAGCGGATCAAGGCAATGGGGGGCAATGCAGAGCAATGGAACAGGGAGATTATGACAGAATTGCTCGAAGCCTATGAAAGCGCTGCGAAGGATTGGGCAGGCGAGTATTCCGTTGGCGATGACATAACTTTGGCAGATGTATGCCTGTTGCCGGCTGTGTGGAATGCTCAGAGATACGGCGTTGATCTCGATGCCTTTCCAATCATTACCAGGGTTAGTGAAAAGCTAGGCAAGCATCCGGCAGTCATCAAGGCGCATTGGCAGAATCAGCCTGATACGCCCGAAGAGCTGCGAGCGAAATGATTTGCACAAAATGGGGCATTCTTTACTTCTGCTATCTCGTCTAGTTGACGTTACCTGTTCACAGGCATGAAATTAGGTCGGAATAAATACAGGTAATAGCATTCAGCCACATCACAGAGTCAAGGATTTACGGAGAACACGAGAGATACCCGGGCGAGATCCACTGGTCAATGTAACCAGCCTTGCGATACTCGTGTAAATAAGATGGGGTAGAGCAGCTCATATGTAATATCCTAAAGACACACTTCCAAGATGTGAATTACCCCTAGCGAAATATTATTCCTCTTTTTCGCTATGCTAGTAATCATTCGACCTAGTTCTGTTGACTATTGTCTTACTTAGATTGATGTATCAATGACTAGTGCACGTGGACATCTGGTCAACTTACTTAGGAATTCGGCTAGATTGTTGACTCCATTGCATACGGAAAGATCCGTGGACTGGACTCTGTACAGGGTCCCATTGCCATGTGTCCGGAAGGCCGGAAGGCACACCTGTACGCACAAAAAAGCGCATTTACTCTGTTCAACGGGTACACTATAAAGCTTTACTATCCCACTTCTAACGTAGCATTTACAACCTAATAGGAAATTATACTTGCTCTTGTTTCTTGCAAGGTCGACCTGCACCTCGGAATCTTGATTCTGGCGAAGAGTTAGTACGAGAGGTGCGGCAAAATACCTGTACATGTAGCTTGCACAGGGGATATCCTCGTCATTCCGACATCACACCATTTTCTGATGAAATAAAAAGGAAGGAAAAGAAAAGAAAAAAGTACCACAGAGGAGCCTAGGATCTTTCAGTGTGGCGTACCATCTGGAGTGGGGAGATGTTAGTCTAGAACCAGGCACATTGCATGGCTCACATGGCAATGGTCAGAATTTTATGTACTCTTTGGTAGCTTCAGCGAGTATTCCGAGACGCTAATAGACTGCTACACAATATAAATTAAAAGAAAAGCCGCGAGAATAAGGTTCTTCTCTTCTTTTAGAGATATATCTCTGGCGCTGGCAAGTTTCGTCTTCAGCTTTCACATCCCATGCAGCTCGACTGGTTGCTTTTTGTAACCTCCCTCACCAAAGCTGAACACAACCCCGGCTTTTTACTTCCTTTTTCTTCACACCACCTGAATGCCAAATCTCCACATACCAGGCCAACCATTTTCGATATTTTGACAGACCATTAAGGATCACATTGGGTAGCATTTCGCGAGGGATGAGGACGCTATCAAAACGCCGCCGGGTTGTGTACCAAATACTACAAAAGTGATTTAGCATGGGTATTGCCCCAAATATGATTTGTTACCAAATACTTGCAGCTATATTTCGATGAAACTCCTCCTGAGAGCCTTGTGTCTTGGCATTGCGTATAAGTATTGCTCCGCATGGTATTCATCTATGATGATACGGCGTTCTCGAACACTCCGGAGTGTTACATCGTTAAAGAAAACCTGGCATCCAGCCAACCTATCATTGTGTTTCGTCATCTTTTCCCATCGATCAGAACGAGGCGATTCAACTCCATAACAGCAACAATCTAGGTACCCTCGCAGCAGTGGACGATTAAGTACGTTCCCATTTCTTTTTCGACGCCACCCATCATGCATAAATGAGTGATTAACCAGCATCCCGGTTATCATCAATGACCTTGTAGAGAAACAAAAGGTTAACCAGGCTATACAAATTAATCCTGGTAATCGCGGCTGCAAATCCTCTGCTTGCAGCTATCATTTGTTAGCATATGAAGTAGAGACCAGGATATACATGTGGCTATTATATCGTTATGTCCTTTCATACATGCACATTTGTAGACTTATGAACACGTACTAAGGGACTACATATGCAAGCGCAGGCGCAGGCAGGCTACTCGCTGCGTAAATTTATCTTTGGTACCTGTACAGACGCGTACCACGCTGCAGCTGTACCAATCACTGTAAATGGAACTCATAAAGAAGGCTTTCCAGGATCATCATAATTCGACGATGGATCAACAAATGACTCTAGACTCTAAATCGGCTATTGAGTGCCGGGGTAGTACCAGCATCCTGAATAATAATTAGTTTCCCAGACTGGGTAAAGTATTCCAAAGAGAGTTTGGCTTCATGTGCAATATACAACTACCTACTTGGCAGCAGTATGTTAGCATGGCTAGCCTTGTGAGTCTATTCTGGTGCACCACCACCCCTCACCCCTCAGCTCCCAGATACGATACTTAAACGAGGAGGAGAGGGGTTGGAAAGGCGTGTCTCAGCTGGAGAATTTTGATAGGCCGAGTAAGTAGGTAAATATGAAGGCTGAAAATTATAAAAGTACAAATACGATAAAGGTTCTCAATAATTGGTAGCACCTCTCTAGCTCTTTAGTATTCCTTCTCGTACGACCATGTTCTATAGATCGAGATAGCACTATGGAGACTTTACTTACTTATGCTAAAACGCCAATCCCGGCCTTTCCTCAGGTTCAAGGCTTCATGCACGAAGTGGTCGAGGAATTGAATCATGAGACTATTATCCAACTATTGGGTACACTTATCGCACTGGTTAGTCTATGTTTATTGAGCTATGCATATCTCCAAGTAGCGACTAGTGCTCCATATTAACTTATGGATCATTAGTTCATTGTTTATCGTGTAGCCATTGCTATCCATAATGTCTGGTTTCATCCGTTATCTAAATTCCCAGGCCCAACTCATATGGCTGCTTTCCAGCTCCCCTACACATACGGCACTCTTGTCTCTGGCCACATGCACAATACGATGAAGAAACTCCACCGCAAGTATGGTCCTATTGTGCGTGTTAGCCCAGATCATCTAGCCTTTGATGGATCTATCGCTTGGCCTGAAGTCTTTGCGCACAGGGCAGATAAAGAAGAGTATGGAAAAGTACCGAATTTTTTATTTATGGGAGATACGATGTCCATAATTGGAGCTCCCAAAGCCATTCACAGACGACAACGGCGGCAGCTGGGTCATGCATTCAGCGATGGTGCATTAAGAGATCAAGGACCAATCATGAAGAAGTATGTAGACCTTCTTATGCAGCGTTTCACTGAAAAATCCGATACTGGCAAAAGCTTCGACGTCAACGACTGGTTTAATTTCATCACATTTGACATCATTGGCCATCTCACCCACTCAAAGTCGTACAGCTGCCTTGAAAATGGCTCTCATCCTTGGGTATCTAAATTTTTCAGGGGGTTTCGCGGCAGATGCTATTCTCGATTTCTTTCTCAATTTCCTTTTGCTTTGGAGATTGTTACAAAACTACACTTGATTCCAGACATAAATACAAACGAAGACGATAAGCGCGACGCTGTCGAAAGAACAATGGAGCGCATCAAGTTAGGCGAGTATGCCATTGAAGGCTACCGCGATTTCACGTTCCACATGCTCAAGAAGGACCACGATGGTGAAATGGGCTTTGTAGGATTGGAAGTCCTGGCTTCAGCTACTATTCTCATCGGAGCAGGCGCCGAAACCACTGCTGCCACTATGTCTGCCCTCATGTTCTATCTTGGCACAACCCCGACTGCTTACAGGAGGCTGGTCGAGGAAATCCGGTCTGCCTTTGATGATGAAGAAGGTATTACACTCACGTCGACGCAACAATTGGAGTACCTCCACGCTTGCATTGAGGAGGCGCTCCGCGTGTTCCCTCCCATCAACGAGACGCCTCCACGAGTCTGCCCGGGAGACACCATTGACGGGAAATATGTCCCTAAAGGAGTGAGTCAAACACATATTTACCAGTCAGAGTCGCAAACTAACACTTAACACGAGACTGCAATTACGGTATTCCAAGAGGTCACTTACCACAATCCTGAACATTTCACTGAGCCTGACTCCTACATCCCTGAGCGATGGCTGCCAAAGTCTCATCCCTTTTACGATGCCAAGTTCAAAGAGGACAATCGAGCGGTATTCAAGCCCTTCAGTTACGGCCCAAGGGATTGCCTCGGCAAAAATCTTGCCTACTCCGAAATGCGACTGACTCTTTCACGAATGCTGTACAAGTTCGATGTGGAACTGGCTCCGGGGCAAGAGAATTGGCATAGCGCGCAGCGCACGTTTCTTGCATGGGAGAGAAGACCATTGAACATTTACTTGAAGCGTAGACAGACTGCTTGAGCTTTCCGAGATGCCTGGCGATGGTTGTACGCATTGGTCCACCATCTCCTTCTTTGACAGCATCAGTTGTATGGCGAGGTATAGTCGAGAGCGAGAGTATCACTGAAATAAGTGAATAAACAAAAATGGTATACCAAGTTCTATTGTCTCCCCGTAGCAAACAGCTTGTTTTGAGTAGATGCAGTGGGAGGTGCTTTTTGGTACTGAAATCGTAGTCTGTCCCCTCAAAAGCAAGTAGGCCATCATTCGCTTATGACCTCCTCATGCTATATGCCTAGAATACCTCTCAATAGATTGAAACGCATCGCAACAATGGTATCTAAGAAAAACGTTCAGACTTCGTATCGGGTTCTTTCACACGAACCACCAGCCTCTTTCCTGACGTTTTGCCCTGTCTTAGTCTTTCCAAAGCCCCGTTGATGGCGTCGAGCCCGCCTGGTACAAATTCCACCTCCGGAGGTTGCAACTTATTTGTATCAAGTAGCTCGTACAGCCATTTACTTAGATGTCCACCGACGTATTGGCTCGTATGGAACAGCTTGATGGGCACCGTGTGTATCTGAACATTAGGATTAAGTGTTTCGGGACGGCCTGTCATGGCAACGAGATGGCTCAGTTTGCTGCCACCCCCTCGTGTGGCTGGATCAACTGGTGACGGATTTGTCGGCGTCTCTTTCCCTGGGGAACAGTACCTAGAACTTGTGCGCTCTGCGAGAACTTGCTGGCACCATGCTGCGGTTTCTGGTCCAACCGTGTCAATGGCGAATCGTAGTGAGCCTGGGATGAGCCGTCTGATGTCTAGCTTGGCTTGATCGAGGTCGCTGCGTTCAATCAGAACATCTAGAGTTTTTTTGGTAAGCAATAGCTTTATCAATATCTTTCATCTAAGTACGCACCAGTTCCAAGTGACTCTAGAAGTTGCCGATGTTTGTTGAGATCAGCAACACCGACCACTTTCAAGCCTCCTATTTTAGCCAGCTGAATCACGATCTGTCCAGTAACGGTAGATGCTTCAAATAAGTCAGTATTAACCTTTTTTAATCTCACCATCCTAAGAAACAGCGCTGCTTACCCCCATAGACTAACAGCCATTCACCAGGTTGGGCTTGATAGCAAGGCGCCAAGGCATCAAAGATCTCGTCCGCAATATCGTCAGGCACATCTTCTGGGCACCATCTAGCATTCTCTAAGAGATTGAACTCTCTCTTTTTAGGCCCCTTTTTAAAAGTAACACCTAGACAGACTCCGAGAGAGAGACCTGCTGCGACAAAGGCGACACCCATAGAAGCGACTTTAAACGGGTCGACATGCTTGGGAATCCGAATAGCATTGTAGCAGCAGACAATGGCATACTCTTGAAAAGCCGATTTTCTAAAGTCGCGGTAGTCCGTAGATACAGCGAGGACCTTGGCCAATATTAGTCACCCACAGTTTCGGTACGGCAATATCTATGTCACGAAACTCACCCACTCTCCCGGCTGAAGACTACATCTCTGGTCGACTTCTGAAGCTATAATCTTGCCTATGAACTCACGTCCATTCAGACAGGGTGGAGATGGAAGCACAAATCCGAAATCTCTACAATAAGTTCGTTAGTAAACCCCTGAAGGGGACGAGCAGTGGTTGGCCATCTGCGGGGAATTACGGACGCTGATTTCCCATCGATTGGATTCAAGCCGATACCATGCACCTCGACTAATAAATCTCCGAATCTGAGTTCAGGGATCTCTTTATCTGTGTGGAGCCTATATGGCTGTCGAGGATCATGGAGAAGCAGCTGCCGTTGTAAATAAGGTACAGATTTTCCGTACGTGGCGGCCGGAAACGGTGTGATGGCGGCAGCCTCTGTGATCGTCACTATCGTCTTGGACGATGCAACAGCCATGATGTACTTGTTATGTTTAATAATAAAGCTGGCAACCGGTGATCAAAACCCAGCAACCATCAGCCGTGGTAGGAGACCGTCCTAACCTTGAAATTGCGTGATGGGAGCTAGGTTGCTTTTCCGAGGTGATCTCCAGCTCCCGGCGGTTTATTTATCCAAGTAAAAGCGTGACCCTGCATGACTTCTCGCCGCATTGCTTACATGCTATGCAGAACGCTTCCAAACTACTAGCAAACTAGTGCTAGCCCCAGATAAAGTATCTTCCGCAGAGTGGTAACCCGTTGCAAATCCGTAAAATGCACTTGATGACCCATTCTACAAACTTCACTTAGCCACAAGCGGTTTATCATCATTGGTGACAGAGTAAGCCCATAAACTATTCATATCCTTTTTTCCAACTAGACGGGCTCATGATTGGCTGAGTACTCTTTCCCAAAAGAGATTCTAGTGATTGCAAGACCTTGGCTGTATGACCCGGATAAACGAAGTGAGCAAGTTATACGGTCGAACTCGCAAATAAGTCGCAGTCAATTACATGGTCACTAAGAGTGCGTGTGGCTGGCAAACGAAATAGAGCGGCATCACACCACATTCTCCTTGTTGAACAGCATAGTATTGGACATTCCAGGTTTATTTCTCTTTTTATTTCTCTTTCCAGTGACCTTGGGTTGCAGGGGCTGAATGACGACGGGAATGAAGAGATGTCGTGATCAATAGCGGGGTGTCGGACGAGCTCGGCGGCGTGGGGAAGAAGCAAGGAAAGGGGCGAATCAGCTTACCCGTTGGCGCAAGTTAGGTTGATGCTAAGGTAAGAACTATTATGAAGATGGTCAGCCCTTGCAGCACCCACGATCAAGACTCAAGAGGTTCAGCAGAAGCCAACGGCCCCCGGTCAGTAGCAAGATTGTAGAGTATATAGTCAACAACATTTCCTAGACTGCCTGTACTTCGTATAGAGAGACGGTACTCTTACATGCGATATAGGTTCAGAGTCCCACGGAGTCCCACCGATTAGCATCGACATGTCGATACGAGTGAATTCTTGACGCTACTCTGGAATATCCTGACTAATCGAGATTTCAAGATGGCGGATGTGGTTTCGATAGCTTCGTTCCCAGCTGCAACTTTGCCTCCAGACGCGAAATAACGACCGACCGAACGCAATACATAGAAAAAAGGAGAGCCATAAGCCTATAAATGAATAACTTGGGAGTTCAACAAATCGCACAAGTTGCCTCGATGTTGAGATTCAGGCAACGGCCTTTTTACGATCATTCCTATGCTTGTTGCCAAGACGCATCGTCATATTCTCTCCTACTTACTTCATCAGCTGCCCAATTCGTAGTTTGCTGAGATCATCCAAATCGATCAAGGAGGTGCAAGAAGGCCTAGTTGCAGTAAATACCTACAAAGATACGGCACTTGCCGCCTATATTCGGGGACTTGGATAATTGTTTCCGATGAGATCAGTAATCTTCATCTATATACATGTATCAAGCATCGCCTTTTAGGTGGACCAGCATCCTGTTATGGAAACTGCTCTTTGACACTAAAAGTCTTTGTTGGACATCTTATTGTCTGTTGAACGGCTTTTTTTTCACTTTCTGATTCCTCTGTAACTTGACTGCTGTTGTTGTTGAACCCCAACACATCTCTTAGATACGCAGCGATTAATAATCGCCACCAGGTGGAGCCATCGCGCTCGGCAGTTGCCGTGTATATTCGGCATCGCAGCATGAATCCTCATACATAAAAGAGCCATGTCGCCGGTGGGATGTAGTGACATGCCGTACTGGAATCATGGTAAATAATAATCAGTCAAGATGTGTCACCGCTGTCGTCAATTCGCCAAAGAATTTAAGACGAGCACTGTCCGGATCGAAAAGGCGACGGATTGTTGTGTTATTAACAACAAGCACAATCATCCAATTGGCTTTATTCTCATCTCATGATGGCATCCGAATCCGTTATCAAGAAAATCGTGTGGTATGGAGTGAGTAAAAGGCCCACAACTGCTTGGACTCGGCAAGATCGCCAAACTCACTCTTCAGTAGGGAGCTCGCCTTGGTGGCCAAATCCTGCCGCGCATTGTTGCGACTAAGAAGTATGATGTTACTTTTATTGGCCGCAAAGACCCGTCCGAATACAAAAACGTGCCTGAGGGGGTTCCCATTGTGCAGGTCGATCTAAAGGATCACAAAGGTCTGGTCAAGGTGTTGACTGGCGCTGATGCCGTGGTCGTGTTCACGCAATTTGGTCCAGGAGGAGACCTCGACATCGTTCATATCGCCCTCATCAATGCAGCCATTGAGGCTGGGGTGAAGCTATTCGTGCCATCAGAATGGGCGCCTGACACTGCAGGTGGAAATGCAGCCACGGTTTCGAGAATGGGGCCTAACACTCTGCCTCCTAACCCAGTCATTGCACCAAAGAGAGTGGCACACAACTACTTGCTGGCCAGGTCTTCTGAAGGCAAGATTGACTTTGTATCCCTGCATGTTGGAAATCTCTTGTTGAGTGAGTGGTCCCTTCTAAAGACTGAGAGGCCTCTGAGAAGCTCCGTACTAATCGATTCGACTTCAGACATATCCGCCTTTGCGCCAATGGACCTGAACAAACGCACTGCCTCACTGGGTGATGGTGGTTACGGCCTAATCTCTATATCCAGTCTTGACACACTTTTCCAAGGTCTGGACAGCCTGTTAACCAAATATCCAAAGTTTAAGAACGGCTTCTTCTACATCTGCGACGGTGAAACTACCTTGCAGCAGATTGTCAAAAGCTTCCAGGACGCTTCCGAGTCCAAGGAACCGTGGGAGATCACATCGTTCTCAATCGCCGACAGAAAGAAGGCCGCGGATGAGAATATGCGAAACGGCATATTTACTTGGAAAGAGTTTGCGGCTGTTTTGACATATCCGTTTACAGGCGGTTTGACTGTATGGAAGAACCCAGATAACGAAAGGTTGGGACTGCCGCTACCAAGCGATGAGAGGGCGCAGAAGATTGTCGATGATCTTGTTCAACGGTCTTTGGCAAGAGGATATATTATCTAACCAGTGACTAGCCAGCACAGTGTACCGAGCATCCTGGCTCTATCGTATTAGTTATGTGCTTAAAATAGTACAGTTAATTCCATTGACGATAAGTATACATACTCAGGTAGATATATATATATTTAAATACACATGTATGTATCTTTGCCCAAGGCAGCCATCGTAGCAGGAAGTCTATATGTCAATTTTCATGCTACCCTGGATTGCCTAATTAATACTTAGTTTCAATGTTCTCTATAGGCACATTTGATATGCGCCGGAGTGGTTGCCATCTGCCGTTCTCAAGCGACTCGCCTGCATGTAAAGACTGGAGACGGAATGAAGTCGCATTTGGTCTTCACCCTTTTGCAGTGGATATGGGTCGCCCAGATATTCACATACCCTGAAGACTAGCATCAATAGTGTTTAACTCCACGGGACAAGGTAATGACCCATCCGTAGAAGAAGCGAGGAGATTGACAGCATCCACTTGATGGACTCCGTCCTCATGAGCGCATAGTGAGATACTTTAGGCAATGCGTTTACGTCAATTTGAGAAGAGATTTCTCTTAGCATGTACAAATCTCAGACCGAACCGGGCAGACTCCCAGTCCAGCCCCCTATCCTAGCCTCGATTCCATTCCGCGGTATAATTGAGTGAGATTTTGACAGAACTGATATGTCAAGTCTCCTGTATTTAAATTTGACTCGTTATGCTTTAACTACATTCAACATCACCAATTTAAAGCTCTGCCTACACTAGTTCACATGCAGCTCAACGATTCTCCATATACGCACGCGACAGTCTCTGTGTTCTGGGGCCCTGACCAAGCAGGCCTCGGCTCTCATCTGCGGTATCAATCTCTTACCGCGGGAAGGTCCCTAAAGCCCGATGGAGGACTCGTGAAATGGACTTGTGCAGCTAACTCCCTATTGACAAGGGGATAACCTATGAAGCGAGGCTAGCAGTTGTGGCGTCACTCTAAGCTCTGCTGCTTGGCTCAACAATTCTTGATATCACATCTTCCTATTCACTTGTGATACTGCGGCTGAGAGTCTCGCATTGAACCCCACGGACTACTTCACAGTTGGCATAGACATATTATGTGACATGTAATAGTAGAATGGCGCCTTCCGATGGCGCCATGGTGTCATGATGTGGTATGCCGAGTACTTCGTAGAGGCAACTCAAAATAAAAGGGGGGAGAGATCGAGATTATCACAGCCCCCAATACAGCATGTGAAGATGAAATCAAATAGGATTCAGCTGAACGGCTTGGTGAAAGACTAGCTCGCTTTACATACCAGGAGAAGAGCAAATGACCAAGGCCAATGCTTCAGCTTCTCTCTTCTGACCGAAGAGCACGGCTAGCGTACCCAAACGTCGCCACTTGGGAGGCTAGACAGGATGCCTGATATTGTTCATGCGCGCCAACAAACAGTCCAACGTTAGGAGCAGAAGCGTGTAGCTTAGCAGAGGGAACGGGGGAATGGAGTACATCCATGCAACTCATTACATCTTGTGGGCTGAAGTGACGGCCAGGATGTTCATTCAGCTTTGCAGCTTTGGACTGACGAGTTAGGCCATTCACAACGACATCCTTTGAGTAGCATAAGATGAGGCTTTGAATTTTGTTTCTGAGTAATGTCAAGCTGAGAATGTCTCGTGTTGGCGTAGCCGGGTAGCCCACCGCGGTACGAGTCGAGGGAGAAGGTTAGTTGTGTCTCTCCCATGGACTCGGTCAACCCATTGCGTACTGCATCCCAGTTTGGGCATGCATCGCAGCTATCCGACATCCCCTTAGCTCGTACGAGGCGGTAAACATCACGGGTAGTAGCTCCCCAATCGCCCGCTGGTTCGACCATGGCCTTGGCAAAGCTTCTCAAGCGCCTCTCCGGCATGGAGTACTCCTAAGTGCCGCTGAGTTATATAGAAGGCACGTCACTGGCGGCAAGCATAGAACAGACCAAAGTACTAGCATCCAGGTGACCAATGTTAAACGCTCAAGGCGCAATAATTATTGATTGGTGATGGCCATTGAGGGTCCCGAGCAATGGCCCAGACTCTCAGTCGGCGATCAGAGCCTTGCTAAGGCCCCCGTTGCCTCAGTCCAGCGACCTGTATGTACTTGGGTGTGTAATCAAGTGGTGGGCATAACGAGTGTACATGGGAATATTGCGCCATCTGCGCTATTACAACGTTTTTTGGAAATGCTGGAAGTCGCTCCAAAAAGGGCGACCACCCGAGGCTCCGTAATGGGGGACTCTTTTACTTTTTGGAGCCAATGTCAGGGCGGTTCAAGGATCCCCTTGTCCATCAAGCTGTGCGACGTGGTCGTAGTCTTGAATCCTTGTGATGAAAAACTTGGCGTGAAGCAGCAGCTGAAATGGCGGCTGAGACAAGCCAAAACCTGCAGCTAAGGATGATCAGATGTCACAAGATGGTATATTCGAAGTGGCGTAAGTCGTCTGTCGCGGAGTAGAGTTGTTGATAGGCCCCAGTCAGTCGTCAGGCAGGCAAGATGATGTCTCGACGGGGCCAATTTGGTTCTATTTCTTTGACACGGGCTGGAGAGCGGAGATGGCGGAAGATGGATGGATTTGCACAACGCACCGGACCCCATCCATCTCCATGCTTGTACATGCTCGTAGTAGGACGCGGAGCACGGAATAATACGCAGTACCCGGCGCCTGGTCGATTGGATCCTCCTCCGGCAAGTGCCCTGGTGTCGTAGCTTAAATCGAGTTAGTCGGCGATGGTCCGGATGTTGTCTAGATCTCTTGGGACGCATGTACAAGCATGCAGGACGCCGTGTGCGACGGGCAAAGTACGATTTGCGAAGATGTGCAAGTCCGTGCTCTATGGGGTGTAGTGATACAGCGGGATCCTATTCAGTGTAGTGCGTGCTTGACACGAGTCGCCTGATTCTCTTGGGCGATGAGGCTTCGCAATGATAAGGTTCTTGTGGGCGAGGAAATCACCTCGAGGTACTCAGGCACATCATGGAGAGCTTCGAGTCGCCGGCATAGGGTCCAGGCGTGCCCCCCAAAGAGGTGTGTCAGCCCGAAAGATGACATGGGAGGCAGGGATTATTGCGTTGCATGGCGATGCCGTAGCAGTAGCCCGTGGAGTGTGGAGTTTGTCGGGTAGATGGTCCTTTGTTGGAGGGTGTATATATGGTGTAATGAGCGAGATGGTGGTGTTGTTTGCGAATAAGACAGCTCACAGATGATGCTGACAGAGACAGTCATGCAAGGCAGGTTTAAAATTGCACACATCATCTACACAAGGATCCCATCATTCAGCTTGCTTGATTGAAAAACACAGCAAACAACCGACATGCCCCAAAAGTTATCACCGAAATTGGATTCAGAGTTTTTGGTGTCCATCTGTTGACGCAATCCAGACGAGAGGCCATACAACGCCATGCAAGTACCTCTGACACCAAACCACTATGAGCCCGGTACCGCCCCCCCGACCCTGGTCTCATCCGCTAAAAACAGAAGAAGAAAAGAAAGAAAAAAGAGGGCCGTGGCTAGACTAGCCGTCAGTTTCTCCCCCCTAGGGCCTTTAGCTGCAAGCGAATACTTGGCCAGAAGCACGCAATCCGGTGGCTCTCTAGACAAAGCTTCGAGTTGCCAATCTTTGGCCACAGACCCGCGCACCTAGCGGTGCTAGATTTTTCTTTTTCTCGCGGTAGGCTCCTTATTCGACCGCCCTAATTGGTGCTTTTGTGATGGGTGTATCAATAGGTACTTTGTAATGGATGCTATTTTGCATGGAATACGATCTAGTGTCTCCGAGTCCAGCCATCATCTATGTATCACATCGGTACCCGCTTTGGGGTCCATGACTGGGGTGGTACTTGCAGGTACCAGCCGCGAAGCTTGGAGTTACACTCATATCACAATGTCAGAGTACAGCGAAAAGAGGCTGATCCTCGAGCCAGGATAAGGCAGCAGAAACGGCACATGGCATGGATGCAATGTACATCCGTATCCATGCCCGTTATAGTACCCATATCTGTGCGAAGCTCGGGTCAACCTCCCAATATTCCATCTGGGATGCTACATAAATAAAGTTGGCATGGCCCTATCCACCCGCGTCTACATCCGCATTCTCTCTCCATCTCTCTTCATCTCTCTCTTCCTCTCTTCTCCACTGCAACTCTGAAGGAGGTGGCTCGTCATCTCTCATTTCCTTCAGCAGCAGGACACGTTTTACCTGGTTGCAGTTCCATCTCTAGCCTTTGGGGTGTTGCCATCTGGGTGACACAGAGAGGATCTAGACTGGCGGCGCTGACCATTGGATTTGATACCTTGGAGTACCAACTTGAAGGTTCATCAAAGCGGCGTTTTCAGAAAGTTTGATTGGCCTATTTTTACTTAAACTCCCCCTTTATTTTCTCTTTTTGGTCTTCCTCCTCATTATCGTCATCATCTCACCAGCGTCATGGCCTCAACTAAGGAGCGCCTGGCCAAGGCCTTTGGCTTTGATACCCAAGATCGTGACAGCGACATCCCGTCAATATCCAATGCTGATCCCTTCATCGAGCGAGAACCGACCGTCGGGGAGTTTCTCGAGGAGATCCGTCCGACTCTGCACGATGTCGGCCAGTACCTTTACAACCTGTTTCCCTTTATCCACTGGATCGGTAAATACAATTTAACCTGGTTCATTGGTGATTTGATTGCTGGTGAGTTTGCGTTCCATTTCAATCCTATATCATAAACTTTACAAAAAATCCAATGTGTCTAATCCTCAACTACTAGGCATCACTGTTGGCGCCGTCGTTGTGCCTCAGAGTATGGCCTATGCCCAGCTCGCCCAGCTGCCCGTTGAATATGGCCTGTACTCTTCCTTCATGGGTGTTTTGATCTACTGGTTCTTTGCAACTTCCAAGGATATTACCATCGGAGTAAGTCTGCCGTTCAAATCCGTGTATAAGTCAACTTGAAGAGGACATCCGCCACTAACAAACCACAGCCTGTCGCTGTCATGTCCCAAGTCACCGGCGACGTCGTGCTCAGGGCGGCAACACGAATCCCAGATGTCCCTGGCCACGTCATTGCTTCAGCCCTGGCCGTTATCGCAGGCGCCATCATCTGCTTCCTCGGCCTCGCACGCTTGGGCTGGATCGTCGAGTTCATCCCACTGCCTTCCATCTGCGCCTTCATGACGGGATCCGCCATCAACATCGCCGCCGGCCAAGTGCCCAAGCTGATGGGCATCAAGGGCGTAAACACACGCGCCGCGCCGTACCAGGTCATTATCAACACGCTCAAGGGGCTGCCAACGACGACCATCGACGCTGCCTTGGGCCTGAGTTGTCTTCTGATGCTGTACCTGGTTAGAGGCGTCTGCACTTACCTGGCCAAGAAGCAGCCTCACCGAGCCAAGCTGTACTTTTTCATCTCGACCCTGCGTACGGCCTTTGTGATTCTGCTGTACACCGGCATCAGCGCGGGCATGACGCTGCACAACAAGGCTCACCCCAGAATCAGCATTCTGGGCAAGGTGCCTCGTGGTATGTTACAAATAACCTTTCCTCTATGTGTGCGTATGCACGATGTAGACGGACATCATTTTTCTAACAATGGACAACTACTGCAGGCTTCCAACATGCTGGCGCTCCTGAGCTCAACAGCACCATCATTGAGGCGTTTTTGCCTGAGCTTCCCGCCGCTGTCATCGTGATGTTGATTGAGCACATTTCCATCTCCAAGTCGTTCGGCCGAGTCAACAACTACATCATCGACCCGTCTCAGGAACTCGTCGCTATTGGCGTCTCCAACTTGCTGGGCCCCTTCCTGGGCGCCTATCCCGCGACAGGCTCCTTCTCTCGTACCGCCATCAAGTCCAAGGCTGGTGTGCGAACGCCCTTTGCCGGTGTCATCACCGCCATCGTCGTTCTTTTGGCTCTCTATGCTCTGACGGCCGTTTTCTTCTACATTCCCAACGCAGCGCTTGCCGCTGTCATCATTCATGCCGTCGGCGACGTCATCACTCCCCTTCCCGTCGTTTTCCAGTTCTGGCGTGTGTCGCCCCTTGAGGTTATCATCTTCCTGGCGGGTGTCTTGGTGACTGTCTTCTCCACAATCGAAAACGGCATCTACACCACCATCTGCATGTCATTTGCCGTCGTCATCTTCCGCCTGTTCCTCAGCCGTGGTCGCTTCCTGGGTGTGGCCCGTGTGCGCACCGTTCGGGCAACCAATGGCGGCGCAGACAAGGGTGACCAAGAGGCCTTTGCTGAGCCATCAGAATACTCGGAGCGATCTGGGTTCTTGCCTCTGGGCCACGAAGATGGCTCCAACCCTCAAGTGACTGTATCGAGCCCGTATCCCGGCATCTTCATCTACCGCTTCGCTGAAGGGTTCAACTACCCCAACGCCACGCGGTATCTCAACCACTTGACAGAGACCATCTTCAGGGAGACTCGACGCACGGATATCAAGACGATTGCGAAGCTTGGTGTAAGTTGATGTCATTTCATTCTTTCTGAATAGATGGAACTGGCAAAGAAGCTAACATGTGTGCTCGGTAGGACCGACCCTGGAACGACCCAACCCCCCGAAACCAGAAACAGGACGAGCACGATGGCCGGCCCACGCTCAAAGCCATCATCCTCGACTTTGCCACGGTCAACATTGTCGACGTGACAGCGGCTCAGGCCCTGATTGACGTGCGCAACCAGCTGGATCGATACGCTGCTCCCCGAACAGTAGACTGGCACTTTGCCCACATCGAGAACCGCTGGACAAAGCGCGCTCTAGCCGCGGCAGGCTTCGGCTACCGAACTCCTCACCACAACGCCGAAAACGGTGAGGGTGCGGGCCACTGGAAGACCATCTTCAGCATCGCGGATCTGGGCGGCTCGGACAGCGCGGCGGCGGCGGCTGCGGCGGAGGAGAAGGCCAGCCGGGCAGTTCAGTACGACGTGGAGCGGACCAACTCGGATGACATTTCAAAGGCCTCTGACTCTGACAAGGACGTGCCTTCGCATCCCAGCAGCCGGCGCTTGGTAGCAATCCGGGGCTTGAACAGGCCATACTTTCACTTTGACTTGCAGGAGGCTGTTGAGTCTGCCATTGCAAACGCGGAGAGACACGGGAATGATAATGAGTCTGACTGAGCGGTTACGGATTTGATTTTTATTTTTATTTTTAATTTGGGGGATCTTCTTTTTTTTTGGAGCTTATTCCTGTCTTTTTGGAGCGCGGCATTGTTTAATGAGGTCCAAACCATCTATCTACCAGCTTACGGCAGTTGATGTTTTAGAACCATGTCACTTTTACACTCTGATACCACACCACTGCTGTTGGGATGATACTTGGATCCCACAGCAGGAAGAATATATTTACTGAAACGTTGATGACATACATCCATGACACTAGCAATATCAAGTGATTCCTGTTCCTAGCAGCGCGTCTTTTGGTGGCGGTGACGGTGACAGTGACACGCATACCAAGGGCGTAGTTCCCGGGTAAGCCATGACGAATCTGGCATCTTGGGCCAAATTGAGGCAAAGGCGGCCAACGCGATGGCTTGAGCACGCAAAGTCGACGCGGCTTGCAGGTGCTCACGTGGCAGTTTCTAGCCGGGACGTTTATTCCGCAACGAGGAGAAGAAGAAGAATGAAGAAGAAGAGAATTGAATAGCAGTACATATATCGTGTACTCCGTATCAGAGTATCTAAAGGCAGTAATTCCGATGTCTGAGGACTTAACGAGGGCCGTGTTCAAGCATCGTGCCACTCCGTCATTGCTGATTGTCGTAGGTACTATGTACGAGTATGTATGAGTACCCTTTTGCGTATAAATACCCGCGCCGGGTACTTGTTCCAGAGCAACTAACAAAGTCGTCTACTCTACATGTACAAGTAATAGTACTCTACCGAGTCGTTCCGGGCGCACAGCCAAGCTTCACATGATGTGCCGGAATCCCCAGTTATTAAAATGGACCTGGAGTTTTGTCGTTGCTTAATTACGGGGGTCATCTGCCCGGCTCCAGTCTGCTTTGGTATATTGACGTCGATAATGGAGACCCTACGCCTTGGAATATGGGGTATTATGAGGGACTCGTGGTATAGCATTGAGTCGTGCTGTCACTGCCGCAGCTCTAGCGTTTCGATTGCCCCCATTATCAGTGCTGAACCCATGGATTGAGCCTTCATGAGTAACGAATTATAAAAGGAAATGAAATCAAATGAACCAAACAAAATACTACTTCTATCCCCTTGTCCAATTTAACTAAACCATCAGCAAGGAAAATCCTTTCAGTGCTAGGGCCATTGCTAATTCGACCTTATCGTCTGACAAAGCAGCCGCGTTACTCGATCCGGGCTCTTGGCGCATGTGACGTAATGGCACGTTTCCCTGCTAATGGACGGCAAATTTGCAGCTTCTCGAGCGCTAAAAGGCGTAGCGCCCAGCCTGTGAAAAGGGCCTTAAGGCCTGTGGCTTTTGCTTTTTCGTGTCTCGCGCCGTTAAACTTTTCGTCCAGACCGAAGGATCCGTCGCTCCGCCCGGAGGACGAGAACAAGAGGCGGCAATCAATTGATTCGCGGCGGCAAATCACCGCTGATTGTTGGGCGTCTGTCCCGTCTGTCCTGGTCTGTCCTGGTCTGTCCTGGTTCTGTTTGTCAGAGTCAGAGTCAGAGTCAGAGTCAGTTCTGAATTGATCATCGATCGCCATCTGCTGCTATTTCCCTTTATTCCCTCCCTCCCTCCCTCCTCTGGCAATCGAATTGACTGCGTGTTTGTTTTCTCTCTCTTGTTTCTTTTACGACTCTTCATTCTCATTTTATCATTTCCTGTATTTAGCCGCATCTTCCCTGGACTCGACGCCCGTGTTGCTTTGCTTGTTTTGTTTCCCTTTGCCCTGACTAAGCAGGGTTCACAACCGCTCCATACCTTACCTTTATGTTGTGTCGCCAGCCACCCGCTCAGACCTGATACTGCACCGTCCATTTCCTCTCCCCCAGCTCATCCACGATGAATCCCAACCGCCTGCGATCATCGCGATGGCGGCGAACGGCTGCGTCTCCCAGGCAGGACGAAGGCGAAGACGTTGACCCGCACACCATTGTTGTGTCAGCGCCGCCACCAGAACCAGGACAAGAACAAGGACAAGAACAAGATCCAGCCTCAGTGGCATCATCACGACCGACATCAGCAGCAGCTCTAACTCACGGACTCACACCACAGCCACCAGCTGCGGCCATCGATGGATCCAGCCTGCAACCGCCGCCGCGATATGGCGTCCCAGGCTCGGGCCGGCGAATGGGATCGCTGTCGTCTCGGCGGTCCTTCAATCCCGCAACGCCAGACGCCGCCGAGGAGTCGGAAACGGAGTACTTTCCAGCCCTCAACACCACGTCGAGTGCAATCTCGCGGACTTCGAGCCTCCGCGGCCGGGCGCCGTCGACGGCAGGGTCCGAATCTGGCCGGCCAGTTCACGAACGCACTCGCCAGCCCAGCATCCGCATTCGACGCAGCTCCAGCGGCGCCTCTGTATCTCAAGCTCCCCTCGACTATACGTCCGAGAGCAGCGACAACGAGTCGCGGAGACGCGGCGCGAGGCCTCGAAGCATCTCGCAGCCCATGCCCCCGGCACAGGTCTATGATGGCAGCGCTGCCAGACACTCGCGCCGTGTGCCGCAGATGGCATTGCCCCGTCTGACGGAGGAAGGCTCGCGCCCAACCATGGCCGAGCTTGGAGTGACTTCGTCTCCCATTTCGCCGTCGAGATCACTACCCGAAGAGCCTCTGGGAGAAGACGAGGCTCGTCGCTTGTCTGTAGGCTCGGAGCCCTCGAGGAGGCTGACCAGGAAGAGAAAGCTCAGCAGGCTGTTCTGGCCTGGCGGCTCCATCAATCGGGGTTCTCAAGCTCAAGCTCCGCCCGGCGATACACAGCCGGGCATCGATGCCGCACAGGCTCAGCCCCAGTCCGATGAGTACGGCGAGGAGCTGGTGGACTGGCTGGATATCATTGGTAAGCTGCGACCCCCCCTTCTCCTCTCCACGGCCGAGTCTAGAACCAGCACCGGCAGTTGCTGACATTTTTTTCGTGTGACTAGATCCCGAGGTCCAGACTCTTTCGACCTTGACCAACGTGCAGAACTCCCTGTTCGTGCCTGATCTTGGCCCTTGGATAAACCGCCGCCCCACCTATGTCTTGTCACCGCGCGATGCTGGACCGCTTGCACGGCTGGGCCGACCCGCAGAGCGCGAAGAGCCGCTGCCAGAGACCACTGAAGAGGTGTCGAGGGTCGAGACTGGCGTCGAGTCCGTGGCCGAGGCCGAGGCCGGGGCACCGGTGACGCTGCGCAGATCCGACACCATCACGTCGAGGCTCACAGACTCGCATTATGCGGCGCTGCCGCATGGCTTTAGCCTCGAGGGCTGGACCGAGGAGGAGAAGCTGGAGCTGGACGACCGCGTGCGCCACATGCTGCACTCGCGGCGGTCGCGCTTCAAGCGCACTATGAAGGGCTTTGGCCAGTACGTGCGTCGGCCGCTCGGCTTCTTCGTCACTCTCTACGCGACGCTCATCACGCTGTTTGGTCTGGCCTGGGTGCTGTTCCTCATCGGCTGGATCTACGTGGGCGACAAGCAGGTGTACACGATCCACATCATCGACAGCGTGTTGGTGGCTCTCTTCGCCATCATGGGTGATGGTCTGGCACCATTTCGGGCCATTGACACGTATCACATGGCGTTTGTCGTACACTATTCGCGCAAGATTGCCAAAGCCAAGAAGCAGAAGCTCAAGGACAAAGAGGCCGGCGTCCTCGAGGGCGTGCCTGGCGACAGTGTCGAGCTTTCACATTGCGCATCCGGCGATCCACTGGCCGACAACGCCCAGGTCGGTGGCGGTCTCGAACCCGCGAGTGCCGGCGCATCGGTTGAGCGAATCACCACCAGCACCAGCAACCTCGCACCGGTGCCCACGCCCACGCCCACGCCCCAGCCCCAGCTCCAGCCCGAGCAGGCCATTGTGGGCCAGGACGGCGACGTGGACGTCGAGGCCGCCAAGCTCGACATCGAGTACGACGAGGACTCTCCGCTAACGTACAAGCAGTGGAAGAGGATGCGGCACCATCAGAAGAAGCTGGCCAAGTCACACAGTTTCTACAAGCCCGACGAGACTTTTACGCACCATGCCTTCCCCCTGGCCTACCTAATTGCCATTGTCATACTGCTCGACTGCCACTCGTGCTTGCAAATCTCCCTGGGTGCCACCACTTGGGGCATCGACTACCACCATCGGCCCTTTGCCATCACCACCGTCATCCTCTGTGTCAGCATAACGTGCAACATCACCGCTGGCCTGGTCATTACAATTGGCGACAAGAAGACGAGGAAGAAGGACGTGTGGAAGCTGCTGACTCGCCAGGAGCTGACGGGCGATGCCATCAAGCACCTCGAGACGAAGCGTGCCAAGGAGCAGAGCCGTAGCCACGACAGCAGCCAAAACAGTACCCAGGACGACATCATCCAGGCGGACACTGTTATTTTGAAAGAGGATAATTAATCTGTTTTTTTTTTCACCGACTTATTTTACGTTTTTATCTTTAATTTTATATCCTACCTTCCCTTTGATAAAACCTCGCTGTGTCTCTGGGTTACATACGCGATGGCATCAGGCGTACGAATCTATCGTTTCACCACCTACCTTGTTTGCCGCCCAACCTTGCGCCCCCTCCTGTGAAAGGATGCATATTCCTGCTCGGTCCAGACTTCGATACCATTTGCGTCGGACATGTCACAAAAAGAAAAAAGTAAGAAACAAAAAAAGGAAAAGGGAAAAAGAAGGAATAAAAGGTGCCGCCGACGCCGGAGAAGGGAGGGAGGGGTGCTTATTGTACGGGATGCCGGGAGTCTTGGCGTAGTCGTGCTCAGCTTCGGATAATGTCTTCCGAACTTCTAGACCTCGATCTGACTATATTTAGTCTAGTCGAAGGGTGTTTGTTTAATTAATGAGAAACGCTTGCCACGATCGTGAACATTTCCCGTCGTACCAATGCCACCCTGCATCGGCCTTTGTGACCTGTCCATTAACGGCTCGCATTCAATCTCCGCTTCATATCCGACCATGGCTTGCAGGAGTTTGTGCCTTATCTGCGTGAGGACACGGTTGTACGAAGGATGATGATGAGAAAAGAGAAAAGGGACAAAGGCCTAGATCGCGAAAGGCACGGATGCTGCGGCTTTGGCATCTCGCCCGAGTCCTTTTTTTTTTATTCCCACCTTCCACATACTCGTACGAAACGCTGTTTGTGGTTTTCGTGAGGTAACCGTTACACCGGTCTGACAGCTGTCATTTGTCACCTTTTTCATTTATTTATTGGTTCTTTTTTTTTTCTTTCTTTTCCTCTTTTGTCGTCGTTGGGCTTCGCTCCCTTATCTGTGCTGCCGTTGCTAATGCTTTGTCTGTGATGCTTTGGGCAGTAGATCGGTGATGAGGCAGAGCGGGGGCGGCAGCTGGCGGTGACGGGTCTGGACTCGGGATAAAGATCGATCGAGATGACTTTGTTTTAGTTGAAATAAGCGACGGGTTGCGCTGCTTGGAGTTGGTAGGTCGTCGTCCATCTTCCATCGTCCATCCTGTCTTCTCTCTCTCTCTTGATGTAATGCCTCTATGGGACATTGCTGATATCCGTCTTCTTGTGTGATAGTATTTACTCTCTCCTCGTCTTGAGATAGACACTTGTCGAGACAACATCATACACAGAAAGCCAGGAAAGGAGATACAATGGTCGCAGACCTCCCACTCACTACCATCCCTCCCTCGAGGCCACACACTCATACCGTCATATTTCTGCACAGCAACCAGATCTTTGCGCGCGATACTGTCAACCAATTGCACGAAGCAACTGATCTTTCATGGCGATCCATTATCCAGAACTTTGCATCTACCAGGTGGGTATTTCCTCAAGCACCCACTGACGAACCTCTTGTACCATCTCTACTGTCCATCTCCACGGGGATACAGCATGCGGTACACAGGGGCGAGCCAAGTTGGTGGAGAAGCAATACGGATGATGGCGACGAAGAAAGGCGATTGCGAAACATGCTGCCCGGGCTAAGAGAGAGGGTTCGCGAGCTACAAAAGGTCATACGGAACGAGGCCGCGATGCTGGGCGGCCGCTGGGACAGGATCATCCTAGGCGGGATCGGCCATGGTGCAGGCATGGCGATGATGACGCTGATGAGTCTGGAAGGCAATCTCTCAATGAACGTTGGTGGCAACAGACCTCAACAACTGGGCTGCTTTGTGGGGATATCAGGCGAGATGCCCATGTCCGACACAAGGCTCTCCTCGACACAACAGCTATTCAACCCAAACGGCATTCCACCAACAGAGAACCAGGTGCTCAAGAAGACGCCTGTTTTACTGCAGTGCTTTTGCAACGGTGGGGACGCGTACATGGAGAGGGGCAGGGCCTTTCGGGATTTGCTCCTTGAGAGTGACGTTGAGGATGTTTGCTGGAAGGAGTATGAGGATGGACATCCGTTTATGAATTCTCCGAGGGGGGTGGAGGATATGAAGGATTTCTTCAAGGATAGGATGAATATGAGGCCGAACTGGTGATGTGATGATGACGGGTATGTATAGGTTGGTGGTGATGTTTTCACGGTATCGTATTATGACGTTTGCACGGTGGCTAAGGGAATGGACGAGCTGGAGTTTTGTGTTTTCTTTGTGCGTCATTTCGAGCAATTGATCTTGAACTAAATAAACGTCGAAATCGATAGTTTACTGATGTTTTATTGTGTACTGCTAGTGTTAGGATATGGTATGATAATGCGCGAATACGACGTTTTAGAGGCTCATTCATGCTGAAAATGATGGCGAATTATTACATGGAAGCTTTGTAGGGCATCATCACGATGATATGGGTCATACATTGACGAATATGGCTCGTCTACACGAAACGTTCGGACCGACTGGGGCGCTACCGGTATTCTTAGTCTATGCTCATGCTTCATCTATACTTGTGATGCTCCTCTGTGACACCCACCAGAATTCACGTGGTCTCTGGATCCAGAGGCGAGTCAGATGAGGAAGAAATGCTACATTCACCATCCAAGATCTGACACACTGTTCCCAAACATGCCAGTTTCCCAGTTTGATAGACTCTTGCAGTGTGCCGCTCCCAATTCTTTGGGATCCCGATTTTCAAGCTGAACTGCCACATGTAAAATGACCCTCATTTCCATGCAAAACATCCATATGACCATGTAGCCCCTTGCTTCAAGGGCGGATCTATACCACATAAGCCGGGAGGTTACTCCGTAAGCCACGCGGGAGATCCCTGCTAGCTGGAGGGTTGTATAACGTCAGAATCGGGGTGCCGATTTTGGGGTGATAGAGTTGGTGAGAAGTATTCTTGACTTTGAGTGATAGTAGAATAAATGAATTTATTCTATATAGTATTGTGTGAATGCCCATATAATGATGTGGAATAGGTCGTGGTGGGAAGATTCTCGCGGCGGGTGTGCAGAGCAATGAGACTGTCGCGCCCCGGGAGTGATTCTATGTCAAGCAACGAATCTTCAAGACATTTCCAAACTGCGGAAACCCGCCAGAAAGGCAGATACCAGATTCTGTCAAGCTACTGACCTGGTGTTACTAAGAAGGCTACCACGATGACTCCCTATTTAGACCTTGACGTGGTGCCAGGTCCGTAATATTTGGTGCCTGGCGATTTGCATGACTGTGCCCACCCTTGTCAGGATGCACTGATGGCGTGCAGCTGGTGACCGGCGTGCAGACTCTTAATAATTGCCCACAATACTTGAATATCCTGGAACTTGAGGAAGAACGTCCACATGTGGCCTGTATGCCATGGTGCTGTATAAGTCAACACGAGCGTTGTCTCAGAGAGCTGAGAAGAAGGGGATTCTAGACCGTCCCGTCACCTGTCCAAGTGGTGAATCTCTCCCTCCTAGTAGGATTTTCGGCTTCACAGCTGACCCCAATTCCCCACTACGCTATTACGCTGTTGAAGACATACATCTTGGCGAGTTCGGCCTTCAAATCCTCACAGGGATTTTCCGTGTCGATCCTTGTGTAGCACCATATTCCGTGTCTTACATCTTGTGATTTTATGAACGAGAACGCCATCTACTTCCTCTTGTTCGTCTTCCCTTGGCTGCCTCCTCCCCTAAGTTTCTCTTCCTCGTCATTTGTCGCTCCTTGTCTTGATTGTCTTCAAGTGCACTATTCATCCGTTATCGCAAGGGCTCTGCTCTTCTTGTTTTTAGGCTAGTTACTGTCATTCATCCGTTCAAAAACAGTTTTTACTCTCAATCTATCACACCACGAGCTCCATGGATGGTCCTACACCCATCGTCATCGGCCTCGATGGCCTTATCAAGCACTCTCTCCCGCGCATCGCCAAAATTCGCAGCGCCGCCGCCGCCATGACAAACTTTGGACGGCTATCACCGTTTCTTAAGCGGCTTCAAGTCAGTGTCTTGCTTCTAGGTACCATCTACCGGAAGATTTCACAATACGACACGATACCGGGATCCGATATGTGTCTCGGCATCTGTCATGACAGCCTTGCGCAGACTCAAGGCATGATGGAAGCTGTGCTGCGAACAGACGACGATAATGCGTACAAAGTGGGTAGAGAGGTATTAATTGAAAGATTGCCTGACGAGATTGGCTCTTTTATTTCTTCTGTGGAGCTCTTGAGAAGCACATATCACGAGTGAGTGTTGGAGCTACCATTCTCATCAGCCGCTAATCATGCCCAGAGCACAATCCGAGTTTATACTCGAATCCATGAAAGAGCTTGCCAACCTAAGACGTGACTACTCCAAGCATCTGGAGGAGTGCACTCATAAAGCAAAGCAAGCGAATCCTAATATTACCAACACATCAAGCGAAGATGAACGGACATCGGGCTCGGATAATGGAACGAACCTTACCGAGCCTGAGGCAGCGTCACCACCTAATTCCTCACAGCAAAAGCCTCCGGAAAAAAAAGATGACGCCTGTATAGGACACGATTATTGAAGCCCAGTACTGGCTTAGTAGAGGAGGCCCGAGGAACTTTCTTGTGGCCGCACTATATGAGACTTGGCATGAAAGAGCGCATCAATGGTGGAAGAGGCGCAGGCCGCGAAACAGGCAAATATCGCTTCATGGACAGCAGCTGGCTTTGAAGTGGATGCAGCATATGCAGTGAATGCAAGGATAGTGCTTCGAGTAGACTTTAATTGCTAGTTAGCATATATTTGTGTCTACGCTTTTGAGATGGTAATAAGAAGAGCAGTATATGCGTGCACGCACCGTTGGAAACAAATCACTACAACAGTAATTGGATGACCATGCACCGTAAAGATTGCTATTGCATTCCTGCTACCCAATGATCAATTACATCAATCCAAATCCATGGGATATCCAGTCTCCCTCAAACTCATGCCTCGACTGGACAATCTCTACAACATGCCAAAATCCAACAACTGCAAACGGCATCTGCTGTTTATCTGGGATCGCAGGTACTCTGAATGTAAAACCTCCTAATGGTACCATCAAGTCAGTTTTTAGTGCACGAGAATAGTTATGAGAGTTGGCGAATTAAGTGTGAGCACTCTGTAACTTGCATTTAAATCAGTATTTCCTTTCCCTGAGGGAAAGGTAGTTGCTAGAAGGGAACAGCGTATATCTCCAAGATCTTCATTCATATGTGAACATAACGGCACAAGATGGATCAGTCAACGTACCCAGGTCTCTTAAAGTATACAAGGTACCAAAATAGTCACATGAAAACGTACCTAGGTAAGAAGAAAAGAAAAGACTCGAGCAGTGAAGAAAACGTGAGCAGTGAAGAAAACGTGAGCAGTGAAGAAAACGTGAGCAGTGAAGAAAATGTGAGCAGTGAAGAAATGTGAGCAGTGAATGAGCAGGAAAATATTTGGGGAGGGGGGTTAATGTTCAGATAATAAGTACAAAAGGCAGAAACTATGCACCGCTTTCTCATGACTACTTAATATCTCTTTGCTCATTTCTTTTCCCTCTTTCAAACATGCCACAGCACCCTGCCGCGCTCTCTTGTCTGTATGCACTCCGCAATATTTCGCGAATCGCGCAGCTTGATCAAACATACGTATCTACTCTTCCATCTGACAAAATGGCGAGAATCAAGCAAAAGGCGCAGAAACCTGTGACTGCAAAGCCAAAGATGGCTATCGCAGCAGAGGGAAAGGCACTTCGCGCGCCTCTTCAAAGGCCGAAGTTTCTTCAAAGAGTGAAGCATCGCTCTCGCCCCCTTCGGCGCTTCAAACTTAGTGGTAAGTAAAGATTTATTACAATCATCTCATACAATTCTAATTCGTTTAGACATGGCGCTCCAAAAGATGCGCAAGTATCGGACAAAGTCGCTGCTACTACCCGAGACGGCATTTATGCGCCTCGCCAGAGATATCGCCCACGAAGCTTTACGAGAGAGGCTTTCCTTTACAAATCGCGCACTCGAGGGCCTTCAGGCATCATGCGAACAATTCACCATCTCGTACTTTACTGGTAAATTCTCCGTATGGAGCTATCAATGAATGAAAAGCTAACATCTTCAGTCCTTAGACTTTGTGCGGATCATGCGATGCGAAAGACAATTCTGCTAGAAGACAGTAACCTCGTAAAGGGCCTGATGGGAGTCACGACTCCAACTCATCCCATTTGCGAGAAACCTGAGTAATCGAAGCTTCGTCATGATACTGTGCGATATTGATTTCTTCTTCTTCTGATCTTGAGAAGATCTAGCGGTATACTAGGCAACGGGCCCAGATGCCCAGGTCGTTCATTACAAATATTCACTACAACTTCTCTCGTATAGTGATCAGAATTTTACCTAGATAATTTGTACACCTGGAAGCATTGATTCTCCAATAGTGATTAAATACTTAATAGCCGACATGAAACCGAAATCGTTCTGTGCACTCACCTGTATAGGAAGCACACGAAGACATCTGCACCAGCATACATACATTTGCCGCCTCGGCAGCATACATAGGGAGGCATAAGCGAGTGTAAGTCAGGTATGAGTATTCGGTAGAGTGTCTGTATGGATTTGAATACTTTCGTTACGAGGCTCCAACAGCGTAACCTTGCGTAATGCTCACACAACCAACGCTTCTTCCACCGCATCATACGCCATCTTCAACAGCCTCACAACCTCCTCGAGTTCCTCTTCCGATATAGTAAGGGGCGGTGCTAGAATAACATGATCACCATTCACCCCATCTACAGTCCCCGATCCCGGATACACAGCCAGACCACGACTGTGAGCCGCTTCTTGCATCCTGCTAGCAAACTTGACCGCTGGCTTGAACGGTTGCTTAGATGCCCTGTCCTGCACAAACTCAATCCCCAAGAACAAACCCCTGCCACGGATTTCTCCCACATGCTTTGCACCTCCAAGAGTAGACCGCAGACGGGATTCCAGGAAGGCCCCCTTGGAAAGACATTTCGCCACCAAATCTTCACGCTTAATGACTTGCTGAACGGCCAAGCCCGCCGCGCAACACGCTGGATGAGCCTGATAGGTATGCCCATGAACGAAACTCGCAGTGCCTCTTTTCAAGACATTGACGACCTTTTCACTGATCAGGACGCCCGCAATAGGGGCATATCCTCCCCCCAGGCCCTTCCCCAGCGTAACGAGATCTGGCCTCACATCGCCTTCACGCTCAAAGGCGAAATACGTCCCTGTCCGGCCGCTGCCACACATGACCTCGTCCAAGACGAGCAAGATGCCATATCGATCGCATACTTTCCTAACTCCCTCGAAATATCCCTTTGGCGGAGTGATGCAGGCCGCAGTTGCTCCCCCCACAGTTTCCGCCACGAAGGCGACAACTGTTTCAGGGCCGAGTTGCTGAAACTCGTCGTCCAGTTCTTGAACCAACCGGGCAGCGTACTGCTCTTCTGTTTCGGAGTCTCGTTGACCGCGATATGCGTATGCCGGACTGACGAAGCTCACATTGTCGAGCGTCAAGGCACCGTCATACGGAATTTTCCTCGGAAGATTGCTGCTCACGCTCATGGCTCCAATGGTATTCCCATGATATGCCTGTCTCCTAGCAACAAAATTCCTTCTCTGGGGCTGACCATTTTCGAAATGATATTGTCGCGCAAGCTTCATGGCCGCATCCATTGCCTCACTGCCAGAGCAGACGAAGTAAGCCTTGGTTAAGCCAAATGGCCTGCTCAACTCAGTGAGGGCATCAGCTAACTCTTCAGCGCTAGATGTCGTATAAGCCATGGTGTGCACGTATTCGACATTCAAGTACTGCTGCATAATGGCATCTTGGACCTGTTTATTGCCATGGCCGATGACTGACACTGCAGCGCCGCAGCACCCATCGAGGATGCGAGAACCATCGGCCAGTGTCAGATAGATGCCTGACCCAGAAACAACCTTTTGAGGGCGTTCGATAAGGGAGCGGTGCAGGAGGCCGGGCTCTCGCTCCTCCGTCTGGGTGCTGATGGAAGACATTTTGGTCAGAACCGCGGTTGAAGTGATACTGTTTGAACGCTGTGCGTGTGATTTCCTTCTCTTAAACCAAAGGACATCTTTTACAATGGCAATCCTGTAGCCAAAAACGGGTTCAGTCCTAGTCTTTGGAGACTTGTGGATATCGCATACTCCGCACTCGGACCATATGCAGCCGACACTAGGATCTAAAGGCGGCAATCCCCCATGTTCATGTTCATCGTAGGGCGCGGATAGCGTCGTGCGTGGCTGAATAGTCAACATGAAGGGAAGCGATTGATTGGCACTGCTAGTTGAGTATATAAGCGCGGAAATCGAATTGGTCCGCCCAAAAAGCAAGAATATCATACTGTGGAAGCAAAAAGTATATCAACATCATAAGCTCATGCCCGTCTCACCTACCATATTTCCCACCACCATCCATCCTACTCATCCTGATTTTCTTGTTCCGTACTACCATCACTCAAATCATTCGTCCTCGGACTACCTAGACTCAATCTCGTAACATGGCTTCTCACGAAATGCGGATGCAGCCTCCGTTCCTCTTGAGCATCCTCGACGGATCCGTCTCCACAAACCTCGCGCAATAGAGCTTGAGCACTTTCCACACCTCATAGCCGTCCATAGTCAAGCTCACCAAGTCGTTCATATGCGCCGAGATGTTGAACTTGATCAACAGCCCCAGCATCTTGCCCTCACGCACCTGCTCCCTCGTCTTCTGGCTATTATGCCAGCAGCTCACATGCACCGCCTGCGGCATCTCTTCCAGCACCGCCGTGTCGAAGCCCGAGAGCTCGGCGACGGCCATCATGGCGCTGGACCATGGCGCCCAGTTTTCGGGCCCAATGAGCTTGAGGTCGTCAGGGAGGCGCGTGATGTCCAGGCTCTTGAGTGAGGGTGCTCGCTGCAGCTTGTCGGGGACCTGGAAATAGGTGATTTGGGCATAGCTGGTGTTATGCTGGAGTTTGATGGGGAGTTTGATGGGAGTCTTGACAGGAATCTTGGATCTGTTTCGATGTGAGTGTCTCTGGGTAGGTGTATTAGTGAGGAGAGGACATGAGCACTGTTGATTACCTTGGTGAGAGGGCCTTGATCGTTCTCTTTGGCGTTGGAGTCTCCATTGATGCAATTCAGAGCTTCTTTCAATGGACTCAGCTGAATGTCTCTCTAGGGTCCTTTCCACGAGAACCTACCTTCACTGCCCATCAGATTACACATATATCGAGATGCCGTCTCCACTAACATGCCGGCATTGGGCAGCTGGGCACCGACTCTCCGTGTGCCACGTCTCCGGAAACGTGTACAACAACCTCCATGTTGCAGGAAATTGCAATTGAAGCATCGCGTGAGGCAATGAGGCCATCCCATCGAATTTTCCGCCCCTGCTTCTTTTTTTCCCCATCTCCAACTTTGATTAGAAATGAAATACAGCATGTACAGCATGTCTAGCATGCGGCCTTTCGGCAGTCCGATCGGGTGTCGGAATAGCGACTTGCGGGGCCGGGGGGAAACATGAGGCAGCGGCAAAGGGAGCCGAAACGGCACAGTATCCGACTGGACGTCGAAGCTAGACCTGACAAAGGATTCATGCTAGATACCTAGCTTGCAACATTAGCCGAAATCAACGGTAGTCTTTGGTCGAAACCACCAAGACTATATAAGTCAGGTAAATGCCGAGATGGAAACCTTCATCTCCATCTCAGTCCTTCTCTATCTATCCACAGCTTCGCCATCACAGTGACAACAAAAAATGACTGCATACTCGCAAGACCAACTTACCCGTTACCTCGAGCACATCTCCTATCCTCGCTCCAAACATCCCAGAGATGAACTTCAACTCCTCACTGAGCTTCAAGCCCATCATCTTGCGCGGGTGCCGTTCGAGTCCATTGGCCTTCACTACTCTCCGCATCGCATCCTGTCGCTTGACCCAGATGACCTGTTCGAAAAGGTCGTGGAGAAGAGCAAAGGCGGCTACTGCCTTGAGATGAACACTTTCTTCTGCGAAATTCTCAGAGTCCTCGGATTCACTGTCCTGCCCATTGGCGCAAGAGTCAAGGTCGGCCCACGATACGGTGGCATGTAAGTCAAGCAATCTATCCCATCTGTCCTGTCTCTTCACTATGAATGTTTTGTATGTGTGGAATCCATCTAAACATAAAGAAATCCCCCAGGACTCACTGCAGCAATATCGTCATCATTGACCAGACGCGCTACCTCGTCGACGTCGCCTTCGGCAGTTACGGCATCTTCCATCCTGTTCCCTTAACCTCCGGCCTCGAATTCGACAACATCCTCCCCCGCAGAGGAAAGCTCGAGTTCCGGCCTCTCGCACAGTCCACTTCACCCTCTACCCAAGCCCTATGGGTGTATTCCTCTCAGGACGACCCTTCCGCCGAATGGGTTGAGCGATACTGCTTCACGGAGACGGAATACTTCCGCGAAGACTATGAAGTAAACAATTACTTCTGCAGCACGCATCGCACGTCGATTTTCGTCAATCAAGTTATTGTCTTGAGGGGCATCCTGAATGACAAGGGAGATGGGCTTAGTGGCGTGCTGACCATGTTCCAAGGGGAAGTCAGAAAGCGAGTTGAAGGCGTAGATGGGATGCAAGTGATGGAGACGATGAGCAATGAAGAGGAGAGAGTCAAGGCGCTGGAGAAGTGGTTTCAGATACCACTGACAAAGTCGGAGGCACGGGCCATTCTAAGACTGCCAAGCGAGCTGACACAGGTTCGCAAGAGTGCAGTATCATGAGACTCTATGATGATCTAAAAGCAATCTCATGTCATAGCATCATAGCATCATAGCATCATAGCATCATAGCATCATAGCATCATAGCATCATAGCCTTTGTATGTATATCTATAGAATCATGTTATACTCAACCCTATACCTCTGCTGCCTCCACAACCTTCCAAGCCTCATCCCCAACACTAAACTCATCGCCAACCTTGACTTCTACCGCCGCAAGCACCTCCTCACACGGCAGCTTCCTCTCCGTATCCCCCAACCTCACTATCCTCCTCCATGCCTTCCCATCATCTCGCCACTCCCACCTCTCCGCCACAAGATCCTCCTCGCCCGCCCCATCTCTCACAAACACCTGCGCCCACTCTCCAAGCCGCACAAACATGCCCTTCTTCCCCTTCTTCTCGTCCTCCATAATGAGCACCGCGCACAACGCCTTGTTCCCTCCCGTTGTCTTTGGCGGCGGATCGAACCACATCTCTTCATAGTCCGTATCCTTTCCGGTGGAAGGGTTCATCATCTGCCCTTTTTCAAGGGTACTCAATCCATCCGGCTGAGGATACATGTGGCCCTCGTCAGGAGGCGCATCCAGTGCCCGAGAATCAATCCAATGCCTCCAACGAGAAAGCGAGTGCCCCTCAGCGATGACGGTCGATGAAGACGTTCCAGCCATGGCCCAGTCCAGGCGACTCAAGGGTAGAATCTCTGCATCGGCAGTTAGATATTGTCCGCCTTTTTGTTTTGTAACTATAGAAGTAGTGGATGGGATATCACCTTCAGCGTCAGTCAGAGAATCACTACCAGCCGCCAACAATACCCGTATATCGACAAATCTCTTTTCGGGCGACGTCAAAACCAGCGTAGAGGTCGGCTCGCTCGCCTCGTCCGGCAGCCATCGAATAAACTTGCGAAAGGAGATGCTGGCCATGATGAAGTAAAGGATTCTTGTATATCTCCAGAGCGTGATTCTTCTTCAGAGCACAATTATAATGACAGTGAAACGATCCAAAGCGAGATGCGGAGACGCAGCCGCTTTAAAAAGCTGAGCCAGTTCCCCGATCTCACTGCGGGGTGACGATTTGTGTGGAGCAAGTGTCTCATAGCTTCTTGTAGTAGTTTTCAACTAGCAAAAGGCGTAGCGACCAGGTTGCAATTGGCCAGATGTGGGAATTTTGTGAGTACAATACACGCTTGTTGATGGAAATGCAAGTCGTCGAGTAATTGTCAAATATGGTGATTTCTTGCAGAATAAACCATCAACGGCTTCCGCTTCCTGATGCAGCGTCTACAACCACAGCACATCTTGCAGAGGGATCAAGGAGACTCATAAAACATGGCATGCCCGACCCAAAGGGATCATTTACGGGCGACTTGTTTGATTGATGCTTTATCTCATCACGGTAATTAAATATGCTCCTTAATTTGACCATCCACATCCGAGCACAGATAGTGGTGGGGTATCTTCTCTCCATCTCTTCAGGCTACTCATCCACTGGTACTGCCTCTCATTGAAAACACACACATAAACCTCCGTACATGGCACAAATCTTTCACATTAAACACGCATAAACTCCAATTAACCAGACGCAGGAGGTCTGGTGAAGTGGGAAAGCTGGGTGGTAACGACAAGACCAGCGACGGAGGCTGAGGTCAAGGTCGAGAAAACACCGGAAATGAGGGCAGAAAGGGCAAGTCGGGAGACGTCACCACCACGGGATGGGGCCAGCTGGCTCAGAATACCAATCTGAATACCCAGAGAGCCGATGTTGCCGAAGCCGCAGAGGGCGTAGGTGGCAATGAGCTGGGAGCGAGGAGACATGTCGAAGTAGTATTCGTCGTTGGCCATGGCGTTGAAGGCATTGTACTCGTTCTGGAGGCAACAATTGTCATTATCACATCACAATCAAGGGAGCAAGAGGAACAGGTTGGAAACGAAAAAACCCAGGGGGTGGTCAAGAAGTGCAAAGGGGGTGAAAAAGAGTGGAGGTGAAACTTACGGTGATGACCTTCTCGGCAATGAGCTTGGCGACCTTGAGGAGATCGCCGTCTCGAGGAACACCAAGCAAGAAAGCAACCGGGTAGAAGACGTAAGACAGAATGGTCTGGAGAGTCAAGGTGGGGCTGTTGATGTTGATGTAGTGACCCCACCAGGTAAGGAGGCCGTTGATGAGACCGACAGCAGCGAGAATGCAGAGCAGCGAGGCGATGATGGTACCACCAATCTTGATTCCGAGCCAAGCACCGTTGGCAAAGGCGTGCAGGGCATTTTCAGCCTTGTGCTCGTCGTCATCGGGAATGACGACGCGGCCAGCAGTAAGAGTCTCCTCAGTCTCGGGATAACGAAGCTTGGAGATGGCAAGGGAGGCGGGGATAGACATGATGCAAGACGAGACAAGAGCCTCGGCGTTAAGACCAAGACCAATGTAGCCAACCAGGACGGAGCCGGAAATGGTGGCGAAACCACAGGTCAAGACCTGGTGAAGCTCGGCGTTGGTCATGTGAGGGACGAAAGGACGGACCAGCATGGCAGACTCTCCCTGGCCGATGAAGGGGGTGGCGGCAGCGACGACGGCCTCGGCACCAGAGGCGTTGAGAGCCCAGAAGACAAAGGTGGCCACCTTCTTGATGAACCACTGGATGAAGCCAATGTAGTACAGGACCTGCACGAGGGAGATGAAGAAGATGATGGCGGGGATGACACCAAAGAAGAACCAGGGAAGCGCGGCCACGTCGGGGGTGGTCAAGAAGGCAACACCATCGTGGGCGAAGCCAAGCAAGTCGCCGGCACGATCAGCAATGAACTTGAAGATGTCGTAACCGACACCAGTTCGCAGGACAAAGAGACCAATGATGTACTGGCCCAGCATGCCACCAATGACGGTTCGCCAGTTGACATGCTTGCGGTTGTTGCTGGTGATCCAGAAGCCAAAGAGGATGACGAGCATACCGAACAAGCTGACAGCGCGGTTGGCGCGAGTGTTGTCGGCACTCTCCTCGGAGGCGAAGGAGCCGACAAGGACGGTAGCAAGGGCCACAGCGGCACCGGCAGGGGTGCGTAGCTTCTCCGGAATGCGGTCATAGATGACCAGCGCCGTGCGCTGCCACACCCACTTGATGGCGTTGGAGACGTAGCGCGAAGAGACGTGGAAGAAGAACAGACGGATGGTGATGGCCAGCCACAGCAGGAAGGGGATGACCCAGTTCTTGTCCTTGCGATGCAGGATCAGCGACGCAATCCACCAGCCGGTGAAGAGCAGGAAGATGAAGGTGTGGAGAAAGGCGCGGTAGTAGCGATAGGGAACGCCAAAGTACCAGTTGCGCTGCGAGCCCGTCTCGTCGGCGTCGATGCCAGTGCGCACAATGTCCGTGTGGCCGACCTTTTCGTGGTCGCTGTAGTCGGGCGGCGTGTGGATGTGCTCCTTGTCGTGGGTGTGGTCCTGGGTCGGGACCAGCGTGGCGTCCATGTTGGTGCCCTTGGTGTAGACGACATCGTCATGGCCGGCAGCGTCGACTCGGTCTGAGTGATGCTTGTGATGGTGCTGGTGCTGGTGGGCAGGCTCCAGGGCCGGATCCGGGTTGTGGTGGATGCCGTCGGTGGTATCGGTGGCATCGTGGTAGGGGGCCGGGTCGGCAGCGGGTTTTGACGAATCAGCCATTGCGGTTGTGTCGTCTGCTGTCTGTCGTCTTTGAGATTTCTCTTCTTCTTCCCCGGAACGTGATGTCTACTCTGCAGACCTGAGGTTCTCAGCCTTGGGTTGAGCAAGGCAAGCTGGTCAGGGTTGGTTGAAGCAACACAGGCCCTTGACCCAGAAAGTCAGTCAGAGAGAGAGATTGAGATTGAGGCGTCTTGGAAGAAGGAAGAGCAGGTTAGCAAGCAGCTGAACCTGGGAGGAAGCCCGGACGAATGACGGCGTGAATCCTGGGGAGAAGAGAGGAAGCATCACCGACTCGTGGGGTCGAGGCCCGAGTTTTTGTATTCGGCCAGCATCCCCATGGCGAGTCGCACGCGCTCATGCTACTTGCAGTAATGCAGTAATACCGTGCCCACACGAGCAGCGGCAACGCCGTTTCGCTCAAGATGGAACCAGCCTTTGCGAGCCTTGGGACCGGCATCTTCCTGTGAGAGGGAAGAGAAAAAAAACTTGTGGAGAAGCCAGGCCTTGGACTTATCCACGACATGGATCTTTTAGCGGCCTTGGGGGGCCTTGGGGGGTGTTCCAGGGGGTGCAGCAGCCCCTCCAGCGAGGGTCCAGCCCAAAGCAGTAGCGCTGCTCCGAAAAATAGGCGCTTGCAAAGTAGACTTGCGGCACGCCACTGCACAGGGCATGTACCCCACACGGCCTGTCGCTGTGCGCACTGTGCGCTACCTCGGCAGCATCTGGCAGATCATCTTCTGTGTGTGACTATGTACTAATGCAAATCCAAGCATATGGGACATGCATGTGTCGACAGGCTGCCAATTGGTACCGGACGTGTCATCGAGCTGTCCAGGCAGCATAAGAAATAGCTACGAAGCACTACGAAGCACTTTCCAAGCATCTCAGGATCCGCATTTCAGCAGCAATTCCCCCCCCGTGTCAGGCACAGGTACTCATCCACCACCGCAGCCAGATGCTATCAGCTTATCGATAGCCTTCGGGTACATACTTCCCCCGGCCACCATGCCTGTGCGCGCAAGTTCCCCCGCGCAATCGCCAACACACAGCCTGTCGAAACGCCTGTGCACGGTGCGCGAATCTATCAATCCTCACTGAGCACCACTGCCGGAACCTTTTTCAGAAGCCAAAGGTACTTCTGCTTCCAATCCGTCAAGGGTCACGCTTCTTGCTAGACCCGTCACCGAACCTTCGCACACTAACAATATTCGAGAAGAAAAAAAATGTTTAGGGGGAACAAAAGATCGATCGGTCAACCAAGCGCCACCAACCGCCAGCGAAAGCAGAAGAAAGACGTCAAATGCTGGCATTGACTTTCCACACGATGCAGAGTTCACCGCAACAAAGTTATTTGTCCGTTGAAGCCGAAGCCATCAAGCCCTCCGTAAGGAGTCTCTCCGTTCTATGCGAGGCGTTATCGAAGCATCGCGAGCCACGATCCAACGATGCCTGTGCATCACGGGGAGGCGAAGAAAAAAAAGATGTCTCTACTGTATCAGTGGCGCCCTCCGATAAGTCTCTGGCCAATTCGGAGTGGAGGATGGCTTCTCGTTAGGCCCATGTCTGGCTCCAGGCCCAGTCCAAATCTAGGCCCCATCTTTCTCCGCTCCCAGAAACGGTCCGCTAATCTGTCATGTCATGGCCTCAACTCAGTCGACAAATACGGTGTTGTACGATTAATGCACATGATATCGCCCTGTCAGCTTCTGCCCTCGACGAGATAAGCATTCGCGGGCAGCAGCCGAATGGGTAGCCGGGTGAGCGTGAGCGGGGAGAAGGGCTTGAAGGGCAATCAAGATCCTGGCCCTCGCGCTGGGATCGGTGGCGTCTTGGGACTCGTTGCCCTTTATGGAAGGTTCGCAGAACAGCCACTGTGAGCCTCCCGTCCAGCCAAAGAGGCCCTCTCTGTTGGTGGCGCGCTGCTATCCGCAATCTAAATGGCCAGAGACGAGAGGGGTGGTTAAGCTGACGAGCTGATAAGAGCAAGGCCGTGATGCAGTGCCAAGCAACCACCAAAGCGACTTTCTCACATGGATGGCCTGCTTAGCTCCAGGTCGCCAGGCTTCTGATAAGGCTCGGCTCGCGTAGCTGTGAAAGGAACCTTTGCCAGCATCGTATCTCTCCGTCTGCAGCTGTGCCTTAGCTTTACGACGCACGAGCTGAAAGGCATCCAACGATGATGTTGACCAGGAATTACGTACAAGAGGCGCGATAGTACACCCCGGACCAGTGCTATCTCCCAGCTGCTTTTTCCGGGGTCTCGCGTTGTCGTGTTGTTTCGTCTCGACTTCCGAGGCCCAGCTAATCAAAGGGATCCCTAGTCTAGCCCTTTCCTTTGGCTCAACATGTGGCCTGGAGCATCGCGAACGCCAAGTTTCTACATTCAATGGCCAAATGCGAGCAAGGGAAGCAGAGACGCTAGCCGGATTGACACACTACTGCCGTGGAATAAGCATGGCTTGCTTTAGCTCCCAACTGCTAAAATCGGCCAGCCCCGGCGAGTCGACAACTTTCGAGGGAGCTTTCGGAGCATAAAACAAAATCATTTTTTTGGGTTGGAGTGGCGTGCCCTAGTCTGTGGCAGCCAGAACCAACGACTTGCGTGGCGTGTCAATTCAGCCTTCCAATTGGTGTCTCCATCTTTCAGCGACGACTATGACTCGGGAGGCTTGAAGGGAAAGGGGACGTCTGTTGACCCTTTGAAAGGCTCTCTGATCTCTGGGGAATCGAGCGTCCGCATTAACTGGAGCAGTACGAGTACAGTACGACGCTGGCCCTCCCAGACAATGGCGGCCTGCATTTCGGTTTGGCAGCCGAGCAACTCTTGAAAAAGCATTACTGTTACGATATACCACCAATCCAGAGGCCGGCATTGGTATCCTCGTATGCACGCCCTCACGTTTGCCCTGCTTCGTAGCGGCAGCCCGCATTAATGTGGGGAGACGATGCTGGGATATTCACCCAGACACGCGACCAAGATTTCAAAACGGACCGGCTCTCTGCCAATCCCAGCAACCAGACGGACTTCTCCACACACACGAACTCATTGCAAACACAGCCAAGACAGCTTTCGCACAAGCAAACAAGGCCGACCTGCTGGAGGCTGGACTAAGCTGGTCGCAATGAGGCGTGGCGAGCGAGATGAATCTGCGCCTGGCCTGATCTGCACACCACTCCGGTCACCTCTAGTCACACAGTCACACACACAAAAAAAAAAAAAAAAGGAAAAAAATAGTAAGGGAATTTTGCATCTCACTGTGCGTATCCAACTAGGGCTTCACATGGAACATATCCTCCGCCAAGACGAAGCAGAGCAGAGATTTCTTTCATGTCATGGTACGAGATTGTGCTTCATGGCCCGCTTCAAGCCGCATCTGCCCTTGCAGCAAAATCTTGAGCCGCGGGCCAGTGTCTTTGTCTTCAAGCAAGCTCCTCCACTTGCGCCTTTCATTTCTTCAGTTTAATCCCACAATTTCATTGCCCTTCACCGTCAGCCCCAGATTTCTCCAGCTTGACTGTCAGGTGAACTACGGCAACGAGGCTCCACGCCCTACGCTTTTACCTCATGGCAAGCCACCCGGAGACTATTTTTGTGCGGAACGCTACTTGTACTCAGCACCACAAAATATTTGCCTTGAACCGTTTGCTTCCAAGATTTGAGCTCCCTCAATTCATCATTGTTGGGCCTGTTCTTGGTACGGTTCTCCTAGTACATGGAAGCTTAGTCCCGTCAAATCCACAGGAAATTCAAGCCGGATGGAGCCAAGTCAGCTCCACGTCCCAATACATTACGTGACCAATTTCAGCCGCGCTCGTGGAATTTGCTAATTATTACCTACGAACTCCATCGAAACTTCCCCAAGGTTGAGCATTCATGCTTCCCCAGGGGGAAGATGGCATGGAATTAAACATGCGCCATGACTAGAACAATGGGGAGGAATCAAAGGGAGGGGGTGTGGTTCAATCCGGCTTTGTGTTGCCCGTTTCGACCGAGGCGCAACACTCTCCAGACTCTAGCCTTGTGTCTTTCGGCCTCCTCCGTCCGGCCTCCTCCACCCCCGCAGGTATCGTCAGGCCCATCGGCGGCTCCCGATGTCACAGCTCTCTCCCCAGATACTTCAACCATTGTGTCGGATCGTCGAGAACGGGGAACTTGCGGAACTGGGGAAACATGGGGTACCAGCATGATGGATTGGATCGTTTTCACTAGCTGCATCATGTAGACCCCCCCCCTCCTTATCATCACCACTATCAACGTCCATCGGGCATCACTATCACCACCATGCATGCGGGCATACACAAAACATGCGCTTCAGGCGCTTGGCGACCAGACTTGGCCCAGCAATCGCAGATTCAATGCAGTGTCTCAATCCCTAAACCCCACCCCCCCTTGCAATAACGCCATTCAACTAGCCCAGATCGACGGGCTTCGTCCAACACCAACACCACCGCAAAAGCGCCCTACCGGGCGAGCCAAGGGCGTGCACTATCGTGGCCTGCTCTTCCTTCCCGCACACTATCAGGTTATCAGACTATCAGACGTTTCGGTCCCAGAAAAGGGCAATCCACCAAAAGCCACGAGCTGCGCAATCTGCCTTATCTCCCCCGTCGGTCCCGCCCGAAGACGAGCTGTCGTTGCCGGCCGGAGGTCCGAACGCGGCCATGCGTAGGCAACCGATCGCTTGCTAGATCATTCAGCCGTGGTGAATAGACGAGCTTGTACGGAGCACAATCGGATGCTTCGGCAGCTTAGCAAGATGAAGCTATTAGCAAGATGAAGCTATTAGCAATATGTGACGAATGCCCATCTTTGGACTCTCAGCCGTAGAAACTTGACAGCTCTCCTGAAGCTCCTGAGGCTCCAGCTTCAGCTCAGGGGCAAGGTAGCATTCACGCAAAGATTTCCCTTGGCAAAATCTCTCTCCTTTAGACCGTATTTCGTAAATCTCTCTTATCACAATGCGAGATATACGCTATCTTGAAATGGGGCACCAACATGTTTGATGTCAGCCTTGGGAGCACCAAACAGACCATCTCCCAATATGCCAAGCCAATACACCGTATCAGCATGAAAGTAGTAGAATACAGCCAACGTAGAGAGAGTTTCGGGGCAAATATGTCATCCAAGCTATATCAGTCCCTTGACAATCTAGATAGTCAAATTGCCTCAAACTTAAGTATGCACAATACTTAACACTTACCCGGCATTCACCTCCTGGCACTCATTATATCCAATATCAAGCAGTTTCATACGAGTCTATGCTCCTACCGCATAAAGGAATGCTAAATACAGTCAATAAAGTAATAATACGTGATATACCATGCCAGATCAAACGCCACAAGAGTCAAACTCTCAAGACTCAGAGATGAACAAATCGTTAAATATCCGTAACATGGAATATATTCGCACATCACATGCCACTTACATCAAGCTTAAACAAAACTCAAAGTCTCTTGCATCATTCAATGTTTCTTGGTCATAAATTCATTCATTCAAGCTATGCTTCTAATCCCAAATTTTCATCCTTCTCAATCTCCCATAACAATATCATGTAAGAATAATAATAACATGCACGAAATCAATCAATCAATCAATCAATCATCGCTCCCCTCCCCTGAATCTTCTGTTAAACTCCTCAACAGCCACGCCAAGCATTCTATACAGGAATCCCCTCTCGCTTCCACCTCCCACAGGGATAAACGGCCCATTGGCTCCATCCCTCAATGCCAGACTGATACCCGTCCGCTCCTTCGCAATCGTCTGGACATCCTTCAACGGCACGTCCCACTCACTAGTCAGTCGTCGTGATCGAATCAAGAGGATGCGCGCAAAGGTGACCATGACAACCATGTCTTCCTTGGGCAGCTCAAGGTGGCCAATGTACTGCTCGTCAAAGTATCGCCCATTGTCCACTTGCTTCAACCAGTACTGTCCGAGTGCCTCTCTGGGATTATAGGGCCGCACAATGCCATCATTCGGAACGAAGCGTGGGTATCGAGTGCGCTCCAGCTCAGCTCCGTCAAATACAGTCGTAGTATTGCGAATGCCTTCACTAACGTTGCTAGCCATGTCCAGAATACCGACTGCCGGTTTGGTTGCCAGTCCTAGAACACCCTTGCCGACACCCTTGAAGAAGCCCAAAGCACCTCCCTGCTCGGCACCTTCCAGAGGCTTAAGCGCCAGACCACCGACTCCAGACGCCACGCTCGTGAACAGACTGTTGGCTCCAGCCGCCACACCGTACAATGCGTGCTTTGGCCTGTTTCTTGCCCTGGTAATCCGTCGCCGATCTTGGAACTGCTTATCCATGGATGCTGCGGCAAGGCCCTTGCTTAGGCTGCCGGTGAACTTGGAGAAGCTGTCGGAGAATCCAAAAACGGTCTTCTTGGCGAATGACGCGGCACCCTTTGCGATACCCATGCCGAATTCTTCAGGCCGATCAGAAAGGATGAGACCCTGGTACGGCTCGTAAAAGATGTCGTTGACTCCGGACGAGATGTTGTTGAACAGGCCTACAGGATTGCCCAAGAAATCGGCAGAACCCAGAATCTTGTGAATCTGGTACATGACTTCTTGGCTGTAGTGATTGGTGATGTTTTGGATCAGGACCTGCGTTGACACCCGGACATTTTCTAGAATGAGTGCATTGAATCGCACCGGCGCGTCATTGATATTCCCAATGGCCATCGTCATCACGTTCAGGAAGAACATGAGCGGGTTATGGGTCGAGGTTTTATCCTCCACGTTGATGCGCTCTGTCCGCATGAAGCTGAGGTCCACTTGCATCGGTTGAATGTTGAGGACTTCAAAATAGATGTCTTGACCAGACTCCTGCTGAGTTGGCTCCGGAATATCCAGGTCTTCATCGCAAAGTTGGCCCTCTTGCTCCACCGAACTCCAGCTTGCGCCGGGAACATTCGAAAAGTCAAGAAGAGCAAATACGAAATCTTCGTCGAGATCAATCGTCATCTGCTGTAGAAGAATACTGGCATATTTGATGTACAGCACACCGTAAGAGTCATCCTTCACCCGACTGACCATGGCATGTAGAGACGGATGGGCCTCAATTTCTTGCGCCTTCTGCGGTACCACGCTCGGATATAGGACCATGGGAAACAGGCCACCATATAGTTGGTTGTCAATCTGCATCCACTTGATGGCCAGGGACACCGTTTGAACCACGGGAGAATCAAGGAAACGAAGTTGGACATCCCGGAATGTAACGTAGGCGAGCTCTTTCAGTTGAGCGTTGATGAAGGAAATGCCAACACCAGACAACTTGAGCTGGGCCACGAATGTCGCATCAGTATTTTGATCCTTGACCTCGAAAGCCTCCGGTCCGGTGTTTGTCCTAGACAGAGTTTTCTGCCTGTATAGACTCTGACTTGGACGGAAGTTGCTCAGAATGAGGGTCTGCGTGGGGCCGTCCGCAGCAACATTGATATCAATAATCTTTTGCGTGCCACTGGGGTTTGTAAACTTCATTGGAAACTGATTGCCAATCTCCGCGAGTTTGACGTGCCGCTCCTTGCCGGCCGTAGCAATAACCACCTCACGGAACTTAGCTGCTGGGAAATCCCATGCATACGGCATGATGCTTCTAGGCGGCAGGCGGTATCGGATAGGTTTCCAACCACTTCGGTCCTCTACATCGTCTTCTTCGACATTGGGGTTTGCCTGGTAGAATGTGAACTCGGTGTCACTCTCGTTTCGCATCGAAAAGGGCCAGTTCTTGGTTTCGACGCTGAAGTGCAAGAAGATGGTGGAATCCTCTACAAGAATCTCCACCCTGATAAGGCGTTGACGCTGGCCTGCCTTGGCAATTTTGACGTGAGTAGTTCCGATATCTGCAATGTTAAAGGGCGAGGTCCACTGGTTATTCATCCCGGGGAAGCAAAGGCACAGTTGCTTGACTGTAGAGTTTTGCATAAAATGAAGTGGTTGCAGCGCTCCAGGGCCCAACGTCATGTAGCCTGACGAGCTTGATTCCCGAATCAGAATCTCCTCATCCAACTTATTCTTGAGAACGAAGCGCGGGGCAAGCGTCACGACTTTTGTCATTTTGTATTTTCCTTCTCCAGATTGGATGGTAATACCCAGGTGGATTTCCTTGTTTCTGTTGGATCCGGAGTTGAGTATTACCTCAGATGTGCTGCCAATCGCATCAAAACTCTGGGGCTTGCTCCATTCGGAGTCTGCTACCTTGAGCAAAGCTCGGTTGCGAGTGTCATCGTTTCCAAACGAGAACATGAATGGCAATGCCTTAGGTCGGCTTTGATCAGAGGTGTCTATGAGAGGGAACTGGCCAGCCGCCGACTTCGCCTGCTGCAAGAAGCTCTTGGCCCTGACCGTGAGATCCAACCCCGTCTTATTGAGGATGACATACGGGCTGTACACTGTGACTGTGACCTTGAAGGCGCCGCCGCTGTTGGGAATCCTGTGGTAGTGAAGACTCAGATTGAGAGAAAGGCCTTGGTCATCCTTGACTACGATGCGAGACTCCTTGCGGAAATCTTCGTTTGCACCAGAATTGATGATGGCAAAGTCGCTAGGTTTGAAGACAGTATCCTGCATGTCGACATTGAGCAAGAGTAGATGAGAAAGCTCAACGACATGGACAGGGCTGACACCGCCCTTACGAAGGAAATTCGACCAGTCCCTCTTGGTGTTCTTGTCGTAAATCCTATACTTGAAATCATACGGAAGGAGATTCTCAAGGGTGACCGGCGCAGACAGTTTGATCTTCATGTAAGGGTAGGATCTATAAAGAAGCGAAACCTAGTCAGCGCCGAACTGCATGGTATTCGTATATGAGAGGGGGCTTAGGAAAACACGCGCTTACCTGGTGATAGGGCTGGAGTTATCAAATGAGGCATGCGCCTGGAAGTAAAAGGGGTCACCGCTGTCTCCACTGCAAACAATCTGCCTTGTCGGACGCTTCAACAAATCTTTCCACCAAAGCTGTTCTGCACTCCATTGATAGCCAAACCCGCTATCTGGCCTTACGAGAACCCTCTTCTCATACACAGCCCCGACAGGTGCAGGTCGAGAGTCACCTGGGGCAATCTTTTCAATCTTGAGCAAGTGGCCCTCCTGGGCATCATAGATACCAAGTTCCACGGGAATCTGTGTGGCGTTCTCAACGACGAGCGGAGACCGAAGGGTGACATATTTGACATTGTCAGCTCCTAAATTCACTTCCACGCAGAGTTTGTGCAAGATATTGTCAGTTTTAGGGCGAAGGCTGTACAAAAACTCGCCCTCACGATTCAACCGAACATTCTTAATGAGATCGAACCCGCTCGCCTCGAGCTGAATGCCTACGTCGTTTGGCTGAGAGTCGGCAAGGATAGTCTCACGCATCTTTTCCCACTGTTCAAAGCTCCATGGGGCTTCTTGTCCGTCTTCAAGATGCAGCGTGATTGGCTCGGAGCTTGTAGGGCTCTTGGAATGAATAATGGCATTGAAGCCCGTGTAGTTTCTGATTCGATACGGGGCTTCAACGCCTCGAGGCTTATCAAGAACATTCTCAGCAGCTGTCAAGAAGTCAAAAGACTTCGAGGCCAATGCGATTGTTGCCGTTGTGATTGTAATATCGAATGTCTTTTTCGATACCAAATCGACAGAGAGGAGACCAGTGGTCGGATCCTTGGCCACTCCAAGACCAACTTGCCATGGCTCCAAAAGGGGCTCCCAGCTCGACTTTGAGAAATTGTACACGTTGGAGTACATATCTACAGCCGCCTCAGCCTTCAAATTTGACGACCAATTTTCGGCGATGGCGGTGAAGTTCTGAATTCCAATATCAAGGATCGGAAGTTCGTGCAGGTCGCCGATCAGTACGATTCGGACACCATCTACGGTGGCAGACATGTTTTCATTCTTTGGTGGAGTGGAGTATCTCTGAGCAGAAGTGATTGCCCTTGACGTTGCTGAATTAGTTGTTCTTGCCCCATGACTACTCTTGGCCGCCGTCGATGCGCCGCCACGCCCACTAGACGCCCTGTGCCTTGTCTTTGATCTCAACTGCTTCGCCTTTTGATCAGCGGCCGACTCTTTCGGTTCCTTGGAATCAGTTCCTGATAATTCTCCCGCCCTTCCGATAATCTGGAGAGCAAGTAAAATGTCTCTTAGAGAGAGCCTCAGGATGAGTGGCTCAATCTCAATATTGATGTCCGTGGAGTTTGGCTGCGGAGTATTCATACTCATCTGTATCGAGAAATCGTCAATGATTCTCAAGCGAGATGTCTCAAACTTATCCATCCGGCACAAAAACATGCCAATCTGTGAAATTTGAAACGTGAGAGCATGTTGCTGTGACAGAAGAACCTGGCGAATTCCGAGGACAATTGCTTCTGAGCTTGAGCTCAGCGGATTGGCGATCAAGATGACTTGAGCATCCACAAGGTTTACCCGGAAAGAGAGGTTCATCGAAGTCTGGGCATTCGGCTGAGTCTCTAACGAGGCTTCTGCCGCAGAGATACTGGGACGAGGAGAACTTATAGATGGTCGCTGTGAATACGAAACTTGTGTCGATTCTGTGTCCGATTCCTCAGGAGAACTCTGAATGCTTTCAGTATCCAGTGGGCTTGCTTCCTCCATCGTCAACCCTTCAGTGGCAAACTTCTGGATGGCGAAGAGATAGTCGAGAGCAAAGATGACGCGAGGACTGTCAATGGTGGCCATTGCAATGACGTTGCGTTCCTTTCCACCAGACATTGTCACACTGGCCATCAATTGCTGCGCGTCTTTGTTAGAAGAAGTCATGATTCGGCGGTACTTGTTCGTATCCCTAGGACGACTGTCGTAAATTGTGAATGAGCGAACCAGGACCTCGGCCTCTATCGAACCGTCAGACATCATTCTCGTCTTGACACGTGTGTCGTCCAGGGAGAAGCGAGAGAGACTGCAAGCGGCTACATCATTGACCGGGCCATCTTCTGGGGCCATGATGACCTCAAGACCTACGGTATTCACACTGAATACGAAATCTAGCTTGGTCCACGCGTTAGACAGCGATCCCAGCTCAGGACCAAGGCTAATCAACGGTTGGTCATTGCCGTTAGACTGGTCATCAGAAGGGGATCCTTTAGCGCGCTCCAAAGTTTGGTCATCAACAAGCCGTTCAGCCTCTGCGTTAGCATCGCCATCTCCAGTAAAGGCAGCGGGGACTGATCTCGAAATCTCCATCAAGAATTTCAGTTGGTGTTGAGTCAACTGAAGCTTGATGTCGGACACGGTTCCTTCTATCTCAGTCTCAGGTCGCTTCGCGCCCTCAACGTGCTCAGCATGAGTAATGTGGAATCCAAGGTCGACGTGGTCAATCATCTCCAACTCCTCTGACTTGTTGTCGGCGTAATGGAAATCTGAAGTGAGACGAATATTTCTGATTCCCGCAGAGATCTTCATCGCAACGATCGCACTGTTGCTATCATCGAGAGGAACAAATTTATTTTGTGCGTAGATTTCTCCAAGGTAAGCCGTGATGAGATCGCGCTGGGGTCGGCCGGGGATAACAGCCCGCGGAAAGACGACAATGGGCGTATTCACCACAACATCAAACTTAATTCTGCTAGGGCTCTGCTGAATCTGGCTGGCTCTGTTCAAAGCCACCTGGCGTGCGGCGTTGTATAGCGCCTGCATCTTTCCAAACTTGACCAAGAAATCGATGATTTTGCGGAACGGTTCCTCCACAAAATTGACCTTGACAGATCCTGCACGGAGGAATATTGAACTATCGTATCCCGGGTACGCTTGGGGATTTTCAGGGTCAAAGGTCTCGTAGCGGAAATCGGCAAGGTCGTCTCCCTGGATTGTTACGAGCTTCCGGAGATGAGAATCCTCGGAAACGCCCAAGTTGACATCATCAATTAGAGAGAGGTCGCCGAGCTTGGCCGAGATTCGCATCGTCTGACCCCGAAGGAATATGCCGGCATCACCCTGATTAAAAGACAGAGTTGCTAGTTTGATGCCGTCATTGTTCAGAATAAGTCGAATACTCTTCAATTCAACCTTGACGCGGATTGAGCTAGTGGCATTGGTATTCTGCTTTGGCTCTTGTACAACCACACTTTCAACTGCCACATCATCCTCAGCGGTGCTGTCAATCTGAGAGGGGACAGCTTGGGCTATCTGGCCGTCGGTATTACTACTCGTGAATGTAACTAGGATGAAGTCTAGTAAGGTGAGAAGAGTCTTCCGAGTAACAACCAGGTTGATGGTAGAGATGGTAGTGGTAATGTTGGTTTCGACACCTTCGTACACGGGCATGAACTCGGGTGACTGGCGATTAACCCTGACGAACTTGACGTGAACAAGGCTTCGTCCAGCTTGGAGGTCCTCTCGGTCACCAGAAGACACAATTGACTTGAATTCGGCAGGCGGATTGTCCACAAAGTCATCCATAGTTACTGATCCAAGGGAAACTTCAGCCGCCATGTCGTAGGGCCGGGTATAGAAGGATAGATCAAAGCGCTCCGCTACTAGCTCCACCAGGAGAACGTCTTGCTTCGCACGGCTAGGATCGCTTCGATAAAGCGAGCCCTTCAGCGTGTCTACTTTGAAGTTGAATTCGAAGCTCCGCTGCTGCATCCTAAATTGCTCGCCATGAGTTCCGTCCTCAGCATCCTCGAAGTCATCGTCGTCATCATCAATGTCCTCCAAAATGACAGCGGTAGAAGACTGGAGAAATGGGAATGCGGACTGTCGACGGTCGCGCATCGACCTGAGCGCGGATCGGCTAGAAGCATTGCTGGCTAATCGTGGGCGGGAAGATAGACGTGAGGACGGCCTTTCTTGAGTAGTAGCAGCAGGCAGCGCCGCCCTTTGCTCTGTCTCGTTGCTGAATCTGGGTATGGCAACATCGATAATCTGCATCAAGTTCTTGTACTTGGCATCGGATACAGTGGCATGCAACATGGGCAAATGACCAGAGACCTTTAGCTTTGTTAGATTGGGTGCTTTGGGCAGGATTGACAGTTCCACCACGAAATCGACATTGATCTCCTCTACTACATGTAGCTGCGAGCTGCGATCGCCAGGTTTGCTGGTGAGTTGAGCCTTGGTTTCTTCGATGGAAGGCCCAATGAGGACTTGAGTCGAGGTAAACTTGACGATGAACCTGTCGTACATGGCCGATTCAAGACGTTTGAAGTCTTCTTCATTGTAAGACTGGCGCTGCTTAGACTGGATCTCCGCCAAGGTGTCTTGATCGACCAACTGGCTGTTCACATGCATATGACCTGCGTCCACTACGAGACAAGTGGAATTCTCAGTGGTGATGCTGACAGGAATGATAATCAGCGGTGCTTGCAGATCGAGTTCGGCATTGATCGTTTTGTGTTCTTCTAGCGCGAACTCCAAGCCTACTCGTGTCTGTTCTCGGATGCCTTCCACGGTAGCCCCAGCAGTCTCCATCAGAGCCGCTATAGATTCCATATGCCTCTCAGGAGGTCGGAAAAAGTCGACGATACCCACAACAAAGTTGGGGTTCCAAACAACTTCGAGAGGTTTCAGCTTGCCTACGACGGCAATATCGCCTTCTCGCTTAAGAGGGTTCTGCTCAATCTCAAACTCGAAGAACGGCTCCTCGTCGGTTGTTTCCAGCTCCTCGAGGGAAATTGGCTTCCGCTTCTGGGCATCCTTTACCCGAACAATCTCTGGATAAAGACTGTCGGGAGTTGTGCCATCGTTGACCCGCAGGCCGCCAAGACTGACACTAGCCAGTACAGAGTCTTTTCTCTGTAGGGCCTTGGCTTTGAACAGGTCAAAGTGTAAGCTGAGGAGATCCATGGTATTGTGATGGGGGCTCTTTTTGAGCGTGAAGCTGCCGGTGCTGAGGGACGCTTCGATGCACAAGTTGACGGCTTCACGAGGAACATCGACAGATTCAGCGAGCGCAGCCTTTTCGTCCCAGTCGATCATGTCATAGAGCTCCTTCCGCTGCTCTTCTGTCATTTGTGTATTCTCTTCATTCTGTTGAATGGTGCCCGTTGGCTTGGAGCCCCACATCCAAGCAACCCAGCCCTGCTGCTGAGGCTGCTGAGGCTGCTTACTTAGGGCGGCGGCATTTTCTTTCTTCAGTTGATTTCGAGCCAGCGATCGCCAGAACCTAAGGTCCTCATAGCTAAGCTTTTTCTCAAGCTTATCAAGCTCGCTAGACTCATCGGGTTCGAGCTGTAGCGCCTGCTTCTTCTTCTTGAAGAGGTCGATATACCGCCTGCGGTCATCACGACGCTCTTTGAAATAGCCCCACGACCACTTGCGATTCCTCTCATGGATCTTGCCCAAGATGGCATTCCCAGCAAACAACAACCAGGCTCGCGGATCTTCTTTAGGTGTAACGCCCTTGGGTTTGAGCGCTTTGTATTCTTGGTGGCGTATGAAGTAGTGAAAGAGATCTACCATCATCAAGGCATCACGATACTGGTCGTCATCTAGGACCACACCAATCTCGTCAAACAAGAGCGTGGCCTTGAACTTGGGCGTCTCAATTTTGCCAGACTTGTCCAGCTCGATCTTTGCTTGTCCGCTAACGGGCTTCAAGATGAATTGGTTGCTCGAGTCGGGGTCATGAATCTTTGCAAGCATGCTCTTAAACTTGTCGACCATCTCACTATGAGGCATCGCTTGTTGGTCGGGGCTCATAGTTTGGCGCCCGCTGCTGAAAAGGTCTGAATCCGTGTTCCAGTACACCGCTAGGGAACCCAGTGTAGCGAGCTTGTGAGTCACCGTAGACTCCTGCTGGATGAAGGATGGCACCCACTGGCCATCGGCACTGACGGCGCTGAATTCCTCCAGCGTGAGGCCAAGGGCGAAGGGATGGCCTGGGGCTGAGATGGAGTCTTCGTAGCGAATGTGGATGTTCTTGACCGTGATCTGCAGATTGTCGGTGATCTTGGTCGCCAGGCTCTGGGCGAAGCTCTGGTTCTTCTTCTGCTCCTCCTGGCTCATGCCGGCCTTGTTCCGCTCCTTGAGCAGCTCGGCGCTCTCCAGCTTCTCCATCTTCAGCCTGTGTTTCCTTCGCTGCTCCTCGTCTTCGTCATATTCGGCCTCTTCCTTAGGACTGGCGAGGAGGTAAACATCTTCGATAAAGACCTTGACGGGAGCGCCGCGGATGTTGGACCAGGGAATGTAGAGGGTAAGCTCGCCAAGGTGGCCCTCGATGACGTTGATGGGCAGCTTGAGCTGGTCGAGAGCTTCTCGGCGAAGCTGCAGGTTTCGGAGCTTGACGTCGCCGGACCAGATGCCAACCTTGAGCTGCGTAGGGTCGAAGTTCTTGACGTACATGCCCAGGAAGCGATTGAGCAAGCCGGCGACGAGTCCTTCCAACATATTGGCGACGGTGGTGCCGTAACCCAGGCCGGGACAGCGGAGGTTGGAGAGAGTTGTCGGTCGAGGGTCTATAGGAGGGACATTGGGGGATCTGGGCTGTGCACGACGAGTGCTCGCCGGTCGAGGTTCGCGATCAGCTCTCTTCCAGCGGTTGTCAAGCTACGTCTTCGAAAGGACGAGACTAGAGAGAGCAATTAGAAGAAGAAAAGACGAGATTGCAAGATGCAAAAATGAGGTTCGAAGTGGGGAGATTGGGCGCGGCTGGGAATTTCATGTAGTGCGGAGTGCGTCGATGCGTCGCGGCCTGACTGGGGAGGGGCAAGACAATGCAAAGAAGGAGTCTCCAGAGGGCTGCCGAGGCCTGCGATGGCGATTTGGGCAGAGGAGTAGGTGCTGCAGCGCCCTGGTTGTGGCTCTAGGATCAATGCCGTGGCTGCGAGTGGTGATGAAAGGATCTCGGGTCAGGCCAGACAGACAGACAGACGGAGGTAAACACCAACCTAGTGGATGGCCCAAGGCAGGATTTATCACGACAAAGGAGCTGTAGTGCAGCTTTAGCAGGCCTCAGGTCACTACCGCACTGCAAGGTACCTACAAACAGGCGCTGCTGAACGCTGAACGCTGAACCCCCTGCAAGCCATAGCAGCCCCCTCTACGGAGCTTTTCAGTGCCTGGCCAGGTTCGATGACGGCGGGGGATGACGTAAGGACTGCCCCACCATCGCGACTCAGGCCAATTGCTGTCAATTCGGTTCATCTTTTGCCGGTGGACTCGTCGAGGACAGGATGGCAAAGTGTACACATTAGTGCTGATACGGAGGTGACGTTTGCTGGTACTCGGCGGCGAGAATGTGCAGCAGCTGGTACCTGGTGATGTGCAGAAGACAAAGTACCTACATACATGTATACGTAGAGCACAGGGCTTTGTTTCTGCTTTTGTTTTAGTGGCGTATTTCCTGTTTTGGCCAAGAAACGGAGTCCGGGGCAAGCCTCCAGGAAGTTACATGACAAGCATGTATCGTGTGAGCAGAGCTGCATCACGACATGTAATACCTGCATATACAGATTCATCAATGGCAGACAAAATAGAAGGAACAGCATTCTTAGATCAATTAAATATCCATAATAGCAGTGACTGGAGTGGAATCACTTAAACTTTTCTTCCTTTCCCTCTTATCACTCGAGATATCCAGCAAAACCACGGACTTGGCAGCAAAACAAAGCACAAGTACCTATCAAGCATCACCACAAACGACACCGCCACAAACGGTCTGCCCATCTTTTGCGTCCCGCAGTCCCATTTCACAAAAACTACTAACAATCTCCAAAGCTAAATCATGGCCATTCACCATCCAAAACTTCGCAGCCTCTCCCGTTTCCCGTGTCATACCCCAATGCGCGTGGCCATTACGTCACGACCCCTTCATCTCACTCACACCTCCAATGTCATCATAGCATCACTGCTTTCTGCCTTCCGCTGATCGGATCCATTATTGGGGTCGATACTTCATTTTGCTATCGTGATTCCGATGCAGGTCGCAATGCTAAATGAACTCTTACAATATGATCCAAAAAGCTGTCCCAAGCTCACGCGCCATAGAAAACTTCTGCATGATTGCTACACATACCTACATGTACTAAGCTCAACTCTTATCGACACCTCTCTCACTGGAATGTAGTACATCTTCTCCAACTCATATCGTTATCTCTTCTTTCCATAGTTTTATTGAAGTTTCCAAGCAATCTTCATCATGTTCAGATCCTCGCCGTTCCTTCGATCCCCAGGGAGGACATTCGCCGTCAGCCTCGCAGGTTCCAGATCAACATTGGTGACACGGCAGCCATTCTACCGACTAGATGCGAAAAGAAGAGCAATTCGTCACGCCAGCTCTTCCAGTCAACCTCCAAAACCACCACCGATCGATAAAGAGCGCGACAAGATTGCCCACCAGAAGCTCGAGGCACACCCCGAAGCCGTTTCTACTACCAGCAGCGTTCGAACCGTTTTGGGTGAAGAGGCCTCAGGAGAGACTCCAGGCGTACACTCGAGTCTCAAGCATGATATTGTACGATTTTAAATCCAATGCATGTTTTAAGGGAACTAATAAACTAAGCCATCGTAGGATGCTCTCAAGGAGACATTTCGCCTAGACACAGTCCCTCGACAATCTCATATCCTCAGTCTAGCAGGCACGCTCCCTTATCTTGCTACCTCTGTATCAACCGTTTTCTTGGCCTTGAACCTCAACACCGATGTTCCCTCTGGCAATCGATTCTACAATATGATCTTTTTGGAACACGAAACGGCGCAGTACCTCCTGGACCTCATCGAGCCGCTGCAGCTCGGTTATGGCGCCGTCATAATCTCATTCCTCGGTGCCATTCATTGGGTACGAATGTCTTGCGCCGCTTTCAATTTTTTGACAATAAGACAGAGCTTCTAACCACCAACCAGGGCCTCGAATATGCAGAGACGAAGCCAGAGTACAACCGCACCCGATTCCGCTACGGAACCGGCCTCGCCGCCTCCATCGTCGCCTGGCCCACGCTCCTGATGCCTCTCGAGTACGCACTCACCACGCAATTCGGCGCCTTTGTCGCCCTCTACTACGCCGACTCCCGCGCCACGCGAAACGGCTGGGCGCCGCCGTGGTACGCCAAGTACCGCTTCCTCCTCACGGCCATGGTCGGGCTCGCCATCTTCATTTCTCTCGTCGGCCGCGCCGAGATCTCTCAGCGCACTACGCATAACAAGCAGAGTTTGCGGGCCAGGATATCTCAGCCGGGCAGTGCAGATACACACACGGATTGGACAAAGTTGGAGAAAGAGGAGAAAGACAGGATCAGAAAGGAGAAGGCTAAGAAGGCTAGAGAAGAGGGACAGGCAGAGAAGAAGAAGCTTCAAGATGAGAAGAAGGGCAAGGGTAAGAAGAAGGATGAGGAGCAAGACAGCAACGATGAGGACTCGGCAAAGGAAAAGGGGGACAAAGAGGATGACTCCCAGAAGAGCCAAAAAGCAAAGTCAAAAGACAGCGACAAGTCTATAGACGGCAAATCTAATGAAAGCCAAGAGGAGACTGATCAGGACAGTGAATCAGACAACGATGGCAACGATGGCAACGATGGCAACGATGGCAACGATAGCAAGGAGAAAAAATAGCGCTGGAAGAACAGCCGTCACACAATCATTTGTTCATATCCCATTAGCCTTGTTATAAGCAATCGGTAGTTAGCTGAATTTTCCTTCATCGTAAAACGAACAAGCATCGGTTGCTCAACCGCGGGTCAGTGAACAAGCAAATTCACCGCATTCACACGCTCACATGCTGGCGCAGAAAGAAAGAGGTGCTTGTAAATTAAAATAAAATAACCACAACTGGATAAGTATAAGTCTGGTATAGTAAAGGCTAGAGTACTGCCCAGACAAGGCCATCCATTCATCCATAGCTTTCCACCTTCAACCTTATAAGAGTCCCACTCTTATACCCCGAGTTCCCAAGGCAGTATGTCTGCATTATACTTCTATCAACCAAATTTGTTTTCGTAAAAGGGGAGGGTATGGGTTCCAACGCCTAAAAATGCACACAAGATGATCCCGTCAGGTCCAGCAATGTAGCGAGGCCTGGAGGATATTTGTTTTTTCGTTTCACCGATATCACAGGCTATCATTAGACGTACAGAGAAGCTCAGACATGATGCGTTGTTAATCGTATTCGTCAATCGTTACTCTTTTCCCCTAAGGTCTGGCAAATCCTTGCTTGGCCTATACATTGTTAGAAACTTGGGGCATCAGTAGGATTTACGGTGTATTTTCCATACCTTCATCTGTTCAATTCTGGCCTTCAACTGACTTGTCACCTCAGCTGCTCGTCTCCAGCTCTCGGCTCCGTTGGAGCCAGACTGTGGCAACGACGATACGGGGCGCTCTCTGGCCGATGTCAACGTTGAATCGCTGCCATCGTCGTGCTGAGCGAGGTTCCGGAATCCTCGAGCGGGAGATCCACGCCCAGATGATCCGGTACTGCCTGCATAGCGCAGCTCCGGGCTAAACTTGTTTCGTGGATAAGGAGCATCGCCATTTTCCTTCTCTTCAGACATGGTGCTGGCGAAGCTCATCCTATTGCGCGCACTCGGAGCAGCCATAGAATCTCGATAAATCCCAGCGTCGTCGAGTGTTGGTGATGTAATACCTATTATGTTCGTCAGTCACACATGAAGCACAAAGAGTGGTGAAGAATTTGGACTCTCAACTTACCAGCCGATGCATTTAGGTGCTCAGCACGGCTAAGCGCCTTCTTGAGGCGCTCCAGCTCACGCCGTAGTCTATCGTTGATTTGCTCTGCCGCCTCCGCATCGCTCCGAGCACGGACGAGTTGGGTCTCCTTGGCCTTGATGCTCAGGACATCTCGGGTGTGGTCCTCAATGAGGCTAGCATTCTGGTTCTTTAGCTCTTGAATTTCCGACGTAAACTTGCTGCGTTCCTGTCGCAAATCATCGATATGTCGGATCAAACGATCGTTAGCGGTGCGTAATTCTTCTAATTCGGCCCTCTCAATAGCAGTGAGGCCACTTGAAGGAGGCGGGGATTCCGAAGGCATCCGAGCGGGAGCCGCCGCAGGCTTGGCCAAGGAGCGGCCTGTCAGTCCTCGGGAGGCTGCCGCCTTTGGCTGTGCTGGTGGTGTTGGTGGTAGAGGGTCCTCTTCCGGCATAATCGGACCCGATTGGCGAGGTGATGAGGCCCCAGAAGAAGCCCCAACCGCTCGCTTTTGGGGAGCTTTGAGTCCGCCTGTCTTGGGAAGTCCTAACTTGCTTCCTGCAGGCTTTGCCTCGGCTGGAGGTGCAGCGGCAGCAGCCGGTTTCTTGACGCCCGCCGCAGGCTTCTTGCCTCCGACGACCTTCTTCGGCGCCGCGGCTGGCGCTGGCTTGGGTACGGGCTTGGGCTTCTCCTTCGCCTTGACTTCGGCTGCTTCAAAGAACTCCTTGATTTTGTTCTTTCGAATGTCGTCCAGGCCTTCCAAGTTCGGAGTCATGGCTCGTTCGCCAATGATCTTCATGACAGTTCCAAGAATTTCGGCACCACCATCTCGCAGAGCCGGGCTCGATTCCGACAGTAGCTTCTTTCCAGCTTCGCATATCTGAGCAATCTCAGGCTTGGCGGGAACATCGCGCGTCGTCCGTAGACAGCGAATGAGGAACTTCATGGTGCCCTCTTTTACCTGGGGGTTTTTGTTGACCAAGAAAGCAAAGATGTCTTCAAGACAGTCAGACAACGACGTTGCCTCAAATGTAGAGTCAAGTGCACCACCCAAGGCATCGGCAACCGCAGCTTTCTTTTCTTTTAACCGTTCCATTATGGGTTGCATCACTGTGGTACGATGCTTGCCGAAAGCTTGGCGCAATCCCTTTGCCAGCAGATCGATGCACTGGGCCGCCTGAGTAACGACAGCAACATTGGCATCCTTCATGCACTTGGCAAGACCTCTAATGATTTCGTTGAAGTCGCCATCCTTGATACGAGGGACGTTGATGATTGCATATAGTCCCTCAACGGCCTCTTTACGATCTTTCCACTTGGATGAGGCAAGCTGCTCGTGGAAATTAGGCGCCAACTTCTTTAGAACATCCTCGGGTTCGGCCAAGGCAAACGCGTCGATTTCGACTGGCTCATCCGCCTCTTCTTCTTCACCCTCTTCACCGTCCTCGCCGCCTCCGCCACCACCAGACTCGGCAGCCTCTTGCTGACTTCGCAGTAGTCGCTCTTGTTTCGGATTGCCTTCAGCCTTGACCTTTTCAAACTGTGCCTCCAAATCGGTTTGCTGCGTAGGCTTCAGATCCCCCCAGAACATGGGCTTCATGGCCTCGCGCAGCCACCTGTAGAGCTCTACCGCAAGCGCAGTGGCCTCGGCACGTACATTTTTATCAGCGGCACCGAAGGCCTTGGGCAGTGCTTTGAGAATGGGCTTCGGGTCGACAATCTTGCAGCCGTAGTTGTGGATAATCTGGGTCAAGGCATTTAGTGTAGCGGCAACATTCTTGGGTACCTTGTTACCAAGACCAGGCAGCACCTCTTCGATAACGGGGCCTGACGTGTCCAGCTCAATATATAGCAGCAACGCTTCGAGAGAGTTTTGCTTAATGGCCGGCCGCGTTGACGATAGACACTTTTCAACCATGGGGCTAATTGCGACCCCTCGTGTACGCAGAGCGCCGTCTCGTCCTCCATACTTGAGGAATTCGCAGAGAGAGGTGATGGCTTCTTGCTGGGCGGCCACGTTGGAGTCGGAGACGGCAGATTTCCACAAGCCCGGGTCGTTTAGAAACGGTCGGAAGCAAGGGTCGGACTCGTCCGGTGATTTGGCAAACTGTTTAGCAACATCTTCATAGGCCTGTTTACGGACTTTCCAGTTCTAGATGTCAAGGGGTTTTCAGGTCAGCCAGAGGGGAGGTTCGCGATGGATCGTGTTGCGAAAAAAGTACCTTGTGTGAAAAGCGGTCGGGGAGCGGCAAGGAGCTGAGATCCTCCTCTTGGTCGGCCATGGCGGCGAGGGAGGGAAGCGAAAGGTACCTAAACGCTGACGAGGTCTGGGAATGCTTCTGCTCCGAGGAATCTGCTGGCCGTTCATCAATTAGATTGACGATTCTACGGATGAGCTTCTTGAACGGGTGGTGACGCCGTCGCGACTCCATCGTGCAAGGCCTCGCGGCGGCCACGAGGCTAGCCAGAGGGGGGATGGAAATAGGGAAGACAAGAGGTCGACATACCACAGACGATGAAGAGGTTGGCGTGAATCCGTCAGGAGTGGCTAAGCGGAATATCCAGGAGGCTACTTTGTACTTTTTTCCAAGAGCAATGCCGGGGATCGCGGCCGCAAGTGTCAGTTACCCTGCCTTCTTTGAGCTGGACGACCGGGATCAGGATAGGCAAGAATGCGGCGATGCCTCTCGGCGGGCCCTGCACCAGTCTGTACAAGTATAAATAATATGAAAAGATGGAATAATATGTACAAGGAGGGGGGCAGCGGTGCCAGGATCGGGTCGGTGGAAGCTGTTGGTTTGCTCGACGGTGCGGTTCGGTGCCCAGCAGAAGCTGCACGGTTGCGAGCGCTGACTCGAGGGCAGGAGGCCGTGTCTCGTGATGCTCTCCGTGAGTGCAGAAACTCGGTGGGAGAGGTCGGCCAGTCGTGTCTTGTCTTGTGCTGTCGTCTCGTTGGTGAGCTGTGCTGTGCTGTGGGTTGCCCATCCCAAAAGTCAACAAATCCCACCCATCACCTGATTGCTCCAATCAGCAGCCCGCACTGGCAGGGCTATCCTGAACACGGCCTAACACCACATGTGCATAAACAAGTGAATTTTCTGGGCGCCTGTTTGGCCAGAGATGCAGCCGCTGGTTGGCGAGGGAAATAGAAGAGAAGCAGAAGCCGTTGCATCATTTTTATTTGTTGATTTGTTTGTTCTGGTGGCATCGTTTCTCATTCTCATGCATTCCATCGGCACAGCTCCAGGGTATTGCACGGTAGTACAGTAGGTACCTACAGCCGTGCTGGATCCCCCTCCATTGAGCCAGGTAGCGTCAGGTACTGCCAAACTTACACATTTTGCGCGGCCCCCATCCACCCATTTAGGTACCTTACCTACAGTAGATCGACCCCGCGTGCAGCAACGCGAGCTGCTGGAGACCCTTTGCTTTTGGGAGGGTGCAGTGCTTGATTTGGTGCGTGTAGCATGAGATACTCTTGCTCTCTACCTTGTACAGAAACTATTTACCATACAAAATAACTCAATGCATCGGAAATACAAGCCCTGGACGTTTGACTGTGAATCTCTATGATTAAGTACTAACCGATGACGCAAGAGAACAAAAGAGCTGGTGCCAAATTCATAACAATGCCGCCAAGCACGTGCAAATTGCTACAGTAGCTGTCCAGCACTGTGACAGAGCCTTCACCGCCTTATAACCCCCACTACGGCGCTGTCCTGAATCACGTGGAGATAAGATAGAATTGGGAAGCTTCAACGCGTCCAACAAAAGATTCAATGCAGCCTTGCTTCGACGAGGCTCCACTCATCCACGGCTTGTCATCCATCGCACGAAGGAGCTTCAGCAATCAACAAATGGAGAGGCTTCAGCGACTGTGATAATCATTCCGACATTTGCCGCACGGTCGCAACATGGAGGGCTCTTCGCACCCGTCCTTCTTCCCCTTCAACGCCAAAGCCGCCGCCGCAGACTACTCGTCGTCCGAGTCGGAATCCGATGAGCCTACCGTTCCTGGGCTCGATGGCGACGACAACGATTTCGGGGACTTCAATCCCCGCAAGAAGAGGCGCGTCGGCGGAAACAATAAAGAGAAGGCAGCCCTTGGCATTTTCGGCTCTGACAGCGAAGACGATAACCCCAATTCGCGCTGGAAAAGAAAGACGCTGAGGCGCAAGGGTGTGAATTTTGTTTCGACTGCTGCCGAGGCCGCCGGGCAAGATGCTAGCGACGAATCGGAAGACGAAAGACCTCGCTTGGGCAACGGCCTGAATGCCCATGGCAGAGATGACGAAGATGAGGACGACGATGAGGAGGAGGATGATGATGATGACAGACCAGCCGGACTGGGGCTTGGCAACGCGGCCATGAAACTGCGCTTCGCAGCTGGCGAAGCATCACGCGAGGCGAATTCGCAGAAAGAGTCGAGCACACGGCCATCATTCAAGACGAATTTCAGTTCGGGCGGCGTCCTCGGTGGTGGATTCGTCCCTTCGTCTGCCAGGGAACCCGTATTGAAAGAGACAAGTGATGGAAACGAGACCCCGCGAAACAAGCCTCAAGTAAGCGCTTTCGGCTCGAAGGGGAAAATAAACCCAAAGTCCTTTGGTGCCCGAATGATGGCCAAGATGGGCTACGTTGAAGGCAAAGGTCTGGGCAAAGAAGGTGAAGGACGAAACATTATCATCGAGGCCAACCTCCGACCTCAAGGCGTCGGTCTTGGCGCAGTGAAGGAAAAGACGGAGCAGGAGCGCCAAGAAGAGAAGAGACAAGCACGGCTACGAGGAGAGGAGGTTGTCGACTCGGAAGAAGAAGAAAAGAAGCGCAGGAAAGCCAAGAAGAAGGCCAAGGGGGCAGTCGCTTACAGTAGTGCTGGAAGCACCCCGATGAGGCAGAGGACAAAATATCTGACGGCCGATGAACTCAAAAAGAAGGCGCCAGGCTTGAATATTCCAGAGGCATTTGCCCCTATTCTCGACATGACTGGCCCTGGAGGCAGGCTGCTTACCTCAACGAGCGGCATCATGACACCTTCATCTGGTGTGCCTGAATCAAACGAAGTGATTGAGGCGAGAAAATTGGCCAAACGGGCACAGTCCGACTTATTAGCTTTTTTAGACGAGTGGAAGAATCTGGAGTCGCGCAAGACATGGGTCAACTTGGAGCTCAAACAGAGAGAACAAGAGATTGAGGATTTGCGATCCGATTTTGAGAGATTACAAACATTTGCAAATGTTGTAACTGAGCAACTTGTTGACGCAACAGAGTGGGAGCAGGTCATGAGTGCTCTCCAGACAGCAGTCGACGTCGGGTCAGCGAACGACGCCATTGCAGATATCGCGGTGGCCGCCATCCATCCCTTTCTGCGCAGCTCCGATTGGGACCCGATGTCTGAACCGTCCCGGTTTGCATCAGACCTACAAAAGCTATCAGGTCTTCTCATCAGGTCCGCAAACACTAATCAATCCATGAACAAGTGGAACTCTTCCGCGAGTCAGGGTGATGGCGTGTATCGAACACATCACAAGGCCACTACGCCGTATGAGACAATGATGTACAAGAATTGGCTTCCCCGGGTGTTGACAGCACTTCGCTCCTGGGACCCGTTCAACCCCACGCCGATGCTCAACATCATGGAAAGCTGGAAAGATTTACTTCCGCCATTTGTTCGGGCGCAACTGATAGACAATGTGGCTCGAAAGTTGGAAACGGCCGTGTCAGACTGGAACCCCAGGAAGAAGCGTCAAAGCCACCATCTCCCACATACATGGCTGTTCCCTTGGCTGCAGTATCTCCCCCCCTACCATCTTGACCCAAGAGGCACAGGCCTGGTTGCAGATGTCAGGAGGAAATTTAGACACCTCATCGATGCTTGGGAGTTTGAGAGAGGGGTTGTTCCTGGCCTGACGCAATGGAAAGACGTCTTGGGAGACCAATGGCGACCGCTCATCATGTCGCACGTCTTGCCATCCATGGGCAAATATCTGCGTACCAACTTCCGTGTCGACCCAGCAGAGCAGGAGCCCTATCTTCCTATTCTAGTTGGCATTATGAAATGGAATCAGGTCCTTGGCGACACGGTCTTGGCAGAGGTCCTGGTCCAGGACATGTTCCCTATGTGGAGTAGCAGATTGCAGGAATGGCTCGCGCTTGAAGAAGCGGACCTCGGAGAGGTGGCAGATTGGTACAGTTGGTGGCGAGGAGTGCTGTTGAAGGACATGGCGGAGATCAAGGCTGTCAGGGTGGAACTTGACAGAGGACTACAGCTTGTGAATATGATTTGAAAACGGCATAGCGTATGGGCTTGTATAAGAGTTTTTTTTTTTTTTCCCAGTTATATTTATACAATAATTATCTGTCTACTAGCAATTATGTAGACTTGTGAGCTAGCTACAATCCATATGACGAATAGAAACGACATGAATTAGGTGTAATAGTTTACATGGAAGTTGTAGCGAATCGAATCTTGGGGCAAAGCCAAGAGACTGCTGCTCATGTATATAGCATAGTTTTCACCCTGCTCTGGTCATGGAGCATGATAGGGTGCCACGGGTTTTTAGCAGCTGACCATGGCTAGAGGGCGCGTGGCTGTTAAAAGTGAGTTGTGTTGTCAATCTAACGTGTTGAAACGCAGGATATGGCACCACTACGATTGCCCTGTTTTCCTATCACAAATGGATTTGGCTTAACATACTTATTACAAAGAGTTGGATATGGATACCAGAGTACCTGACAGGAACAATAAGGCGATGTATATGAAGGATAGAGTGTCTCGGAATGCATGGATGCTGTGCAACGGCCTGGGACATGTGGCTACCCTGCAACGGGGAATGACCCAATTCGGTAGAACAAGACGCCACCAGGAAGATGCTACATGCAGTGTCCAGGCTTACCGGGCTGTATCTGAAGTTGGATGTCTCGAGACTGCCGACTATCCAGTGGGTATGAGTGCTAAGATTACCCGTAGGTAGTAGGCACTGGACGTTTACAGGCAATACAGGTGGTTGAGACAACCTTGCGGAGATGAAGCAGATATACTCGGTTACTATCGTCTCTGCCAACAGCTGAGACATGCTCTTTATTTGGTGATGAACCTCGTGTGCTTGTTCATGTGCCGCAAACGCTCCGGCCTTGGCTATGCAATGCCGTGTCACATATTGCGTACTCATACTGCTGATTACTGGACATGGACACTCAGATGCAGCGTCATGAATGGCTTACTCGTATGGGTGACAACCCCCCCTGATCGGGCTGGCCATGAGCCTTCAGGCCTCTGGTGTGCCTACCCGTGCTAGCCTGCACTTGTACTACTTCCATCGAGAGCGGTAGGGATGTCCCGGCTGGGGCCTTGCGTGTCGGCAGCTTGTTTGTTATGGATTCCCTTGCTGTCTGGTGTTTTGAGTTCTTCCGCATGCCTGCTGTTTGGAGGTACATCTGTCATGTCCCGACGCAGGTACTCATCTTGTACCTGCAATAAGTGTCCGTAAGTGTCTATAAGTGTCTATAGGTGCAAGATCAAGCTAGCGTGGGCAAGCGTGGGATACTCCTGGTACCTCAAAGGGACCTGCATGCGCGGTACTCCGTACCTGGATGAGATAAGACAAAGCCCGAGTTTCAACCCTCTTTATCGCGGGCAAAAAAGTCTCCCCACACTGCAGCAACCTAAGCAACCCCCTCCACCGCCCTCCCACATCAAATCGCAACGCACTGCAAATCGCAGCTTCGAGGCGAACAAGAGACAGGGGCGCTGCGTCTGCCTGTCCGAGTGCGAGTGCTACGAGATCCTTTCCAAGCGCCTGCCAGCAACTGACCGGCGGCGCAATTCAGCCCAGCCCAGCTTCTGCCGCTGGTCTGATTCGCTGCGAGGGGGACTCGACGCTTGTTCCGGCCTCTTTGTTGCCGCACGCCCGACCCTCTGCATCTGCATCTGCATCTTGTCTAGTTCGGTGCTTCTCCCTCCATCTACATCCTGTTTTTTTCTTATTCCTCTTCTTATTGCTTTGCATTCTTCTTATCTCCCTCCCTCCACCACTCTCTCCAGTCTTGGGACCCCCTCACTGGCGCTCGTGGTCGCCGTTTGTCCCTGTTGACGTGGCCACAGTCCGTTGACGACCATTTCTTGGCCCGATTTTAATCAAAAGACGCTGAGTCCGCAGCCGGTATTTGGAGCACGACTGCCCTGCTTCTCCGAGATCAATCGCCTCTCTTACGCCTCATCTACCTCACCGCCGGCGATCCTTGTTCGCTCGGCGCGGTAGCATCGACCCGCCACCATGTTCTGGAGGTTTGGCGGCTACGCCAACATCTCAACCATCGACACCATCCTCGACAAGCCCGACTTCACCCTCGAAGAGCTGCTTGAAGAGGCTGACCTGATACAAGAGCTGAAGCAGCATAACTCCAAGCTCATCGAGTTTCTACGCGAGGGTAAGGTGCTCGAGAAGCTCCTCGAGTATACTGTTGTTCCCAAGCTCGAGGCAGTCGAGAGCGCTGAGGAGCCTGCCGAGGATGACATCAAGACTAAGGGCCGTCTGCTGCCCTTCTCACGCCCTCGCGCATCGTCGCGCGCCACCGATCCCGGCGAAAATGACGACGAGCTAGACAAGAAGCGCAATCGCTATGCTCACGTCGCCTGCGAGGTCCTGAGCTCCGACACATGGTCCATATACGAGGCCCTCGTCGAAAACCGACAGCTGATCCGCGACTTTTGGAACTTCCTCTCCCGGCCCGCGCCGCTGGACCCTCTGCAGGCTAGCTACTTTACCAAGGTCAACGAGTCGCTCTTTGAGAAGAAGACGGAGGAGATGATGGAGCTGCTCTGGAGCTTGCCCAATGTCATTCCCGACATGCTCAGGCACGTTGAGTGCCCCATGGTCATGGATTTGCTGCTCAAAATCATTGCCCTTGATCGCACAGAGGGTGGCCAAGGCGTTGTTGAGGTTGGTTGAGCCCATCTTTGAAATTTGCATTTAGTACCCATGTTTTGCCTCGTCTCTAGTATGCTAACCATTTATTCATCAGTGGTTGTATTCCAAGGACATTATCCCAACACTCATCTCTTTCCTCGGCCCTGAGCACAGCTGGGTTGTGCAGACTGCTGCAAGCGACTTCATCAAGGCCATCATAACCATCTCGGCCAACGCCTCGCAGAACGAGCAGCAGTGCATCGGCCCCAACGAGCTCACACGTCAGCTCGTTTCGAAGCCCTGTGTCGAGCAGCTGATTGGTTACATGCTTGGAGGCGGCAACCCTTTGACTGTTGGTGTTGGCATCATCATCGAGGTGATTCGGAAGAACAACTCCGACTACGACCCGGACGTTGGAACAGAGGCCAACAGCACGCCTTCCAGTCGCGATCCCATTTACCTTGGAAATCTGCTGAGGCTTTTTGCCCAGAATGTGCCCAAGTTCATGAACCTCATCATGAACGAGCCGTCAAAGAAGCAGGGCGTCGACTCAACTTTCAACGAGAAGCTCGAGCCTCTTGGATTTGACAGGTTCAAGACTTGTGAACTCATGGCAGAGCTGTTGCACTGCAGCAACATGGGTTTGCTCAACGAGATAGGCTCGGAGCAGCTGATTGCAACTCGAGACTTTGAGCGCCAGCGCCTTCGAGCCGAGGGCAAGCTTACTCCCCGAGACGACGAGGGGTCTGATGACTTGACGATGCGCATTCCCCATCCGGCCCACCACGAGGAGGTCCGCCGTCTGGAAGTCACCAATGCCGATGACGATGGCTTTGAAGAGGTGGAACCGACTACTGAGATGAACGAGGACACATCCCACGAGTTTGTCAAGGCCGAGGATGATATTGCACCAGGCGCCAACGCATCTTCATCTTCCTTCCTTGAAAAGGACGAGGAGGAATTTGTCGACGAGCCGCTGAGCTCTCCTCGGCTAGCAGTGACCACGGCAGGGATGAACGAACAGCGCTTTGAAGAACCGGACCTTGTTGTTGCGCCTCTTTCACCCACAAAGGCAAAGCTTTCCGAGCCAGCACACGCGGAAGCAGAGAGTTCTACTGCCGTCGAGGGTCAAACCAAGGCTGCTACAGAGGAACACCAGCCTCAGACAGCTGCAACTGTTCTTTCTGGACCTATTGTAGTAGAGACAGCCGGGCCAGCTGACACGGTAGTCTCAGAGCAATCCGAGACTGACCCTTCGTCTCATTCCGAAGCCCCAAAGCCAGGGCTGCAGCCATCAGCTCTGCCCAGGGAAGATGACACGAAAAAGAACGAATCTACTACCGGCGCTCCACAGGAAGCCATCGCTTCTGCTGCTGAATTGCTTCCTGACGAGATTGAAAAACCTCGTGGCCTATCCCCCCATCCTGAAGATACCCCGCCCCCTCTCTTCTCAGTTCCTCTTGCCCCTGATTCCGGCGTCCAAGAGCCACCACAGTCATTCACACCACCACAAGGCCCCGAGCCTAGCCTTGCTACGTTTGCAGCTGGCGAGAAGCCCGGAGAGACTGCAGGCGATGCAACCGAAGCTGTTGTGGGTGACTTTCTCAAAATGCAGTTTGTTGAGTATCGTGTTGTTCCGGCAATTTTGGTATGTGTGGCCTAGCAATTATCCAACGGAGCCCAACTAACTTCAAGCAGTCATTCTTTTTTGCATACCCTTGGAACAACTTCCTCCACAACGTTGTGTATGATATTGTACAGCAAGTGTTCAACGGGCCGATGGACCGTGGTTTCAACCCGACATTAGCCGTGTCCCTCTTCGAGGCTGCCGACATCACCACCGCCATCATCAAGGGCCAGCAAGCCAGTGACGAGTCTCAGGCCAGGACCAAGACCCGTATGGGATACATGGGACACCTCACACTCATTGCTGAAGAAGTTGTCAAGTTCACCGAACGTCACCCCCCGGAGCTTCTGTCAGAGATGGTCCTTGACAAGGTTATGAGCCAAGATTGGATCAACTATGTGGAAGGTGCTCTCGCGGAAACAAGAGAGCGGGACAACGCAATTCTGGGTGGTGTTCGGCCTGAGGTGGCCTTGGGACACCGGGCCAGCCTCGGTGCTAGTGGCTTGGGTGGCATCGGCTTGTCAGGCCTTGGAAACACAGCCAGCGGATCGAATGCCTTGGCAGAGGCAGGCCTCAATGGCGGCATGGAGATGAATGAGGGAGATGGTAATGGGATTGGTCCCTTTGCGATAAGCGCGGGCACTCTGATGTCTGGATTTGGCAGTAGTAGCGACGAAGACGACGATGAGGGCGAGGGGGATGAAGAAGATGTGAATTCCGAGGTGAGTAATGATTCTTCCGATGAGCACGGCAACGAGTCTCCTGAGGCGACAATTGGCATGGCATACACACCCGAGGATGTCATCATGATGTCTCCCGAACCGATCAGAGCGGAATCTCCAGACGCAATAGGTTTGGAAGCCGATGCTGACCTGGGTCCACCGGGCCAGGACATCATGGTGATTGAGGAAGCGGGATGGATCCAGAGGCGGGAGCCAGGCCAAGGCCCCAATAGAAGGATAGATTTCTCTTAGGACGAGGAACAAGCTTCAGAAGACGCCATCTTCAGCTCTAATAATGATACCACCGACATGCCTGGAGCCTCTGCTACACTAAGATCCTCCAGCCCTGATGATGAAGAGCTAGAGGGTCTCGACATCATTGAGATGGAGCTGGATTATCTCTCAAGGCTGCTGGCAAGGGCGAGCGGAAGACAGAGGGAGCATTAAATATGAATGGGCGTTGAGGCAAATTTGTTTTACCTTGTGGATAAGATGGGGGAGTCAAATGACGGCGTCTTTTTTGTGGATAGCGCATTGAAAGAGAAACAAGAAAGCGAAGGAAAGCGAATTTGGAAGATGGCATTGTGTTTGCAGCATTGTTCGAGGAGAATATCGCATCAGAAAAACAAGGAGGGAAAAAGATGTTATCATGCACCATTTGTCAGCCTTAGGGACTTTGATCAACTGCCAACGCTCATTTACTTTTCCTTTCCCTCCCTTTCTCTTTCTTCCTCCTCCTCTTTCCCTCCTCCCTCTTGCTTCGCTTCAGGAAGCTTTGTTTTTGCTGATGCCCAAGGCTTAGTTTCGATCGTATACTGACCCGCTGAACCAGGGATCTTTGGCTCCGCCGTCTATCCCGCCTCCACCGCCTCCGCCTCCGCTGAACATTCCGCCTTCGAGAGCTCGGCTGCAGCTCGCGGCACGGCTGGCAATGCATCAAAAGAATAGCCAAACTGCGCAGGCCTCGTCGGCTACAGTTCATGATGACAACTACGAAGACGATGAAGATAACCTTGAAGACCCGTTTGGCGATGGAGAGGCTGATATCGATGACGACTTGGACGATGAAATGTCTGGCAACATAGGCCGTGGATCATGGTGGAGAGGTGTTGTTAACAGGAGAAGCGGACTCGAAGATGAAGACTCTGATGATGAGGAGGAATTTGGAGATTTTGCCATGCCAGAGGAAGAAAAAGCAGAGGATGGCCAGGACCAGGACAACGTGGTGCTGAAGCCCCTCGCGGTTCACCCACCTAGAGAAAGCAGCAGAGGTTTAAGCGGCCTATGGCCCTTTGGCTCGAGAGCTGATAAAGACAAGGGCGGCAGAGCTGAAGACGGCAAGGACGAGCAGAAGGGCGATGACGAAGCTCAGATGGCGGAAGAGAGGGACGAGGAGCCTGAGAAGAGGGCGATAGAAGTCAAGGAAGCACAGCGGAGAACAAGCATTGAAGATGATGACGACGACGACGAGGCAAACGTGGGGACGGAATATGGTGCTGATTTCAAGGCTTAGATTATATAGACTGGAGAGTGTATGTATACGGTTCAGGACGTGGACGGCAGAGAGGGAAAGAATTGGGAAAGATTGAATGGATAATATGAGCATGAGATGAGAATACGCAGTGTATGAATGGGATGATGGAACGGGACAGGGACGGTTGTGCAGGGCTCATATACGGTAGCTCAAAGGATCTGTGTACTATTATGTGTGTTTTGGCTGGGCTGAGGCAGAGCTGTAGATGGAATGACTCGAATCTCTTTTTTGGTTGTGATGCTGATTATGGTTGACCTGCATGCGGTTGCTGCGATGCGAATTATGAGGCCGAGTTGGAGAGATACTACCGCATACGACCATAACCAATGGAGTACACGGGATCTCGTCAGGTTGTTGGCTTCTGGTTACGTGCCGCCTCTTTCACGGACTGTGGCCACTGGGATCGGAAACCGGAGGTTATATTTTTTGGGGGCTTATTTATAAGAAATCCTTTGGGATGAAGACGGAAACCGGACCCCAAGAGCCCGGTAACAATACGAAATAGAGGGGGATATATCGCCATCTCCTTGAACTCAACGCTATGATCGAGGTGGTTTATAACCTTCTGAACTATCCCGGCATGGAGATCTTGAAATCTACCTCCTGTAGCTTCTAGATGGATGTCTTGATAAGAAGTATCGCGGTTTTCTACAAGACGCTCTAACCGACCCCAGGCCGAGAGTCGATCATACGGCTACGGTCAGTTGATCCCAGCGTGAGCCATAGTGCCCGCGGACTCTCCGATCGAGGGACCTATGTAGGAGGGTATCTAGTTGGTTTGTTCTTCTCTACATTTAATGCGATATGCAGCGGGATACTTTCAGAAATGGGTAATATTGGAGGCATAGGCTGTCATTTAGTTTTACTGCCTGTTCTTGGCCCTTGATTCCATTTTATTGGTCAATCTGTTCGCCAGTAACAGTGATCTTCTGTCTGATACCCGCTTGCTCAGCCAAGATTAACATTGCGCAGCGAAGTTGGCGGATTGCTGCTCTTGGACAATCTCTCATGAGATCGTTGCAGTGTCCCTGTAGGAGGGATGCAACTTCTCGTAATGCTGCCTCATTCTCCAAAACAGTATCCAGAGCGAGCCGCACGTACTCTGCGCGTATGCTATGGTCTCTCTCAGTGACGTGGCAGTCAGGCTTGTTGGCTATTGTATCATCCAGCTCTCGGCCCGGGAATGAAATCTGGATCATTTCCTCGTCAATGTGGCCTGCCCCCTTTGCAATCACTCTGATCATGCTCTCTATGTGCGACATGGCCGGTATGTAGCGTTTCTTAGCAGCGGCCTCAAGGACCATGCCCATTCTTTGAGCAAGGAATTGCACCCTCTCTTTGGACACTTGCAAGCAGTGTCGTGGTTCCGTGACCAAGTCAATGCCGATGCCCTCGATCACCAATTTGCCCGGAGCAGAGGCAAAACGGGGCTCAAATCGATGGCTGGCGATGCCAAAATGGCCAGGAAGCTCGGCCATGTGACGGATGATTGGTATTTGCTGCCCAAACAGGAGCTGTTGGGAGTCATTGGCAGTGGGGGAGTACATGATGGCAGCCAACTGCGCATCCAAGGCACCCTTGATGTCAGAGTCGGCTGAGTCGCCTATCATCCATGTCGTGTCGAGAGAAGCGCCGAGCTGTTCAATGGCATATTGGAAGATACGGCAATCAGGCTTTCGGTATCCAGTTTCCTCAGAAGTGATAATGCGGTCGATTAAATGCATTATGCCGATGGCCTTGGCCTTGGCTGCCTGGTCCTCGACCTGCCCGTTGGTGATGACGGCAATGCGGAATCCATGTTCACGCAGTCGGGCCAGAGCCTCGATACTCCCTGGCGTTGCTCTCCGATTCTCTCTGTAAACAACCTTGTACGCGTCACGAAACTCCTGGACCTCGTCAAGGCTGGGTTCAGGCAAGCCAAGCGATGCAAAGAATAGGTGAATCTTCCGGATGTCGGCCTCTTCGTATGTAATCGTCTTGTCCAGGTAAGCATCATAAGCTCGTTGAAGAGCAGCGTTGTACTGGCCAGTCAATTCCTCGACATTCTTCCCCGCGAGGCCAGAATATTTCCTCTGTATGGCGGATATCGCAAGGCGTAGCGAATGGTCGTGGTCGAAAAGCGTGCCGTCCAGATCAAAGAAGACGACCTTCATCCGTGTTGGTTCCATGGCGATTTCCTCGTTGGACCGCAGACGGGCTGGGATTCAAGAGATGAGGCAAGCAAAGTGAATCAAAGCTGTTGCAAATATGGTTTAAATGCAAAAAGTATTCTTTGAAATCCGGTACCATCGAGATGTATAGGTGGTTTTAAGCTTTTCGGAGTAGGCGTATATTCCGTACGCATTGCTCTGAATACTGTGGATAGAGGATGACGCGGCAGCTGTCGATGCTGTATTTGCTGTCGCCCACATGCTTCTGACTTGTGATGTCTGCGAATTATCTTCTTCAGACCCCTCAGAGAGAAGACAGTGGCAGGATGAGGCGTGTGCGGGTGACGCCAGAAGTGCATTGCCCTCTTCCATTCCGCCAGCACTTTGGACCACTTGGCTGTGAGCTCATATCCTTGCTGTTTGCTGAGCCGAGCTTGCTATCGAATCTCGTTTGCAATGGCGTTCTTGGTAAAATGTTAAAAAGGTTCACGGGCCATCTCTTTCCAAGTTCCTCCATTCGGCTCGCTCTCGTCTAGGGACACAAATCATCCCGCCCGCTCTCCCTGATTCAAGCCAATGAGAGGCAGATTAGTACAGGTAGTCAAGTGGGCAACCACTGGCGAACACCGGCTGTTGTGTATTTTTTATTTTGGCTTAACCTTTTGGGACATGTTTAACTGGGGGTAAGATTTTGGGTGTTGTTTCGATGATCTGTACGGAGTATTAGCTGGCTTCTAAGCTTGACTACCCCCGATGACTAGACGGGATAATCCTCCCGTACCTGATTTGGAGCCTCGGCGTATTGGCCCATGGGGTCTAGAAGAAGTGGACACTTGCTGTGGTCTGGGGTCGTATTAGAGCATAAGATAAGCTAGTAGACCCGTCTCACTGCTTTTTGCATCGGTGCGTTTCGTCGTCATCTCTGGGCTTCTCACGGCTCAAAAGCCCATTCCCCCCTGAATTTTGTAGGCTGTGTGGTTTCTTTCTACATACCGAAGATGATAGGTGATATCTGAATTGTTCAATATAGAAGGAGAAGTCTTCTGAGTTTTGTGTATTTGATCTGGATTGCAGCGATGAACTTGGTCAAGAGGTTTGGGTACGCGGTGCTTTTGGCGCTGTATGTGGGCATTTATTTGCGGGTGAGTTATTGATGCCTTGATATTGCCGGGCTTGAGATGAGTTGTGGCTGACGGGTTGTATTGGAAAGTTGATGCATTGGACGAAGCAGCCGGTGCTACGGGGCATAAGGGATCTTGATGAGGACGAGAATGAGACCGAGTTTCGCTGAGAGGCAAGAGCCGAAAGCCATGATAAGCCGTTGGAAAACTACACAAAACTTGCTATTGGTAAAGGAGAGCAAAGATGGTATATATCTAGTACTGCGCTATCCATCCGTCCATCCATTCCCGTATCAATGCTCACCACGCCGTCGATCCCCCGTCAACTCGCAAATCCGCGCCCGTAACATACGAACTCGCGTCCGCCAGCAGAAAGACGACGGCGCCGCGGTACTCGTCAGGGCTGGAAATTCGCTTGAGCATTGCTTCCTGCTGCCATACCGAGGTCCAGTCTTGTCGGGCAAGCACGTGCTGCGTCATGGGTGTTTGGATGACGCCGGGACTGATGGAGTTGACGCGGATGATTGGGTTGGAAGATGAAGTTGGAGATGGAGAACCCCATTCGCCGGCGAGGGAGCGGACGAGTTGGTGGACGCCGGCTTTGGAGGCGGAATAGATTGCTGTGGGAGTGGCCTGGGGAGGAAGATGAGATTAGTATCAAGCTGTTTCTTGTTGGTCTCGGACATTGTACACCATATAAGAGAAATGTGAAGAAGCTAACTGAACAATTAACTTACCTTGTTGGTAATGTACCCGCTCATGCTCGCCACAAACACAAAGCTCGCTCCTAAACTCTTTCCCTCATGATGCTGTTTCATCACAACCTTTGCTGCCGCCTGTGCAACATACAAACTGCCCGCAAGATTGACATCCAGCGTACGTCTCGTCTGATCCTCGGGATAGTCGATGGAATCGCCCACGGTTCCAATACCGGCACAGTTGACTAGACCGCGGACAGGGTATCGGGCTTGAGCTGCGGCGGCTTCGAAGACGCTGGCGGTGAGAGTTGGGGAACAGATGTCGCAGGGATGGTAGGTGAGAGTGCGGGAGAGGGATTTTGCGAGAGATTGGAGGGGTTCTGTGTATTTTATGTAAATAGAGATTGGTTATACGATTTTACTTGTTTTGCTTGTTTGCTTACCCCATATGGTGGTTGGCGGGATGTTGCCGTAATCGATGGCTATGACATCGCCGCCGGACTCGAGGATGGCTCTGGTGAGTTGCGAGCCGAGACCGCCAGTGGCACCGGTAACTGATGATTTATTTTCTTCGTTATTGGAGTGAACATAGATGAGGGTTGGACAAAACTTGCCTATGATTGTTCTATCGTGTAGGCTGAAGAGATTTGGGGTGCTTGTATTGAAGAGGGTTTGATCTGTGCCTGACTCTGTGGAACCCATGATGGCCTGTATGTCTATGTTTGGCTTAATTGCTTGACAAAAGCGTCGATAATTGATCGTAGAGTGTCAGAAGATCTCTATTTGCGGGTCATCAACTGTTGTTATTATATTCCATTCACTATTATAAACATTTTGCCATGCCTCCATTCTCTCATGGAACACGAATTGGACCCGTCTCTCGGTTCCTTTCCGGCGGCGGCCCCATTTGCCGCCAGACTACGGAGTACTCCAAGTTCCGACTTTAGCAGAAGGAACTACTCCAGGCAGCCATATTATAAATGATCAATTTGTAAGAGAATCTCGTCAGCCATCCAATGCATTGTAAAACGATCCATCTAGTGTATGTCTGATACGGGAAGCAGCATTACCAAGCATGAATGTCTCGGTTAGTCGAAGGATGAAGTCCACATGCGGATATTGAGGTTAGCAAATCGATTTTACAAAGAAAAGTTGTAAATTCTTTCTACATTTCGTGAGTACCTGTGTACGCCACTCTTATGTCGCTTAAATACACAATGTGATATGTTCCAAGTTGTTTAATATTACATGTATTTAACTAGACATGTTACACACAACTACTAGGTATCTATTCTTCATAGGTACCAATTTGATCTCTTAGGAACCCAAACAAAACATATACCTAACAAATACGAGGCACAAGCAATGGGCCCAACTTTACACTATGAAAACCAGGCGGAATGGCGGCCCGCCAATCCACCTATTGTTCCACCCTCTAGGAAACGCAGTGGAGTGGCGGCCCGCCATCCTTAGTCACGCGGCTGGTTTATTTCCACCAACTTAAAACTTGGAGCTGGATGAACAAATGCAGCAGGTGAGCCGAGGCGGGGGAACACGATAGTTGCGGTGGTTCGTGTGGGTTCTGGAGCTGAGCTGGTTTAGCCGGTGGTGCCTGTATTGTCGTCACGGGAAAGAGAGGCGAGAGGGCCATGAATTAACTTGGATGCTGTAAAGAAATACAAATATAAATATAAATCCATATATAAAAGCACACATCTCGTCTCAACGTATCCTTGAGTACACTTACACCAACAAACTCGCTCTTACACCAGACACTGTATAAGATATCCTACATCAACCTAATAGCCATGGCTCGCTCCATGCTCCATCGCCTCGAGGACCTCTGCAACGTCGACGTCGACGACGCGGACACGGAACTCATCAAGAGCATCCCTTTTACGCCGCACAACCGTACGCACAACTTTGCCCCTATCACCAACTTCCATCATGACAAGACTAACACCTCCTTGTCGCCCAGAAACATCCAACCAGGCCATCATCACAAACGCCCTCCTTGCAGATGAAGCTTTGCTCAAGGATCTCGTCCGGCAGTATGGCTCTCAGGGGTGGGAGCGAGTCTATGACCAAGCTGTATGTCTCTTGGACACTCACTCACTCTCCTTCCCTCGCCCGAGATGAACACCTCTTATACCATCATACACCATCATACACCAACAACACCATCAACACCATCAACACCACCATCATCACCATCACCATCACCACCTCACCAATACGCAAAAAACTCACAAACTTCCAGGCCATCGCCCTCACCGCCCGCAACATCCCCCTCCTCTCCGGCCGCGTCCTCATCCAGACCTCTCTCCGCCACGTCTCCTCCTCCTCGGCAACCATCGCCCACGCCCGCACCCTCGCCGCCCTCTACGACCAGGCCGGCGTCCCCCGCGACCGCTTCGCCATCAAGATCCCCTTCTCCGGCCCCGCCGCCGCCGCCGCTCGCGTGCTCAACCAGGAGGGCATCCGGACGCTCGCCACCAGCGTGTTTTCCCTCGAGCAGGGCATTGCGGCTAGTCAGAGCGGGTGTCTCTATATTAGCCCTTATTACAACGGTATGTTTTATGTCGGGAATTGTGCAAAAAACTTCGTTACTCGTGATGGGGGAAACTGACGAGTGATGGAAATGGAAAGAAATCGCCGCACATCTGGACCCTTCTCTGCGTCTCACTCTCGAAGATCCCGCTCTAGAGGTACTATCACATTCTATTGCCCTCTGTTCATGGAAAAAGTAAAGATGGGGCCATCGAGAAGCTCTTCTAACCATCAAATTTAGCATCCCATGTCCCCCCGCGTAATCCACATCCTCGAGGCTTTTGCCAAAGAATATCGTGAAACAGGCAAGGAACAGCCCATCATGATCATAGCAAGGTAAATATTTCCAATCCGACACCCCCACAAACACAATGAAACGATAGCAACAATCTGGGTAATACAAAGGAAACGTACACTAAAATATAAGTCTCCCCGTTGGACAAAACAGCCACTTCACTCCCGCCGAAATCATGGCCATGGCGGAGCTCGGCTGCCCACACGTCACGATCCCACCACACCTCATCCGCACCCTCCTCGAAACCCCCGATCAGCTCCCTCCTCTCACGACAAAGAAGCCCAAGCTCAGCTACGCCGAATTCGCCACGGTGCAGCGGCTCACCAAGCTGTCCACCATGGACCCCTTTGCTCGTCCGGATTGGGACGGCAAGCTGGCGGATATGCAGACCGATTACGTTGCCAACGACGGCGAGAAGCTGGATGAGGCAATCAGGAACGATCCTATCGCGGGTAAGAGGTTGAAGGATGCCGAGGTATTCTTCATCGAAATGGAGAACAAGGCGAAAGCGGCCATTGAAAAGGAGATTGCTGCGCAAGGATTGTAGATAAACACACATATATAGGTAATCACCATAGATAGAATTTCATGATAAAAGAAAAGTATCGTATCGCATAGTCGCGTTGCAGTCATTTATTTAATAATGATATCGTTGTCGTCGTAGTCGTCGTTAAAATCCCCGCCGACCATCGCGAAGGCGCAGCTTCCTCCCAACTGTATTGGCAACCTCTAATGCATGCTCGATGCTCGATCCCGGCCATGCCCAAGGCTCAAGCACTTCTACAAGCATCTGGTGGCTCGAATCAATATCCGGCACGAGATGGCTGAGATGCGGCGAATTGGCAGCCAGAGCAAGAACTAAGAAACAGTTGAGGGCACTAAGTTTTTCAACATGGTCAGTCTTTCATCATATCAAACAGGCCCCCTTTTTGATTCAAGTATCGAACTCAAGCACTCACCACTGCAGCGAGCTATAAGTATAGGGCGTCCTCTCCGAAAGCAGATATATCGCCGCGCGGAGGAAACCTCTGCAAGCTGCCAGACACACCTTGCACTGATTCACCACCGCCGAAGGTACCTCCATCTCGTTCTTTTCATACTGCGACGACGTGGCGTGGATCACAAACGGCCGGAAGATGCATTGCTTCGCAGACCAGAACCGCAGCCGCAGGATGCATGCCTGCTTATTTCCCGGCGTGCGCTCAAACAAGTCGGGTTTGATGTCAACCGGTAGAGCATCGTACCATATATCGAGCTGCGAATTCAGTTCTTTGCACACTCGCAGGAGAGAATCATCTGGCTGTGGGTGAGCTGGCTGGGAAGACGTGATCGAGTCGAGGGCGCGACCAGCGTATATCGTAAGACTATCAGTAAAGTAAATGGCGTGATGCATGCGATTGAGAAGAGACCGGGCCGATATCTCGGCCAAAACGCAAAGATGCTCAGGCTTAGGATTGGAGCCGTAGTTGGGGAAGGGCATGCGATCAACAAGGACATCAATGCCACTCCTAGGCTGGTGAAACTCGGCGAGGATATCACTGGTTCGGTTACTCCATTAGCATCATAACATGGATAGCTCGACACACACGTGTTGCCATCAATCTCACCTTTCAATAACAAAGCACACCCAGCTTAGCCGTGTCAGTTCCTGAATCTCAGCCTGACCCGACAAGATATCCTTGCACCTACTCTCAGTCAGCAACATCCTCACCATACGAACCAAGAAAGAAAAAAAAAAAAAAAACTTACCGAATCAAAAGCTGCTGTATACTCGTCGACGCCATATGTATCAGCCTCCACGCCGTCAACGGCTGCACCACATACGTAAAGTACAGCGCACACAAGATCAACCCCTGTGACAGCTGGATGTTGCCGCTATACGAGACTGTCCACGCCGGCATCAGGAGCCGGAGCGCCCTCTGCATGCAGGCATCGCCAGTATTTTCATTCTCCCCGTGATCGATTGCATCCGAGGCAGTTGCTCCGAGGGCTAAGATGGCAAGGATCAAGGCCGACCTGATGTCAGAGCTCAAGCCTTCCCTCATGACCACCTCGTAATTCAAGATGAGATCGTCGCGATCAAAGATGGGGTGGAAGGCATGTACCAAGGCGAGAAAGCTACTAAGATAATCATCTGTGACTGCTCTGTCAAGATGCTTCGTATTATCGAGCCTGCATGTGGCCATAAAATCCATCGCCAGAGGTGGTGCTCTGCTCTCCTCGATCCGGAAGAAGAAGTCCTCAAGATAGTCACCCACCAAGGGACGCATCTGTGGCAGCGTCAACAGACTATTCGTGCTCGTCTGATGCCCCAAAGGTATCGTAATTGGAGGTACTTCGTCACCTCTCGATGGATCGCCCCATTCACGTGTGGTGAGGGCCCAGGTAGAATGCGGCATTGATGGCTCTCGTGAAGAAGAGTGCGGACTCTCATCATTCTCGACATTCTCAGCTTGTCGATAATAGTCGGGCAGCGGGAGCGGCGTCATGGAGGCGGACAAATCCTGGCGATGCTGCGGCGGCCTCTCCTGCAACATTCGCAGCGTCTCAGCGTGTGCCCTCAGCGCTATCTCGATGCTATCCAGGCGCGCAAGCAACGCGTCCGAAATCACCGCGCATCCATTCCCAGGGCCCATTCCGTTCAGTAGGCTGCGTATAGACATGGCCCTATTTCCACGAGATTGTCAGAATAAAAACAAACTTCCCCCCGCGTCGCAGCCAACCGAAACAGCTTCACTTTGCCATGCAAGCTTCTTCCACATTCACGCGTACCTGGGAGGAGCAGGTTCTGTGTAGCTACAATCCAACCCCTTCGCTATACAGTACGAACACTGCGGCGTCAGACTATCGCAGCGCCTCTTCCTGGGCTGTCGTCAGTCCATGCAAACGAAAGGCTGTCGATTCTGTGCCTGAACCTACCGCTGCCGACAGTAATTGCAGGCAATCATGGCCCTTTGTCTACCGGCATTCATAATGGGCGGTATCGGCTGGGCGTGGCCAGCGGCTGGTGCTGTTTCCTTTGCATCCACAGTCGGACGAGAAAGAGGAGAAAGAGATGGAATCGTGCATCGTGCATCTTCAACCTCGCCCTCATATGCATCCAAGAGGCGAGGCTGGAGGGCATCCTGGCCAATTGAAACGAAGGGTGCAGCTCAGGTACGCAGGTACAGGTTCAGAAAGGTCTCCTGTACAGGCGATAGCGGCATTGATCCAGCTTTGAAACAGGTACTCTATACTTGATGGCACAGCCGAGTCTGACTCAGCAGCTCTCTCAGTGACCAACCTGGAACTTCTCACCACAAGCTCACTGAAGGAGGCGCTCATCAACGCAACTTGACATACGAGTTGAATAAATAGTTGTTGAATTTCTAGCATCAAAATCCATCGTCCATCCATCCCCATCCACTAAACCAAAGCCCCGTCCGTAGCCGTTTCTAGCGCCTTGGGTTCGCATTTATACAAATCTCTAAACGCCTTGTTTCCCTGAAAGAGTGGGCTTTGCTCTTCATTTCAGTCATCTCGTTCTTATCAGATCGACATAGGGGTATAACTCATCCCATTCCTTCCCAAAGGCAGCAGACCAAAGACAAACGTGAGAAATAACAGCAAAACCAAAAGGACAAAGTGTCAAAAACAGACCAACATGCTTATGTAGCAGTTCCCGCCATGTGAATGCTCCTCCCCCCTTAACTCCACTATGAATGACTCCAACGCCGAGTGCTTTTCATTCTTGCACTCAGACGAAGATGAGAATAAATGAGAAAAGAAAAAGAAAAGAAAAAGAAAAAAAAATCCTAAGCCTAAGCCGAAAGCAAAAATCGCGCCATTTTCTATCAGTCAAAAGTGCCCATGCGCGGCCCGAAATACTCCCCTGGCGCAAGATGCTTCAGCGTACATGCCTTGCCCTCGCAGCCCATGTCTGATGCCATGTTGCCCCACCAGTGGAAGTTGACGTCGGTGTATTGCAAGGCAAAGAAAATGATGATGCCCGAGATGGCGATGCCGCAAGACCAGGCCGCTGAGAGAACAAAGTTGTACTGTGCAGAATCAGTTAGTACAAATCCAAGAGTTAAAGTGAAGGGGAGGGGAACCGCATACCTTGGACCAAAAGGACACAAAGCGAGTCTTGAGATAAACCCAGGAAATCCACGCAATCGGAACAGACGGCCAGACGTACGACATGTTGTATGGTGCCCAGACGATGCCGCCATACATGATGGCCACTGGGTGGATTTGCCGAGTCCAGGTCCACTTGGGGAACTTCTTGTTGAGCCCCCAGAAGAAGACGACAACGACGATGCCCAGGGGGAACCCGACCAGGATCTCCGTGTACTGTCCGGAATGGCCAAAAATCTTTTGCGGTCCGACTGTTCCCCACAGGACAGAAGCGGTGAAGAAGGTGTTGACACCTGGGCAGGTGAGTTTGAACTGGGCATCGGGAGTGCAGACGCCGGTGATGCTCTTCATCTGGAAGTTGAGAACGCCGGTGCAGATAATGGTGCTGATAAAAGTGGCAATGATTTGGGCGATGAAGGTCTGGCGAGGCGGGATCTTGACGTAATGGGCGAGCTTGAGATCGTTACAGAACCACACAGCGTGTGCACAGGTAACGTAGCCAAAGGATTTGAAGTAGTTCATGGCCAGCGCATTGCCATCGACAAAGGAACCGCCAATGAACTCGGCCAGCACGTTGAGGGTGACCTCGATACCTGTCATGGCCTTGATGATGCCCACGGGAATGACAAAGATGATGCAGAGCGCCAGGCCGTAAAACACAACTCCAGGAGATGTGTTTGTGTCCCACCCGGCGATGCCAGCAACGCCCAGGGCAATGGCGACCACGAGGCAGATCAAGTACCACCACTCTGGAACCTCGGGATATGCCTTCATCAGCCGGTTGTGGACGTCGAGGACCCTTTCGTCTTTGATCGGGTTCTTCTTCTTGCGAAAGCTGGCGAAAAGAGACTTGAAGCCCATGATGATTTCGTGACGGTGGTATAGCACAGCGTAGGTCAAGGTCGAGGTATAGATGGCGAAGAAGAACATGTAAATGACAATGTTGCCGGCGCTCAAAAAGGGCGGCGAGTATGCTTTGTACTCTTCGGCGTGGAACAGTCCCCGGTCGTCGACGGCCCGGCTAATGTTGTAGAGCTTGCCAAAGTGATCATATACACGGTTGCTGTTGATGGGGAGGTAGCCGGTGTCGTAGACATTGCTGTACCAGAAGGCGAGGACAACCCAGAAGGAGATGAAGACGCCAAAGAAACGGTTGAGCGTACTGTAGAAGGGGACCATGAGGGGGTCGGCCGAGTCCCACAGCAAAACGTTCCAGTCAAAGGTCGGGAATGGGTTGACGCCCAGGCCGTGGTTGATTCCAGTGATGACGTTGAGGTCGCGGTTGTGGGGGGCAATCCAGGTCAGCCAGTTGAACCTAGACAAGGCAGTGAAGATGTAGTTGGGGAACCAAAACCAGACAAACATGGCGCCGAACATGAGGTAGAAAAACTTGATGCGAGATATCTTCCATTTCTTGCCAAAGGGGCCCTCGACCGGAGCATTAGATTCGTTGTGAAAAGCCTTGTTGAGGGCAATGGTAACGAGAGAAGCCGGCCACACGCAGTACGACGGATACACCAGGAAGCGGCGACAGATTCCCGCCATGCCGTAGCCAATGAAGTTTGTGGCCAGGGCAATGAGAAGCTGATAGGCAACGTGGGATGCGTAGGGTTGATTAAAGTACTGGGGCAAATATTGCACCCAGATGATGTTGTTGGTGTAGGGCGTGTTGTAAGCCACGTTTGCCATGATGGTGATGAGCATGTGCTCCTTTTTCGAAAAGGGGCCCGGGTTGAGGGAGTGATATGTGCCAAAGAGAGTGAAGCCGACGTCTGGCAGCCAGTTCTCGCAGGCCTTACCCACAGGGTAGGACAGCAGCTGGGCAACGTTGGCCATGACGCGGATGGCGGGCTGGCGAATATCGAACAATTGATTAATAAAGGCCAGCAGGCAGCTGAAAGCCAGGCCAATGACCCAGCTGCGGATGGTCGAGCAGGGCGTTGTGGGATCGTCCTTGTTGCTGACGACTGCGCGAACCTCGGCGTAGGGGCTGTTGCTGGTGACGAGGGCGGCTTCCAGCTTCATCTCCTGAATCAGGTGCTGGTGCTTCTCGGGGTTGGAAAAGACAGACTCATTTTCGAGAAAGGCCTTGATCTTGTGGATGATGATGGAGGGAAAGTTGTGGTCTTTTTCGTGGACGCGATAGACTCGGGTCATGATATCGCGGACCTCTTGGAGGGTATACCGGGAGGCGAGCTCCTGGGCCTCGAGCAGATCATCTTCGGTGACGTTGAGGTCGTGCTCGGTGGTGTTTTGCGGAGAGAAGTAGTCGCGATCGTCTTCGTCGTAGGAAAAGGGCTCCTGCGAAAGGGGGCGGGCGGCGAAGAAGCCCAAAGAGTCAGTGCCAATTCATTGAGGAAGCTGATGACGAATGCCAGGTCTTGAGAGGAGAAGCAGAAGCAGCGAAGAAAAAAAAAAAAAGGGCAGAGGAGAGGGGGGAGGGCGGTGGCAACTGTTGCAGAACAAGATGGAGAGCGCAAGAGGATGCTGAGGCCAGCGAATGGCGTCGTCGTTGGCCCATTCAATGGCTTTTCTCATTCCCTCCAACCAAACATGCACCCGAACCCTGGCGGTGGTGATGCTGGTGATGCTTCCATTGTTACAGATGCGACACCGCCCGCGCAGCAACATTCCCAGCGCAAAAACAGAAGCAGGCGGAATTGCCCCGACCACGGCGTCCTTACCGAAATAACATCCTTGATATTGTCGTCGACGATGGACGGGCGAGACGAATTGGGCGACATCTCGGCCACCCCGCCAGTGGCAGCGGCCTTCTCGTCGTCGCTCATCGAACAGGATGAGCCAGACCGGGGGCGACGAGTCGGACGGCGCTCGCTGTCGTCTCTCGATTCGGGGGACGTTGAGGCCGGCGAGGCCAGTGGGCAGCACGGGGCAGAGGATCAAGGGCCAAGGCTGCAGAGCTTAGTGAGAGTGGGAGGTGAAGAGAAGAAAAAAAAGCTGGAGAAGAACGAGTCCAAGGCCGACGAAAAAGACGCCAAGGGCAAGGCCTGGACGCAGGGACGGATGGCGGATTTGGGGATGACGGGCTTCTGGCAGTGGACTCTCGCTTCTCGGGGGGCCGTCCTAGCGCCTCTGGGGGCTTATTGGGCCTTCTGGACCGTCTCCAGCGGGCTCTTCTGTCCACTGAGCGAGCGAGGCAGGCAGGGCGCCAGGTACTCCGCAGGTCGTCGCAGGTCGTCGTAGCGGGTGCGAGGTCGGGTCCAGGTACTTGCAACTTGATCGGATCAACATCTCCCAGTGGCTCCCAGTTGGTGCAGCCAGCAACAGGCGAGACTCATCAGTCGGTCACACTCTGACGGCCGGGGTACCTGCGCGGTACTTTCTTCTGGACCCGAAGCCTCACTGGCAACGCCAAGCGGCTCTAGGCTCTACATAGTACAGGCAATAGACACCTGCCGATGGCCTTCCCGTGCGAGAGGGTACCTGGAGCGTCACCTTGCCAGAGGCTGCTGCGCCTCAATGCGACATGCTGGCTGCAGCGTTTTGCTGCGGGTGGTGCAAGTACCTGCTCGAAGCATCGGAGCTCGTCTTGGCACTGCAGCCAAGTACACTCCAGGTTGCGGGTACTTGCCGGTGCGGTATCGCGATCAGAAACGAGCCAATCCAATTGACAGCTAACCTATCAACACAACACCTCCTCACTTTTCAACTTCCCAACTTTGCCATCCCAGTGCGTGAATTGCTTGTGATGCCGTCATCTTCCGGATGCGTTCTTTTTTTCTCCTTTTCCTCCTATTTTTTTCATATCTTTTTCTTCTTTCTCTCTCCCTCCTCTGCCGTGCAACCGCGCAAGTTGCATTACACGCCACTCCTCAACGGCAAAATCGGCTCTCAGCCCTCATCCCTAATCCCTAGTGGCGAGATCGTCACGGCTCTCTTCCTGATGCCCAGCTCTCCACTGGCCAACAAGGCATCAAGGCGTTGCATCGTCTTTTCAGCTGCATGACTGCTAATACAGTACTCGTACTAGGTCGTGCCTACATTGCGGATTGCCTATCTATCTTACAGAGCAGAGTGTTGCTTCGCCCGTGTGACAACCGTTTTCAGGCTTGGGCTTTTGCTTGGGCTTCAGACATGCAACCATGACGGACCCAATCCTATACCTAGTATCGTCCACTACAGAAGAGCAGCAACAGAAAAGCAAACGCTTCTAGCGGCTCTTTTCGAAGTCTATCCCGTCTCTCTCTGCCTGCGATTGGGCGCTAGGGGCTGCTAATCGGCACACGGCAATCATGGCTCGTGGTCAAGGTCCCACTGGACGGATGGCGATCGGCTTAGACGGCACGCGAGAGCAGCTTGAGAGTCATCCGCCATCAGTCGACAGCTCGGACAGCTGGCGAATGGAGAGCTCGTGTCAGCTTTTCGATGCTTTGTCCGACACTGAGCAGGGTCCCAAAACACAGCCATGCAGAGCACAAGCTGCCAGTGGCCGGCACATACGAGTAATAAGAGGCGGAGGATCTATCATGCACCAGGTGCTACAGGCCGTTCCGTACAAGCGGCATGGTATGTCATATCGCACATCCTAATGGTCGCTCTATGGTGCAATATCAATAGGGCAGTGATCCTGTGCCTAGAGTTAGCTCCCGACACTCGTCTGTCGCATTTGATGCCCTATCGAACTTTTGAAACCCCGGCTATCGCTGCCACCAAAAGCTGCATCACAACAACCCGAGCAATTGCCGCTGTGGTCCAACGTTCGGTAGTGACGGCGCAAGCGCGGCTCCATACTTGTACGATCGGGTTTCTTTGTTCGGAGTACCGCAGGGGAACAACGGAGTCGCTGTCATCAATGTCATCCTGGCTGTTGGTTACGTCGTGCGGGACTCGGCATGATAGCGCCTCCATTCCAGTTGCTAGCCGGTACGACGCCGAGTATCCACGCTGCAGAATACGTGTTACAGTATTTCACCCTTGATCTTTGATGAGCTGAACAGACATGGCATGTCCAGCAGAGCCACAACCAGGTCCGCGAACTCGGAATCAGAGAACTGCCTCCTCTGCTATACAGACATACCCAATACAACCCACGTTGCTCGCAATCATGGCGCAATTGGCCTGCCTCTTCTCAGGAAAGGACAAAAAATCCCCATTTCCCCGGCTTAACTCTCGGCTCCACTTTGCCGTCTTGGCATTTCTCCCTGCTGACGCGTTCAAAGAATGAATGTAATGATGCTCTGCTTATCAGCATTTCAGGCAGTTCGTGAAGGCAATATGGAGTCTCAAACACGTTGATCGATTTGTATACACGCCTTGGGGGTTCTGCTCGATGTAAGGACGCCAAAACAGGGTGCCGCAAAGTTTAATACCCTCCAGTCGTCGCCACTGTTAGTAGATACAACCGTCACGCTGCAACAGACAGCTAAACTGCTAGTATCCTACTAACAGGTGGCCACAACGCCCATCTTGCTGAGAACCTCACCATCGTACCAGATTTGACAGTGACAAGATGGACTGAATTACCGTTGCATGGTACCTGGCTACCCACGTAGTACCTGGGCATACAGCCTGGTGTGTATTCTTAGTAGTTATATCTTGACTCTGACAGCAACAGCTCAGACGATATACCGTATACCATAGCAGACAAGCTCCGCCCAATATGGCTTACCCTCTTTGGCACCAAAAAGAGGGAAAATACTGTACCAAAAGTAATCGACATTTAATCTCATATCAGCGCATACAGGTTTGGTTTAGTTAGTAGAGCTCGCATACACACACACACACTCACTCAGAGACTCTCTCTCTCTCTCTATATATATATATATATATATATGATGCGAGAGGAGGAGAGCTATGTGTATACTCCATCCTATGATTACTTATATAGATTCAATAATCTCAGATCACCTGCCCACCATCTTCTACCCACCTAGTTGAACGCAGTGAGCATTTTAATATGATTCCAAAGCAGGTTTATGCTTCATGGCGATACGGGTGGTTCATAATGATCACAATCACTAGATCGTCCGTCTGATGATCATTGAAGATGATCTTGTTTCGCTTTCGCTTGGATCAGGAACATCGTTCAAGGCTGGCCATGTGTCATAAATGAACTCGAAGCGCAACTGAGGGAAAATAGGGCAAATAGACTTATTGGCGTTCCTTATTATACTATTTACATATGAGTCTCATGACGAAGAATCACTTCATGCTTGCCACATGGGCTTTGGGCTAGTAGCAATCGGTATGTCTTCCTTACTAACCAGACTTTGATACCCTTGGTATATAGATGTCAGAAGTCTTGGTACAAAGAAAAGAGTGAACACGTCAGAGGCTATCGAGTAGATAGCTAGCAACGACTTCTCAGCTAAGTATACAATAATGATCGTATTTATCTCTGATCTTTTCATGGGATAGTGGGAGTGTTCCTTTTGTTATAGTCCTTTATGAAACCTAGATGCTTTCTTTCAACTTCCTCACCCTTTGCCTCCTAACAATGGAGATTAGCCCATCTCTCCGTTTTCTGTCAATTCTTCAGAACTGTTGCGCACCCTCCATAGTGATAGGTAGATTTAGAGTTCACACTGGGGAGGCGTCGATAAGTCTCGGCCAACGGCCTCTTGGTTTTTGATGATCACAATCCAGTTACATACACAAATCCCACGTTGCTCGTGTTGAGTGACGCTTGTGTATCCTGCTTGAACCCTGATAAGAGCCATAATCCGAATGGCCCTAACATGAGCCCAAAGGGGACTGAATGTAACCTAGTAAACATGAAACGAGAATCGCGAGAAGGAACGTCCCTAGGTTATCGGGTTGTTTCTTCTTTCTTGTAAAATATTAGGAGTTGCTGGTGTATTCTAGTTCAGACAGCCACGAGATGGAGAGACGCCTAACAAGACATCTCGGGTAGCCATTTGGTGGACTCGAAACGATGCTTAAGAAAACACTACAAGTAGTTATATTATGAGCGCGGCTTGGGGATCTTTTCCCAAGGCCGATCGTCGGCTGGAGTTGCTGGTTTCGCATTCTGATCTTCCTCCGTTACATGAGCACTAAACCTCCTCGTCATCTTGATTCCGTCAAACATGAGCTCCTCCACGCTATCACCCTCGGCGTCACGACGACTGGTGCGCGCTCGAGCGCTGCTGACATGGTTGTGTGATCCGAGGGCATAGACCTGGCCGGACTTGCTCGTGACAGTTGTTTCCTCTCCTCCGAGTCCTAGCCATCGAAGCACCTGCCTTGTGAGAGGTACCCAGACAATCGGTAGACCTGCAGAAACTCTCTGGTTAACGCGGAACTTGTAGGAGATTGGGAGAAGAGTTGATCTAATCTGGAACGGGAAAGGGACGTACAAGCGCAAATAATCCCGACATTGGTCTCGACAAACGTCCAGCTGTTGGATACGGCTTGATAATCTGCACAGTCCCAATATTAGCATGCGTTGTGGAGGGTCAAAGGAGTTGTAGGTAATTATTTGACTGACAAGTCTGATCCGAAGCTGTCGTCTGTGGTGACACAGTAATCATTCGTATAACGGTACAAGCAATAACGAAAATACCGAGACTAAAGAGTGCGCAAAGCAGCAACTTCTTCACCAGCGGCAGTTGGAGTCGTCGAATCTCGTTGATTGGCAGTCCGATGATCAAAATGTCCGTGATAATGTTCAAGACGGATGTTGCTGTTTCAATAACGGTTAGCAAGGCTCCGCAACAGAATAGCCAACACGGATTCAACTCACAGTACCAGATGCTAATCGAGTTGACGCAAACGCCAGGCAAGGTCTTATTCCAGGACTTTTCGATGGGCTTGCAGGCAAAGATTGTCAACAGCACTGCGGCCAGCGTGTAAGCGGCGGTTACCGCCATGACGCTGACGACGGCGATGCGAAACTTGCGGTCCGGGAAGATGCGTAGATACAGCATGCCCAGGGACATCTTTGTGAGGCATGTCGTGACCTTGTATAGGATCTGAGCGGCAAAGAACCACTATGCTTTTTATGTCAGAGCTCGTCTTTCCATCGCCTTTTTCGCAGCCGCTGTTCGTTTCCCGTGCTTACCTTGAAGGCTAGGATCTTGTGATGCGCATCGATCTGGGTACTGTGAAGTCCAAACCCATTTCCAGCTTCTATTTTGTTTCCTTCATGTTAGCCACGAGACATGGATGCGGCAAATACAAAACGAACCTCCGTTGTAAGCGGCTGTCATGCAACAAGCGAGAGCCTATTAACAAAAAAGAGAGAGAACACAAGTTAGACGTTGATTCCCATCCAGCGCTACGTTTTGTGAAGAACATTAAAGGGTGTCCATACCAGCGCCGCCACAATCAAGGCATCGTCGGCTCCAAAGGCTTTTGTGTGAAAGTATCTCGTAAACAGCCGCAGGATGACAAAGAAGCCAGCTAGGCACACGAAGATGATGGACAGATGAGCGAGACTCTCGCCGCGGGGATTCGGATCCCCATCATCGATGGCATCGCGCTTGCCGAACGGCGCGTCGATGCCAAAATCGATCATGGCATGCGAGGCAGAGCTCCAATAATTCGATGGGGGGGCCCGATAGATCACAAAATGCACATCACGGTAGATAAGAAGAACGGGCGGGACTGTTGGCTTATAGGTCGAGATTTATGGTTTATCCCTCGGCCGTCAAGCCCCCGGCAGTGATCAAGAAGGATTCGGGCTGCTACTTTGCCACAGTTGGGGAAGACCGGGAGGACCAGGAAAACTAACCCCTTTCATGGTCCCCTGCGTTAGTTTGGCCATGTTGCTCTTACTGCTACTAACTACTACCACCTCAGCTCGGCAGAGAATCTGGTACCGTGTCACAGAGTCGTATTGACAAGTGGTTCGTTTCCGTAAAGGTGATACAACCCTGCAAGTCATGCGGGCCTGCAGGGACAGCAGTTCAGATGGCGGAGGAGCTTGCAGAATGTAACAGCAGATTTCAGGCTACAAAACGCGAAACAATGTTTGATTGTGTTCCGTATCAAGAAGGCGTCTGTTGATACTGTTCCTTGACGATAAATAGATCCAACACTAGTGCCTTTCTTGACAGCTTGCCAATCGTCTAAATTGCCGGAAAAGGTTTTCCGCATACTAGCATCATCAACTAATTCCAGCACGGGCCACATTGCCGGTTCTCCCCTCGTTGAAATCACGCAACCAGGTTGTGGGTTCTACCCTGCCTGTTGAGATGGACTTGCAGAGTCTCGAATCGTCTTAGAGTATGGATTATACCCTCTCAGGACCAGGAGCCTAGTCAACAGGCATAAGTACAATCCCCTTATTAACCACCAAGTTTTTGTATGTTCAACAATGAAAACTCGAGCTTCTGAAAGTGGCCATGAACTAGGCAAATACGAAAGATACGACGAGACTCCATCACCTTTTCTTTCCGCTCCCCGGTTTCGGAAATAGGGTGGCATTTGCACCACGTGCTACGGAGTACTAGGCGGCTGAGTTGCAATTCAGCTTGCTAAACCTATTCCTGAACCGGCGTCTCAACTTCGTCAAGTACAAGGCGAAGCCAACGCTGGCACTTTTGGAATCCATACCAATCATCTCCTGCATTTCGGAGCAATTGCCGGTATCCCGGTGTGTCAGTGATGGAGCTTTGCAGGGGTAATGTCGCCGTCCTAATCCTTCGGCCATTTGGATAAATTGGGAAAATTCCATTGGACGGGAAAATAATCAAAAAAAATCGTCAACAAGACACTTAAATGCAGCCACCTGCCAGTGGCGCAAGTCTTTCTTGCAAGTACGAAGTATTAGTCTTTACTAGAACGCCGGTGGTTTTTTTTTTTTTTTTTCATCCTGGAACATGGACAGGCCTCCCTTCCTACCCAGGTTAGAAGAACAGCCACACGGTAACGCGAATTGCGTGTACAGTTCCTATGATGAACAGCTCTTTGCCGTCGGTTAGAGGAGTTACTGGATAAGTAAACATGACTCACCAAGGTCAGGCCTAGCCGAAAGCATGACAAAGACAATTGCCTCTCTTGAGAGAATATAGGCGAAAATGGAACCCGATCCCAAGACAAGTCACGCAATGCTCGCCACAGTGTATCTAGTCAAGCTCTGACAATTCTCTCGCCCTTTCCCTCACGATATCAGTAATCTGAAAAAGACAGCCCTCAATTAATTACTGTCCTAGGAAAATGGAGGTGTTTAATTTTCCGAATATCCGAGTTCTGTGGAACAAGATGCGTTCTACTTCTTCTCAACTATGTCGTGCCTTAGATGCACTTTGGCCCCCATTCTAAACCAAGGAAGCCCACCCGTCATTAAACTAAAGTCGCAGCCTGTCGATTGCATGTTCAATGGCAACGTTGTGCGGCACAACACGTATGCTGGAGCCAAAAGACGATTTTTCGTGCTATGGACTAGCGTTTGGATTTAAACCATTCCGTGTAAGAGTATACTATTAGGCGTTAGCAAAAAGTCCTCGCGGGTTTCTTCCGGTTCAAAAGGAAACTGCTGCTAAGGGAGTTCGGTCTCAAGCTAGTCGGCTTAGCTGATTCTGATTCCATGTAAACAGCGCTGGTGGGCTTTGTGCCTATATAAGGGACGGGTCAGGCCGCTGGATGTGGCACATAGATATTTGGTTGGATGTCGTGAGAACTCAATCGCAATTGGGTGTGCAGTTGCTTTATTTTGCCTTTTAGCAACCCGCTGCAAATGCATAGAAAAAGATACTGGATTGGCCAGAAACGGTTGTCAACGCTTTGTTAAAGGGAGCATGTATACCCACCCATCTCCTTTGCCAAGACGGGAGGAATGCCGAGAGGGAGAGCAATGGCATAGACAGGTGGAAGCTTTGCATGACCCCCATTTTCGTGTTATTCCCGATAACCGCAACACAGTTCGGTGAAGCATTTGCAAGAGTATTCCATTGCGACGGCGCTAGAACTGACGGGCTGAAGAATACGGTCCAACAGGTCGGTAAATGCGGGAGAAGGCGACCTTGGCCAGGGTTCTCGTCGGTCCGCTCACTGCAGAAGTGCATCAATAGCCTTGATATGCGAAGATATGGAGGATTCTCGCCTGGCAAGCGATCTGTTCCGGGGGCTGAGATAGTCTGAGTCCGCCAGCCGCTTAGATAGCTACCTATTCTTACCCACCTACACACGAGTATGTAGATCCAGCACAAGAGATGGATGGTTTTCTCCCCGGCGTAGACAAGATGAGCCATTACCCAGCAACTCATCTCCCCGATGGCAATGTCACCTCGCCGAATCCCGCCCACTAATCGCTTAATTTGGTTCCGCTTTCGACAAGGTCCCCCAGACACAATTGAACCAAAACAGGCTGCTATTGAAACGGTCAACCAACAACACCCAGCAAAAGAGTAGCAAACAGGGACCTCGTTTTAGTCTCTCTGCTCCGTCCCCAGTTGCGGTGGCCGTTGCTAATGTCATCGAATATATCCGCGCCCACCACGTGTTTGCAACCATGCTTTACTTGACATGGCTAGCTTCGCGAGAAGATTGTCCCGACTCCAAGATGAGCCTTGCGCGTCGACCCCGTCGCAAGTTGAGTGTGTCGCTAATCAGAGAGACATATAACTACGTTGTCAAGCGCAATGTGTCGCCATCATGTAGTTCTAGAAGCAGAGGATAGAGGGGAACGCAAGAAAAAATAACAAAACCCCCAAAAACAGATTCCCTGTCTCTCTTCGTCTTCCCGACTCTTCAGTAACAATGCAGTCGCGTTCTCTTGTGCTGGCCAGCCTCGTGGCTTGCGCCCAGGCTCTGGACACGGTCCAATATGGCGCCTTGTGAGTCTGACGGAATCTCTCTTATCTCGACCAAAGCATTGACTTGAGCGCAGCCTGGCCACGGCCACATACTCGGTCGCCAACCAGCTGGGCTTCTTCACCGAGAACGGCCTCAACGTTGTCTACAACCAAGTGCCCAACAGCACAGCGGCGTTTGCGTCCATCCTCAACGGCCAATACGACATCCTGACGGCGACGGTCGACAATGCGCTCAACTACCGCTTCAACCAGAACCAGAACGTGACGGTCATCGGCCAGCTGGACCAGGGCCCGGATCTGGTGCTCGCGTCGATCCCGTCCATCACTAGCATCGACCAGCTCAAGGGCAAGCCCATCATTGTCGACTCACCCCTCAGCGGCTACGCATATCTGCTGCAGGATGTTCTGGCCACCCACGGCTTGACGCTGGCCAACAACGACTACTACTTCATGGTGAGTTGAGAGAGAGAGAGAAAGGAAAAGCAATTGGACACAGAACTAAGTTCCTATTATATAGACCGTCGGTGGAACTCCCCAGCGATTCAGCGCCCTCGTCCACGAGGCCCTCCCCAACGGCACTGCTGTCTATGCCACCATCCTCACCTATCCCTTCACCGTCGAGGGCCAGGCTCTTGCCCCCGGCCAGGCTCCCAACATCCTCGCCCGCATCTCCGACGTCGTCGCCCCCGTCACATCGAGCGCCTTCACCATCCGCCAGTCCTCCCTGAGCAACAAGGCTGAAAACGCCCTCCTGACTCGCTTCATGGCCTCCATGTACGCCGCAAACAAGTTCCTGCTCAACCCCAAGTTCAAGCCCTGCTCCATCCAGGCCCTCGTCAAGCAGCTCGGCGTCTCTGAGGCTGTTGCCGCGCAGGAGTACGCTTCTGCCACCAACCTCCTGTCCGGAGAGGTCTCGCCGCCACTCAACGACTTCTCCGTCAGCTCGAAGGGCATCATGAACGATGTCAACATTCGAAAGCAGTTTGGCGGCTTCAGCGTTCCGGCGACATTTGACTTTGCCGCCGCTTTGGTTCCGGGTGTTGGCAAGCTCATTGACTATTCCGTCAAGAACGCTGCCATTGCGCAGTACAAGAAGCACCCTTTGACTGGCAACTGCACCCTTTCTTGCAAGCTTCGAAGGTAGAGGACAGCGAAAGCTCTAGATTTTCTTCTGTTTCTCATTTAATATACATATATAGACAGAGTAAATAATTAATGACACATTTCGTACGCTGCGAGGCTCAATATAGTTGTTTCAAAGAAGAAAACGAAGGAGCCTAATTTTTGTTTGTTTGTCCAATAAGTCATGTTCATATTAGAGTTATTTTTTCGTGAGTATAATTCATCATTTAACAACACTTTGTCCGTCCAGTGTATTACACGTGTATGCTTGGAAATATGAAATACCACGAAACGATGTGCACATCATATGAATCCTTAGTACCTAGCCAGCGGTGATCCGCGGTGGGATTGATTCTGTACGTCACTTGAGAGGCATTTGTATTCTTCAATGTATACATGTTGAAAGGGTCGTCTCCAAGTCTCGGATGGATATGTTGCTTGTGAGAGACTCAGGATGGCCATTCGAAGAGAAGCTGTAATACCTCCGTGCTTGTTCCGAAAGGGTGAACTGTTGTTTGTCCACGGACACAGCAATTGCAAAGCATAGTAAGAGTTGTATTATTTTGTTCAAACAATTCACCATTTCATTAGCATTGATAATGCGATGGAAGACTATTTCATTTCGTCTAGCTTGTCTCTGAGAAGACTACAAATTCCCTCCGAATACGTATTCATTCGGTTATTAAAACTCTCCCGTTGACAGGTTGGCAAATACTTTAGAAGAGTAATTCTTTCAAGACATCACAATCTTACTATTTTCCCATTCAGATAGTCAGATACACTGCGATTGATCCTGGGAGAGAAGTCCTGCTCTTCTACTTCACTGACAATTGGATCTTCTATGCATTGCACTATTAGTAGTTTCTTTGCATACTGTTTTCGAGGTCAAAATTAATGAAATATTCATGTATATCAACTCCGGTCTACTAGTCAGCCCCCTTTCAACTCGTTAATTGCTCCTTGAATTCCAGGGGTGACGCTGGTTTCATAAAGGAGAGTAAGGCTGTACTATGGATAGGATATCCATATATTCAAGCTATCAGTTGATGAAATCAATATATAAATACCATTTATATACACTTGGCAGCTTCAATAACCCCAAGGACGCGAAGTGGACGGTTCCTGAGCTACGTGGTTAGAATTCTATTGGAATAGGGAGAACTTGTAGTGGAGACTTGGACAGTTGAAAGATTTCAACGGGGTCCAATTGCGTCATCTCCTTTTGCCATTGATAGTCTAGAATGGTTGTCTGAGCATTCCTGAGAACAAGCAGCTGAGTGTCATTGAGACTGATGAAGCTATATGATTGAGGACTTATGACCACACAGTCATGGATATCACGACTGGCAGATTTCAATTAGAATGTACCATAGAATGTACTAGTAAAGTACAAAATAGGCATTCATTGCTATTCTAGGCTAGTATATAGCCTTACAATACGCAAGATAAATACGATTCTCGGCAAAGGATCCGTCCATCGGCGAGTTTTACAAACTCTGCCGACCATCGATCGAACGTAGCCAGCCAAGCATACAGCCAATCAAGATCTGACGACTTGTCATAAAGCCAACTCTTAGAATAGCAGAACTGTGTAGATCTTTGCAGAGAGCTGAACAGCCCACACTCTACAAGTATCTCGATGAACGATAGATCGGGAGTCAGTGCTCAGCAATTTTTTACAACAGATACAGATGCAATAGGTTAGCAATCACCATAACTTCCGTTCGTCCGCTTATCACATCTGGCAGTCATCTGGGAAATACAGTAGATGAGAAATAGAAATGAAATAACCAGGATCGGCATATTGTGATCACCCTGCATTGCTGCATGCAACGCCACCACCTACATCGGACCCATGACTTAAATACGGCATATATAAGATAGATACATAATGTGACTATCCTCAGTCATAGCAATTCCCTTGTTTGTAGCATGTATAGGTCACATTAAAAGTAGAAAGTTCCCCTACCTCGTCGCCTCATACAAGAAGAGAAGGGTATAAACGCACGATATTGATGCAACCCTGAGAATAGAATGCGGGGGGTTAGAGTCTGGTCATCTTTTGTAAATATCTTACTTGCGTCGACAGGGTACAATTCAGGAAATTCCGAACAATGTAGAAGATTGTCTTCATGCAAACCCCCCACGCCAAAGGAAAAGCACACCATCAGATATCCCTACGAATCGCCAACATGGACGTACAGCAGTTGACACATACAGTTCTGATCAGGCATGCACATAATTAACTGCCCCCAGCTTCCACAGCCTGATACCCTTGATTACTCACACATGCAATTAAGCAACTCATCCTCAGCATAAATCTCTTCACTGATATAATTAGAGATGAATATACATGCGTGTCGTATGTATGGGCCCCAACACGAGACAATCGATGAAAATAATCACCAATTACAGCAAATCGGGCATCAACATGCCGACCATCGGGAGCAGGCCCAGCCCACGCCAAGGATAACAATCCTTCCGGCCTCGAAACTACCCGCGGTATTTGGGCGAAGTTCCTATGCCGTTGCCGTGACATTGCATCGACGCTGATTGGCCATGGAGAGCAGAGACAAGCCAAAGGGCGTCCCGTCAGAAAAATGTCACGCGCCGCGATTCACCGGGATTTTGGTGAGGTAAAAGAGAAGGGGGAGCATCAAGGCAGCCCCCCCCCCCATCTCGGACCCTTTACAGACACTGCAACCGCACAGACTTGCCTACGATACTACGCTATAATGAACAGGCACATTTACTATTTGCTACGATAATATGTCTCCGAGCACCCCCAACTTCGCCTATATGCAATGCTACGCTTTTTTCTCTTCATGCATGCAGAGAGACAGAAAGAACAAGAAAAAAAAAGGACCCCAACAAGTTCGGGAAGAAATCATGCCTGGCCGTGGGGGGGGAGGGGGCCAGAATTCAGCCGGCATAAACACTATTGCGCAATAATATGCAAACACCGAACACCGCTTGGTCGAAACAAGGAATGCTTGGAAGGGAACTGCAGAAGAAAAAAAAAAGGCTGGCCTCCATTTTTTTTTTCTTTCCCTGGCTAACTTCTCTTCCCAGACTGGTCACCGAAATCCTTCTGCATTTCGCGTTTGAGAGTCGGAGAAACGAGCGGGATAACCAAGAGCAAAACAAGCAAGCCGGCTCAACCCTTGCTCATATCCCACACAACGGATATAACACGTCACACCACCGCTTGGAAACACACCCTCCCTCTGGCTGTGCAGTACTGTATCGTCGTGTACATAGTATCTTTCTGGATCCCACTTCGAATGTCGATGTCTTTTTATGAATTCATTTATCTGAGAGCCGCCTGTCAGACGCCTATCGATCCATCCCGTGAAAAAGAGTCTTACTACGTACACAAGACACGACCGGCGTGCCCCTCTCTCACCAAATTACTGATCGATAGCGCGGAGCGGAAGGGCTCGACTACTCTCGAATCTCGCCTAGCCACTTTTTTCCCTCGCATTCTGAATCCGCATACGACAAGAATGGGATTGGATTGGATTGGGGGAAGAGAGAGAGAGAGGGGAGGGGGGCGTTCCGGAAGTGGGAGCAGCAAACGGACAAGGGCGGAATACAACAGTAAAGTATTACACCACCCCTCCCCCAAAAACTGACACGCAGCCCTGTCGAATGGGGGGAATGAAATGTCAGCATTAAAGAAAAAGAGCACAGACTGGACACGAGAAGCGCCATCTCGGGGGCTTCGACCAGATCGGTCCATCCCTCCGGGTTGGCTTGGCTCGGCCGAATCGGCCGAGGGAAAAGCCGTCATCGTGCATGGTTGCTCGTTGATATTAAAGATGGCTAAGGATGCTAAATACCCCCTAGCATATTGTACTAGGGAGCGGCAGAAGCAAGCTTTTTGGGGCCGTTTTAGCTTTAGTGGTGTCTTGACCTGGGCACTAAAAATGAAACGCTTCAGCAAAGTGTCAATGTATTTTGTCCCCATTTCTCTGTAACAAAGGGGGCACAGCCTTGCCGTTCTGTCACAGCCGTCGGCCAACCTCAGCCCTATCAAACTCTATTGTCCTTTTATTCTTCTTTTATTTTTCTTGTTGGTTGTTGGTTGTTGTATTGTTGTCAATCGGAGCCCAAAGAGGGGGGAGGATCACCGAATAGCTAGACTGCAACTCTTTCAACCTGACAACTCAGACAATACGCACAACAGTAAATCGCAATGGCTGAATAATGGAATCTTTATGCGCAGTTTGTTGTCGCCGTCATGAACGGGTGGGTAGTGCCTTGAGATGACGTGAGGCTAGCTTCAAAGCAGAAATCTGGGCAAAGCGGTCAAAGGATTCAAGACGTACGGACGCTCCGGGCTGGCATTTACTGTTTCTGGTAAGTTGCTTCATAAGCTGCTCCTCATGGAATGTCATTAATGGGCTTCTAGAAGGCTTCGACCCACGGACGTGCTTACATACATGCGAGTGCACGAGTAAGTACGGCCGTGTCAAACTTCCTGCGCGGGAAGACATGAAGGGGGGGCGTCTCCGTTTGCCACCTTGTCAGCAACGTGTATGGATAAACTCATTCCGTCATTGTTTCCTAATCCGGTCACCGTCTAGGCGTTTCCCGTGGATGAATGTTCATGAGCTTATAGCTGAGTTGCTATTTGCTAATACAGCCCAAGATTGGTATCGTCTCTGGGACGTAACCGGGGGGGGAATAACACATGGGCAGCGCAAAAGCTGTCTTGTCAACTTGATGATGCGGACATAATCCTCCTGGCTTGCAATTGACAACCAGATATCCAAACTGACAGCATGTTCCAGAGGCTAGGACTGGATAGTGGTCCCCAATTGCAGAGTGTTCAACTTTCCTTGCAAGGTGAAGCAAGGGGGGCTTAATCTCGGACCGCAAACGGAAGCGACAGTAAGCAAAAGTTGACGGCCGGCCCATAACAAGCCCGGCATGCACGGCAGTGGATGTCGGGAATTAAGAGCTTCGGACTCCTAATGCTTCCTCTGTCGAGGGGAGTGACATGCCGGATTCCATATCACAAAGACTCGCGACCACCGGTGACAACACCATAAGCTGAGCATAGCAACGCTGAAAACATAAACGGATCAGGACAATACCCCTCCCCAGTTTCCCTTCAACGGGCGTTTTTTTCCTGATGGTCACGGTGACAATCGCATCAGCCGGTGGTTCGACATGCCGGACATGACAGCAGCCACGTCCGAGTCCGTCCAAATTAATAATAGCATGGGGGAAGTTGAAGCTCCACGCGCCGCTGATCTAAACTTGCCTGGAAGGGTAAACGCATACGAGAGCACGTAGCCACCTGTCCCAAATTTGTGACCTTAGTCATTAACAGGGTCTTCCAGAAAGAGAAACCCACGAGGCATGAAAGGGGGGGAGGACACGGCACAAAAAACGTGGCGGCAAAGCCGTCATCGTGGCAAAGTCAATGTGATGGCGGCGTCATCATGTAAGGCTGCAAACGTGGGAAATAGGGTCCGCGAGATGGGGAGCCCGGGGAGAGCCAAGAAAGCTTCCTGTCGCTGCTGCCGTCCTATTGCTGCCACGGAGGCTATTGCATTCCGCGTATACGGTAGTCTCTCATACGGTGACCTGGAGAAGGCCCGTGACCATGCGTTTTGTAAGTGAGTAAGTATTACGTGGTTTCGCGCAGCGAATCCCGGTCCGCAAAAGGGCCGTATTGTACACTGGCGACGGAGCGACGGCCTTGTAAACGAGAACGAAACGAGTGAAACTCAAAAAGACACGGAATTGGCGATGTGTTTGAGAGCAACGGACTAGACATAGTCTCAGCGTATGCGCTTCCTGAGTGAGTCCACAAAACATGGAGAGTAAAGGACGTGGACACCGCATAAAGATCGATGCGGTAAGTCAAAGTAGCATATACGTAAACTATACCCCTTCCTGGGGAGAGATCCCACAAACTGGCACGGGCGTTGCGATGTCTGCCTGCCTTTCTGGAAGTAGTGGCATGGAGCCCGGGATGCGTGATTCGATAGTGTCGTTGAACGCTCAAGGATCCGATCTAGCAAAATCTCCTCAAGTGCCGGTGAATGCTTAAAATTTTGAATCAAGAAGCGTTTTCCAACAGGACCAGAATTACACCTTGTCGGTGTCTCCGTCAAAACAGACTAATCCTGCCTGGCATTTACTTCAAAGAGGCATCGTCAAAGTTTGGTTTCGACTCCTCCCCCACTGCGGCCCAGCTGACGGGCGTTGGCCAAGAGCCCTGCATCCCGTCATTGAAGATACCAAGACCTGCATGACGATTAGACCCTGAAAGGACGAGTCTTTTTTTTTTTTTTTTTTTTTTTTTGTTTCTTTTTCTTCCTTTGTGCGTGTATGCGTGTGTGTGTGTGTTTTGTTGGCAGGGTCATTCGATAGATGCTGTAGTGCTTACTTTAGCCCAGGACATGCAGGCGTAAAAGTTCTAGCCCTCTTCTCTGCCCACGGAGAAATAAAACAAGAAGAAAAAGAGGCAAGTGGAAACCCAAAACCATGTCCACTCCCGATCTTGATGACTGTCGCCTTCGTCCATGTTTTGTCAGGGTCCCGATGACGCCGAGAGACGCCGGATCTCGTCGGACGCCATGCAGCACCGACTTGGATCCCGCTCAGGGCCCGGCAGCTCCGGCAGGGCTCCGGCTCGTCACACTGTCGCGGACATGGTTTTCTTTCCAGTAGACCAGTAGACCAGTAGAGGCTGTTTAGCCTCCAGAAGGATCAGGAGACAACTCTATCATGCCGTGCTTGTCATAAGCAGAGCAACACGCCCAGGACGGCGTTTCGTTGCTGCCTAGCGAGGAGGCGCCGGACCCGTTCTGATGAATTATGGTGTCGGTGTAGGGCACACGCAATGACTTGGCCCGGAGAATATTATGACTTGTTTCTTCCATAATCTAGAAACGGCGTGATGATATTTTCCGCAGATATCAACACGCCACGGCAAGCCGGGGACTCAGGCGCGCAGAGGGTATCTCGAGTATCCCAGGCACACGGGCCAGATGGATTTGGGTTTCTCCGAGCAGAAGCTCAATAATACCGTACATAATGCTTTCTTAAGCAGGGCCCGCTTAGACGGTTGATGACGCCCGCCGGGAGGAGAACACATGTGGCAAGAAGCATTTGCCAAATGTGTTGGAGCTGATTAATTAATGAGACAGCACATGAGTCGATATTTCGTTTACGCCCGTTGGCATGAAATATGGTACGATAACGAGTTCCGGAGCAACGGGGTGCATGCATGCGTCGTGTAGATGAAGTCCGGGATTGTGCTTTACAGCCATGGCCTTGTGTCTTGCGCTGCTCAACAATTAGCCTCCTGTACTTGTTTATTTCTAGCCTCTTGAATTACCATTGGTCACGCCGCCGTGTGTTACACAATCCTATTTTGCCGGTGGGATTCATGCAGCCCAACTCACATGGACTGTAGCAACGATATGAAGCAAACACAGGCCTCCCGCAGCTTTCCCCTCTTCCTCTGGTCTCCTCATTCCGATGCCATTGCCGAGCGAGCATCCGCGCTCTGGAAACGGGGGCAACCTGTAATCGTTTACAAAGAAAGGGGGCAGCAAAGAGAGAAGAGAGACGCAATTATGTCCGCAGCAACTCCGACGCCTGTACTGTAGTGAGCACACGAGTAATTTCCCCCGTTGATGACGGGACATCAGTCATGGCGGTCATACTCGGTACTATACGGAGTACATGGCAGCAATAAATTGCCTGAGGCCTTGTAGGCGGCGATTCACCACCAAGCTCTGGCAGAGGGGGGTGTTGAGGATGGATGGCCCGGATACTGTACTCATGACCATGGTGATGCCGGCTGGAAATGCGCAAACGAGGGAGGCATGGAGAAGCCCTGCATTTACTGCATTTACCCCTCACAACGCCTCAGCAACCAGGCGGTCCCAAAGCTGCACGAGTACAAGCTCTGTGGCCTGTAGTCAGTCTATCCCGTCTTGTGTGGTGATGGGAAAAGCTCGCAGAGGCACAAGGTGAGGGGATTGGCCAAATGGGGAAGATGCGTGGAAGCTTTCTGGAAGGCCGTTGCGCGAGGAAAAGGTGGTGTGGATGGTGGGTGAAGGATGAAGGATTGAAGCTGCGGGTCTGCGGGGAGAGGCCGTCATCAGTCAGCGACTTCTAAGGCTCTTCCCTCTGTAAGCCCAGCAATTGGTGGCTGAAGGTATTTGATTACTGCACGTGGTTACAGGTACTGAGCGTTGTGCTGCCCTGCCATAGACGACGCAGGTACATGTACGAGTACAGGCACAGCTCCCGCCCTGATCGCAATCCATTGCAGTTTCAAAATCCCGCGATGCTCATTATAGGTAGGTAGGCAAGTAGGCAACTCGTATACATATAGACTACTCATAATAACGCCAACCTATACTATACCTAGTGGGCAGAAGGATCTCATCCATAGGTTGTGCATCTGTCTGTGTCAAGTTTCAGCGACACTTGGCCCGCTAGCCCACCTCTCCTACTCCTAGTATAGTACTCCGTATTTCCTCTCTCTCTCTCTCTCTCTCTCTCCTTCTCTCTCTCTTTGGGGTCAAACAAAGCCCATCCAATCGTTCCATGACTCGAGCCATCTCGCATTTTTTTCCCTTTTTTTGCGATGCCTGCATTAATATCTCACAAGACCGGCGCCTGCTGCTGCCCTGGACCCGGACCTGGACATGGACCTGGATCCGGCACAGAACAAGACGAGACAAAAGACGGAGACAGACAGAGACAGACGGAAGCCGTCGAAACTTGAGGACAACACGGGCATCGTTTTTTTCTCTTTCTTTCCTGTCCCTCCACAGCACCCCCCCCCCCCCCCCCCCTTCCCCTCGTACCGCGCCGCATCTTGTTTGCGCGAGACACAGACGGGCGTCGCGGCGGGTCAACTGGAGAGCGCTGTTGCTGAGCGGCCGAACCCAAAGCACCGACCCTATCGCCGCCTGGCATCGGCCTCTATGTGTGTACCGGTCGGCAACCGCTCTGGTTTCAATTGTCTGGGCGGCTTACTATTACTACCTAGGTACTACTCGTACTACTCGTACTACTCGTACTTTAACTACTGGGCATACAACGGAGTACCGTACATAGTACTACTAATGCTATATCCGTACCTACCTAGGTACACAGGACGGAGGGAATCCGGTGCAAGCAAGTACCCGCCCATAGTAATTTGTACGGGAGGGAACCCGGGCAGCCAAAGGGGGCGTGTCGATAGCGAGCAAAAAGGGCAAAAGGCGCGGCATGCTCTTACATAGTACAGCACTTTGGCACAGCAGCTGGCGAGACATGGGGCATTCATTGGGCTGAGAGGAGCGCCACTCTTATGCATCGCTGCTTGGTATCAGGTAGTCTATGTACAGCCGCTCTGGAGCTGTTTGCTTTGCTTTGTGCTGATTTTGCCTCGTTTGAGCTGGGAATGCGACGGTACTGGGACTGTACCTATGTACTGCCACGAGGGGATCTGCAAAGGGAATACGGAGTATATGTACTCGTACTGTATTACAGCAAAGTACCTAGTAGGTACATACTCGTTATTACACCTCCAGGGCTAACCTACAGGTACCTATCTAACCTGCTGGAACTACAGCGCTCGAGCTCACTAACATCCACCAGACAGAACAGACAGAGAGCAGCATCAACTCTCCAGGTACATACGAGTACAGTGCCGAGCCTAGCCCAGGTTAGCACCTGTCCAGCACTGTACCGTGCCTTGGTAGCAGGTGCATGCGGCAGTACTATGTACCTAGCGCTACTACCTGTACCTGCAAGGCGCGATTCTGCCCCCCTATGGCCCTATGGGGTACCTGGGAGTACCTGCACATGGCCATCCCAAGGCCCCAACCACAACCACGTACCGGTTCCTCCATAGCGGACGGGAAGGTGGCGGCACATGGCGTGCCCTGGGAGTGGGGCAGTGCGGCCTGCCCCGCTTTGCCTGGCTTTTTTCTTTTCTTTTCTTTTTTTTTTCTCACTGTATTTTATTTGTTTTTGTTTTTTTTTTTCCTTTTTTTTTTCTATATATACCTACCTATGTTATATATTATATAGTACGGAGTATAATAAATGAGATGAGAGAGGTGATCAGCCGTCTCGTCCACCCCTTGTTTCCGTCTCTTCAGCTCGGATATCCGTCTTGGTAACTCTACCCGAGCAGAAAGGGGGGGGCTCTGTTGTGTTAATCACCGGTAAGGCTGTACTAGGCAATGCGTAATATACAGTACGTACTGTACTTTACTTGTATCAGCTGTATTACTCTACGTAGTACTCCTCCCTCTGTGTTTACATGTGCCATTACCTGCTTCTTCTTCTTCTCCTCCTCCTCCTCAACCCAACATCAAGCCAGGCTGCCCGAGTGACATGCCCAATGACGACAAAACCCATGACCTCGCAAAATACTGCCCTGAAGGAATGCTGCTACTCAAGACCCGCTGCCAACAAGGCTGTCCAACTGACGGCGGCCTCTACACAGTCTCCGAGATGATGGCCACACCACCATGCCAATGCGGCCCAGCTAGCGCCGTCGTTCTCTCAAACTCGGAAAAGTACCGTCGTCCTCTCATATAACAAGACACACCAGACACCAAAAAAAAAAAAAAGCCCTGGGAGGTGGCAGTGCCCAGAGATTACTACGCTTCAGAACAGAGCCTAGCTCGAAAACCACCCTGCGGCACGTAGATTGCGGCATGCAACGCACATGCCAAGGATCGAAAGAGACAAAAAAGTAAAAACAAGGTATAATTCCCAAACTCGACCATTTCTCCGATTATAGTCGTTTCCAGGTTGTCTTATTTCTGGGGGATTTTCCCAGCGGGAGCCCCATCCGTGATAAGCAAGCACATGCTATATTCAGACAATGCCAAGCAAGGCGGCGGCCCCCAAAAAAACACCGCCGGCACGGAAAGCTACCCTGATTTTTTGCCATGGCAATAGTACTATGTGCACATACTGTATCATGAGTAATGAATAGCTAAAACGTGAGAACCTGCTGAATCGAGATAATGGCCACGATGATGATGCTGCCGCTGCTGCTGATGACGATGCTGATGATGATGACAATGGCCACGGGGGGCGTATTATGGTGTCCGCAGCACCGCTTCCCAGCTCAAAAAGCGACGCCTTCCCAACAACAGCCCATAACCACCCCAATTCACCATCGCCAAACGGCAATAAGCAACGTCAATCGCGTGCTTTGCATATGCATTTCGGGTAAGCTCCGACTTTAGTCCCCTCCCGAATGCCGCGTGTGAACGCGAAAGAGCGAGGCCGCGCGCGGGGGGTAAGGGAAAGGGATGGATGGATGGGATGGATGGGATGGATGATGATGAATGATTAGCACGAGGCGGAAGGGAAAAGGGAAGTGGGAGAAGGGGGGGGTACGAAAAACCACGACCCCAAAATAAGAAGTAAACCGCCAGAGAGCAAACGAACCTTGAAATCCCGGAGCCTCTGCGAATCAACGCTTCCCATTCGTAAAACTCACGAATCACGTCTTGGAGATTCAGCCATCCCGATCTACGATGGCGCTACTCTTACAGCCCCATCTTTTTTTTTTTTTTCCCTCTCGTCTCTTTTCTTACTCTTCGTCTCTCTTATTAATTTTTCGTTTTTGGCTTCACTTCGTCATGGTCCCCCCCTTGTCCACACACACCCCCCCGTCTTCCCGCCTTGTCCCCTTTCGAAAACCTTGTGAGAATAGCGCCGTCTTCTTTTTTTTCCCTTTCTTCTTATTATAAGACGAACCGGAACGAACAGGATAATACAACCAAGCGAGCTTTTTCCACGAGGCTTGTCCCTCCACCCCCGACAAGCCTTCATGTTATACAAAACAAGGGAACAGGCCCAAGGGAGGGGGGCGTCTCGTACGAAAAGCCGCACTAACATGTTATTACCCTTTTTCTCATCAAAAAAAAAGAAAAGAAAAGAAAAAGGCCACGCCCCCCATCCACAAAAATCCCGACCGTCCGACCATCCGGCCGTGTCCTCAGCCACAGGGCAATATCCCATCATGTACAGTAGCATATAAGGTTGAGGGAGAAAAAGGCCCACGGTGACCCCATGTTGATGATAAGGCTGGCACCACCAAGCCTCGTAAGGAAGCAGGTATAAGTAATCAAGCAGCAGCCCTATACAGTACCAACAACAGACCACAGAACCCCCATACAGCTAGCTTGCCGAGCCCTGGTCTTCTCCATCCTTTGCCTTGCCTATCTAGCGTACGTGATTTGTTTCCTGTAACATGCTTCGTACAAGGCAGGAAGCAGCGAAGCTATACTAGGTTACCCGAAACACCCCCCCTTAACCCGGGGCAAAGCTGATATTATAGCAGCAATTACTAGTTTGCCAATTTCCAACAAGTGCCCTTGACAAGGCCGCAAAAAAGAGCCAAAATGAAATAAATAAACACAAATCATTGCCACTCGTAACTCGTACCGGGAATCCGATGTATTGACGCCCGGCCAAGGAAAAAGAGACCCGCGGGGGTGAGATGAGGCGAAGGCGCCTTGATTTTTCCTCTGGCAAACCCAGCGCAAAACCACCCCCGCGGTAGCATTCGTATCTGTCCTGCTTATACGGAACGTATTTAGGGTTGCTTTTATTTTCTGTCTTATTTCATTTTTACTTGGCCTTACGAGCTGTAATATCCGAACCCCCCCATTACTGGAGAAGCTATTAGATGATGGTTGCGGCAGATCTCTAGAGAGAGAGACGTAGGCCAGGAAAAAGACCACCATCCTCGTAAGGGGGATATTCCAGGTCCTGGGGCGAAAGAATGCAACCTTGCTTGGGTCGTCGTCGTCCGTTTAGCCGATCCGATTTATCGCATCGTATTGCCTGGTTAATATCGCATGCCACGCGAGCCGAGGCGAGATGCAGTATCCCTAAGTAAAGTATTAGTCAACACAGACAAAAACAGTAACAGGCAGCAAGCGATATTCATGTAAGCTTCACTTTTGCACTAAGCAGCTTCAGCTCTGGCTGGCGCCAGTCATCCGCTTCAGCCCCAGACGCCAGAAACAGGCAAGAGGTGGTCGTAGTAATCACCCCGGCTTCCCATGGAATTGCCGCTCCCGTACCGTACAGAATCGTCTTCTTTCCATCTCCGAATCCAACATCTCCGACCCCATTGTATTGGGTTGGCAAATAGGCTGGGTCAACGCACGTGCAAACGGCGTGGGCATAAACTCACGCCGTGCCCCGTTCGTGGTGGACCCGGAAATATAGTCGAGCAATCGTCACCACGCCTTATGGATCCCAGTGTATACGATGCAAATACGGACCCGCGATGCAGCTCAACTCCCATTCCCAGACGGTCGGTTCAGGCAGAGGTCCCCTATCTGCCTTGGCATCACTTTTACCGGACACACGTGCGTAGGGGAAGCGGACAGGAAATAGCTTAATTCCTTTGCCTGGCGACAAGGCGGAATTATCATAGCAAGCATCCTCCACCCAATCTTGCCAAGCCGCATATCGAACTACTATACGGAATCCTCACGGCACCGCTGCCATTTTTTGGACCCTTCGATCGTTTGACCAGTATGACAAAGCTCGAATCTCAGCCCACGAAATCATTTCACGTTCGTAAATCGCCTCAAAGGCCTGGTGGGACCCTTCCTTCCGAAAGGGCGTGTTGGTTAGAATTCTGGAGTTGCAAGAGGGGCCAAGGAAGTAGCTGCAACTCCAATTTCAGTTCAGACCCAAGACCTTTTGTTACTTGACTGACTTGTATGCCGTTTTTCCTTGTTGTTACAGATCAAGGGTCTTGTCGTTGGCGGCTATCGCCCGTATGCCGCCCCAGGAGTGGGACACACACCGCACGGGCCGGGGGTTGTCCGCGAAATCGCTTGTTTTTTAACCATACAATGGCGTCAAGTTAGCCTCAGTAATCCTAGAGCCAGTCAGATGCTCGTATACACTCGTAACAACACCAAGGGAAGGGAAAGGGGGAGTGTGTGATGGAAGGAATTAGGCGACAAGCCCAAATAGTCGCCCTACCTTTCCCTTCGCAGTCTGGCTCTGGCTCGTTGCCCATGCCGAGTCATTGAGCGTCTCACTCGTAAATTTTCCTCTTTTGGGTATATGCTTTTGAACCATCTGATCCTCTTCCAGCTTGGTGTTTCTCGTCTCTCAAGCCACCGTCGCATATTCGAGCCTCCCTGCTTGGCAGTTTAGTAATCCCGCTATAGGCGCCGTTCGGGCAATCATCCTGCGGCAATGGCTGAAGTCACCCCACTACTCAATCGCTCCGACACCAAAAGAGCCAAAGGGCACGAATCATGGGGAGATCATGGACCCTTTTCTTCGAGAGAAAAAGACACCGGTAGCGTGTAAGTAGGTTGAAACGATCGAGAGCCGCATCCGCCCTGTTTGCCGCCGAGCGCCGACTCGTCTTGTTTCGATTCGAGGCCCATTCTGTAGCCCCTGGAGGGTAGTGAGGGTAGTATAGCAGAATTTGGAAGCAATGACTCGACCTGACTCGACTCGACTCGAGCTCAAGTTCATAGCCGAATTGCCTTTGCATCTGACCTCTTAATTAATAACCGCCGGCTCGGAATGAATGAATCGTGATGCCTGCCGGCTCAAGCCCACACACGCACCCGACAGTCCGGGTCGTGTCCCAGACAATGTGAAGCAATGCCTCGATAGAGTAATAAACAACAGAGACACGGCTATTAGACACGGCAGAACGGGCGCAGTGCCGACGTTACATCGAGGGCGGCAGACACTCCCGGCCGCGACCGCTACGAGTACCGCTACGAGTACCGCTCATGTCTCTCCTCTCCCTGGACAGCTTGCTTGCCCATACTCCGTACGAGGACACTCCTGATACCCAAATAAGTGAGTCGAGGGTGATATCTGATGGCGGGGCCGGGTGCTAAGAATCCGGATGACTGTACAACGCATTACTGAAGGAATCTGTGCCGATTCCGGTAGCATTTCTGCAGTAAGCCAGCAGGCTTGGGAAAACAAGGCGGTAGGATCAACGCAGTTTACAACCCCATTCCTCCGTTAGCAGGCCGTCCAGCATATCCCTCGCCATTAGCATCCTCCCGTCAGGCCAGCACACCAACAGAAACTCCACATGAGCAAGCCTGGGGCCCAACAGCAGCCCTACATACTCGTACTCGTACGAGTAAGGAGCACGCGCCATGGCCCAACCTGTGGTACATCCTGTGGTACATCCTGCGGTACCTCCTGCGGTACATTCGCCTACCCTGCATCATTTGGCGGAATGGGCATCGCGAACTTTTGCGCGGAGCTCGGATGTACATGCATGTCGCATGTCGGTCGGTCACTATCCGGCGAGTACCTAATCCAAGTTGAGGTTTTTTTTCTGTCTCTCGTCCTCTTCCCATGTCCCATAGTCGCCTGAATCATGAGCTTGGTCGTGCCGTAGGGCGTGTAAAACAAGTAAGAGTAAGCATGCCGCAGAAAAAAGACATCATAGCCAACACGCCTCTTACAGCTCCCCTGTGCCCATCGTGATATCTACGCCCGAAGCATCGCCAAAACTAGTCCAGTCTGCTGCGATTTGGAATTTCTCGGCTACCCAGCTTGGGGTTTGA